TTAAAATAACGATAATCTGTAAGAGAATCCTTGCCACAAAACAACGCTTACATAAAAGCATAATTTAAAAAGGCAGGAAAAATGCCGGCTGTGACGTACCAATAGGTTGTTCCCTAGATAAGCCAGTGATCCGAGGAATAAAGGAGTTGTCGTTTCCCTTGAGAAAACGGGTGCGGGCCTGTCTCCATCTCTTTTGATGCAATCCAGGTCCAATCCTCTTTCACCAACAGACTGGAATTGGGCACCCTTCGCCCAATTTTCTTTCCTTGAATTGAAGTCAATCACTTCTTGAACTATGTTAATTCGCTTGATATTCACCTAAAGCAAATATCGTAAAAGGAAAGTGAATAGGAAAAATTTTAATGGGCATTCTTAAGAGTGATTCGCCAATCAAACAAGCAAAACTTGTTGAATAGGAAAATTGGTTTTTATCAAACGAGTTGATTAAAAGTAAATTTTCTACCGTAAAAAATAGATAAAGAAGCTGACGTTGCAAGCGTTAAAAACATCAGCTTCTTTATCATTTTTTTACGGGGGAAAATTTACTTATATCAACTCATTAAACAAAAACCAATTTTCTTGTATATCACTCTCCAACTAACAAAGCATCACGGAGGGCCCGCTCTTCCCAGTCCCCCCTCTGCTCTTCCTTGTGCCACTCCCCACTATTACTTGAGATGTTATGTAACTTGTGACGTTTTCCACTTCTGCTAGTCTTCAATTAATAATGAGGTCGACCTTAGCAAATATCTGAAAACTTGATGAATACAGCGCCTTTTCGGGAAAGCTTAAGCTTATATGGCGTTATACTAATCCAAAAACACGAAGAAGGCTTTCGAATAAGTCTTTAAGTTAAAATATGTAGTTTTTAAGAAACAAATTCCAGCTCAGAGGTAGTTTACAAATATGGTACTTTTAAGGAACCAATGATAAAAAACTCCTCTGGCTCCTTCGCAGTTACACCGGCATTGCGACCCGCGCGGCCTTAGCGCGCAGCGCTAGGTTCAAAATAATGAAACAATTTCAACTTACCTCAATCTTGTGAGAGCGGAATTGAAGAATCTTTGGAGCAACTACAGGATACAGGGCCATATTTTAATGTCTTACACAGAAGTGGCACAGTGGCTCTCTAGTTTAACACCCATTCTCTCTTGATGTGAACAGATGAAAGCAAAATATTTTACCCTTCAAACTCTGAATGATAACTCTCTGAGCCCACAATCTAACAGCGGTAGTAAAAAAATGGCGGAGTCTGGATTGGCTTTATTTCTCTCTGTTTTATTTCTGCTGTTGTTCGTAACTGCAAGGGTTTACTGTTGTGGAATGAGCACACATATAGATATTGCTCATCAAGCTATTAATTGGTTCAAGGATGCAAGAAATGGTACGGACTACAGGGAAATAATCCTAAAGCATCAAGATGCGTTCATCGCTGGAAATCCTTATCCGGATTCGATGTATTCAAGTTTTTGTTATTCTGGGAAATTCCATTCGATCGCTGAGGATACACATTGGTCTCCATTTCTTAACGCTACGGTCAATTACATCAGAAAAAAATACCCAAAACCCTGGGATCAGGTTAGTGTTACTAATAAAGATATGCAGGTCACTGAGGACAACTTTGATTTTGATGACGAAGGTGATGATGATGATGATGTTGATAAGAGCAATGGAATTTTACTTTGTTGATAATGGTTATGTTTGAAAGCGCTGGGAAAATAGTGATTGTTATGATCTTGACGATGATTATAGTGGAACCCCATTAATACAGACACCTGTGGGACATGCCATGGTGTCTATATCCCCCCCGCCCCCGCCAGGGTCTATATTAACTGGATGTCCGCATTAAGCAGGTTAATTATAGAGAAAATAAATGAGCTTTATTTTCATTGAGACAAACGAAATTGTCTCTTATATACTGGTGTCCATATTAAGCAGGTGTCAATGGAGAGGGGTTTACTATATAGCATTACGAAAAATCACCAGAATAAATACTTTGATCATGCTGATCAATACTTTGATCACCATGATCTTTGATAGGAGGTGCAGGAATAATGATGCTGAAATTGGTGATGATGATGACTTTGGATGTCAAAGCACTGAAAGTGACAAAGTGTACCTGAAAATTATATATGTTCATGAACAGAGTGCTAGTGATGATGATGTGATATTGAGAGATGTGAGTGAGGGATTTTAGCAAATAGTCAAAGAAAACCAAGTGTTAGTCAGGCAAGGGGAATTTTTTGTTCTTATGAGGAGTGACCTTGACTTTACAGGACACAGAAAAGCTGGTGGCTTTTACTCTTGGTTTTGTATCACATCAAGTTGCAGATGTAACATGGCACAGTCTTGGAATCAATCAAGGATTTCTTACCACCATGGGGGATGTTAATTTCTTTGGATCATTTTCTGCTGCACACAGCATTGGTGATCCAGGAGGAGACATGGTTGCATCATTTGAGGGTGATACGAGGCAACTACCTTCAGGATTAAAAGAATGGTAAACTCTATCTATCTACTAACTTTTTATAATTTCAGAGGAGGCAGCGTAGCCAAGTGGTCAGTGCATCAGACTCACAGTCTGGTGGTCGTGGGTTTGAGTCCAGCCACTTGCTGTATTTGTTCTCCGTTGTCCTGAATTCAAATCCTCAGTCATACTTGTAAACAGCCAACTGGTTGCCTCCTGCCTATTGGGGTTGTTAATCTGGTTGTGTTGTATTTGAATTAATTGTTTCTAAGTAATCGAGTGGAGTGCCTCTAAACTAGCTGGATAAGCTACGTTCACTCTCCACTTTAAACAGGCATTTAAACCTTTAAACCAGCACAAATACTACTCTTGCCCCAATATTTTAATCACAGCTGCAGTCTTTGTCAGCACACCCCCTAGTGATGTTAAATTTTGAGGCCATTTGAAGTTGTATACATGTGACTATGTGACTTCAAAAGTGAGTCAAACATTCCTGGGAGCTGGTACCCCCCCCTCCTGACCATGAGGGTCTTTTCTTATCTTTTGAGGGTGTATAATTATATTTGTCATCAGGTATCTTCCATCCAGTGATCTGGAAGAGATCTACACTGAGTATTATGGAGAAAAGAAAATTACAAAGGAAGAGATAGAAGTCTGTTCTGCTCTTATGCTTCTTGGTTGGATCGGCGAGCAAATTGCAGGGGAAAAGTTGTTTCCCAAGTATGCTAAGACATCACCATTTTTGGTAGAAGACTTTCACACATACTTCCAAGGTATAGTTGCTCCAAATGGGCAGGTCACCACCTTAATGCAGTGGGGTAGTCTGCATGCCTTAATGACCGCTGGAGCTATGTCAGCTTGAAGGATAGAGACCAGACAAAGAGTGACCCCTTGGTCATCCAACTTGGGGGTTAGGCATAGGGCTAATGACCCTACCCCATAAAAAAGTAGTTGTTACAGAAACCAGAAGCACTAACAATGATACAACGCTAACAGGGGCGTCGCTCCTGTAGCTAAAGTGGGGGCACGGAACAGAGAGTGTTGGTCATAACATACTTATGTGCCTACCAGTGCAGTGAGAAATCATAAATTAATAAAGATGATGGTGGAAAGGATGGATGGAAAAAGCTCCTTTCAATTTGTCCCATATCTGCTTGTAAATAAATCAAAAGGAGAATTTGATGTCACTTTGGGCCTTATTCCACGTACCCGTTCAGTACCATTTAATGAGGACTGCCACAGCCTATGAAAAACAGCACCTTTACCTTCCACAGCCCCTTCTCCTCTGTCCCAAATGTTGAAGTTAATTGTTGGGGGTCTTACCTTGAGTAGGAGGGATAAAACTTTGTCCCTAGTTAGTCGCAGCCTTGACAACAAAAAGGAAATTTTAAAAGCTCCATGGCCTCTTAGATATTGTAAAACCCCACCAACAGACTCTTTTGAACACAGGAGTTTTCCATTTTAGGGGGCGTGGCTGACATGGCAGCGTGGTCTGTACTGCTATGGCACAAGACTATTGATATGCTTGAACACGGAACAGACACTTGCTCTATACCAAAAAGTCCATTGTTTATTTCCTGCAACAAGAGTGAACATGGAATCCTCTTACAACGAACACAGCGGCAGAAGCTATGGAATCCTGGAATGATTATGCTGCAGCAAGACATCCACAAAACCTTGAGGTTATCTGGTGTGAACATCAAACAGAGCCGAAGAGGAAGCTTCTTTTCTTTGTCAGAGTCTTTGCAATCAAAGATCCAGAAAGTAAAGAATTTTAAAAAGAGTTGTCTAGGTAGTGCAAACAATCCTCCTCAAATAACAGAGAATGTGAACAACGTTGATCAGGAGGTGACGACGACACCTGTTGAATATTCATCTTCTGTTCCATATGCAAGGACAGGATGGTAAGTACATGTAATGCAGGACTTGAAGAAAACTTGAATTCCAACATGTCAGTTAGGCAAGCAGCTCTCTCACATTTTGTTCACCTGGGATGTAATGACAGTCTAACCCCACATTACAGACACCCACTTAATATGAACACTTCATTATTACATTTTCTCTAAAATTAACGTGCTTAATACAGACACTCATTAATGCAGACAATGGACGCTTCTTTCTTGCCCAATAAACAGATTCTCATAGAAAGTCAACCTCACTAATGGATAGACTTCATTATCAACTGTGTGCTGTAATAAACCTTTTCTTTTTGAAGGTAAAAAACCTTCATTTGACAGCATGTTGATGTGCCCAGCTCCACAGGATGATTTCTTGAGGTTATTTTAAGACTATTTTGACATCAAATGTAATATGCAGAAAATGGCTTTGATTTAGCAATATTAAAATTGAGTGATTTTTTTAGTGTTTCCATGGATTTAGTCCACGGAATGACGGCTTTCTGAAAGCTAAGATGTTTAATTTGACGATTCTAATGTCCTCTTTTCTCTCAAAGTATTTTGTTCTAATTAAAGGTGTTTAATAACATGACCCGCTTAATACAGACGCCCCGTTAATGCACACACTTTCTGTGGTCCCTTCAGTGTCTATTTTACTGGGGTTTGACTCCTTGCTTGTTAGTTAATGATTTAGTTGGAGGGTGTTCACCTGGACCCTTGCCTGTTGGGCAAGTGAGCTTAAAAATTAATTGCCCAGCAAGAAAATCTAGTAGGTGGACTTTTTTTAAACCCTGGTTTTGGTTTAAAACTTTTGAGCTATAAGAACGTAGATCTGTGAAGGGTTTGAACCCAGGAGTCATATCAATAGTAGGTTGAGTTTGATCGTCGGGGTAAATGTAGTCCTGAATAGGACTAGAGTATAATACCATCAACTGACGTGATACAACTCACTTTGGTTGTCGAAACGTCAGTCACTGTCAACAACAACAGTCCTTTTCAGGACTACGTTCACCTGGACGATCAAACTCAACCTACTTTTGAAATTATAACATAGATAATATTTTAAAACAAAGAGAGAACAATGTTCTGATTTTCTATAATATCGGGTCCCAGCAACTTGTGGGCGGATACTATGGGGGCTTTGATGACAGGCAGGGTCAATGGGAATATTGTAAATGGGGTCTAATTGTCATGGGAATAGTTTTCCTAATGTTACTGACAGAAATCTACTAACCTTGTATCACATTTTTAGGTCCTTAGCATATGGCAACTTCAGCGGTCTGTCTCTTTCACTCGTGATTGGAGCACCGGGGTATGGCACTCCAGGGAACAGCCAACATGGTTGTGTTTACCTTGTTACAAATAATGCAGAGAGTGGACTGCCAAGCAGGAACTTAAACTTAGATTCTGATGCTGACATGATTGTCAATGGAACAGTGGAAAATGGTAGATTTGGAACAGCAGTGGCCATTGTAGATCTTAATCAGGATGGACTGGACGATCTTGCCGTCAGTGCTCCATCTACAGGTGGGTTTAAGGTGCCCCTCACTCAACTATAAAACAGCTCTGTTTTAGCAACTGCAACCCAACAAAACTCTACAACAGATCTGAGAATCCTTAGTCATAACTTCCCCATGGGACCCAGCAAATGACTTTCCTTTCAACAGAACTTTTGACTGGATCAATATAATTTTACATTTTGAGAAGCCTTTAGAACAGCAGCATGTTTTTCAGTGGAGGAAAGGCAAGTGTGAGGTGGACATGGAGCTCAACACATGCACGACAGGGGAAGATGTAGGGAATAATGATTTTTTGCATGCCTCCCCAGGGGCGGATCCAGGATTTTTTTTAGGAGGGGGTGCACTCGTCTCCTGCTCTACTTCAACACCAATAAACCACATTTTTTTTTTTTTTGCAGAATAGCAGTTGCATTAGAAAACCGCAGGTCATCTCAGGGGGGGGGGGGGTGCGCACCCCCTGCACCCTCCCCCTAGATCCGCCCCTGCTCCCCCTGTGTGGCATACGTTTCCAAGAAACTGTTCACCTACCCCTCCCCTAAGCCACCATTAAGAAGAGAAGTAAGTGTTATCATTGATTTAGGGGAGGGGTATCTGGGCAGTTTCCCAGAAACGTATAATGAACTGTCATGCCTGTCTCATGTCCCACCTCGTGCCTGCTTTTGCTGGCCTGAAAAATTTAGATCAATGTTAGAATAATCAATTTCCAAGATTTTGCTCGTTATTATTTTGTGAAATGTTTTCAATTTGAGCTTCTACTTGCAGGTGCCAATAGCCTTCAGTAGACTGGAACAATCACAGTTTGTTTGGTTACCCTGTGGCATAAGATGCCGGATACCATGCTTATTTTCAGCAATTTAGATCAAACTTAAATAAATTTCCAAGTTTTATCTATTAAATTTTGTGAAGTGTTTTTAATCTGAGCGTCTACTTGCAGGTGCCAATAGCCTCCAGTATACGGGAACAGTATATGTGTTCTATGGAGAACAAGGAAAAGGACTCAACCCCAAACCAGGCCTGACAATCCACGGCAATGGCACATATTATAATCTAGGCACATCTTTACTGGGGGCAGACATTGATGGAGATGGATTCAAGGACCTTATAATAGGGTCACCTTTTGCTCCAGAAGGTGGTCCCCAGAGGGGCTCTGTTGCTGTATTCTTGGCCAAAACCCAGAGAAAGCCTGGGTCAGCATTATTTGTGCAGGACGCTGATTGGTTGGCTGTCGGTGAACAGAATTACAGTTGGTTTGGGTATTCTATGGCTGTGGCCAATCTATATGGGAAGTTGATGCTAACAATTGGTGCACCCACATTTAGGTACATATTTTTGGTGTTGTACATTTTTACCAACTTACTATCTGTCTTGTTAGTGGCCTAAGAGGCTACATTAAATTTTGAAAATTAGCACAACCTACAGATCACTTCATTATCTGTTAGCAGATAACTAACTAATCTTTAATCTGGGCTTGAGAGTGTCAGAAATTGTCGAGCCTAGGGTAGGGCATTTATAGAGTATCTGACCTCAGTCACATCCTGTTTCCAGTAAAGGTGTCCCTGCCAGTGGGGAGAATAATGTTGGCTTTGTTTGCTGGCAACTCCACTCAACTCAACTTGACAGGTTGTAGACAAGGTAACACAAGCTTATAAGCTAACAGGCACACAGGGTGACATGCAGACATGCTGACATGCTGACTGGTTGACAGAAAGACATTCAGACAGGCTGACATGCAGGCAGCCTAACATGCTGACTGGGCATTGGGCAGACATTCAAAGCAACTGACATGCAGGAACGCAGAAATGCTAACTGGGTGACAGGCAGATATTCAGACAGGCTGATGAGCTGACATGCCGTGGATTTTGATTTAGGGAGTAAATGTTTAAAGCTTTAAATCATGGCTGTATGGTTAGTGAAGCAAATGTTTTCTGTATCTGAGCAGACTATGTGCTGTCCAGAACTGCAGTTACTCCAAGAATGACAAACAGAGTGTTGGCAGGGTGTATTTTTTCAGTGTAACCTCAACACCATTCCCCCAACCCATGGCAACCATCACTGGCAGTGAAACATTTATGAAACTGGGCACCAGCCTTGCTGTTGGGAATCCATATCGCCATGGTGATGATGACAACATGCTTGCTGTTTCAGCAGCCACACAAAGTAAGTTCTGCAGGTCTGTGTACCTGTAGCCCCAAGACAGGGCTCGTAAAAAATTATTGAATTCCAGCTTGTCCTTTGGACTAGCAGCTGTCACATTTCGCTTGCCTGGGGCCACTTCTTGCTTGTCTTCATTAATGATTTTGTTAATTAAGATGACTGCCTGGACCCTTGTCCTCTACTTGTCCCGGCTACCAGACAGGACTTTCTTCAAGCCCTGCAGGGGGCCCTCCCCACATCCATCAGAACTCTCCGCAAAACTCCCACTGTAATGACTGCAGTCCAAGACAGCTTATTTAGTGAGTAAATAAAAAAAAAATATCATATCTGAAAAGGTGATAGGGGAAACATACTTTTTATACAGGCTGCTTGTATCCCTAGGGCATTGAAATGCCAGGGAATAAAAATCCAGCAAGCTCTACTGGGGTCTGTACTCTATGCCCCAGTACCAAGGGCATTCTTAATTAACATTATTTCTTCTCTTGCCATAATTACCAGGTTATAACCCCTCTTTACAGAATGAAATAACCTTTCATATTGGAGTTCAAGTAATATAATTTTAGATCAGGTCAATATCAAAAGAATTGCATGTAAATGATTCTGTGACTTCAGATATTCAAGGTCGCATCTTGGACTTCAAGCTACCAGTCCAGTTTGACCAGTCTGGAGCTGTGTACATGATAAACTTGACAACAGTCCTCCAGCTTGGTAAAGACGTATCGTTAAAAGATGTCAATTACACAACTGTATTTGAAGGTGATCGTAGCTTTGCAAGATTTGGTTGGGGGTTAGAGTTCACCGACATAAACCAGGATGGTATAAAAGATTTGCTGTTCTCAGCACCATTTAGGACACGTGATATAACTGACGAAATTAAAGGGGGTATGTGTTATTACACTTTAGTTTTTTAGGTTTTTAATGCCTTAAAATTGGTACAAATAGTATTTTAAAATCTTATTCTAATGTTATGCACAACTACTCAGTCACACTCACCGAGTCCTTGTATGCTGTTGTTTCCACATAAAGCTTTTAAAATCAGTTACTTTGCCTCTCTGTTTAAAACTGCCCTCACTGTAGCCTACATTCCAGATGACATTAGAGCTAGGCAAGTCAAGTATCACCTGCAAAGTATTGTACAAATCATAGACTGCCACCACAAGGGCAACAGGTTTATTTAACAATTACTGAATGAGGCTGATTATCTTATGAAGAATTATGGAGATCAAGGAGGATGTTATCCATCAAGGCCGTAGGCCGAGGCAGATAACACCCTCTGACATCTCCATAATTTTTCATTTGATACGAAAACCTAATTTAATAATTGTTTTATTATTCATTCAAAATAATTCCTAGTTTAAAAACATGGCTAAAACATGCTTACCTCCATCGATCCATCGATGTTAAGTTCATCTGTGATAGTGCATGTTTAGGGTTGTTCAGCTCTGCAAAATATTCTCCAAATAGTAGATGTTGCCCTTCGAGTTGTCTTTTTGCTGTTTTTGCCATGTTTTTAGTAATTATTTCACCTACCGGTAGTTCTTACTCTTGAAATGAGTGAAATGTCCGCCATTTTTGTTTTCACAACTAAAACAACTCAACCTGATCCCCAGGTCTTCTCGGTTAACGGTGCATTAATCTGCAAGAAACCTGCACTTTTGACATCATCGGTTCATGAAACACAAAATTCTTCCAAATTTGGTCATCAGTAGCAGGTTATGGTGAATTCTGCATGTGCTTTTAGCCAATCAGAATCGGGAAATATTTTGAATGAATAATAATAGTTCTTGTTGTAACCGTCACGTGGTTACACCCGCTAAATGAAGTCTCAGCCCCACCAAAGCACCCAGATTTGCTCATTGTGGCTGCCTGATTTATGGCTTTTTGGTCTTGTTAAAAGTACTGTGTTGTACATGATGATTTGCTCTGACTGGGCAAAATAAGAGCTTTAAGCCTAGAAAAAGCTGGCTTGACTGAGACAGTTCCATCTGTTTTGTAACTTTGGCGCCATACTACCATCTTCAGTCCTCTAAACGTGACAGAAAAAGTAAGCCCTCTCCCCACCCCCTATTTAAAGTATTTTTGGTCTAAAACCAATGTGTATAATATTCTCGTGTTATCCTTAACTGGATAATTAACCCTTTAAGTCCCGATAGTGACCAAGATCAATTTTCTCCTAACAATATCCATGTTACCAAGAGAAATGGTTATGAGAGTTAAATGCTTTGATCTTCTACCAAATTCTCTCAACTTATTCCGTAAGGAAAATATGTATAAAGACCAGTTTGGAGAATTTGTATGTGGAAATTGGGGCTTAAAGGGTTAATGAGAGGAGGGAAAACAAGCATTCATTTGGCAATGTTTTCCATTTTTGCTAGGATGATGGGAAAAGATAGTTATTTTTGGGATGTGTCTCAACATGTTGTGTCTGAGGTTGTAGCAACTTCATCCTAGCTACCAACTCATCTGCTGCTCTTCTCGACCCCTCTCCCTATGTGGGTTTCCACCTTCTTTGTGCGATAATAAATTATTTCTCTGAAACATAGTAAACCACGAAAGCCTACAACATATGTCTTTTTTGTTATGTTTACAACAAGTTAACCCCAATATCCACATACAAATTCTCAAAACTGATCTCCATACATTTCCTTAAAGAATTAGTTGAGAGAATTTGTTATCAGATCAAAGCATTTTCTCTTTAGTGATCATTTCATAAATTCTCATAACTTTATCTCTTGGCAAAGTATGAATATTGTTGGGAGAAAATTGATGTTGTTCACCATTGGGACTTAAAGGGTTAATGACGTGTGTAGTTTCTGGCATTGACAAGTTTGTAATTTTCACTTGTTTTTAAAGGAAGATCGTGCCAAAAATGAATTCAAAATGTTTTTTTTTTTTTCTCACTGCGAATTATTATTTTTATCTCAGCCGAGGAAGGTGGACTGTATGCATTCTATGGAGGAAATAACTTTCCTTCTGGTAATGCCACCAGAGGATGTCAGGGAGTTGATCCTTGTCCTGGAGTTAAGGTAATATCAGTGATATGTGTTTCAAACATCGTGCTACTGCCGTGCTAAGCTGCCTTGACTGCAGCAGGACTGCAGCATGACACTAGCACGACTTGGTTTCAGACATCAAATTTAATTCACGTGAATAGAACAGCTCTTGCCGAAAACAAAATACAAAAATAAAGAAACGGTTTAGCAAACTTTTAAATGTTTTCTAATGTATTTATGATTTGTGAATTGAGTTCGGCACGGCAATAGCATGACTTGGTTTCAAACGTTGCACTACTGCCATGCTATAGTCGAATTGAATTCCATCAATTTAGTTTGGCAAGACAGTAGTATGACGTTTGAAACGGGCCTAAGATATTACATTAGGTGAAATTTTCCTTACCACCAGAAATAACACCATGACAATATCCACCAGACAAAACTGAAGGCTCTCTTGGAAAAACGTTTTTAGCTAGGATGAAGGTTGAATCTAAAACAGTAAAAGTGCAAAATATTACAAGTTCTGGCAAAAAATAAATAGGGAAATACAACTGATGCAATATAAAGCAAGGGCTGTAAAACACTTACATTGTTATTCCAGGGCCACAGCAAATGAAAAGGACTCGTATGTTAAGACCTAATAATGTAATCATGTGTTTAATATTTTATAGGCGTCCTTCGTGGTGAAGTCTACAGAGGTAAGCTATGCAAAAGTATTAAACTGTGCAACGGGAGTCATGTCTGATAGTCCTGGGCTTGTGGATTTTGCAATCAGGCTAGTGAATTTTATTCTAAACTTGACAGGCAATTGACGTTTGTGGGGGAATTCAAGTAAGATAGTACTGATAACAAATATTATTAATAATTTATGTGCATCAAAAGCTGGTCTTGTAACCAACAATGGTTCTTCTTGATACTTCTTCAAATACTTTTTTAAGATGCCCTGAGAATTTTATTATTGTATCAAATAAATATCTAATCAGTGCTTAATCAAGTTTTGACTAAGTTTCCTAATGTAGCAAGTAACCATAGCAACAGTATAGCTTGCTTAACCTTAATTTTAGATTAAAGCGTAAGGAACCCCAAAACGAGTTCCATGTTTAGTAACTCCCATGATTTATTATAAAACTGCAATTGCCAGTCTAAAAATAACTTTGGGGTGCATAAAGAGACATCTTTATTTTTGAAAAGTCAACTTGCTTTCAGGAGCTTATCCAGACAAAATGATGGTACTGCTCAAAAATGAGTAAAATAATCATTTACTAGTTAATTAATCAGAGGTGTGTTTTTGTTCTAGGAGAGGTCCCGTCTGGGAACGACATTCATCAGTATTCCATTGCCCAGTGCATCAGCTGTAGACTTAGTTGTATCATCTCCTCGTAGTTCTAAGAGTCCACTCCATTCAGGATCTGTGCATGTGCTTCACTTGACAAAGTAATGGAAACATTAATTGCAGGCAGATTGGCAAGCAGCCTTTACTCTGTCACTTCCAACAGTGCCGCAAATTAGGTTTCAAGAAAAATAATTCATATTTTATTTAGTATAAATAAAGAAAACAAAAAATAAATATAACTATGTGAAAGTGCTACTGAAAAGGTTTAATTTGAAGTACTGCTCAGTAGCTTCCATTTGAAGTTCATAAAAAAAATGTCATTGAGGGTATTAATTTTTTTTGTGGGAGTCTGTTTTCATAGTTCAGAGACATGATTATTTTTGATAAACTACCATAAAATATTTAAATTTGATGTATTATAACAAAATTAATTAAGTGCATGCCTCACAATGATCACAGTCAAAATATTAAAGTATTATATAATAATTATTATTTTTATCCAACAATTTTCCATTTTTGTAGACTGTAATGAAACAGTCATTATTTTGATAACTGATATTTTCTGTTATTCAATTTATAATTTTATATTTTCTAATTCTACCTGACAAGGACCATTTGTATACATAATAAAAACTCAATTTTTTCCCAATTCAGCTTTTTTTATCAGTTGATAGGCAGACAATTTTTCTGTAATTAGACTATTATTAGATGGTCTTTTGAAAAACAAATGCCAACATTATCACAGAACACCATCTATTAACTGTCTTATCTCAGTGTGAGTGTGAGTGTCTGTTGGTAAACAGCACCATCCATCTTAAATAAAAAGGTTTAAAAAAAAAGGTCAGAAAGGTTTTTCTTATAATGGAAATTAGTGCACTTTGTTTATCCAGCTAGTTTACAAGCACTCTACTCAAAAAATTTTAAAACAAATGATGCAAATACAACATGACAGGATTAAATACCCCAACTGGCAGGAGGCTGCACCAGTTGGATAACCAGTTGGCTGTAACCTGAGATCAAGCCTTTTTGAGGATTTGTAAATTTGGGATGGCAAGGAACAAATCCAGCAAGTGGTTAGAAATGTATGAGGACTTAAACCAGGGGTCCACGTGGCTGAGGATTTGAACTTGGGACGAGCAAGAACAAATCCAGCAACTGGCCAGAGTGGGACTTGAACACGGGACCACCGGATTGCAAGTCTTATATTAATAATACCCCTCCTTTATATAAAATCACCCAAACTCTAGAGAGAATGGGTACAAGCTTTGGGTATAATGCTTTCTGGGATTGATTTTGGTGGACAGAAAATAGTGGTGATTGGTCAAGGGGTATAAAATGTAAAGGCAACTCTTAACCAATCATAAGTAATGTTTGTCCAACGAAACGATCCCAGAACCTGAACAAGCAAAAGTGAGGCCCTCCTGGCAGGGTGACAAATTATGTAAGCTTGGCATGCGCGAAAAACACTACTCAGGAAGATGTCACCCTTCAAATGTCGCATTCTGCACCCACTCCTTTAATATCCCTGAGGAAAATTGTGGATGGGACTACTCAGTCTACTATTGAGGGAAATGTTAATATGTCTTTTTGACGTCTTTTTAATGATAAGGGTGCATCCAAAAGCTGCAAATAATTTGACTTTTTTGGAAACAGCATACTGTGGTATGAGCAGGTCATCATGTTTGTTGGACAAACCAGTCAGGCATACATTACACTGACTTTTACTGGGGATACTGTGGTATGAGCAGGTCATCATGTTTGTTGGACAATCCAGTCAGGCATACATGTGCAGTACACTGACTTTTACTACGCCATTAGCAAGGCTAATCCCGCTATTGATATGAAAAATGAGCTTTTTTATTCTCATTCAAACAACTCATTCTCATAAAATAGTTTTTTTTCCACTTCACCTTGTTTTGAAAGTGTGAGAGTTTTTGGAACTCAAAAGGGCCTATTTCTTCACTTTGCACCATGTAACTCAGTGTTTAAAAGACAGTTTTGGTGGTTTATTTTTCCAATCATGTCTGGCCTTGCAAAGAAGTTCAAATTTAGTCAGACATTTTCCTGACTGACTATTCACTATGCCTGATTCACAGAACTATTAGCTACTACTTCCCCTTGTCAAGCGGACAAGTACAAACAATCCATAATTCTTCTTTTAGTCATATTTTAATATTACATTTCATAATAGTTTAGTCTTACTTCAAAGTAAGTATAATATGGCACACTGCTAAAAAATATTTTGAATGTGTGATAGAATACTAAACTTACTTGTTAATAATAATAATTTAACAGCAATATACAGCTCCATAAAATAATGTACAATATAAAACTTATACTTACATAGAGCTATTATTTTCCTTATAAAATCTCTCATTAATTTTACCACTTATTCACTAACCGATGAACAATCATAAAACTGTCATATGATTTTAATCTATTATTTGTAATGAAATGCAACTCCTTCTAATCCTTGTCAACTCAATTGAAGATACCTTTTTGGGGAATGGGAAAAACTCTCCCAACCTTTGTTACATCTCTCAGTGCATGCAACATGGACGGTAAATGTGGTTGTCTGTATTTTGCGTTACTACAACCTGCATGAGTCCTTTGATACCTGTTCAAAACACCAAGAGATGTAAGAAGCACTTTACTTAACTCATTTTGTTGATCCATACTACAAGTTTCAGAATATTCCTTTTAGATTCAAGGCCTGTGTGCTTTGCACTCTGGCCATAGGAAAATAACTTGCATATAATTATTCATAGTTGGACAGACCACAAACACGTCTATTAAGAGGCAAAAAATTGTGATATTGTAATTAGTGAGATAAAGTAAATCAGGAACCTATGTTGGAAGATGCCTTTCATAATTTATGAATCGACATTAACAAAAATTTAACTGCCACAAAAATACAGCAAACACACCTCAAGCCCTACGGGCCTCATTAACAACCAACAAAGAAAATTTTAAGATTCAAAGCTATCAGTACCTTATGAGTAAGATGCCCTAGGGAACACTTGACATATCTCTTTTTCCCTTAAGAATGAAGAATTTCTTGCATAATGTTTCCTCTTTTAATGTTCAGTTTATTTATTTTGGCATGGTTCAAAGGACACTTTAGTCAGCTTTGTCAAACTGTGAACTGAGTACAGCAAAGAAGCATAATAACATTGAATTTTCATCATCTTGCTAAATGAAGTGTAAATGTCAAAGAATATAAATATCACAGTCATGCCAGCTCAAGTGCATCCCATAAACTCGACTACTGAACTGAATAATTATTTGAAAATTGAATCTGTTGGTTGTTATTGTTACAAGATTCTTTTTGGCATTCCTGCATGGATAGTGAGAAGTAAATTCACATGAGAGATATTATTTCAACCAGCAAGCTCAATTTTCTTCTTAAATTTAATATAAATGTCTTCAGACAAATTTTATTTACTCAGACATCTGAATAGAAAGATTTTTCAAACTGACCAAATACATAAAATGAGTCCCAACTTCGTCAGTTTATTGTGCATGCCAGAATGAAGATTTGAATTCAATGGTAGTAGAGGCAATGACAAAAGGATTCAATTTTCCAATATTCAAATAACATTATTGACTATGGTTGGTTATCACTAAGCTTTTCACTCTATGAGCCATTTAAGCAGACTGTGATACACCACAACACGGAGTGAAAGAGTTAATATAATAACGGAACAAAACTTTTCCAGTTGACAGCTATGTAAATCACAAACAAAGCCCTGTAAAATCAGTTTACTATTCCTCTGGAGACCACAGCATTATCCATAGTAATTGCAGTAACTCCTACTAAGTTCTCCTGGACTCCGGCTATGCTGACACTTGACGTAGAAAGGTGGTGGGGTGAATTCACAAGACTACCTTCTCCACCATTTTGTACCATGGTTGGAAGTGGGGAACTCTGTAGAGATGGACTGCCTTGCTGGATATTAGTGTACATGGGAGACAGATTACTGACCGGGACTGTTTCAACTTGTGACGACACGGCTGACGCCATCATCGTCGGGTGGGATGTAACAACCGAGGAACTTTCAGATGCGGACGCTGAACTGATCTGACTTGCTGACGGGGGTATTGTTACAACCACCATTGTGGTTGGTGTGCCTGTTTGTGGTTGTTGTTGAATAGCAACAGTTCCTGGGATGACTGTGGTCCCTTGTACATTTGGTATCGTTATAGTCGTGGGTAAAGCCACACCTGGTGGTACAGCAACAGTTGCACCAGGTGGTACTGTCTGCATTTGAACAGCTCCACCTTGCATTACCGCCTGTACAGTCACAGGAGCTGGAGCTATGGGAACAGTTGCTAACTGACTGGGGACTAAATTTTCTGGCCAGAAACGCTGAGCTGGGCGACTTTGGATTTTTGACTTTTTAGCCTTAGGTCCTTCGGGATTACTGGCATCCAACATGGGTTGAAGAATACGACGTCTTGCATTAATGAACCTATTTACACAATAATACAGAAAATTTTTCACAAAAAAGGCAACAAAGTGACACTCAAAAGAAGCAAAAATTCTTTTGTTAATTAAACCTTAACAATCACACTAATTTTAATGAGTGGGGGAGTGAGAAGAGAAAGAGGTGCTTTATACTCTTAGTTCTTTTCCTAGTTGTCCAAGGCTTAATCTGATCTGAACCTTACTGTGAAGTACCAGTATTGCTCAAAATCAATTTTCTCCTAACAATATCCATAGACTCTCATGAGCAAAGTCTATGAGAATCAACAAAATGATCACAAAGAGAAAAATATCTGATCTTTTACCAAATTCTCTCAACTAATTCTTCAAGGAAATGTATGGAGATCAGTTCGGAGAATTTGTATGTGAATATTGGGACTTAAAGGGTTAACAAATAGCATAACGGTCAAAAGACAACAACAACAATAATAATGTTATTATTTTGGATAAGAGTGCAAAATCACAACAGCATGCAGAAGCAGATTATTACAATAACCGGCTTTATTATAACTCACTTACAACTCACCAGTTATTGACTTGAAGAATGGTAAGATTAGTTTGAGCTGCAATACTTCGTTTTTCATCTTCAGTGGGGTATGGATGCTGGCAAAGAAAAAGAATTAATGAGTGTGTAAAACAACTTTTTGGGCATAAAAAAGCTAACCCCTGCCTTCAACCAGGCTATATATTTCCATCAGGAAAGAAGGATTTCCATTAGGGAATATAAAAAGAAAACGAAAAAAAAAACAGGAAAGCCATGGGGATAAGCTCCTAAACTAGCACAGGACCTTAAAAGCCAAACAAACTGTGGGGCATTCATTGAGGGATTGTTGGAAGAGGAAATACTCCAGTTTTTTACCCCCCAAAACAAGCTCAGATGACTGAAAACACCACTACACGCATTATAGAGTGTGATGCATCAACCTTTTAGTTTAAGGTATCAGCCACCCTTCAGGACAGTCCGCGCGCGGATCGCTGTAGCGTTAGTTGTTTTTATAAAAACCCCTATAAACCATATATTTTTTAAAAGCTTAATAATTCCAGATTTTGGATTTGAACTAACAAAAACGATTTACTTAAATGTGTTTCGAAATTGGGACGCTTTGTGTAAAAGTACACGTCTCTATAAATCATGTTCCATTCCCGCCGGAAATAAACGGAAGAAAACAATTAACACCGCATTCGCTTCTCAACACGTTCCACTAAAAAACCGTGTCTCAGATTTTTGACAAGTGCGTTTGTTTTTCTTTTATTAGCAAATGAAGTTGGGGAAGGCAATTAGTCAACACTCTCTGTGGAAAAAAGCTCTAGCTTTAAAATGAAAAGGAGTATTAAAATTCGCAGACACGGTTTTGTAGAAGAGATATATGACATCACTCTGGCCAAATTTTAGCCAAATTGATTGAAAGGCTGCCGACTTGGACTTCAAAACGTACGAGTCGATCAGCAAAATTTTGCGTTCGGAGATAAAATAGAAAATACATTTTTGGCGGCATCCTACCTGGAATGAGATTATAACACCTAAATGTTTATTCTGATTGATATCAGAGAGGGATCAATTTTCTCTAACAATAGGATTTTGACAGGTAACATGTAACAGGAACAAACTTTTTATTGCTATCAACATCTTCAAGTGAACAGTTTAATTCTCCGTTGGAAAACTTCCACTCTTTTACACCACGAGAAGCACGGTTTAATTCTTTCTCGATCGCCAGGCCAAGGAAACTAAAAAACTTTGAAGCCGCCGAATGCCCACCACCGATTGCTCGAAGGCCAAGAACTGACGCCCAGTTTATTGCAAACGCTCTGCTCTTCTCGGAAGAATTAAAAACAGAATTTGTCTTGTGCGACGGCCAGCTTTCATTCTCGCACTGGATTCTCCAGGTAGAACCAAGTCCATGCTTAGTCGCTACATTTTCCATGACTTGGACTCTTCCCTGGCAAAATCGACAAGATACAGACTCGTCCAGTTTCTCAAGCAGCTTTTCGCTCAATACGATAGCTCGACCGCTTATTGTTTTCCACGTTCCATCAGCAGATGGGGTCGATGAGCTTAATTGGCTTTCTTCATTTGGTTCCTTAAGCTGGATTTTGGAGCAGCTTGCACTCTCAGCAACTGCAGCATTTTTCGCTTTTCTGAATATCTCTTGAGCCACTTCTCTTGCTGATAAAATGAGCCTTTGTCGCTCTCTGCCAATTTTGCGGCCCATTCTTTGTCAAACTCGCTCTTGAATTCTTTTTCGATCTCGGTTTCGATGACTAAAACGGACACGACCTTTCTTTTTTTTTTTTTTTTTTTGGCGGCATTTTCACGAAGCAAACGCTAAATATCCACGGAGAATACTAAAGGCTATAAATAACGCGAAGACAATTCCAAGACGTTTTGTGTCGAAGCACGCTTTTCGGTATCACGTAACTAGTTCACAGGCAAGTTAATTGATATATGACACGGGTATGACAGAACTTGTTAACGATCAATTAAGATAATTAACGAGAAAAAATCTTTTACCCCCGATATCTTTCGACAGAAATAATATTTTCTTCTGATTTTTTTTTTAAAAGAAAGCTCTCAAGCATATCTATTTGAAAACGTTGAAACCTCAAATATGGAAAAATGGCAATTTTAAGGGTGGCTGATACCTTAACCCGTGTCGACAGTTAGCATACATTTTGGATCATACAAGAAGCTTTCAGCGGGTTATTCATGGAGAAACAACCCCCTGGAATATGCATCGACGTCTTCAATTACAAGGCCTTAATGTTATTTTTTTCACATGCAAGAGTTTCAGAAACAAATTCAGACAACTTTAATAAATATATATTTGTCCCCAATGATTTTCTTGTTTACCCCTAATATTCATCAGACAGGCACGGATCTAGGATAAATAATGACCAATTTTCGAAATGAGCGAGAAAGGCCAAAGCTTCTAGGGGGTCTGGGGGCATGCTCCCCCGGGAAAACTTTTTGGATTTTTCCTGTCCCTTTCCTGGGTTTCTGAGTCATTTACACAGGATACTTATTGGCTGGCTCCATTCTCCTCACATTGCAAATCGGCGGATTATTTAATCTCTCAGTTTCAACAAGGACAGCTTTTTTGTATTGAAAATGTATTATATTAAATATAAAAAATCTGACCAATTTCTGTAAAATGGTGGAGACTGGTGTGGATCTGTGCCTGTCTGCGGGGGACAAAAAATTTAATGCTCAAAATAGTCAAGCCCTCAACACATAAAAAATGTTCAGCAGCACAGATCCACAAATATACACAACTTAAGTGATTTATTATCATCCACTTACCACAAGATGTTGAAAAAGCCAAGTCTTCATAATGTTTGTTGCTTGTTTAGGTAAGACACCCCTTCTTGTTTTTTTCTTATCCGTAACCTCTGTGGGTGAGTCAAGGGCAGGGAGTGGAACACTTGATGGAACAGTTATTTCCGTTGGAGATTCATCTCCTGAGGAATGCGTCTGGGGCCGAGAAGGTGTCACAGTCTCAATAGTTGGCGTGCTCACGTACGTCACAGTTGGCGGCACTGAGCTGTATGTTACTGTCGTAGGTACTGTGGTATAAGTTACACTAGTGGGTACTGCTGCTTGCTGAGTAAGCTGTTGTGGGACTTGTGCTATGACAATCTGTTGACCAGGGGCTACTCCCTGGGGAACATATGCCACTGTTGTGACTTGCTGTTGCAGTGGAGTGCCAATGACACTTACAGTCGGGGTTGCGCTGGCGACAGTGCAGGGCGTAACAGCTGCAGGTGCTGTGTAATATGCAACTTGCTGCTGGGGAATAAACGTTGGCTGGGGTGCTTGAATTGGGGTTGTCGGTGTCTGTGGTTGCACATTTGCATTCAAGACATTCACCGCAGGGGAGTAAGTTGTTTGAAGAGGACTGCGAAGTAAATTTTCACTCTGCATTTTCCCTTTCAGGCAAGCAATGTAACGTTGGCAGAAATCTTTGCAGAGTTCATTGACTTTTTCAAGCTCAAGCAGATGAATTCTGAGAACCTGGATTGCTTTGATCATCTGTTGGTACAAAAGCAGCTATGCTCAGAACAAACGCTGCACTTAAACTGTATAAAAAATTGATAACAAATTTGGAATAAATTGTTTCTTCCATAAAATGGGAATCACGGTTGATGGAACTTCACTGAAATTCCATAAGATATTGTTTTCTAATAAAATATTAAGGCCAAGCCTGAACACAGTTTTCATGATTATTTACCATACAAGACAAAAAAGGACGGATCTACAATAAATGCCTTCAACAACATATTTGCATATTATGTAAATATTATATTGCTTTGTTATTATCGCAATCCTGTTAAGGAAGACTACAGTCAGTTCTTAATTTAAGACCCTTGACTAAGAATTAATATTAATTTTACGAAAATGCGCAAGAGTAAAGTAATTAAAATTATCAACACTATAAACGAGGAAATGGCCAACGGAAATGTCGCATATTTCACGCGACGCACAAGTAGCTGTAAGTAGGCAGGAAAACGGAAATCTTCTGATGATCCGCAAAAGAATCTGGTCTTCCTCTTAAAAATGGATAATAATTTTGCACTTTTACTTGTAAACATAGCCTTGAAAACCGTTACTTACTAACTAAGCTTTCGTATCAGCAAGTTAATATAACGTGACTAGAGAAAATATCCTGGTTTTTATCGAATGTTTCATTCTTGCTCCTGTAGTGTGGGATTTCCTTTCGGCCGCCATATTTTAAAAGAAGCTTAACATAATCGGGATTAAAATTTGCCCGAAAGAAACGCAATACAGAAAGACCTTTTCATGGTACCTGCAGAATAATAAACGCCGCGTCTGTGTCTTTATTTGAAGGATGATGCTCTCCGTTTTGAAATCCGCAACGGGTACCATTGAAAACAATTAATAACGACGAAAAGATCGCGATGAAGGAAGACGACACGAGTATCAGTCGATCGCGAAAAACAAGGGCTTTATTCCAGTTAGCTGATTGTGAAATATGTATCTTTTAATAAGTTTAATCCACGAGGGTATCTCGTTAAAGACTAAGAAATGCTTTAGTAGAGGTGGCACGAAATTTTTGTGTTATTGAAGATACACAGCTTAACTTGATAAACAAGAGATGAAGAGTTTTCAAGATGCTATACTAGAGCCTGGAAACGGTTTTGACTTGAATACAAAGAATAAAAAAACTATGCTCACCAAATTATCGAGATCCCTATCCTCCGTGTAGAAAGACTTTCCCTCTCGATTCATCTGCAGAATGCCATTCTTTATTTCGTTGTCGAAAGCGTTGGCTGGAGTCAATTCGCACGTTTGAGTTGACTGCTCGCATTTCTCGAACAGTTTAGCCAGTAAAGGCAAGAGCGGATGGCGATATATAGCTTGTTTTTCCGCTTCCATGTTGGTAATCTGTTGTATATCGACCGCTTGAACCGCTAGCTGGGCTTCTTCGTAAGTTGGAGGCATCCTCTCTTGTTGTGTCTGTTGTATAGATATAGCTGCATACTGTCCGGGACCAGTAATGTTTTGCTGCGGAGTTGGAAGCATGTGAGTTTGCGTTCGATTCGCGAGCCCTTCCATTCGGCCGCTTCTACGAAGAGAGAAACAACAAGGTTATTCGAAGCAGACATTGTCAACGCTCACCCCTCCAGGAAGACCAAATGAAATGATAATCGGACCAGTGTTAATGTGTTTGTATGGGAGGTTGAAAGACTTACAATTGGTCACTATTAAAAAGAAATGCACGAGGCGATGGAACAGCGACGGTGTCACTCACTCGTCAACGTCAAAAAACCCTTTTGGCGCGGCCTTGCTTCGACTGATTGACAGCGCCAACCGACGAAATTTTACATAATTATGCATTGTGTTCATGCTAATTTATACCTGCTGCTCACTAGGGAATAATTGATGTATGCATAATTAATATTGTTAAGATCAGCTGCACAAAGGACACCAGGTTATTTATTGTCGCGCTAGTATTTTAAAAATAATTTCATGGAAAGAGACTGGCAAAAGTATTTTCGTGTCTTTATAGAGTTTTTCTCTAGCAGGAAAGTCACGCCTGGTAAAGACAAGATCTTATGGGCAACAGGCTCCTAGGAAAGATGCATTCCACAGAAATCTAGAATTTCTACAAGCGGCTATAAAAAGTGGGAGGTACTCCCAAGTGTTTTGACAACAAAGGTTTCGAAACGGGTGGCTTCAGTACAGTCTGTGGTTTGCATAGTGGGCGTATATTTAGTGTGCAATTAATATTGTAGGCAGTTTAAGGCATTCATCATTTTAAAACGAACTTCGTATTTACTTGCTTAACCCGCCCGATTGTACCGGAAGAAAGGAAAAGAAACAAAACTTTCCCATGTACCCTGGGCCTGTTGGAACAAACTTTGTTTGCTAATTACATTATATCGACCAAAGGAGTTTTTTAAAACTCGAGGCACGGATCAAGATTAAAAAAATGTTTGTCAGAAAAAGGGACCGTGACTTCAAGTTTTGTAAAAAAAAAATTCTCTACAAATTCCCAATTTGCAGCTATGGCAGAGGAGGAAGAATTTTTGCTTCAGCATAGAGGCTTAGGCTTTTCAAGAAGGGCCTGCAGGGAATCACTTAATTTTTAAAAACATTCGAACTCTCTAGGGCCCAGCCGGTGAAATGACGTCTTGAGTTGTTAAACATGTTATTCAAAGGAGCTTTTTGAAGTTGACATTTCCATTTTACCGTGATGAATAATAATTCAGCGGTAAATTAAGTCTGAAACTCAGAATAAAGTTCTTTTAGGCTAGACAAAGCCACTGGTTAAAACTTGAGGGGGCGGAGAGGGTGCACGATGCTTCTCTGTGTAAAATCAAAGGCAACCGAACTTTATATCCGGCGAATTAGCAGTGATATTTAAAAGAACTGATTTCTTGACAAGAGATAAATCAAAACCGCTTCAGAATAAAAGACACATTTGTCATCATTGATTGATTATCAAGTGTCGTCCGTCTATTACGTTATTAGTGCTGCTTTCAATATTCAAATGCATACCGCCTATATTTGCCATTGCTATGTAATATTTGTTCCGCAACCGACCAAAGGTCGGGATCAGACAAAAGGGCAATAAAAATTCTGAAAGACAATAACAATCGACGATGAACTGAATCATTCGAAACTAGAAAAAGAATCAAAAACAACTTTCCCAGCAGCCTGATTTTGATTTCCCTCTTTTAATCGCTTTTCAGTTTTTACCCTCCCCATCTAGTCCTTATCGCTATTAATTTCAACAGACACGGCAAATACTTTTCCTTTTCATTTTACCTTTCTTCAAATAAAATAATCAGATTTACTAGTTGCAGTCCTGGGGAGGCCCCGGGATTGCAGACTATTCTCTATCAGGTAACCTTGGGGCCCAGGGGGCTACTTCTGGGAATTCTTGGTGGGGGTGTGCCGCCTGGTTCTCTAAATCCTGACCGTGTTTCAGACCAAAAAACCTGTCATTTTCCACACCCGTTTTAAGACCTGGGGCCCGTTTCTCGAAAGGCCCGATAACGTTTCGGGTTAACCGTTCGAAGGTAAAATTTAAAATCAAAACCAGTTGAATAGTAGCAGTACAGTTCCTAGCTCACAAACCGGTCAATTTTGCTTTGTTAACTGATAATTTCATTGTATCATTTTCAAAATTATTGAAACTTTGATCTAGAGTGCAAACACGACAAACATAAAACGGCTTTAAGGCCCGAAACGTTATCGGGACTTTCGAGAAACAGGTCCCTGACCTCTAAAATCCATACCTGTTTTCAGACCTAGCCTTTAGGCAGAAATTAAGTCGTAGTTACTCAGATTAGAGCGCAAACAAAAGATGTCTTGAAAAGCATTTCCAATTGGCATATTTCTATTTCTTTCTTATTTATTTGGAATTGAAGCGGTAAATACGTTCACACGCTGCCGTAGTTCTCCCGAAAACCATACCCGATTCCAGACCAAAATGGACAAAGTGTGTACTCGTTTACAGACCGGAAAAGCCCATACCCATACCATTTGGGGCGGAACATACCTATATGACTTATATAAGGGAGTAAACCCCCCCGGGGGGCCTTGGGAGTCACTTTGAAGTCACAGAGAACGGCGCTAACCCATCCCACTAAGACCACGCGACCAGAGTGGGAGATATAAAAAACTGCTGCTTGGGACTTGCGGTCTGGCACTCGCAGATCAAGCGGAAAGTTCACAATAATTCGTTTACCGGTTCTTTCAGGAGCCCATCAAATGATGGGCTCCTGGTTCTTTTTTTATTCTTACATTTGCCACAACTGTCGGACTGAACTAATTTAGTTGTTCCCTAGCCTGACCCCTTCTTAGACGTCTGACAATCAGGCTAGTTAGGTCCCGGGATTTTTAGCATAATTCAGGCCTTCTCCGACGGAATCACATATTAAAAGGAATGAAAAAAACGCATTATTTTCCCGAAACTGCGTTATCAGAAGTAAGTCCTCAGTTTCAGCTAAAATGAATAATTTATTCGTTACTTAAAAGAAAACGCGTGACTATGCAAACAAAATATCTGAGTGGTTTTTCGTGACGTTTCTATGTATGTATCCAGCCTATGCAATTCAGGAAAAAATAACTTGTAAGTAAAGCTTCTGATTTGTAACCATGAGTCACATAGAAGGTCATTGTTTGCCATCCCTTGTTACAGCTTATTCCAGTTTTGGCAAAGTTTGTATTTTCAGCCATCCAAATGGCTTTCCAAGTACGCCAGACTGTTCTGTTAACAGCTTTGTTGTTCTTCTCGTTTGATAGGATTGCAAAATCGCATGCAACAAAGCCCTCCAAACACGGCGAAGTTCACCGCGCGAAAAGTCAGATCGACTCGTTGATTTACAAGTTGACTTTAGATTTGAAAACTTTTAACGAAAAGGAAACTAAGGCCGAGGCTATGCAGAAAGATGCCTCGAAACTGGCTCGGGTCGCAGAAGAGGAAATCGCCCTGTTGAGGCCAGTTCAACATCTTTTGGAAAAGCTTGCAAAGGGGAACTCCTCGAATGGAAAAGAACACTGTATGGCCTGGCCAGGCGGTAAAATACGGATACAAATTAAAGCTGCATCCCCTCTGCCTAAACACTTCACTATAAGTGTACCAGGTAAGACGTCGATATTTATCCAGTCAAGTAAAATCATTTGGCGTTCTTAATTTTTCAGGCAAAAATCAGAACAAATAAATTTCTAGCTACTAAAATATATTACGGAAACAAACGAAATTTAATGACAACAAATATGGAACTATTAAGTATGAAACGTTTAGGAGAAAAAATAATATAAGAAAAAAAATTGGTTCAGAAGGGTAATGGGTTGCTTAGTTAGAAAAAAATACCCACACTTAAACTGGCAAAATTGTTGAAATCTCGTTAGACGGTTTTGGTAACCGATGAATCTTCCACTGGTTTTCAGCGTAATTAGAAATACCAACATGTGAAAATTTTAGAACAAATCAGGTAGAAGCATGAATGTCCTATGTTTTGTGAAATTAGGTATAACAAATTTGAAACTTACACTGTAAATTGGAAAGATCTGCTTCGGGTCCAACTTCCAGTCAAACCCAGTAAGCCCCAAGTCTGATTAATTCTTTTGTTGAGCGATTTGAGCATTACAGCCCCATTATGGGGAGGGATCCAGGATTTTTTTTTGGGAGTGCACTCGTCCCTCACAGCCCAATAAAATTTGGTTTTTTTTTTGCAGATCTATTCCAGCCCTTGAAACCCCTAGATCCAGCCATAAAAGGTCTATTCCAGTGCTGGTGGGTCCAAATTAGCCCAGACTAGGCCGGGGGGCTAAAACGATGTTTTTAGTTTACAGTATATTACGTAGTTCTGGTGTTTACGCCATTACAAATCATATCATCAAAAATTCTCATTCTCGAATAGCACTTCTTATCCTGTTTTAAATTGGAATTATTTGCCATTCTTTCTTTGCAGTCAAGATCAGACTCTCAATTTCCGTCCTTACACCTGAACAAAAATGTAATAGTTTTGAGTACATTGTGACGTTTCTATCCACAGTTAATCACCGAGAGCTGCTAGACAACGGACGATTGACACGTGAAGATGGCGAAGACTTGCAGGTCTATTACCATGACAACGGACAGCAACCGTCCCAAATTGACCGCGTTATCAGTGGCCTGGGAACAAAATCAGCAACTGTCCACTTTCGACTGCAGGCTCCGATATCATCCAACACTGGTGATGACGTGTCTTATTTTTTGGTCCTCGGTGCTTCGGTCAGCGGAAGTGCCATGGATGATCCTGCCAAAGTGTACGCATTTTTCGACGATTTCTCGAGCGCAACTTTAAAGAAAGAATGGGTGAAAAACTGGGGGAAATGGAGCGTGCAAAACGGGAGGTTGCTGGGAGACATGAGGCAGAGTAAAGATTTAACCAGAGATAATATGGAAGTCGGACTGTATCTCAAATCAGGCTTTCAATGGAAAGATGTTGAGGTCGAGCTTGACTTAATGGAAAAAGGAGCATCGAATAGCTGTCCTGGGCCATTACTGCGCCTCAGTAATGCAGGCCTGTCCAAAACGACGGGTTGGTGGTTTGAATACTGCATAAACGCTGGCAGAACCTGTACGATAAGACCCTTTGTCAATAACAACGACGCCAACTGGAAATACAATGCAAAGTTACCCACGGCTTTCAAATTAAACAAGTGGTTTCATTTCAAATATCGAGTGATGGATGACCGATTTTCACAATGGGCGAACGGTAAACTTGTACACGACAACATAAAAGTGAGCTCGAAATGGATGGTATCTACAGGAACATTTGGCCTTGCCTCTCATCGCTCTCCCCAGCGTTCTAAAACACTTTATGACAACATTAAAGTGACTTTCGTAGTTTCCACACCCCCTAAAGTCACCCTGGGATCTTTCCAATCATTCGTTCCCGCGAAAAGTGCCCTGCTAGGCGAGAAAAAGCTTCCCGCGGATTCATGCAAGCAGATCCATGATGCAAGTCTTGCGAGCAACAAACCGCGCGCTAAGAATGGAGTTTACTGGATCAAGACAGACCTCCAAGGCAGCTCGTCTGTGCAGACTTACTGCGACATGAAAAACGGTGGCTGGACCCTTGTCGGCAAAATAAGCGGACAAGTGGGCAACATTTACAGTAAATGGTTGGTGTCTAACCACAACACTGCATCGCTCAAGTCTCCAAAGATCACAGGACAGAAACAGTTTGCCTGCATTGACGCGCGCAGCTTAGCAGTAGATGAAGCATCCGCGGTCCTGTTGTCCAGCGGTGAGAGGATGGATGGGTTGGGGAGCAAGTGGGTCATGTGGAGGTTGCCTGATAGCAGAGAAAAAGACTCGTTTTGGCGCTACTCCGTTGGACCATCAACTGTAGGGGCAGCTGTACAAACACCCGTCATGGTGTACGCTTGGAATGGAAACAAAAAGGTAACAGCATTGATGATACGACTTGGCCTTTCCTTTCTCGAAAATATGCTGCACTGGGGGGTCCAAGTAGCCTCCCCGCAGACGTCCGTTGGGGAAATGAATGCGTGACAACCGAACCCCAACGGACGTCTGCGGGGAGGCTAGGGTCCAAGGGGACTGGAGCGCTCCCCACCCCTTCCCTAAAAGTCTGAATCCGGCACTGACCTGTGTTCTTTAAGCCCAAGTTGTGGAGTGGATAGCGTTATCCACTGCACAAATTTCTATCCAGTGAATAACGCAATTGTTTCCCCTACAATTGTTCATTTAACAATTTACTGAATGAGACTGAGTATGATAAAAAATTTGGCCCATTTCTCGGCATGGTTTCAGGATTTTTTCTTCTTGCAGATATTCATCAAAAAGTAGATAAAATCCAGCAGCCTCATTTCCAGGAAAATATACGATAAATCAACCTGGTATATTGCTCGCATCTTCCAAGTTTGATCAAAGACGGCTGATTATGAAGAATTTTGCCGGGAGAAATGAGCCAATCAGAAACGGCTAAATATTTTGAATGAATAATAAAATGATTTACCCGGTGGATAGCACTATCCAACGCTAAAGAGGAGATCTAAAGGAGGGCTTGTCGCTTCTAAATTCGGTGGCAAAACACTTGACTGAAGAGAACAGTCAGCCTTGAAATTCACACTCTATCTCAGAGTACATCTATCGAGCGGTGCACAAAATACTAGTTTATAACAAACAATCAGTCAACTCAAACCGGCTTTCTGTAAGTCTCTTGCCGATTTTTTTCTCCTAGGTCTGTCACCAAAACAAGTTTGGAATAAAACCTCTGGCTGGACATGGAGGTTCGTATCCTTACGCCTCTCTTGACACTGCCGGTAACACCAACGGAAACGACTACTGTATGTCTGTTGGGGTCATGACTAAAGGATCTACTGCGCATGGCTGGTCCCAGAATGCCGATGGTTACGATAGTCCAAGCACTGATTCTGATTGGCCGAACAGGTCATACAAAATCCAGTCTCCCCATCTGACGGTCTGGCTCAAGTAACCATGGTTACATTGGAAGATTTGCTTCGCACTACGAGTTAACAGAAGAGTGATATTTGGTGAAGGGTTGTAATGTTTGAGCGCTGGGAAATAGTTTCGCATTTTCGGATTTTGCTCTTATGATAAGGGACAGTTTTTTTTTGTTGAGAGAAAGACTTTGTTGGGCTGCTTTGTTTTGATTAGAGTACCTAAAGAACTCTAGGAAAAGTTTCTGTAGTCTTAAGGGTATCTTAAAGGTATTAAGAAAACGGGAAAGATCAAAAATAGGAAATCGTAAAAATGCTTTGGCATATGTTAAGCCTGTGCTGTGCTAAGCTACCAATACGAAAACAACAAACAACAACAATAAAAGGGTGCTGGGTAAACGGTGACTGAGTAGTTTTACTTTTAATTTACATGAAACAGGAGATCTACCTCACTTTGGAGTAAATATTAGCCTGAAAACAAAGTCCCGTTTTCTGTCTGCGCAAAAGGCAGTTAAATATCCAATTCCGTGAGGTAAAAATACCCTGCGAGCAGAGGTTTTTTTCTGACATGGCTTTTAGCATTTAAAAAGTCGTTCGTGTCGCTTGTTAGTCGCGTAGTTCTGCTCGCAGGGTACGCAGCTAGGATTCTCTGCATCTTGCCCTCTCGATGAGCTGACCGTATAAAAGTTAAGAGAACCATGAGAAAAAGATAGCCTGATTGGCTTACAACGGTCTTCCTAGCAAAGCAGCTAAGTGTCTCATTGTTTGTCAGGCTGAACTGAGTTGATAAAGTACGCTAACCGAGATGAAAAGGATAGCCATCAGTGTCAAAGCCAATCATTGATTTTTGAGAGCGTGTCAATGTCCAGCGTGTTATCCATCTATAAAACGTGCCTGCCACTCTCACTTTCTACGGTCCTCCCTCTTTCGTAAGCTATTAAATCTCTTATGTCTTTATCTAAATGCGCTGTCAGTTCTTCCATTAAAATATCCAAAGCCTAGAACGAATATAAATGGTTATCAAATATTGATTTCTCTGAAGAAATTGAAGAGTAACAATAAGGTCTTTCAAATGGCACGACTACTTCTCCAAAATACTGAAGTTTCTTTATAGTTCATCAATACTCCAATACGCTCCTCGGGGGATTCACCAGGGTTAACAAACATAAAAGAGGAACGATAAAAGATGTTTTATCGTTGTCGAGTTTCAATATTTTTAAGGCCTGTTTTGGTGAGTATTCCATTTAACCCTCATTTCTGTTCTTTGCACGAACTGCACGTAGGAGAAGTCGTTACGTCACGTTGCCATGCTCCCAAAATTTCTGAATGACAACAAACCGAAAAACGTCATTTAAAACTGTTTCCGACTTCATCGATCTCGTTCAGTTTCAGTTAATTTGTCAAATGGTGGCCAAATTTTCTGGGGTTAAATTCGACAGGACCGTATTTAAGTTTAGAAAAAGAAAAAAAAGGGTGTTGTGTTCACCTAGTTTATATAAAGCGGACGCGTGAAATTAGGAAGTTCACATCATAGTCCTGCTACGACGGCTAAGAAATGTACGAAAAAGCGTGAAAAAGCACGTGCAAAGTTGTTGTTTTGCTATCTAAACTTATTGCTTTTTTTTGCCGCTCTCGTTGTCCCCATTATTGTGATCCAAAAATTTTGCCACCATGGTAACATGACGTTATACGTCTCCTCTTTATTAACCCACATTTAATGTTGACACCTAGACTTGCCTACAAGTCGAGCTGAAATTTTTTCACGAGTGCGAAGCCAGAGCGGTAGATTTTTAATGTCTTCTGCGGCAAAAGCGAGCGAGAGGCCAACTACCGGAACCGGAAATGAGAATCGAAGGACTTTGAAAAGTCTACGTCGACACCGAAACTTGAACCCAGGCCGCATCGGTGAGAGGCAAGGGCTCTCCCCCTTGAACCATTTATGCTCCCCCAATAAGATATGCTGCTTCTGTTCTCGCTTCTGTTCCGACTTGGTAGTGAAAACCATCATGACTAAGTGCTTTCGTTAGCAACACACTTACCACACTCACTCACCACCATGCCTCACACTAATTATATGATCACACTCAGTTCTAAAGCTTAAAGGGGTAACCGGTATGCCACACTATTTGCTGTCTTTATACAAAAGTGAAAGCGTCTCTTCATATCAACTGAATCCCAGACATCTTGGCCTAGTTTTGTTATAGGGAGAAGAAGTCGTTACGTCACTTTGCAATGGTATAAAAATTTCTGGATGACAACAAACCGAAAAAATCACTTAAAAGGTAAATTCGCACTGTTTCGAACTTTGACGATCTCATTGAATTTCATTTAATTTGTCAAATGTTGGCGAAATTTCTGGGGTTAAATTCGAAAAGACCGTATCTATGTTTAGAAAAAGAAAAGAAAATTTTCGCGTTGTGCTCACCTTCTTCGCAAAGCGGGTGCGTAAAAGTAGGAAGTTTCACGTCGCAGCCGTGCAACGACGGCTGAGAAACGTACAAAAAAGAGTGGTGCACGTGCAGTTGTTGTTTTGGTGATATAAACCTATTGCTTTTTTCCAGTTCTCTTTGCCGTCGAAGGCGTCGTTGCTTAAGGTCCCTTTTAGTTGTGATCAAGAAATTTTGCTACCATGGTAACATGACGTCACACTTCTCCTTCTCCATTGAATTGAAGATTACATTTAGGGATTGTCGCCTATTTGCTATGGATGGCAAGGATGGAGATGGATGAAGTTTGAACTAACTGAGCCAATGTTTTAAAGCATTAATGCTACGCCTGCAAAAATCACCAAATAAAGTATTATGGTTAGTGTTTCCTGATGAAATTTGTTTGATATCAATATACTTCATAACTATACGGGAGTATTTTGTGTGTGGGGAAACACACTAAGTAATAACTTCAGCAAAGAAGCTTGACACAGCCCCTTTAAAAGTTGTAGACAGAATGCTGTTCTTACCACATCACAAAATATTTCTTCATGAAGTTCTTTCACTCCCACGCTGGTTTGTGCTGCTTCTTGTTCATCGCCTATAGCTAAATACTGATGAGTCAGAATACCACAGATGAGACCTGTAATTACAAGCAGGTGTATTAGGCTGTGTTCACACTATACCGGACGACTCTTACGCCGACAGAAGTGAAAATTATACCGCATAGGGCTTGTGTTCACATCTAAGAAAGGCGCTTTCTGTAACGGAATGAAGTTGCGACACGCCGATCTCGAAAGTGAAGCGTATCATATTCAATAGGTTCTGTGTCACACCATTGTGATTTGGCAATACAGATTTCCTCTAATTTTACTACTCTGCGATTAAGAAATTTCTTCGGGCAAGAATTGGAAAATCGGAAGAATCGGAGAAACGTAAAACGAAACTCGAGAATCAAACTAATCGTAGAATCGTAACTGAATTATGGATCACAGCTTCTATTATACTATTCTCCGATGTACTACTTATCGGACCCTTCTTGGTTCTCACCTACTTGCTCCCTGCGGGGGGAGAGAGAGGGAAAAAGAGGGATGAGTAGGAGAGTGGGAACAAGTTGCACAGGAACAGGAGAATCATGGAAAGGAGGTTCTTCACAATAATCGATTTACTTAAATAAATAATAAATAAATAAACAACTAAATGACGATTAAGATGTAGCACATCCACATAGTGGTTTTTTGTCTACCTGATTCCTGGTTGAATTAGAATTTGGATATGTTGGTTTTTAGAGAGCGCGAAACCGGAGTACCAGGTGAAAAACCTCTCGGAGCAAGGGAGAGAACCAGCAACAACGGAGCCAACCCACATATGGCGTCGTCGCCGGGATTTGAACACAGGCGATAATGGTGCCGAGAGAGTTGTCACCGCTACACCAACCCTGCAACCACAAAAAGGTGTTGAGAAATTTATCAAACTTGAAACAGTAGAAAATGCTACCGTATTGAATGAAAAAATAAAGAACAAACGTCTGAAACATTATAAGAAGGTATAACTAAGACAGAAGATACGAAACATAGCACAGATGGACAGGCTTGAATAAGATTAAAAATTTCGTTTCGCTGTTTTTAACGTCTGATTTAATGCTTTGGAGACATATTTGTCAGACACGAGGCTGTGATCTTGTGGTCATTTACAGATAATAGGGAGTTTAAGCAACGACGACGCCGACGGCAACGAGAACGGCAAAAAAGCAGTAGGTTTCTATCAACAAAACAACAACTTTGCCCGTCACTAGTCTGCTATACAGCCGTTTTCAGGGTCGTCACGCAACGCTCCCAGTGGGGAGGAGCATTGCGTGACGACACTAAAAACGGCTGTGTAGCAGACTAGTGCATCACCCTTTTTGCACATTTTTTTGCCGTCACTGTACTACTACAGCGTGAAACTTGCTACTTTCACGTTTTGTGGAGGACGGAAACACGAGACAACGACATTCATATTTTTTTCCTGAACTTCAATACAGTCTTTTAGAATTCAAATATAAACCAATTCGCCAACATTTAGTGAACTGAACGAGATGGAATAAGCTTGACAAAATTTGAAAAAGCGCGGATTTACTTTTCATGTGACGTTTTCATACCCGTCGCCATTGCCGTCGTATTTGCTTAAGCTCTCTAATGTCTTCGGTAACGTTGAGTTCCATCATGAATATGCACGCCTATGCTGTTGTATTGTAAACTGGCTATATATATAATTCCGGACGCCCGCCCCCTCGATACATTTGAATAACAAGATAGCTGTGACGGTAAGACGCGGTATATCTAAACGATCTCACGAAAAAATAGGGGACTGTGAACAGTCTACTTGTATTGTGTAGTATACTAAGGGGCGGGAGTGGGGAGGGAGAAGGCAATATACAAGCCTCGATAACAACTTGTCTTAGCTGAGGTTCCATAACCTCGTCGATAATGCTGTTAATAAGTGAATCATCTTGAGATTGCTATGTCGCTTCAAAAACCTACAGCACAAGTTTTGGTCTAAATTAATATGGCTAAAGAAAGTTTTAGTTTGCCAAACTAAGAAGACAAAATAACAAAATGAACATCTGCATTAGGTGAACAAGGCTGCGCACCAATACGAATGGAGCCTAGCGCCCTGAACATGTGAAATCCAGGGTGCCAAGTGTACAATTTCCGTGAAAAAAAACTAAGATTTTCTGAACGTTAGGCGCCAGGAGCCATCTGCCTTTGCTAGAGCACAGCCCTGGTGAATGTGAAAACTACAAATGGTGTAATTTAGTTAGTTTGAACGTCTGAAGGTGTGTCAAGGGTTTGAATTTTTCTCCCTTTTCTGGGCAAGTCATATCAACATCTCAAGCGAATTAACAGTTATTACAGCTGAGTGCGTTTTAATCAGAAACGGCAAAATATTTTGAATGAATAATAAATTTTGATTAGAGTAAGTAATCTTAAAAACAAAAGTGCCGCATCGTAATTGAGAATAAAGCCTAAATTGTGTAGTTTTGCTATGTCAAGACTTTTCCCTACAATAATTTGTAGGTAGTGCAACCTAACAGCTTTTTAATTTAGAGGGTATTACATTTTTCCCGCTACCTATTAATTAAGCTTTTGCGTCCAAACGCAAAAAATAAAAGAGTGATGGGTAAACGTTTTGTTGAGTGTTTTTTAGAGAGAAGAAAAAAGAGATCTACTCTCTTGGAAGAAAATGAAAACGCAAACGTTTATTTCAGGAACTATGAAGCGACCGGAACCCACCTGTCAGTCTCGTTTCAGTTTCGCTTCATGGCTCATGGTAAGGGACGGACCATTAGAAAACTTATGGGGGGGCGGGCGAAGTACAAAAAAAATATTCGCGCAAGGGAAAATGAAATGAAAAAAAATTCGTGCACGCCAATTAACCCTAAAAAATATTCATGCTATGGGCTAAAAAAAATTCATACAAGGAATTTGATAACGAAAAAAAATTCCTGCGGCTCGAAAATTCCCCTCCCCCCCCATAACTTTTCTAATGGTCCGTCCCTAATTACAGATGATTTTGAGCATTCAAGTAAATCCTTATTTCCATATGATCAATACGATATCTGAAAGTCTCATGTATTTATGCCATCGCAGTGATTACACAGAATCAACGCTTCAACAAGTTTTCAACGCAATGATTAAATATAGTTCAGTTCCAATTTAAAGCAGTTTCCGTATATCGTTACTTTTTTAGATCACTGGACTGCTCACTTTTGTTCAGTTTGTTGTAATCCGACAAAGAGGCCGTGATCGTAACGATCACGGAATTATGGCTTACATAGCTTCCTTCTAGAGATAAGCCTGATAGGAGAAAACATTTTAGGGGGCCCTTGCTCCCCCCCTCTCACAGAAACGCCTGATACTCAGGCTACTTGGTGATAAAGCGTTCCTTTTTTAGCGCTTCATTTTTTGCTCCGGGGACAAAAAGGGGGTACAATTCAATGGCTACAGTTGTTCTTACATCAACTCAGAGAATACAGCTGGGTTTGTTTTTGTTATCGGCGGAGATTCAGAACCGTGACACAAGGACTACTTCAACACACCAAGGCTGGCCGTTTTTTATTGTGATGATCGTAGTTGAAACCGGCAGCTTTTACAATGTAGGCTGGCCTCATGATTTTGAACAAAGTTGTAGCTTGATATTAAGAAACATGACCTTCACCAAAATTACCCCACAATATCACCCGCGTATTGTTTCAGTTTATTTTTCCACGCATCAGATCATATCAATAACGTAAGGCATGTAAAGCCAGTCAGCTAAATTCAAAGTTCAGTCTTTCCGAATTTAATGCACATAATAAAATGTGCAAGTTATTGTTTATGTATCAAACTGCGTGACCCATATACAAACAACAACAAAGTGAGCGTGAGCTTTTTGGTGACGTCTGAGTACGTAACCAGTGTATACAATTCACGAAAAAATAACCTGAAAATCTATTGTAGCTTCCAAATTCTCCGACAATCATGATTCATTCAGTCATTTGTCAACCATTCCTTTGTATAGCCAACATATTGATTTACAATTGCCAACTATTGCAGTGAGTCGTATTCGCCGCCTTCGAAATGGCTTTCCAAGTATGCCAGGTTTTTCTGTTAATCGCTCTGTTGCTCCCCTCGTTTGATGGGCTTACAAAATCCCAAGCCACAAAGCCCTCCAAACATGGCGAAGTTCACCGCGCGAAAAGTCAGATCGACTCGTTGATTTACGAGTTGACTTTAGATGTGAAATATTTTAACGAAAAGGAAACTAAGGCCAAGGCTATGCAGAAAGATACCGCGAAATTGACTCGTGTCGCCAAAGAAGAAATCGCCCTGTTGAGGCCAGTTCAACATCTTTTGGAAAAGCTCTCCAAGGGGAATACTTCGAGTGGATATCAACCTTGTATGACCTGGTCAGGCGGTAAAATACCGATACGAATTGATGCGGTATCCCCACTGCTCGAAAACATCACTATAAGTGTACCAGGCAAAGATAAAGATTTTTTGTCCCGAATTTATCAATTGGATAAAGGCATTCATGTTTCTTTTTTTTCCCCGCAGATCGAAGCAAAAAAAGTTCTTTTGAGACCTACTTTGAGCGAAGTCAAGCCAACTGATGTAAACAATAAGAAATTGTAAATTCCATACATTTGCGTTTTGAACTCTCAAAATTTAACATATAAGAAGAGGAGGGAAGAAGAAAGAAATCTAAAGTGAGAATAGCAACAAATTATTCAACGTTTCAAAACAGTTGCTGACCTCTTTAAAAAGTCACTATATGAATTCAGCCTAATGTTCTGCCAGAATATCTACTGTAAAAATTAGTGTGGAAGAACCATGAATAAATAATAGCCCGTTTTAATAGCATGTGAAATAAGGTAAAACAATTTTTAAACATCAGTTATTTGTGTCACTCAGCCACAAATCATGCTATCGCACAAACCTAAACATAAAACCTAATTCTCAAATGGGTTTTTCCTACCTTCATATATCATAGGAAATTATCTGCCATCCTTTTTTCAAGGTTGACTAAAAAAAATTTTCCCAGATTTGGTTCTTACCCTTGGTCAAAGGTGGAATACTTTGAATGACTCGCGACATTGATTGGGATGAGTCCTCTCCTCAGTGAACCACCGAGAGCTGCTAGACCGCGGACGACTGACAGGTGAATATGGCGAAGATTTGCAGGTCTATTACCATGACAACGGGCAGCAACCGTTCCAAATTGACCGTGTCATCAGTGGTCTCGGAACAAAATCAGCAACTGTCCACTTTCGACTGCAGGCTCCGATATCATCCGACACCGCTGATGACGGGTCTTATTTTTTGGTCCTCGGTGCTTCCGTCAGTGGAAGTGCAATGGATGATCCTGCCAAAGTGTACGCATTTTTCGACGATTTTTCGAGCGCAACTTTAAAGAAAGAATGGGTGAAAAGCTGGGGGAAATGGAGCGTGCAAAACGGGAGGTTGCTGGGAAGCACAATGCAAAGTAAAGATTTAACCAAAGATCATATTGAGGTCGGACTGTATCTCAAATCAGGTTTTCAGTGGAAAGATGTTGAGATAGAGCTTGACTTCATGGAGACTGGAAAGAGTAAGACCGCTTCTGGACCATTCCTGCGCCTCAGCGATGTGAGCCTCAGCAAAACCACAGGGTGGTGGTTTCAGTACTACTCTGGTCATTCTGACTCTTCCTATCTGAGACCCCAAGTGAATAATAAAGATGGTGTCTGGTTAATCAAAGGAAAACTACCCACAACCTACAGAATGAACAAATGGTTCCACTTCAAGTATCGAGTGCTTGGAGACAGATTTTCCCAATGGGCGAATGGCAAAATTGTACACGACAACATTCAAGTGAGCTCCAAATGGATGATACCAGCAGGAACATTTGGACTGGGATGTTATCACTCCCCCCACAACTGCAAAACACTTTATGACAACATTAAAGTGACTTTCGTGGTTTCTACACCCCCAAACATCACCCTTGGATCTTTCCAATCATTCGTTCCAGAGAAAAGTGCTCTGTTAGGCGAGAAAAAGCTTCCAGCGGACTCATGCAAACAGATCCATGATGCAAGTCTCGCGAGCAACAAACCGCGCGCTAAGAATGGCGTTTACTGGATCAAGACAGACCTCCAAGGCAGCTCGTCTGTGCAGACTTACTGCGACATGAAAAACGGTGGCTGGACCCTTGTCGGCAAAATCAGCGGAAATGTGGGCAACATTTACAATAAATGGTTGGTGTCTAAGCACAACACTGCATCGCTCAAGTCTCCAAAGATCACAGGAAAGAAACAGTTTGCCTGCATTGACGCACGCAGCTTAGCAGTAGATGAATCGTCCACAGTCCTGTTGTCCAGCGGTGAGAGGATGGATAGGTTGGGGAGCAAGTGGGTCATGTGGAGGTTGCCTGGTAGCAGAGAAAAAGACTCATTTTGGCGCCATTCTGTTGGACCATCAACTGTAAAGGCAGCTGTACAAACACCCATCATGGTGTACGCTTGGAATGGAAACAAAAAGGTAACAGCATTGACGATAACAACTCGCCTTTCCTTTATCGAAAATATGCTGCACTGGGGGGTTCAAGGGGATTAGAAAGGGCGCTCCCTACCCCTTCCCTAAAAGTCTGAATCCGCCACTGACCAGTGTCCTTTAAGTCCAAGTTGTGGAGTGGATAGCGTTATCCACTGGAGAAATTTCTATCCAATGAATAACGCAGTTGTTTCTCCTATACTTGTTCATTTAACAATTTATTGAATAAGGCTGAGTATAATCGGCACGGTTTCAATAATTTTTCTTCTTGCAGATACTCATCAAAAAGTAGATAAAATCCGGTAGCCTCGTTTCCAGGGAAATATACCATCAGTCAACCTCGTTACCAAGCAAGTATACCATCGAATCGATGGTATATTGCTCGTATCTTCCATATTTGATCAACGACGGCTGATCATGAAGAATTTTCCTGGGAGAAATGAGCCAATCAGAAACCGTGAAACATTTTGAATGAATAATAACATGATTTACCCGTTGGATAGCACTATCCAACGCTAAAGGGGAGATCTAAAGGAAGGCTTGTCGCTTTTAAACTCGGTTGCAAAAACACTTGACTGAAGAGAAGAGTCAGCCTTGCAATTCACACCCTATCTCAGAGTACATTTATCGAGCGGTGCACAAAATACTAGTTTATCTCAAACAATCAGTCACCTCAAAACAGCTTTCTGTAGGTCTCTTGCTGATTGTTTTTCTCCTAGATCTGTTACCAAAACAAGTTTGGGATAATGCCTTCCGCTGGACATGGAGGTTCGTATCCTTACGCCTCTCTTAACACTGCAGGCAGCACCGCCACAAACGACTACTGTATGTCTGTTGGGGTCATGACTAAAGGATCCACTGCGCACGGCTGGTCCCAGAATGTCGATGGTTACGACAGTCCAAGCAGTGATTCTGATTGGCCGAACAGTTCATACAACCACCAGTCTCCACATCTGACGGTCTGGCTCAAGTAACCATGGTTACATTTCAAGAGTTGCTTTGCATTGCGAGTAAACAGAAGAGTAATATTGGGTAAAGGGTAGTAATTTTTGAGCGCTGGAAAATGATTGACTTTGCTAAGGGGCCAATTTTGTTGAGAGAAAGAAGTTCAGTAATTGTTTTGATTAGAGTAAGTAATCTTAAAAATAAAAGTGCCGCATCGCAATTGAGAACAAAGCCTAGGTTATTTAGTTTACTCTGTCAAGACTTTTCCCTACAATAATTTGTAGCTTGTGTAACCTAATACGTTTTTAGTTGAGAGGGTATTACATTTTTTTCCCGCTAACTATTAACTAAGGGTTTGCGTCCAAACGCCAAAAATAAAAGAGTGATGGGTAAACGTTTTGTTGAGTGTTTTTTAGTGAGAAGAAAAAGAGATCTACTCTCATGGAAGAAAATGAAAACGCAAAACGTTTATCACTTTCAGGAACACTGAAGCGTCCGGAACCCACCAGTCAGTCTCGTTTCAGTTTCGCTTCATGGCTCATGGTAATTACCGATGATTTTGAGAATTCAAGTAAATCCTTATTTCCATACGATCAATACGAAATGTCAAAGTCTATTTATGCGATCGCAGCGATTACACTGAATTAACGCTTCGACAAGCTTTCAACGCAATGATTAAATATAGTTCAGTTCCAATTTAAGATAATTTCCGTATATCGTTACTTTTTCAGATCACTGGACTGCTCACCTTTGTTCAGTTTGTCGTGATCCGACAACCACGCCGTGGTGGTAACAATGATGGAAATATGGCTTACATAGCTTCCTTCTAGTGATAAACCTGAATATCCTTCCATAATAAGGGAGAACACATTTTAGGGGCCCCTTGCCCTCCCACGTCAACAGAAACGTCTGATACTCAGGCTACCTGGTGATAAAGCGTTCCTTCTTTAGCGCTTCATTTTTTGCTCCGGGAACAAAAAGGGGGTAGAATTCAATGGCTACAGTTGTTCTTACCTCAACTGATACAACTGGGATTGTTTTTGTTATCGGCAGAGATTCAGAACCGTGACACGAGGACTACTTCAACACACCAAGGCTGGCCGTTTTCTATTGTGATAATCGTAGTTGAAACCAGCAGCTTTTTCAATGTAGGCTGGCCCCATGATTTTAAATAAAGTTGTAGCTGGATATTAAGGTACAGGACCTCCACCACAATTTCCCCTACAATATCACTCGCATACTGTCTCAGTTTATTTTTCCACGCATCGGATCATATCAATAACGTAAGGCACGTAAAGCCAGTCAGCTAAATTCAAAGTTGAGTCTTTCCGACTTTAATGCACATAATATTTAATAAAATGTACAAGTTATTGTTTATGTATCAAACTGCGTGACCAATATATATACAACAAATTTGGGAGCGTGAGCTTTTTCGTTACGTCTGAATACGTAACCAGTCTATACAATTCACGAAAATATCACTTGAAAATCTAGCCTCCGAATTCTCCGACTATCATGATTCATTCAGTCATTCGGCAACCATTTCTTTGTATAGCCAACATTTTAATTTTTATAAAATAACTAAGATAGTAGGCGCGCTTTGATTGGCTGAGAGGAATGTTTGCATGCGAGTATGTAGACATGGTTGTGTCGTCAAGAAGTTTTGCTTTTCGCGCGCTAATCACGCCAAGCACGAATTTGAAAAAGTTTTCGAGTTAAAAACTCGACAAGTTTACTTTATTTACCCATTCCTTCGTCGGCTGAAACTTGGAAAATCGTTACAAAGAAGGGGTGTGATTTTTTTTGCGCTTAAGCTGACATTTTAGGCGAGAAAAGTCCGTATTTTGGAAAGCATCTTTTTGCAAAACAAGAAACTGATTACGCGTGCAAGACTTCACGGACAAGATTTTGCGACTGGTAAGAATTTCGCTTTTAATCGGAGCGATACAAAGAGTTTTGCGTCTTTACTCGGGAAAGGTATTTTATAAAAGAAATAGAAAACTTTTTTCCTGTGTTTGCATAGCCTGCTATAAACACTCGAGGCGTTGGGAGAATTCTCGACAGTTATGCAAACCCTCGACTTCGTCTCGGGTTTGCACAACTATCTCAAATTCTCCCAACCCGTCTCGTGTCTATATCAGGCTATGCAAACACGGAAAACGTTTTCTATTGCTTAAACAATTGCCAACTATTGCAGTGAGTCGTATTCGCGCCATCGAAATGGCTTTCCAAGTATGCCAGTTTTTTCTGTTAATCGCTTTGTTGCTCCCCTCGTTTGATGGGCTTACAAAATCCCAAGCCACAAAGCCCTCCAAACATGGCGAAGTTCACCGCGCAAAAAGTGAAATCGACTCGCTGATCTACAAGTTGACTTTAGATTTGAAATCTTTTAATGAAAAGGAAACTAAGGCCGAGGCTATGCAAAAGGATGCCGCGAAATTGGCTCGTGTCGCCAAAGAAGAGATCGCCTTGCTAAGACCAGTTCAACATCTTTTGGAAAAGCTCTCCAAGGGGAATACTTCGAGTGGATATCAACCCTGTATGGACTTGTCAGGCGGTAAAATACCGATACGAATTGATACGGTATCCCCACTGCTCGAAAACTTCACTATAAATGTACCAGGTAAAGATAAAGATTTTTTGCCCCGAATTTATCAATTGGATAAAGGTATTGATGTTTTTCTTTTTTAGCAAATCTAAGCCAAGAAAGTTCTTTTGAGAGCTACTTTGAGTGAAGTCAAGCCAACTAATGTAAACAATATAAGAAACAGTAAATTCGATACATTTGCGTTTTGAACTCTCAAAATTTAAAATATAACAAGAGGAGGGAAGAAGAAAGAAATCTAAAGTGAGAATAGCAACAAATTATTCAACGTTTCAAAACAGTTGTTGACCTCTTTAAATATGTTGCGGAATTCTTATAACCCCGCTCGCTGGTTCAAACAAATCAAGAGGACTGTATCTTTCGACGTAACAACACGATTTAATCCAGTCCAACAATCTATGCGATGTACAATTCTCACATATTCAACGGTCGTAACACAAAGAACAACGATCAAAGATCAATTATCAACGTAACTAAACGATCAATTAACACATTCTAAGTATACAGAGTTTTTTTCTACTATCCTTGCGTAAGGTAGTATTTTTACATTAATCATATGTACAGTAAAAGTTCCCATTGCAATGTATCTAAATTAAGTGACAATTACAAAATCACATGTTCTTTAACCTTAGCCTAAGAAAATGCATGCAGTTACATCATTTTATATCGTAAATGTACGCGGACTTTGTCAACATTATTGTGAAATCTAATGTCACGAAATCTAGCTTCTTTGCGCTACAAAAAAACAATTTCTAATTAATATTTAATCACAAAATAATCAAGTTAAGCATCACCTATTTCTTTACTGACAAAATAATCACTCAATGAATTCAGCCTAATCTTCTGCCAGAATACCTACCTGTGAAAATTAGTGTGGTAGAACCATGAATAAACAATAGCTCGTTTTAATAGCATGAAATAAGGTATAACAATTTTTAAAGATCAGTTATTGTGTCACTCAGCTACAAATCATGCTATGGCACAAATCTAAACATAAAACCTAATTCTCAAATGGGTATTTCTTACCTTCATATATCATAGGAAATTATCTGCCATCCTTTTTTCAAGGTTGACTAAAAAAAATTTCCCAGATTTGGTTCTTATCCTTGATCAACGCTGGAATACTTTGAATGACTTGCGACATTGATTGGCATGAGTCTTCTCTCCTCAGTGAACCACCGAGAGATGCTAGACCGCGGACGACTAACACGTGAAGATGGCGAAGATTTGCAGGTCTATTACCATGACAACGGGCAGCAACCGTTCCAAATTGACCGCGTTATCAGTGGCCTGGGAACAAAATCAGCAACTGTCCACTTTCGACTGCAGGCTCCGATATCATCCAACACTGCTGATGACGTGTCTTATTTTTTGGTGGTCGGTGCTACGGTCAGCGGAAGTGCCATGGATGATCCTGCCAAAGTGTACGCATTTTTCGACGATTTTTCGAGTGCGACGTTAAAGAAAGAATGGGTGAAAAACTGGGGGAAGTGGAGCGTACAAAACGGGAGCTTGCTGGGAAGCACAATGCAGAGTAAAGAGTTAACCAAAGATAATATTGAGGTCGGACTGTATCTCAAACCAGGCTTTCAATGGAAAGATGTTGAAGTCGAGCTTGACTTAATGGAAACAGGGGCATCAAAGAGCTGTCCTGGGCCACTACTGCGCCTCAGTAATGCGGGCCTGTCCAAAACGACGGGTTGGTGGTTTGAATACTGCATAAGCGATGACAGAACCTGTACAATGAGACCCTTGTTCAATAACAACGACGGCAGCTGGAAATACAACACAAAGTTACCCACAGCTTTGCAATTAAACAAGTGGTTTCACTTCAAATATCGAGTGATGGGTGACAGATTTTCTCAATGGGCAAACGGCAAAGTTGTACACGACAGCATCCAAGTGAGCTCGAAGTGGATGATACCAGCAGGAACATTTGGACTGGGATGTCATCACTCCCCCAACAACTGTAAAACCCTTTATGACAATATCAAAGTGACTTTCGTGGTTTCTACACACCCAAACATCACCCTGGGATCTTTCCAGTCATTCCTTCCCAAGAAAAGTGCCCTGTTAGGCGAGAAAAAGCTTCCTGCAGACTCATGCAAACAGATTCATGATGCAAGTCTTGTGAGCAACAAACCGCGTGCTAAGAATGGCGTTTACTGGATCAAGACAGACCTCCAAGGCAGCTCGTCTGTGCAGACTTACTGCGACATGAGAAACGGTGGCTGGACCCTTGTCGGCAAAATCAGCGGAAATGTGGGCAACATTTACGATAAATGGTTGGTGTCTAAGCACAACAATGCCTCGCTGAAGTCTCCAAAGATCACAGGACAGAAACAGTTTGCTTGCTTTGACGCGCGCAGCTTAGCAGTAGATGAATCGTCCACAGTCCTGTTGTCCAGCGGTGAGAGGATGGATGGGTTGGGGAGCAAGTGGGTCATGTGGAGGTTGCCTGGAGGTAGGGAAAAAGACTCGTTTTGGCGCTATTCTGTTGGACCATCAGTTGTAAAGGCAGCTGTACAAACACCCGTCATGGTGTACGCTTGGAATGGAAACAAAAAGGTAACAGCATTGATGATAAGAACTTGCCTTTCCTTTGTCGAAAATATGCTACACTGGGGGGTCCAAGGGGATTGGAAAGGGCACTCCCCACCCTTTCCCTAAAAGTCTGAATCTGCCACTGACCTGTGTCCTTTAAGCCTAAGTTGTGGAGTGGATAGCGTTATCCACCGGACAAATTTCCATCCAGTGAATAACGTCATTGTTTCCCCCATACTTGTTCATTTAACAATTTATTGAATAAGGCTGAGTATAATCGGCACGGTTTCAGGATTTCTTCCTCTAGCAGATACTCATCAAAAAGTACGTAAAATCCGGCAGCCTCGTTTCCAGGGAAATATACCATAAATCAACCTCGTTACCAAGCAAATTTACCATCGAATCGATGGTATATTGCTCGTATCTTCCATATTTGATCAACGACGGCTGATCATGAAGAATTTTCCCAGGAGAAATGACCAATCAGAAACGGTGAAACATTTTGAATGAATAATAACATGATTTACCCGGTGGATGGCACTATCCAAAGCTAAAGGGGAGATCTAAAGGAGGGCTTATCGCTTTTAAACTCGGTTGCAAAAACACTTGACTGAAGAGAAGAGTCAGCCTTGCAATTCACACCCTATCTCAGAGTACATTTATCGAGCGGTGCACAAAATACTAGTTTATCACAAACAATCAGTCACCTCAAAACAGCTTTCTGTAGGTCTCTTGCCGATTTTTTTTTCTCCTAGATCTGTTACCAAAACAAGTTCGGGATAATGCCTAAGGCGAATCATGGAGGTTCGTATCCTTACGCCTCTTACAACACTGCAGGCAACACCGACACAAACGACTACTGTATGTCTGTTGGGGTCATAACTAAAGGATCCACTGCGCATGGCTGGTCCCAGAGTGCCAGTGGTTACGATAGTCCAAGCACTGATTCTGATTGGCCGAACAGGTCATACAGCCACCAGTCTCCACACCTGACGGTCTGGCTCAAGTAACCATGGTTACATTACAAGATTTGCTTTGCATTGCGAGTTAACAGAAGAGTAATATTTGGTGAAGGGTTGTAATGTTTGAGCGCTGGGAAATAGTTTTGTATTTTCGGATTTTGCTCTTATGATAAGGGACAGTTTTTGTTGAGAGAAAGACTTTGTTGGGCTACATTGTTTTGATTAGAGTACCTAAGGAACTCTAGGAAAAGTTTCTGTAGTCTTAAGGGTATCTTAAAGGTATTAAGGAAACGGGAAAGATAGGAATAGGAAAAATAGGAAATCGTAAAAATGCTTTGGCATATGTTAAGCCTGTGCTGTGCTAAGCTACCAATACGAAAACAACAAACAACAACAATAAAAGGGTGCTGGGTAAACGGTGGCTGAGTAGTTTTTCTTTTAATTTACATGAAACAGGAGATCTACCTCATTTTGAAGTAAATATTAGCCTGAAAACAATGTCCCGTTTTTTTGTCTGCGCAAAAGGCTGTTAAATATCCAATTCCGTGAGGTAAATATACCCTACGAGCAGAGGTTTCTTTCTGACATGGCTTTTAGCATTTAAAAAGTCGTTCGCGTCGCTTGTCAGTCGCGTTGTTCTGCTCGCAGGGTACGCAGCTAGGATTTTCTGCACCTTGCCCTCTCGATGAGCTGGCCGCATAAAAGTTAAGGGAATCATGAGTAAAAGATAGCCTGATTGGCTTACATGCTGTCTTTCTAACAAAGCAACTAAGTGTCTTGTTGTTTGTCAGGCTGAACTGAGTTGATAAAGTACGCTAACCGAGATGAAAAGGATAGCCATCAGTGTCAAAGCCAATCATTGATTTTTGAGAGCGTGTCAATGTCCAGCGTGTTAGCCAGCTACAAAACGTGCCTGCCACTCTCACTTTCTACGGTCCTCCCTCTTTCGTAAGCTATTAAATCTCTTATGTCTTCATCTAGATGCGCTGTCAGTTCTTCCATTAAAATATCCAAAGCGTAGAACGAATATAAATGGTTATCAAATATTGATTTCTCTGAAGAAATTGAAGAGTAATAATAAGGTCTTTCAAATGGCACGACTACTTCTCCAAAATACTGAAGTTTCTTTATAGTTCATCAATACTCCAATACTCTCCCCGGGGGATTCACCAGGGTTAACAAACATAAAAGAGGAACGATAAAAGATGTTTTATCGTTGTCGCGTTTCAATATTTTTTAAGGCCTGTTTTGGTTAGTATTCCATGTAACCCTCACTTCTGTTCTTTGCACAAACTGCATGTAGGAGAAGTCGTTACGTCAAGTTGCCATGGTCTGGATGACAACAAACCGAAAAACGTCATTTAAAACTGTTTCCGACTTCATCGATCTCGTTCAGTTTCAGTTAATTTGTCAAATGGTGGCCAAATTTTCTGGGGTTAAATTCGATAGGACCATATTTAAGTTTAGGAAAAGAAAAAAAAAGGGTGTTGTGTTCACCTAGTTTATATAAAGCGGACGAGTGAAACTAGGAAGTTCACGTCATAGTCCTGCTACGACGGCTAAATGGAGGAAGATAAAACGTCCACTAAAGCTTTGTATTTGAATACAGGCGATAAAACAAAATCAAAATACAGCCCGCAAAAAATACACAGTTTAATTGACTTGATTGAATTTGGATCAAAACAGTTCAAGCCACGTTTCATGTGGCATGATCGGGTTTGATTGACGGCGCATCAGTAAAACCGTTCGTGATTGGATAAAAGCTACAGGGGGAAAATCCCTCCTGTAAATTTGGTGCGCTGCACGTGAGAAAAGTCCTTTGCGCTGGGACCAACTACCGGAACCGGAAATAAGAAGCGAAGGACTTTGAGAAAGTCTAAGTCGACATCGAAACTTGAACCCAGGCCGCATCGATGAGAGGCAAGGGCTCTCGCCCTTGCACCTTTTATGCTCCCCAATAAGATATGCTGCTTCCGTTCTCGCTTTTGTTCCGACTCGGTAGTGAAAACCACACTAAGTGCTTCCGTTAGCAACACACTTACCACACTCACTCACCACCATGCCTTACACTAATTATATGATCACACTCAGTTCTAAAGCTTAAAGGGGCAACCAATATGCCACGAAGTCGTTACGTCACTTTGCAATGGTAGAAAAATTTCTGGATGGCAACAAACCGAAAACATCACTTAAAAAGTAAATTCGCACTGTTTCGAACTTCGATGATATCATTCAATTTCACTTAATTTGTCAAATGTTGGCGAAATTTCTGGGGTTAAATTCGAAAGGACCGTATCTATGTTTAGAAAAAGAAAAAGAAAATTTTGGCGTTGTGCTCACCTTCTTCGTAAAGCGGGTGCGTAAAAGTAGGAAGTTTCACGTCGCAGCCGTGCAACGACAGCTAAGAAACGTACAAAAAGAGTGATGCACGTGCAGAGTTGTTGTTTTGGTGATATAAACCTATTGCTTTTTTCCAGTTCTCTTTGCCGTCGAAGGCGTCGTTGCTTAAGGTCCCTTTTAGTTGTGATCAAGAAATTTTGCTACCATGGTAACGTGACGTCACAATTTTCTTCTCCATTGAAGACTACATTTAGGGATTGTCGCCTATTGGCAAGGATGGAGATGGATTGAAGTTTGAACTAACTGGGCCAATGTTTTAAAGCATTAATGCTACGCCTGCAAAAATCACCAAATAAAGTATTATGGTTAGTGTTCCCTGATGAAATTTGTTTGATATCAATATACTTCATAACTATACAGGAGTATTTTGTGTGTAAGGAAACACACTAAGTAATAACTTCAGCACAGAATCTTGACACAGCCCCTTTAAAAGTTGTAGACAGAATGCTGTTCTTACCACATCGCAAAATATTTCCTCATGAAGTTCTTTCACTCCTACGCTGCTTTGTGTTGCTTCTTGTTCATCGCCTATAGCTAAGTACTGATGAGTCAGCATACCACAGATCAGACCTGTAATTACAAGCAGGTGTATTAGGCTGTGTTTACACAATACCGGACGACTCTTACGCCGACAGAAGTGAAAATTTTACTGCATAGGACTTGTGTTCACATCTAAGAACGGCGATTTCTGTAACGGAATGAAGCTGCGACGCGCCGATCTCGAAAGTGAAGGGTCCCATTTTGGATAGGTTCTATGTCACACTATGTGATTTAGCAGTACAGATTTACCCTAATTTTACTACTCTGCGATTAAGAAAACTTGTATTTAAGACAACGCTTCAATTACACGATTCTTCGGGCAAGAATTGGAAAATCGGAGGAATCGAAGAAACGTAAAACGAAACTCGAGAATCAAAATAATCGTAGAATCGGAACTGAATTATGGATCACAGCTCCTATTATACTATTCTCCGATGTACTACCTATCGGACCCTTCTGGGTTCTCACCTACTTACTCCCCGCAGGGGGAGAGAGAGGTAAAAACAGGGATGAGTAGGAGAATGGGAACGAGTTGCGCAGGAATGGGAGAATCATGGAAAGGAGGTTCTTCACAATAATCGATTTACTTAAATAAATAATAAATAAATAAACAACTAAATGAGGATTAAGATGTAGCACATCCACATAGTGGTTTTTTGTCTACCTGATTCCTGGTCGAATTAGAATTTGGATTTGTTGGTTTTTAGAGAGCACGAAACCGGAGTACCCGATGAAAAACCTCTCGGAGCAAGGGAGAGAACCCGCAACGACAAAGCAAACCCACATATGGCGTCGTCGCCGGGATTTGAACACAGGCGATAATGGTGCCGAGAGAGTTGTCACCGCTACACCAACCCTGCAACCACAAAAAGGTGTTGAGAAATTGATCAAACTTGAAACAGTAGAAAATGCTACCGTATTGAATGAAAAATAAAGAACAAACGTCTGAAACATTATAAGAAGGTATAACTAAGACAGAAGATACAAAACATAGCACAGATGGACAGGCTTGAATAAGATTAAAAATTTCGTTTCGCTGTTTTTAACGTCTGATTTTATGCTTTGGAGACATATTTGTCAGACATGAGGCTGTGATCTTGTGGTCATTTACAGGTAATAGGGAGTTTAAGCAACGACCACGGCGACGGCAACGGCAACGGCAAAAAAGCAGTAGGTTTCTATCAACAAAACAACAACTTTGCCCATCACTAGTCTGCTATACAGCCGTTTCTAGGGTCGTCACGCAACGCTCCTAGTGGGGAGGAGCATTGCGTGACGACACTAAAAACGGCTGTGTAGCAGACTAGTGCATCACGCTTTTTGCACATTTTTTTGCCGTCACTGCACTACTACAGCGTGAAACTTCCTACTTTCACGTTTTGTGGAGAACGGAAACACGAGACAACGACATTCATATTTTTTTCCTGAACTTCAAAACAGTCTTTTAGAATTCAAATATAAAACCAATTCGCCAACATTTAGTGAACTGAACGAGATGGAATAAGCTTGACAAAATTTGAAAAAGCGCGGATTTACTTTTCATGTGACGTTTTCATACCCGTTGTCATTGCCTTCGTAGTTACTTAAGCTCCCTAATGTCTTCGGTAACGTTGAGTTCCATCATGAATATGCACGCCTATGCTCTTGTATTGTAGACTGGCTATAATTCCGGACGCCCGCCCTCTCGATACATTTGAATAACAAGATAGCTGTGACGGTAAGACGCGGTATATCGAAAAGATCTCACGAAAAAATAGGGGACTGTGAACAGTCTACTTGTATTGTGTAGTATACTAAGGAGCGGGAGTGGGGAGGGAGAAGGCTATATACAAGTTATATCAGTTACCTTTTTGACCTGTTTACTTCGATCGACATCAGCCACATCTCGCCAAGCCTCGATAATAACTTGTCTTAGCTGAGGTTCCATAACCTCGTCGATAATGCTGTTAATAAGTGAATCATCTTGAGATTGCTATGTCGCTTCAAAAACCTACAGCACAAGTTTTGGTCTAAATTAATATGGCTAAAGTTTTAGTTTGCTAAACTAAGAAGACAAAATAACACAATGAAAATCTGCATTAGGTGAACAAGGCTGTGCACCAATATGAATGGAGCCTAGCGCCCTGAACATGTGAAATCCAGGGTGCCAAGTGTACAATTTCTGTGAAAAAAAACGAAGATTTTCTAAACGTTAGGCGCCAGGAGCCATCTGCCTTTGCTAGAGCACAGCCCTGGTGAATGTGAAAACTGCAAATGGTATAATTTAGTTAGTTTTTGATTTACAAAACGTCTGAAGGTGTGTCAAGGGTTTGAATTTTTCTCCCTTTTCTGGGCAAGTCATATCAACATCTCAAGCGAATTAACAGTTATTACAGCTGAGTGCGTTTTAATCAGAAACGGCAAAATATTTTGAATGAATAATAAATTTTGATTAGAGTAAGTAATCTTAAAAACAAAAGTGCCGCATCGTAATTGAGAATAAAGCCTAAATTGTGTAGTTTTGCTATGTCAAGACTTTTCCCTACAATAATTTGTAGGTAGTGCAACCTAACAGCTTTTTAATTTAGAGGGTATTACATTTTTCCCGCTACCTATTAATTAAGCTTTTGCGTCCAAACGCAAAAAATAAAAGAGTGATGGGTAAACGTTTTGTTGAGTGTTTTTTAGAGAGAAGAAAAAAGAGATCTACTCTCTTGGAAGAAAATGAAAACGCAAACGTTTATTTCAGGAACCACGAAGCGACCGGAACCCACCTGTCAGTCTCGTTTCAGTCTCGCTTCATGGCTCATGGTAATTACAGATGATTTTGAGCATTCAAGTAAATCCTTATTTCCATATGATCAATACGATATCTGAAAGTCTCATGTATTTATGCCATCGCAGTGATTACACAGAACCAACGCTTCAACAAGTTTTCAACGCAATGATTAAATATAGTTCAGTTCCACTTTAAGGCAGTTTCCGTATATCGTTACTTTTTTAGATCACTGGACTGCTCACTTTTGTTCAGTTTGTTGTAATCCGACAAAGAGGCCGTGATCGCAACGATCACGAAGTTATGGCTTACATAGCTTCCTTCTAGTGACAAGCCTGATAGGAGAAAACATTTTAGGGGGCCCTTGTTCCCCCCCCCCCCTCTCACAGAAACGCCTGATACTCAGGCTACTTGGTGATAAAGCGTTCCTTTTTTAGCGCTTCATTTTTTGCTCCGAGAACAAAAGGGGGTACAATTCAAAGCCTACAGTTGTTCTTACCTCAACTGATACAGCTGGGATTGTTTTTGTTATCGGCAGAGATTCAGAACCGTGACACGAGACCTGCTTCAACACACCAAGGCTGGCCGTTTTTTATTGAGATGATCGTAGTTAAAACCGGCAGCTTTTAAAATGTAGGCTGCCCTCATGATTTTGAATAAAGTTGTAGCTTGATATTTAGGTACAGGACCTTCACCAAAATGTTCCCACAATATCACCCGCGTACTGTTTCAGTTTATTTTTCCACGCATCGGATCCTATCAATAACGTAAGGCATGTAAAGGCGGTCAGCTAAATTCAAAGTTGAGTCTTTTCGACTTTAATGAACATAAATAAAATGTGCAAATTATTGTTTATGTATCAAACTGCGTGACCAATATGCATACAACAAATTTGGGCGCGTGAGCTTTGTGGTGACGTCTGAGTACGTAACCAGTCTATACAATTCACGAAAAAATAACCTGAAAATCTAGCTTCCGAATTCTCCGACTATCATGATTCATTCAGTCATTCGGCAACCATTCCTTTGTATAGCCAACATATTTATTTACAATTGCCAATTATTGCAGTGAGTCGTATTCGCCGCCATCGAAATGGCTTTCCAAGTATGCCAGGTTTTTCTGTTAATCGCTTTGTTGCTCCCCTCCTTTGATGGGATTACAAAATCCCAAGCCACAAAGCTCTCCAAACACGGCGAAGTTTACCGCGCGAAAAGTGAGATCGACTCACTGATCTACAAGTTGACTTTAGATTTGAAATCTTTTAACGAAAAGGAAACTAAGGCCACGGCTATGCAAAAGGATGCCGCGAAATTGGCTCGTGTTGCCAAAGAAGAAATCGCCTTGGTAAGACCAGTTCAACATCTTTTGGTAAAGCTCTCCAAGGGGAATACTTCGAGTGGATATCAACCTTGTATGGCCTGGTCAGGCGGTAAAATACCGATACGAATTGATGCGGTATCCCCACTGCTCGAAAACTTCACTATAAATGTACCAGGTAAAGATAAAGATTTTTTGCCTCGAATTTATCAATTAGATAAAGGCATTCATGCTTCTATTTTTTTTCCCGCAAATCGAAGCAAAAACAGTTCTTTTGAGACCTACTTTGAGCGAAGTCAAGCCAACTAATGTAAACAATAAGAAATAGTAAATTCGATACATTTGCGTTTTGAACTCTCAAAATTTAACATATAACGAGAGGAGGGAAGAAGAAAGAAATCTAAAGTGAGAATAGCAACAAATTATTCAAAGTTTCAAAACAGTTGCTGACCTCTTTAAATACTCACTATATGAATTCAGCCTAATGTTCTGCCAGAATATCTACTGTAAAAATTAGTGTGGAAGAACCATGAATAAATAATAGCTCGTTTTAATAGCATGTGAAATGAGGTAAAACAATTTTTAAACATCAGTTATTTGTGTCACTCAGCCACAAATCATGCTATCGCACAAACCTAAACATAAAATATAATTCTCAAATGGGTATTTCCTACCTTCATATATCATAGGAAATTATCTGCATCCTTTTTTCAAGGTAAAAAAAATTTTCCCAGATTTGGTTCTTACCCTTGGTCAAAGGTGGAATACTTTGAATGACTTGCGACATTGATTGGCATGAGTCTTCTCTCCTCAGTGAACCACCGAGAGATGCTAGACCGCGGACGACTAACACGTGAAGATGGCGAAGATTTGCAGGTCTATTACCATGACAACGGGCGGCAACCGTTCCAAATTGACCGCGTTATCAGTGGCCTGGGAAAAAAATCAGCAACTGTCCACTTTCGACTGCAGGCTCCGATATCATCCAACACTGCTGATGACGTGTCTTATTTTTTGGTCCTCGGTACTTCGGTCAGCGGAAGTGCTATGGATGATCCTGCCAAAGTGTACGCATTTTTCGACGATTTTTCGAGTGCGACGTTAAAGCAAGAATGGGTGAAAAACTGGGGGAAATGGAGCGTGCAAAACGGGAGGTTGCTGGGAAGCACAATGCAGAGTAAAGATTTAACCAAAGATAATATTGAGGTCGGACTGTATCTCAAATCAGGTTTTCAGTGGAAAGATGTTATGGTAGAGCTTGACTTCATGGAGACTGGAAAGAGTAAGACCGCTTCTGGACCATTCCTGCGCCTGAGCGATGTGAGCCTCAGCAAAACCTCAGGTTGGTGGTTTCAGTACTACCCAGGTCATTCTGACTCTTCCTATCTGAGACCCCAAGTGAATAATAAAGATGGTGGCGAGTTAATCAAAGGAAAACTACCCACAACCTACAAATTGAACAAATGGTTCCACTTCAAGTATCGAGTGCTTGGAGACAGGTTTTCACAATGGGCGAATGGCAAAATTGTACACGACAACATCAAAGTTAGCTCCAAGTGGATGATACCAGCAGGAACATTTGGACTGGGATGTCATCACTCCCCCTACAACTGCAAAACCTTTTATGACAACATTAAAGTGACTTTAGTGGTTTCTACTCCCCCCAACATCACTCTGGGATCTTTCCAGTCATTCGTTCCCGAGAAAAGTGCCCTGTTAGGCGAGAAAAAGCTTCCTGCGGACTCATGCAAACAGATTCATGATGCAAGTCTCGCGAGCAACAAACCGCGTGCTAAGAATGGCGTTTACTGGATCAAGACAGACCTCCAAGGCAGCTCGTCTGTGCAGACTTACTGCGACATGCAAAACGGTGGCTGGACCCTTGTCGGCAAAATCAGCGGACATGTGGGCAACATTTACGATAAATGGTTGGTGTCTAAGCACAACACTGCCTCCCTGAAGTCTCCAAAGATCACAGGACAGAAACAGTTTGCTTGCTTTGACGCGCGCAGCTTAGCAGTAGATGAATCGTCCACAGTCCTGTTGTCCAGCGGTGAGAGGATGGATGGGTTGGGGAGCAAGTGGGTCATGTGGAGGTTGCCTGGTGGCAGGGAAAAAGACTCGTTTTGGCGCAATTCTGTTGGACCATCAACTGTAAAGGCTGCTGTACAAACACCCGTCATGGTGTACGCTTGGAATGGAAACAAAAAGGTAACAGCATTGATGATAAGAACTTGCCTTTCCTTTGTCGAAAATATGCTGCACTGGGGGTTCCAGGGGGATTGGAAAGGGCCCTCCCCACCCCTTCCCTAAAAGTCTGAATCCGCCACTGACCAGTGTCCTTTAAGCCCAAGTTGTGGAGTGGATAGCGTTATCTACTGGACAAATTTCTATCCAGTGAATAACGCAATTGTTTCCCCTATACTTTTCATTTAACAATTTATTGAATAAGGCTGAGTATAATCAGCTCGGTTTCAAGATTTTTTCTTCTTGCAGATACTCATCAAAAAGTAGATAAAATCCGACAGCCTCGTTTCTAGGGAAATATACCATAAATCAACCACGTTACCAAGCGAATATACCATCGAATCGATGGTATATTGCTCGTATCTTCCATATTTCATCAACGACGGCTAATTATGAAGAATTTTCCTGGGAGAAATGAGCCAATCAGAAACGGTGAAATATTTTGAATGAATAATAAAATGATTTACCCGGTGAATAGCACTATCCAACGCTAAAGAGGAGATCTAAAGGAGGGCTTGTCGCTTTTAAACTCGGTTGCAAAATCACTTGACGGAAGAGAATAGTCAGCCCTGCAATTCACACTCTATCTCAAAGTACATCTATCGAGTGGTGCACAAAATACGTAGTTTATCACAAACAGTCAACTCAAAACAGCTTTCTGTAGGTCTCTTGCTGATTTTTTTTCTCCTACCGTAGATCTGTTACCACAACAAGTTTGGGATAATGCCTCTTGCTGGCCATGGAGGTTCGTATCCTTACGCCTCTTACAACACTGCAGGCAACACCGCCACAAACGACTACTGTATGTCTGTTGGGGTCATGACTAAAGGATCCACTGCGCATGGCTGGTCCCAGAATGCCAATGGTTACGACAGTCCAAGCAGTGATTCTGATTGGCCGAACAGGTCATACAACCACCAGTCTCCACACCTGACGGTCTGGCTCAAGTAACCGTGGTTACATTACAAGATTTGCTTTGCATTGCGAGTTAACAGAAGAGTAATATTTGGTAAAAGGGTACTAGTTTATGAGCGGTGGAAAATAATTTTGCATTTTCGGATTTTGCTCTTATGATAAGGGATCGTTTCTGTTAAGAGAAAGACGTTCTTATTATATGAGAGTAAATTGAGAGTTCTTGAAAACTTTCTGTAATCTTAAGGGTATCTTAAAGGTATTAAGAAAATGGGGAAGATGGAAAATACGAAAACGTAAAAGTGCTTTGGAATTAGTCAAGCCTGTGCTGTGTTAAGCTACCAATAAAGAAAAAACAACAACAACAACAACAGCAATAAAAGGGTGCTGGGTAAACGGTGGTTGTTACTTTTATTTTTATGAAACAGAAGATCTACCTCTCTTTGAAGAAAATACTAGCCTGGAAACAAAGTCCAATTTTTGCATGCGCACAAGGGCCGTTAAATATCCAATTCCACGGGGAAAAAACACCCGGCGAGCAGAGGTGCTGCATGCCTTTTACCATTTACCGAGTCGTTCGCGTTGCATGTTAGTCGCGTAGTTCTGCTCGCAGGGTACACAGCTAGGATTCTCTGCATATTGCCCTCTCGATGAGCCAGCCGTATAAAAGTAAAGAGAATTACTGACTAAATGATTCCCTGATTGACTTACATGCTCTCTTCCTAACAAAGCAGGTAAGTGTCTTACTGTTTGTCAGGCTGGTGGAATCAACAGATTAGAAGTGGAAAGGTCTTTACGGCGGACTCAGCAGGGACTGGCTAACTGCACGTAGAGAATAACTGACTTTTTTTCTCTGACTGGTTGTGAGTAGTCTCCTTTGCAGCCGTTATTAGGGTCGTCACGCTACGCTCCCCCCTCCCCCCTACAGTGGGGAGGAGCGTTGCGTGACGACCCTAATAACGGCTGCGAAGGAGACTGGGTGGTGGGACGATGAAGCCGATATGCAGCTTCCATGCCGGCCTACCCATCCAAGGTAGTAATGAACGGACGGACCAGGGACCCGTTTCTCGAAAGGTCCGGTAACTTTTCAATTTCGAAGGCAAATTTTGAAATGAAAACTCTCTCGGATTCTTACTCATATTATAACGTGTCCTTAAAGGTCCAATTTGTTCCTCTCTCTTTCACGTTGAAGTAAATCTGGCATGTCTTCGTCCAAATGCGCTGTCAGTTCCTCCATTAAAACATCCAAAGCCTACAAAGCATACAAATGGTTATCAAGAATTGATTTCTCTGAAGAATATTTCACGACTACTTCCCGAAAACACTACAGTTTTTTGGGTTCATCAATACCCTCTTGGAGGGACTCACCAGGGTCCACAAACATTTTTAGAGAAATGAGAAAAAGATCTTTAATCTTTGTCAAGTTTCAACAGGCCCCTATGAAAGGTACTTCAATATTTTTTTGACGTCCGTTTTGGTTAGAATTCCATGTAAACCTTACTTTTGTTCTTTACGCGAACTGCACGAGCAAAGTATAAATAGGGACAAACCAACGACAAAATTAACCCACATTGCGCGTCGACACCGAGAGTTGAACCCGAGCCGCATCGGTGAGAGGCAAGGGCTCTACCCCTTGCACCATTTATGCCCCCAATAAGATATGCTGCTTCCGTTCTCGCTTCTTTTCCGACTCGGTAGTGACAACTATACTAAGTGCTTCCGTTAGCGACACACTTACCGAAGTACGGTCGTTTCTTCCGACGGTGTTCGCCAGGCCGATTCGCGCGATGACATACAACACTCTACAACATGGTGAAAATGCCTTTAGAGGTGTTATTTTAGTTGCCCTTGGATTCCACATGTGCAGTCACTGTCTTTCCATGCATATTCCCTTTTTTCAGGTTTAAAGAACGACAAATACGCTTCGAGCGAATCGACTTAGTCTGGGCGAACTGCTATGGGGCGAAACGACCTGATACACACTTACCACACTCACTCACCACCATGCCTCACAATAATTATATGATCAGACTCAGTTAAAAAGCTTAAAGGGGCTACCGGTATGCCACGCTATTTGCTGTCTTTATAAAAAAGTTAAAGCGTCGCTTCATATCAACTGAAATGACCTATTCACGGTTTTTTTTCAACTTTTGACATGGACAAGTTCGGGAAAATCTGTCGACACCACATAAACGAGCGCCTTAAAATTAATAAAATTACCAAGTTTGAAAGCGATTTGTTGAAAGCTTACAAAGATACAGCTCTTCAAAATTCGCGAAATTTTACAGACGTTTGTGTGGTAGGGGGCACAAACTTGCCCCCAGGATACAAACGTCTGTAAATTTTCGCAACTTTGCGGAGCTGTATAGTCGCACGTTAATAAAGACCTATCACTTTCAAATTCAGCAATTTTACTATTTTTGAGGCGGTCTTTTCAGAGGTGTCGACGGATTTTCCCTAAGTGGTCCATATAAAAAGTTAAAAAAAACCGTGAAAAGGTCTATTTTCCCCAGCATATTGGTACAGTTTTGTTATTGAAGACTATGTTTAGGCATTGAAACTGTTTCCCGTCGCCGTTTGCTACGGATGGCGAGGATGGACATGGACTGGAGTTTGAAAAAATTGGGCCAACGTTTTAAGACAGAATCCATCAGGAAATTAAGTAATTTTAATTTTCAGTGGACAAAAACCTTGTACCAGAATAATTTGAACAATATCGCATTATTTTTTACATTTTTCAAGGCCTACAGATGTAATTAGTTATCTGCAAGAACACCAAAGGAAATTTGTCATGAGAGCCCGAGAAAATAAATGTCAAATTTCACAAAATGACATCTTACACATGAAATTTTCAGAATTTTACCTGTGTTTTCACAATTCTTGTGAAATTTGACATTTATTTTCTCGGGCTCCCACGAGAAATAGTCTTTGGTGTTATTACAGATAACTAATTTTAGTAAAATCCAACTAGTGGTCTATTATCAATGCTGCGTTTTGATTGGTTGAGCTACTACTAGGCTATATGTTATAGCCTACTAGTAGCGAAAAGCGCCGGCTTTGAAAACCAAAACGATGGCGGCTGAATCGCGTTTTGGTAGCTTAAATTGTCTTGCCTCGATATTTTTTACCAACTAGTTGGATTCTACTAAAACAATTATTCCTCTCGCCCTCATGGCCTGTGAGTCAATAGCCTATTGACTCAGAACCCATTCGGGCTTGAGGAATAATTGTTAAATATCGATAGCCCTTGAAAAATGTAAAATAAATTTCCTGATGGATTCCGTCTTAAAGCTTTATTGGTATTCCTGCAAAGATCACCAAACAAAGTATTATGGTTAGTGTTTCCTTATGAAATTTGTTTGATATCAATATACTTCATAACTCTACAGGAGTATTTTGTGTGTGGGGAAAGACACTAAGTAATGACTTCAGTACAGAATCTTGACATAGCCTTTTAAAAAGTTGTAGACAGAATGCTGTTCTTACCACATCACAAAATATTTCTTCATGAAGTTCTTTCACTCCTGCGTTGCTTTGTGTTGCTTCTTGTTCATCGCCTACAGCTAAGTACTGATGAGTCAGCATACCACAGATCAGACCTGTAATTACAACCAGGTGTATTAGACCGGTGTATTAGGCTGTGTTTACATAATACCAGATGACTCCTACGCCGGCAGAAGTGACAACCATACCGCATAGGGCTTGTGTTCACACCTAAGAACGGCGATTTCTGTAACGGAGTGAAGTTGCCTCGCGCCGATCTCGAAAGTCAAGCGTCCCATATCGGATAGGTTCTGTGCCACACTTCGGTGTAGTATGAACAGGTATTCGGACCGTAGCGGAAGTGAATAAGTAGGAGTGAGGACTGGAACCCACTGGACCGGAAGTAAATAATCAGGAGTGAGGACTGGGATTTACTGCACCAGACCCTCTCGGCCAACCGCTTGGGCACGGTGATCGATGTGTGTGAACGACTTATTCCAGTTCTGCGCCTTGTTGTTCACACTAGACCGGTATAGGAGCTGTCCGGTTTAGAGTGAAGATAAACTTAGGCTTGAAATTCCCTCCACCCCAAAAGTAACCTTTTGGGTGGCGAGAAGAAACGAGCAGAAATATGTCGCGCTAGAAAGCTAGGGCAATTTGGGAGTAGCGAATAAAAAAGCCTTGGCGAATTGAGACGTCTCTGTAGCAAAACGTCCTGTAGCGAGACGCTTTGTAGCGAAATGGCTGGATGTGGTGCCTACAATAGTTAAATTCGTTTTGAGTGTGGTGTATAGTGACTCACCATCTAACAGCTGGTCCGTGTAGTCATTGAAATACAGAGACAAGTTATCACCCGTCAACTGACTCAAAAGGTGTTGAAGAAACAGAGCATCCAGAAGGTGATCCTCAGCGTATATCGACACCTGAAACAGAAAAAAGTACTTATTCACACACTCGCTTCACAGTGTAACCTCGTTGAAATGGCGAGAGCGGCGCAAAAAGTGACCCGATTTAGGGGTACAATTCTCAGATTTAGCACTGCATATTTCATCTAATTTTAATATTCTGCGATTTAGAAAACTTGTATTAAAGACAACGCTCCCATTATATGATTCTTCAAGCAAGAATAAGAATCGAAAAAGCGGGAAACGAGACCCCAGAATCAAAATAATCGTAGAATCGAAACTGAGTTATGGATCACAACTCCCATCATACTATTCTCCAATTTAGTTCTTATCGCACCCTAGCAACCCAAGTCACCAAAGTTACCTCAGTCACCCAGGTTAAATAAGTCACCCAGGATACCATAGTCACCAGAGTTAAACTAGTCACCCTAGTCACGCTTGTCACCCTAGTCAGCCAAGTCACCCGAGTCACCCCAGTCACCCAAGTAACCCAAGTCACCCTAGTCATCCCAGTCACCCTAGGTACCCAAGTCAACATAGTCACCAAAGTCACCCTAGTCACCGAGGTCACACTAGTCACCAGAGTCACCCTAGTCATCCTAATCTCCCAAGTCACCCTCATCACCCAAGTGACCCTACCCAAGTCACCCAAGACAACCTACTCACCTTAGTCACCCTAGTCACAAAAGTCACACGACTCACCTTAACCACCCAAATCTCCCTAGTCACCCTAGTAACCCAAGTCACCATACTCACCCAAGTCAACAATGTTAAAATAGTCACCCAAGTCACCCTAGTCACCCGCATCACCCCAGTCACCCACGTCACCCTAGTCACAGAAGTCACCCTAGTCACCCAAGTCACCCTAGTCACCGCAGTAATCCTAGTTATCGAGATCACCCGAGTCACCCAAGTCACCCTAGTCAAAATTCTCTCACTGTTCCACCATGACTGTTTCACCATGACTGTTCCACCAAAACTGTTTCACCATGACTGTCCCACTAAGACTGTTCCACCCTCACTGTACCAACGTCACCTTTCCACTATTACTGCCCCACAATGACCGTTCCACCAAAACTCTTCCAGCATCACTGTTCCCCCATGACTGTTCCACCATGACCGTTCCACTGTCACTGTTCCACTAGTACTGTTTTACCGTCACTGTTCCACCATGACTTTTCCACCGTCACTGTTCTACCAAGACTGCACCACCATCACTGTTTCACTATTACTGTGACACCACGAGTGTTCCACCATGACTGTTCCACAATTGCTGTTCTACCATTACTGTTCCACCATCACTGTTTTACCATGACTGTTCCACTATTACTGTTCCACCATTACTGTTCCACTATTACTGTTCCACTATTACTGTTTCACCATTACTGTTCCACCATTACTGTTCCACTATTACTGTTCCACTATTACTGTTCCACTATTACTGTTCCACCATTACTGTTCCACTATTACTGTTCCACCATTACTGTTCCACTATTACTGTTCCACTATTACTGTTCCACCATTACTGTTCCACTATTACTGTTCCACTATTACTGTTCCACTATTACTGTCCACTATTACTGTTCCTATTACTGTTCCTATTACTGTTCCACCATTACTGTTCCACCATTACTGTTCCACCATTACTGTTCATTACTGTTCCACTATTACTGTTCTGTTCCACCATTACTGTTCCACTATTACTGTTCCACTATTACTGTTCCACTATTACTGTTCCACCATTACTGTTCCACTATTACTGTTCCACCATTACTGTTCCACTATTACTGTTCCACCATTACTGTTCCACTATTACTGTTCCACCATTACTGTTCCACTATTACTGTTCCACCATTACTGTTCCACTATTACTGTTCCACCATTACTGTTCCACTATTACTGTTCCACCATTACTGTTTCCACTGTTCCACTATTACTGTTCCTATTACTGTTCCACCATTACTGTTCCACCATTACTGTTCCACATTATTACTGTTCCACCATTACTGTTCCACCATTACTGTTCCACTATTACTGTTCCACCATTACTGTTCCACCATTACTGTTCCACCATTACTGTTCCACTATTACTGTTTCCACCATTACTGTTCCACCATTACTGTTCCACTCCACCATTACTGTTCCACTATTACTGTTCCACTATTACTGTTCCACCATTACTGTTCCACTATTACTGTTTCCAGTACTGTTCCACTATTTACTGTTCCACTATTACTGTTCCACCATTACTGTTCCACCATTACTGTTCCTGTTCCACCATTACTGTTCCACCATTACTGTTCCACTATTCACTGTTCCACCATTACTGTTCCACTATTACTGTTCCACTACTACTGTTCCACTATTACTGTTCCTGTTCTGTTGTTCCACTATTACTGTTCCACCATTACTGTTCCACTATTACTGTTCCACTACTGTTCCACTGTTCTGTTCCACCATTACTGTTCCACTATTACTGTTCCACCATTACTGTTCCACTATTACTGTTCCACTATTACTGTTCCACTATTACTGTTCCACCATTACTGTTCCACCATTACTGTTCCACTATTACTGTTCCACTATTACTGTTCCATTACTGTTCTATTACTGTTCCTATTGCTGTTATTACATTACTGTTCCACTATTACTGTTCCACTATTACTGTTCCACTATTCCACTATTACTGTTCCACTATTACTGTTCCACTATTACTGTTCTATTACTGTTCCACTACTGTTCCACTATTACTGTTCCACCATTACTGTTTCTGTTCCACTATTACTGTTCCACCATTACTGTTCCACTATTAGTGTTCCACCATTACTGTTCCACTATTACTGTTCCACTATTACTGTTCCACTATTACTGTTCCACCATCACTGTTCCACTATTACTGTTCCACTATTACTGTTCCACCATTACTGTTCCACTATTCCACTATTACTGTTCCACCATTACTGTTCCACCATTACTGTTCCACTATTACTGTTCCACCATGACCGTTCCACTGTCACTGTTCCACTAGTACTGTTTTACCGTCACTGTTCCACCATGACTTTTCCACCGTCACTGTTCTACCAAGACTGCACCACCATCACTGTTTCACTAGTACTGTGACACCACGAGTGTTCCACCATGACTGTTCCACAATTGCTGTTCTACCATTACTGTTCCACCATCACTGTTTTACCATGACTGTTCCACTATTACTGTTCCACTACTACTGTCCACTATTACTGTTCCACTATTACTGTCCACTATTACTGTTCCACCATTACTGTTCCACTATTACTGTTCCACCATTACTGTTCCACTATTACTGTTCCACCATTACTGTTCCACTATTACTGTTCCACCATTACTGTTCCACTATTACTGTTCCACTATTACTGTTCCACCATTACTGTTCCACTATTACTGTTCCACCATTACTGTTCCACTATTACTGTTCCACCATTACTGTTCCACTATTACTGTTCCACTATTACTGTTCCACTATTACTGTCCACTATTACTGTTCCACTATTACTGTCCACTATTACTGTTCCACCATTACTGTTCCACTATTACTGTTCCACTATTACTGTTCCACTATTACTGTTCCACTATTACTGTTCCACCATTACTGTTCCACTATTACTGTTCCACTATTACTGTTCCACTATTACTGTTCCACTATTACTGTTCCACTATTACTGTTCCACTATTACTGTTCCACTATTACTGTTCCACTATTACTGTTCCACTATTACTGTTCCACTATTACTGTTCCACCATCACTGTTCCACTATTACTGTTCCACCATTACTGTTCCACCATTACTGTTCCACTATTACTGTTCCACCATGACCGTTCCACTGTCACTGTTCCACTAGTACTGTTTTACCGTCACTGTTCCACCATGACTTTTCCACCGTCACTGTTCTACCAAGACTGCACCACCATCACTGTTTCACTAGTACTGTGACACCACGAGTGTTCCACCATGACTGTTCCACAATTGCTGTTCTACCATTACTGTTCCACCATCACTGTTTTACCATGACTGTTCCACTATTACTGTTCCACTATTACTGTCCACTATTACTGTTCCACTATTACTGTTCCACTATTACTGTTTCACCATTACTGTTCCACCATTACTGTTCCACTATTACTGTTCCACTATTACTGTTCCACTATTACTGTTCCACCATTACTGTTCCACTATTACTGTTCCACCATTACTGTTCCACTATTACTGTTCCACTATTACTGTTCCACTATTACTGTTCCACCATTACTGTTCCACTATTACTGTTCCACTATTACTGTTCCACTATTACTGTTCCACCTCGAGTGTTCCACCATGACTGTTTCACCGTTATTGTTCCAGTATTACTGTTCCACCATTGCTGTTCCACCATCACTGTTTCACAATGACTGTTCCATTATTACTGTTCCACCAGGAGTGTTCCACCATGACTGTTATACCATGACTGTTCCACCATTACTGTCCACCATTACTGTTCCACCATGACTGTTCTACTATCACTTTTCCACCATTAGGGTTCCAGCATTACTGTTCCAATATTACTGTTCCACCTCGAGTGTTCCACCATGACTGTTTCACCGTTATTGTTCCACTATTACTGTTCCACCATTACTGTTCCACCATCACTGTTTCACAATGACTGTTCTATTACTACTGTTCCACCAGGAGTGTTCCACCATTACTGTTCCACCATTACTGTTCCACTATTACTGTTCCACTATTACTGTTCCACCATTACTGTTCCACTATTACTGTTTCACCATTACTGTTCCACTATTACTGTTCCACCATTACTGTTCTACCATGACCGTTCCACTGTCACTGTTCCACTAGTACTGTTTTACCGTCACTGTTCCACCATGACTTTTCCACCGTCACTGTTCTACCAAGACTGCACCACCATCACTGTTTCACTAGTACTGTGACACCACGAGTGTTCCACCATGACTGTTCCACAATTGCTGTTCTACCATTACTGTTCCACCATCACTGTTTTACCATGACTGTTCCACTATTACTGTTCCACTACTACTGTCCACTATTACTGTTCCACTATTACTGTCCACTATTACTGTTCCACCATTACTGTTCCACTATTACTGTTCCACTATTACTGTTCCACTATTACTGTTCCACTATTACTGTTCCACTATTACTGTTCGACCATTACTGTTCCACTATTACTGTTCCACCATTACTGTTTCACCATTACTGTTCCACCATTACTGTTCCACTATTACTGTCCACTATTTCTGTTCCACCATTACTGTTTCACGATTACTGTTTCACAATGACTGTTCTATTATTACTGTTCCACCAGGAGTGTTCCACCATGACTGTTCCACTATTACTGTCCACCATTACTGTTCCACCATGACTGTTCTACTATCACTTTTCCACCATTAGGGTTCCAGCATTACTGTTCCAATATTACTGTTCCACCTCGAGTGTTCCACCATGACTGTTTCACCGTTATTGTTCCACTATTACTGTTCCACCATTACTGTTCCACCATCACTGTTTCACAATGACTGTTCCATTGTTACTGTTCCACCAGGAGTGTTCCACCATGACTGTTCCACTATGTGTGTTGCACTATGACTGTTCCACCATAACTGTTCCACTATTACTGTCCACTATTACTGTTCCACCATGACTGTTCCACTATCACTGTTTCACCATTAGTGTTCCAGTATTACTGTTTCAATATTACTGTTCCACCACGAGTGTTCCACCATGACTGTTCCACCATGAGTGTTCCACCGTTACCGATCCACTATTACTGTTCCACCATTGCTGTTCCACCATCACTGTTTCACAATGACTGTTCCATTATTACTGTTCCACCAGGAGTGTTCCACCATGACTGTTATACCATGACTGTTCCACCATGTCTGTTCGACTATGACTGTTTTACCATTACTGTTCCTCTAAGACTGTTCCACCATTACTGTTCCGCTATCACTGTTTAACGATGACTATTTCACCATCACTGTTCCACCATGACTGTTCCACTATGACTGTTCGATCATGACTGTTCCACCATGACTGTTTTACAAGTCACCCTAGATACCCAAGTACATCCTACTCATCCTACCTAAGTCAGCCTAGTTACCGTAGTCACCCTAGTCACCCAAGTCACCCAAGTTACTGTAGTCACCCAAGTCACCCTCGTCACCCAAGTCATCCAAGTCACCCTAGTCACCCAAGTCACTCTAATCACCCAGGTTACCCTAGTCACCCTACTGACCCAAGTCACCGTAATCGCCCAAGATAGTCTCCCAAGTCACCCTGGTCACCCTACTAATCTAAGTCACCCTAATCACCCAAGTCACCCTAGTCACCCGAGTAATGCAAGGAACCCAAGTCACCCTCGTCACCCAAGTTAAACTAGTCACTCAAGTCACCGTAGTAACCCAAGTCACCATAGTCTCCCTTGTAACCCAAGTCAACCAAGTAATCTAAGTCACCCTGAACACCCAAGTTACCGTAATCACCCAAGTTACCCAAGTCAACCTCGTCACCCTAGTCACTCAAGTCAGCCAAGTTACCTTTGTTACCCAAGTCACCTTTGTCACCCTAGTTGTCCTACCACCCAAAGGGAGTGTGGGAACAAGTTGCACATGGATGGGAGAATAGGGGAAGAAGGTTCTTTACAAAAAATAAATAAACAAATAAACAAATAACGATAAAGAGGTAGCACATCCAAACAGTGGTTCTTTGTCTACCTGATTCCTAGTCAAATTCGAATTTGGATATGTTGGTTTTTAGAGAGCGTGAAAACGGAGTACCCTGTGAAAAAAATTAACCTCTCTTAGTAAGGGAGAGAACCTGCAACAACAAAGTGAAACCAAATATGGCATCGACACCGGGATTTCAACCTGGATGATAATGGTGGGTGAGGAGAGCTCAGAGGTGTTGAGAAATTTATCAAACTTGAAACAGTGGCCAAAAAAAAATGTTACCATATTGAATGAAAAATAAAGAACAAAGGTCTGAAACATTAAAAGAAGGTATAACTACAGAGGAGGGCACAGATGGACAAGCTTGAGTAAGATTAAAAGTTCAGTTTCGCTGTTTTTAACATCTGATTTGATGCTTCGGAGACATATTTGTCAGACACAAGGCCGTGATTTTGCAGTCATTTACAGGTAAGAGGGAGCAAGGAGCACAACAAGGAATGATGAAACAACCTATGCTCACTTTTTGTACCTTTCTTTTGTGTAGTATACGTTTTGTGGAGGATAAAGGGTGGGGTGGAGATGGAATAAGCTTGATAAAAGGAGAAGGCATTATACAGGTTATGTTCAGAATTACGTTCTTGTATTTTTGACATGGGGTGGGGAGGGAGAAGGATTGACATCAGCCACTTCGATTGACATCAGCCACATCGCGCCACGCCTCGATAATAACTTGTCTTAGCTGAGGTTCCATCACCTCATCAATAATGCTGTTAATAAGTGAATCATCTTGAGATTGCTGTAGCGCTTCAAAAACCTGCAGCACAAGTTTTGGACTAAATTGATATGGCTAAAGAAAGAAGTAGTCTGCTAAACCAAGAAGACAATATAACAAAATGAACATCAGTGAACAACAAGGCTGTGCTCCAATATGAATGGAGTCTAGTGCTCTGAACATATGAATTCCAGGGTGCAAAGTATACAATTTCTGTGAAAACAGAACTAAGAGTTTTTGGTTGCCTAGAGGCAAAAGTTAGGAGCCAGGAGCCATCTTGCTTTGCTAGAGCACAGCCTTGGTGAATTTGAAAACTACAAATGGTTTTATTTCGTTAGTTTTTTATTTACAAAATGTCTGAAGGTGTGTCAGGGGGTTGGAATTTTTCTCTCTTTTTCCAGTACATTCAATATATCAACATCTCAAGCGAATTGACAGTTATTACAGCTGAATGTATTTTATAAAGATACAAAATATCATGGAAGATTTACCAAGATGTAGACTGAGGATGTTCCAAACATTTGCAGATATTGGTGAGTTTGAACAGAAAGGTGAAAACACCTGCTAGAGGCAGGTAAGAATCGATTTAACAAACAAACAAATAAATAAGTAAATAGATAAATAAAAAAATTAATTAATTCATAGAAAAAAGAAAAGATGGCCCTACCACTCTAGGAAGCATGGGTCCTATTGCTTCCAGAATGAAGTCCTCAAGCCAATCACCAGTCTTTATTACAGTCATGTGATCTCTGACCATTTCATCCACTATAGACAGTATGATTTGAGTCGCAGACTCCTTGACAACCTCATTAACAATATCAGCAGACACTCTTACGGCAGGATCTCTTCTGGACAGAGAGCTGTTGAAAAACAAAAAGATTCTTAAGCATGACATCTTGTGCGTGGTCATTTTCAGGTGTTTCTTTGTGTTGTGGTGTGGGTACTGTTCGGTGTATTTTCAATCTCTTCAACACCAAGAAACTATCAGATTCTTAAATGTGACATCTTGCGCGCTTTGGCCGCGTGCGTGGCAATTTTCAGGTGTTTTTTGGGTTGTGGTGTGGGTATTGTAAAGTGTCTTTTCAATCTTGTGTATTACGTCATTTGTTGATTGCACCCGTCTGCAACAGCAAGAAACTACCCCATTTTCTACCATACTCGCGCGCATTTTGCTTGACTGACTAAGGAAAAGTAGAGACTGTTTGTTGTCTATGTCTCTCCCCTGGTACTGTGTATTACGCTGTACAAGGTGGTTCTAACTTTTGATTCTGAGGTTGAAATCCTGACGTGTGACCATTCAAATGAAAGCTACTGAGTAGTACTTTTTTGTGGTACTTTTTTTTACATTGAAAAGGTAATGGTAACAATGGAGCAGTTGGAAGCAATCTTTACATGTAAGTCTCTCTCGACAGTAATTGTACAAGCAAATGAATGAAAAATATTACATATATTTGACGAAAAATATCTCACCTTGAACCTTGAGAATAAAACACTGCTAGAGCAATCTCCTGAATGAAAGCAGTGACATCCTGATAGATAATGTCATTGACAACTCTCTCACTGGCTTTGTATTTGGGATCTTGAACTGACTGAAAAATAAGTGACCTTTTAATAACTCAGTTCCAACTCTGACTTCAAATAGTAAAATATTTCATGGTTTCAAGCGGAATTTTGAGCCTGAGGACAGATGCCTAATTCCCTCAAAAAATGGGAAGAGAGAGATTTTTTAGGAGAGGGGGCAACTGAATACAGGCTATAAATTTAATTTCAGAATAGGGAATGGTTATGACATTGCTGGGTGTGAGCTGGTGCTTAAGTTTGTAATCAAAGTCAAACCTCTATCCAAGAGTCTCATATTAAGCAGCCGCCCTCTTTTTAGTGGCAGGGCCATCATTAAGGCCGGGGGGACAGTGGGTGGGGGGAATTTCCTCCAGCTACTGTGAGCATGAGGCCTGGCTACTTCCTGATAAGGAACAATACGAAAATGGAACTAAAAAAGGTGATAGATCCATCAAAACTGAGAGAGAGTGCTCTACTAGCTAATTACCACAGTTCCAGTGGACAAAATAATATTACATTATAAACACTTAATAACTGGTCCCGAGGTACACAGTTAATTTTGTTTCCTGGAAATCTCAGAGTTTTCCAAAGCGAAGAAGAGGGAAACATTGAGGTCAGAGAAAACAAAATTAACTGTTTCCCAAGGGACCAGTTTTAAAGTGATTTGTTACATGGCTGGAAATTTTGAAGCTGGAAATTCATTAAACATCACTGTAACGGTGGTTGTCGGTCAACATTCACAGGTAACAGCGCACTGTTACCCTCTGATGTCATAGATTTTGCAATAATGCCCGCTTAGAGATTTTGGCAGGAAACAGTTTCATAGTTAGATGTCATGTGATCTCAAAGTATCCAATGAGAGCACACACTGCTGGGAAGAAACTTCCTGCTATATAACAAATCATATAATTAAGTAGAGTGTTAATAAGGCAATAAATTTGTGGTTGTATTTACCAGGAATTTTTTACCAGATAGAACATCAATCAAGACATCAGGAATGATTTCATCTGCCAAGAAGCTTTCAATCAAGTCATCTACAAATCTTCTAGAATGCTTTTTGTCACACATGTACCGCCAAAATGCAAACTTTGGACCCTGTTAAGCCATCATGCAAAGAAACCAGAGTGTTGAAAACTGTAATTCATTTCTGCTTAACTTGTCTGGTTAAAAATCTTGTAAACCAGCTAGAATTGATGATGACTTACAAAGGTGCTTGCATATGAGAGATTACAACCACAGTGCTTTGACCGTATAAAACAAATTTAAAATGTTGATAATTGGTTGTTTGAAGTGGATCGTTTCACATGGACGTTGACTTTTCTCATGATGACAGAATTTGACCTTAAGTCATTTATGCATCTGGCTGCAGTTGTTCAAAAGGTGGATAGTGCTATCCACTGGATTAATCTCTAACCAGTACATAGCACAATTGGTTTTTCCTAAGACTTATCTGCTGGATAGTCATTTACCCAGTGGATAGCACTATCCACCTGGGGCCTGTTGTTCGTGTTATTATAGAGGCCCTGCCAGGGTAAATTCCGACAAGCGACATGGCCCAAAAAGTAGCGACAGCGCGTAAAATGAAATCGCGACAAGAGACAACCTTCCTCGGCCAAATTGCGACAGTGATGGCAAAGCTGACAATCAGCGACAAGCATTTACAAACACCGACATGAGACGTTTTAAAATTCAGACGGGCGACATGAGACCCACCCTGGCAGGGCCTCGTTATACCATACTCCTCCCCACAGTTTCAGTGGGGAGGATCATTTATGCATGACAACACAAAGAGCACCTGCATTGGAGACAACAAAAAAAAACAATCCTTTACATGTATGCCCGTAATCAGCTTCTGAGCCAGTTGAGATGGGCGTAAGAGAAGAGAAAAAATATTACAGAAAAAACAATTAATAAAAGAATACAAAACCAGATAAAATCTAATTGTATCTATTAATAAATTAAAATAATTTTGTTAATAATAATAATAATATTTTAATCATTGAGAAAAATACTAAATATTATAAATATTCTAAATATTATTACCTTTCTTACTTGCCAGCCTCTGGTATATTTTTGCAGAATCAGAGCTGCCTGGGACATTGAAAGCTGATTGGGAGGTCTAGCAAGAAAAACAAAATTTAATGTCTAAGTTCTCAAAGCCACAGCCCACAAAACAACAGTTATTAATAACTACTTGCAGTGATTTGACTTTTTAAAGAATCATATTGAATTAATGATTAGACCTTGAAATGTCAGCTCTTCAACCACATTACAGTGGAAAATTTCCCTTGAATCCAGTTGAAAAACCTTTCTCTTTCATTAAATTTACCTCTGACTATAAAGTGCACCATTGACCAATCCATTATTGATAGCACTGTAGCCCAGTGGAGGAATAAACCAAGGAGCATATCCAGCATGCATTGGGATCATAGGGACTGGGTACATCACAGAGGGGTGGTGTGGGGGTGCCATGGGTGGATAGGGATAGTTAGATGACATGGCTGGGTAGAAATTGCCTCCATGGTGATTTGGATGAGTTACTTGCTCTTTTCTTGTATCCTTTGCTTTGGTGGGCCATCCCCTAAAAGATTAAAAGCCAAGTGAGCCAATTTCAGTTTTAAACCAAAATAAACAGGGGCCCATTTCTCGAAAACGGTCCAGAAGCTTTTTGGGCCCAAAGGCAAATTTTAAAATCAGAAGTTGCTGAACAGTAGCACAGTTCCTAGCTCACAAACCAGTCAATTTTGCTTTATTATATCATTTTCAAAATTATTATTGGAACCTTGATCTTGAATGCAAACACAAAACAGCTTTTTGGGGCCAAAAAGTTATCGGGACTTTTGAGAAACAGGCCCCTGGTCTGTTGTTTACTTACCGATGTCCAACCTCAGAGCTACCAAAACAACTGTCTTTAATATAGGGGTAACACAATTAATGGTAAACCAGTAGTATTTATTGTGACCCAAAAGGCTAAGAATTTCAACTGGCCAGAAGTAAACCAGTTTGCTTTATACAAGCATGACTGAGGAATTGTACTCGGGACTACCAAGAACAAATCCAGTCAGCAGTTATGGTGGGGATTGAACTCATGGTCTGTGGGTCACAATTTCAGTGCTCTAACCATTCAGCCATGCTGCCTCCCACCAGTATGTCAAAAGGTAGTTTATGATATACATTAATGAAGAAGACTAAATCTTCTTTATCCTTAGCCATCCTTAATTCATTTACATCTTACCACTATTTTGAGATTTCCTTCCATTTCTAGACAATTTTAGAGAAGTGCAAAATAATAATACTTCCAAGGAAACATTATGACTAGCAGCACAGCTTAGGTTTTTTTTTAAGAGACAAAAATAAGACGGCTCTTATTGCTAGGGTTTATTATACCTCGAAAATTCACCATGCTGATGTGCATAAGGTACAGGAGGAATGACAGTTAAATTTCCCCGTTTTAAATCTTGATCATAATGAGAATCTGCTGAAGATGGACGGTTTTCAAGCTTGGGCAGATGTTGTGGGCTTGGTTTTCGTGATGGAACAAACTTTTCCCCCTTCTCCCTGTAAGATTCAGCTGACCAGCGACGATAAGTGGAGGCTGGAAAGGACTTGTTTACTGTAGACCAATCCCTATTCTTTTCTCTTTCTTTAAGCCTACAAAAGAATTAATTTATTTGCATTTGTATTTGAAATTCAACCCCTTCTCAAACAGATCCAACACACCAATACACTTCATCCATCACCGTTATTTATAAAACATCAAAAGTACTCAACACCTCCTCACATTGTGTGATCAAGTTTGGTTTTGGCCCCAATATCTACATACAAATTCTCGAGATTGATCTCCCTACATTTCCTAAAAAAAAAATTAGTTGAGAGAATTTGAGAAAAGATCAAAGATTGATCTCTTTGTAATCAATTTATTAATTCTCCTAGACTTTGCTCTTGACAATCTATAGATATTGTTAGGAGAAAAATTATGTTGGTCGCCATTGAGACTTAAGGGTTAAAAACCTTTTCCATCATCCAACTCTGTGGGGTGGTGAAGGGTCCTCCAAATATTATACAGGGAGATGATGATGTCCAACCGCTCACCCTTTTTATTTACCATTGTTGACAGAAACATTTGTATACCATGTCTACTGACAAATGGTACTCCTTTAACATATGGTACCTACAATCATGGACAAGAGGACAAGAGACTTGAGACGTTTTTGCATTTCTGGGGTGTTTTCCAATTCACACAGGTCCAACAGCTCCTCTCACCCCACAAACAATGTTGAACACATGTATCCAGAATTTTTTCGGGGTTTGAACTTTGTATAGGGTGGGGGGAAGGGAGAACTGCAAGAAAATTTCGAAAAGGATGCACTGTTTTAAGAGTGAACCGAGAAATGACAGAAAAATATGAATATTGCAGTACTGTCATAAGAACTTTTGTCCAGGATTATAGTTTAGAACACTGCATTCCATTTAACTGCTGTTAATGCACTATCCTGTGAAAATGAATAAATAAATAAAAAAAAGGACGTTTTCTTGACTTTTTGACAGCCACAAAATGCATCTGTAAACCATTTTTAGACCAAAATGACAGATTTTCCCACCCACAGGAAAAAATAATGGATTCCCATTTTTGGATATTTTAGGGTATTTAAAGAATACCCAGAAAAATCCCAAATTTGGAAGAGTGAGACAAGTCCCAATCAGGGAACTTGGTTGGGAATTCCCTCGTTGGGACTTGTCTCACTTTGCCAAATTTGGGATTTTTATGGGTATTCTTTAAATACCCTAAAATATCCAAAAATGGGAATCCGTTATTATTTCCTGTGGTACCCCTTTCATATACTCCAACTAGAGAAATCCCAGACTTGTACCAAGTCACCGTGTATTTATTCTCGCAAAGGAATATGGAAAGGAAATTTGACGCAATTTTTTCCTTCCTTTTTATTGGAAGTCCAAATGAATGCTGGCAACACAGATGCCACGCATGCGTAGTACTTAATGTCCTGGAGGTTAGGATTGTGGGCTTCTCTTGTTGCCTGCGATTAAACATAAGCTTAAACAGCACTTTTGAAGGGGCGTCATTATAAACTAGAGACATTTTTTTTCAAATACTCAAAAATTAGAAACAAGCTCCAGTAAGTTTAAAACTTAGTCCAAATGTTCAAAATGCTCATTTGATCACTGAGGAATTTAAAGAAACTTTTTTTCACTTAAAATTAAACTGCAAAACCTTTTAAGCCTCCCAGTCGATTCTATATTCAGCCATTGAGTACTCAACATTATCTGTTTCCAGAAACACGCGATGCCAAACTTACCTCTCTAGGACAGACTTTCTGGGATCATAAGCTGACATAGTAGAGTTGCGTTGGAAACATTTTCCACCTTGTCAGAGACGTGTAATCCATTTCTTCTCCAGTATTGTCCAAATTTCTCGCCCCAAAAAAAGAACCTTGCAGAATAATCCAACTTTTTGTCAAGAAAACATTTTAAGAAAGGGAATATTAACAGTAAAAATCAAGGCATTTTTTCGCTTGTTTGTTAAAGCTCAGTTGTCCACCATTTGAAAGTAGCACTCTACCCCAGTCCCCCTCGAACTTGCCAATTGCTGTGTACCAGAGCCTTGACCACAGCCCCCTCCCCTCAGAAAAATCTCAGAAGTGGGGAGGGGAGGGGGCTATAAAATTTCAGGTTATGCGAATGTCTTGAGCGTTTATCAACCGAAAAGTAAGCTTAACGGGAAAAATTTAACGCACATGATGATAAATTGTAGAAAAAATGGATAACTCTTATACAGCGTCCTAGAATTTATAATTGTTTTCGTATGAATAATTACTTAGCTAAGAAGTATAATGTTGTTCAGGGGTCCGTTTAATAAATCCTTCACACGTGTAATTCACAAGTGTAACTATTGTTTTATTGTTTTACACTTGTTAAGGTTTTATAAAATTGACACCAGGGCTCTCATAGTGAGCTTGGGCTACTTGTCGTTTCGCCCATATTTATCTTTATTTTTTTTCTAGACCGATGTAAACCATCATTGTGTAGAATGGAGAATAAAAGCTTTTAATCAACGTTTCAATTTAAAGTGTGAAGAAATTTACGAAGCAACTTTTAGGATTTAGGTAGCTTGTTTTGCATATTTTTTAGCAACTTATTGCCCCCCCCCCCCGGGGGGACTCCGCATATAAAAGGGGTGGGGATGCTCGTGGGAAATTTTGAATTAAAGCCCTAAAGCAGACCGATCTGGGCGTGGACCAAGCTTTTTTTGACCCCTAAAAGAGACCATGTTCAAACACAGACATATGAGAAAACTTGCATTATATGAATGGAGTAAACAAAACGCATTAAAAATATACATATCAAATATGTATTTTCATATTTTTTCGCGTGCAACCCTAAACGAGACCTTCACGGCTAAATATGATGGCGTTTTGCCTAAAACACCCTAAGTGAGACCAAAATCCGAAATTTACACCCCTTAGCGAGACGACGAGCATACCCACCCCTTTCATACGCGGAGTCCCCCCTCGGGTTATTGGCATTCCAGTGAGCAAGTTTCCGGCATTTTACGAGCAAAAATGTACAATCGGGACAGGCCTAGTTGACAGAAGGCCATGCGCTTTTAAAAATCGCAATTATTGCAGACAAAGAATATTTAAAATTTCAAATATTGTATTTTATTGATAGTGAAGCAAAGTTATATCCCTGTTTAAAGACATAAATGGAATAATAATCTCTTTGAATATTTATACAATCAGTACAACTGAATCAAGGTCTGCATTAGACTCAGAACCACATTGGATACATCACCGGAACCATAAAACACCACGCTCCTCGCCTCGCCGCCTGGAAACAGATAGAGGGAAAAATTGCCTGGGAAATCGACACCTTCGATAGTTTCTAATTTCCCTAAAGGGCCTCAGCTCATTTACCCTAGTCGAGATAAATGACACGACGATAATTCTACTTTCAATAAATTGCCGTTGGTAATTTCTGGTACTGCTACTGCTGCTGCTAAATCAAACCAAATAAGCCATTTGCACGATGACATCATGTTACTACTAAGACCAGAATCCTTCAGGGTTTTGCTTTCTTGTGCTAATTAGGGTTTTTGTTATTCAAACCTCGCTGGGATTACAAAATTTAAATATGAAAGAAAAAACGAAAAGGATTCTGGTCGTAGTAGTAAAATGACGCCATAGTGCAAATGGCCTACCGTAAAATTCCGAAAATAAGCCCCGGGGCTTCCATTTTTCAAAGACCCATTTTGAGGGGCGTAGTTTTGGAGGGGCTTATCTACAGAGGGAAATTTGCGTTTTTAAAATCAATTGGGCTAGCCTTATAGTTGGCAGTAAATTTACCGATTTTGCCTTGTTTTACTTTGTACTTGAGGGCAGTTTTCCAAGCACAAGCCCCTGGGGGGCTTATATTTGGAGGGGCGATTTAACGGAGGGTTTTTGCGTTACCGGTTTGGGGGGATTATATTTAGAGGGGCTAATACATGGAGAGGCTTATTTTCGGAATTTTACGGTATTAGGTCGTCGTTATTACTTCAAGCAAGTTTTAGATAGCAAAACATCCCAACTTGGAATAGAAACATGTACCACACACTGGTGACTTACAGTCCTTCTTTAGCTTCGCGTAAAGGCATCGTGAACCAGACCTCATTATAAAGGAGTTATCATTCAAGAGGCTAAGGCCCGGTTCAGACGCCGTACTTTTCATGAGCCGAACCTAATACATTGAATTAAGTACATGAAAAGTTCGGCGTCTGAATCAATTAGGAACGCCTGTTTCAATTTGGAACGGCTCAGCCGTTCTTTTCGCCTAGCCCGGCCCGGAATTTCGCCTTTGGATCGACTTTGGAACGCCTTTGATTCAGACGCCGAACTTTTCATGTACCGAACCAAATGCAGAAATTCTTATACCGTATTTTGTAAGCAGTTTGACCGAAATGCACATTTTTCGCCTTCTGAATTTAGTTCGGCTGGAATTAAGATCGGCGTCTGAATCACTTTAGCCGGTCTAAATAATTTGGGTCGGCCTTAACTCGAATTAGGTTCGGCTCATGAAAAGTTCGGCGTCTGAACCGGGCCTAAAAGATGAGATGGATCGTCAGATGTTGTTTACAGTCCTTAACTATTACCCCTTCCCCCACGGGAGAAAAACCGCTCCAACAGCGCCGTAGATGTTCCCTTAATTGACCAACACATTTTGTGGTGGTGCAAATAATATACCCTTGTTCTTAGAAAACGAAAACAAGCCATTTATCTATTTCAGTAGAAACCAACAAGCATACTACCTTCGATTCTATGCCAAGTTTTGATGAAAACTTCTCAAACTCATTAATAATTCATTAAGAACATACAAAGGAAATTAATGTTTAATGAGTGTTTGGAAATCGGATGAAACACTGCTTAGTATTTGCATCCTTAATTTCTCCTTCGAAAATGATTTTGTTTGAGAAGAAATATCAAACATTCGACACAGTGTTTCATCACCAGATGAAACACCTCGAAGTTCGTCAAAAATACTCCGCTGCGCGTCGTATTTTCAACTCTCTTCTCGGTGTTTCATCTGGTGATGAAACACTGCATCTCATGTTTGATATATTACATCAAAAAAAGCCTTGTATTTACGATAACTGTAGAAAATGCTAAGATGTTAAAAAATTTGCACTTATTACCCGGATAAAAATGTTCCGAAAATTGCGGTTGCTTACTTTTGTTCTAGGAAAGTATCATTATTAAGTTTTTCCCCTTCTTCCTCGGAAACATCGCAAAATGATTTGCTGAAGACGTTTTGTTTTAGTTTAAAACACCCGCTTACTACTCAGAAGCCATCACGCAACAGATGCGTGAGTACGTTAACCAATCAGATTGTAGAATTCGCGATAGTATCCTAGTTGGTTTGTACTAATAAATAATATGATATAAAGAAGAAATATAGTTATGTTGAGTAAATGTAGTTATAAACGACTTCTGGAATAAAAATAATCTTAACAATTCAATATTTTGCATTTCTATGTATTTATAATTAAATAAAATAGGCGCCGAGTGCAACTCTAAAGAAAATAATTAAATATTGGTCCCATTTACACCACTTTGAAATACAAAAGTCCCCAATATATCGCTAATTTGAATTCTATGCACAAACGCCTGATCAGATTTCCTTTAATTATAAGTAATTTTGTAGAATGAGGGATGAAGAAAGCACTTGAAAAAGTGCAGAAAATAATCACAGTCAGTTTTCATAGCCGCAATCTTATCTCGTGTTTTTAGAGCGTGATTAAAACACGTGCTCTAGAGAAAAGGTCGTGTTTTTCCTGAAGGTGTAACTTAGTGCGTGTTCTCGTAAGGTGACGCGTGAACCCATACACGTGTAACGTGAGTCTTAAACACGTGCTGCAGTACACAGAGTACTCAACTCATCCACCAACGTTTCGTGACGGAACGCTACTCTGATATCCGGGACATTAGTCCTGTGCACGTCATTTCCAGCAGCTCCTTCTTTCTTATAATTGTCTCCAATCCAATGACGTTTCACCTAAGAAAAAACAAAACAGCAATTTAGAGGTTTCTTGGGGTTATTCATCCAAGATAGCAAGGACAGGCGAGACTTGAAATAGCCTGCGTAGCAGGCGCTTGGAAGTAGCGGGCGAAAGAGAGAACGGGCGCGCGCGAGGGAGACACGCAAGGGGTGAGGGAGCGCCTGCACGGAAGGCCCCCGAAAATCGTTTCAACTCGCACTCTGTGAGTGCGGATATTTCCAATTGGTCGAGAGGCTCCCGAGGGAAAAATTAACCGCGCGGGGCGAGAAAACTGTCAATCAATAGTACATGGACAACGTAGTGAAGATCTTGCATTACACCACTGGGTCCTGAAACCACTAAATTGTATACAATCGAAGTTCAGGTCTCGGAGGTCACTTCAATCTGGTTTAATGGGACTATGTGGCTGTAATCTCAAAGAAAAGTTGGAGTGTTCAAACGGTATTCACGATGGAAAGAATTGACATCGGATACGCATCAACAGAAGTGGCGAGAGACAAAAGATTTGTCGAATCGTTGCAATGAAGATCAGAGGAAATATTCTTTGCTCAGGAGAACTTGGCGGCTTGTGCTGTCGATGGAACGTATACCATCAAAACTTGGACATGATTGATGAAATGAAGCACTTACCAGGGGCATGAATTTGAAAAAAACATTTCACTATAGTATTATTCGCCGTTCGGAGGCGACCTGAGGTCTGTTGTTTATGTCTCATTACTGCAGTAGAAAACATGTCGGTACAGTTTGTGTTCTGAGGTTTAGGTCCGCTTAGTAAGAAATGTCTGCTCCAAAAACGGCTGCCGGTTAGCGCAGTAATTAAAAGCAATATGGTCGTTTTCCACGTACGCTGTGATCGTTGGTGTCTGACCAGAACAATATTTTTAGCTTTTATAATACACAGCATGCATTCTTTAAAAGATACCCAGTTTTGACTTTGTTATTTCCTGTTTATTGTGCCCATGTTAAAAAACGATTTAAAGCTGTGTGTTAACCATCAGTTTATTGCTCCATCGCTCTATAATCAGATAACCCAGCTGATCTTTATAACAGATATATTTAGACCGAAGATAAAATGTACAACGCTTTTTGGCGGCTTGCTTTGTTTGTGCGAGGTCAGTCGTTTTCTGTCAAAACTTTTGACAGATCACGCAACGGCTGCCAAGTAATTAGAGAGGGGGCGGGAAACGATTTTCGGGGGCCTTCCGTGCAGGCGCTTCCTCTCCCCTCGCGTGTCTCCTTCTTGCGCGCCCGTTTTTTCTTGGGCCCACTACTTCCAAGCGTCTGCTACGCAGGCTAGACTTGAAATAGCTACGGTCTCTACGGTCTACGGTGATTGAATGGAAATCCCGCGCCACTTCTTAACATCCCGCGTTTGGCACCGGCCGCCAGTATTTTCTCCGAAAGGTGATTGGTCTATTTGAAAATATGGGGAGTTGTGATAGGCCAGAATAGTTACTTCAACCGGTTTTTGTTTAACGTCACTCCGGCACTGAAAACCGCTCTAAAAGAGTCCAAAGTTGAGTGCTGTAAATGAGTCTTCACTAGATTTCGTGGACGTCTTTTTTTTCCTTTTCTTTTCATTTCGATTGTGACGTTCCACGATATTGAGCTGAAAACCGCTCTCTGTATCTGGTTTAGTTCTGTGCTTACAGAGATTAAAGAAAGGTTATAAAAGAACTTGTAGGGAGCTTAAGCAGCACTGACGGCGACGGATACAAAAAACATCACTTGAAAATCGCGATCACGTGATGTGGTTAAGATGGACGGCCGCGTGTTTAAGTGCTCCGCGTAACATTTCGTAAATTTCTGATGTTTAAGTGTTCCTTCTGCTTTTTTCTATTTGTTTTGTTATCTTGTTTCGTGTGTCACATTATGCCTGAGTCTATTGCCAACCTAAAGAGAGAAAATAACGATCTCAAATCTAAAGTTTCAACGTTAACGGAGGAGATTTCAAGACTAAAAGATTTATTTCAACAACAAAGCAGCAGTCGAAGTCTCCCGTCTTATTAAGTTATTTAATACTTTAGGTTAACCTCTCTTCGTAATCGTTATGTACATGCCTTGTTTTATGTTAGTTTAAACTCTATTTACTGTATTGTAGTGTCTTCACTGTTATTTAGTCCATCTATATATAATTCTTGTTTTGTAATATGTCTTCAGCTCCCCCCGCCTCGATTAGTTCATAAGCTATTTGCGGGTGGGAAAGTAATGTAATTAGTTATTTTCCAATTTTCAATAAAATTTGTTGTTGTTGTTGTTGTTAGTGTGTTCGCTCTGCTTCAAATTTTATCGTGCTTATTTCATCTCGTTCATTTCGTCAAATGCTGGCGAATTTTTTGCGGGAGTTAAATTCTAAAGTTCAGGAAAAACTTGAAGAATGAAGGTCGTTGTCCGGTGTTCACCCCCTCCAAAAAACGTGAAATTAGGCAGTTTCATGTCGTAGTTGTGCAACGACGGCAAGAAATGTACAAAAAAGCGTTAAGCACGTGCAAAGTTGTTGTTTTGCTAAACTAAACCAACTGCTTTTTTCCGGCGTTTTTGTTGCCGTCGCCGTCACCGTTGGTTAAGCTCCCTATATATACCGCCAAGAAGACGTCGGCGGTAACTGAAAAAGTCACTTATAAAGTAATTTAATTTGCGTTCATTCAGACGTCATAGCAGTAATTTACATGGCTTAATTGTCAAAGGCAGGAGAATTCCATGAGCACTATCCAACCAAACTTTGTAGACAGTTTATGCAAATGGTAACAAAACAACCTTTCGACTTAGCATTTCGGCAAGCACTGCTGTCCTAAAACCGGGTGTCAAAAGTAATTACGGAGATTTGCGTAGCTAGGCTTTGTGATTGGCTAAAACAAACACCTGCCACTTTCTAAACCAATGAGCGATAGAGAAACCAAAACCAATCATGACTTGCCAGCACGTGTTTTCCCGCGCTTGGAAACGGCTACATACATAAGCGTAAACCGAGTTCTGAGTGGCTAATTTTACGTTGTAAATGTTGACAGTTCTTACTTTGGTTTACGGGCATTAAATTGAAAACAAGTCTTTTACCTTATCCTCAAAACCGCTCATGATAACGCTGTTCCTGGCCAGTTCTGACATATCACATGGACTAAGCTTCCAGACCTGAGCGGCAATGCTGTACTCTTCCATCAGTGGTTCCTGAAAACCAGAAGTAAATAACCTCTTGAAGCGCTGTTGCACTAGACAAAGTTTCTTGAACGTATTTTAGAAATGCTGTCGCTCCTTTGCGAGACGTGAGTCACCGTACCATTTAAAAAACATTATGAACATTTGAGCGGAAAGCCTAAACGTAAGAATTTTTAACCGGCCGAAATTTCGTCTGGTACCGTTTGAGTGTGGCCCTTGTCGCGTTCTTTTGGGAATATAACTGAATAGGCCTCTGAACATGATGAAAAATGAAATAAGAAATGACAAAATGAATGGGAGGGAGTTAGGAAAACAGATGAAAAAAAGAACATGATAAAAAGCAAAATGAATCATTAAAAAAGAGAAAGAGACAGACCAAGATTACGCTAGCCTGCGAGCAGGCTCATTTGTACGAAGCCACCAAAACGCAACGAAACCACCGCCAAACTTTTCCCGAAATCGCACAAGTGAGTCCTCTCGCGGGCTAGTGTAATCCAAACAGTCTGAAAAGGCATCGCGAGCATTTCTGTTACTGTTCCTTTTTCTACAATCTGAGAACAGTCAACCCTACAAGACGGACACCTAGAGTTGGTGCCTGCCTCTTTTTACTCTTTATTATAAGACAGAGATCAATAATAGACGGAAACTAAGGGTAGATTTCCACGCATACGAGCGTAGAAATTACGTGCATAAATAAATGTAATGTATCAAAAGTTACGCGTAAACGTAACAGTAAAAACTCGCTCAACATGCATTGCCTCTATTTATTTTACGCACGTAAAGATAACGCGACAGTGGCTGTGATAAGTGTCTGTCCCAAAGGTATCCGTCTTGGAGAGAGAGTTACTATATGGTAATTTTACCTTTGTAAAATGAAACATAAGTGGATCGTCAGTGGATAAAGACACCATCAGACCGCGCGCTAAGAAATCTGGAAGAGGGTTTCTTTGGTAATTAAGGAACAACGAGTTGTTACTGAGGGGCGACATCGCAATACCAATTTGAGCCAAGTAGTACAAATACTGAAGTGCAGGAACCTGTGGAAAATACAAATTACATGTACTGTTATGGGAAACTCGATCAGCGGACAGGATAGATGTCACATGGTATAAATACACCAATCAGATTTGGACAATGAAACACTCAGCTTACATATGGCGCGAATTCCAGGGAAACTTTTATTTTTGGAAACAGACATCAAATCAGGACTTCAGTATTTCCTTAGCCTTCCCGTAAAAATGAAGAATCCAATTCGCCATAGTGGATTTTTCCTTATCAAGTCAGTGTACAGCGTCTTCCCAGGCCTTTTCGGTCGATGAAGTTTGGTGACGTTAGGAGCCCAAACGGCGAGGAGCCAAAACCCGGTCAGAACAAGTGACTCGAAAAGTATGAGCCGCGTGGAATAACATAACGAGGCCCTGGGACTGGCAAGATTTCCCCTCCAAATAATTCCCTTAAAATATGGTTATAATGCAGTCCACGTTTGTACTGACCTTTCGGAGTAGAAGTCCATGAGAGATATTTTCAGCTAACATAAAGGCAGAAACTAAATGATGAGCAGGACCAGCTTCTCCACAGTGAGGGCGCAATACAAATGTGTTAAAACCTCGCTCTCTGTAGATAGCAAAGAGACAAAACATTCATAATAATCACAGCATCGCATCGTAACTTTTGTAGGGGATAAAAATTGTGGTTTGCAGGTACCATTTAGGAAACAATCGAATCTAAAACGACTGTTGTCTCCTTTGGGGTATCCAACAAAAAATTCAATGTGGTTAAATGTTAGTTTAGGTAAGATTAACCTCGAGACAACACTTGAGGATCAGCGGTTAAACCCCAGGCAGGTAGGCTTGTGTGGAGTGGCTGCCGGGTCTGCAGGGGCTTACATGTGATTGCATATCTCAGCATTACCTTGCCTTGCTTTGTTGGTCTTTGCGAATCATTGCAAATTCACGACCTGAGATATCTGCTACTTTCTGCTCTCACTCCTCCCACCCTCGGATAGATAAGTATGGGTTGTGGCGAGTATTCTACTGAACTCTTACAGTGGGACGGTACTAGGTGGTTAGTACTCGCTTGGTTGCCATGGTTACCTCCAAGGTTATGCTGTCTTTTGTACTACAGGACCTCCCACCTTTAAGGAACCCTCTCCCAAGCTCATCTTGTTGATGAGTTTAATTCATCATCCTTTCCTGTGGCACTGTTTTACATCACTAGTTTGTGAATGAAATCCAACAGTGTAAAGGTGATGTTCCACCGGACGATTTGCAACGACGATTTTTAGCGCAACACAGCGTTGCAATGTTGGAACAATGTTGTAACCATTCAAAACAATGTTGCAACAATGTTGCAATGCTGTGTTGCACTAAAAATCGTTTTTGCGAATCGTTTCGTGTAACATCACCTTAACCATTCGAATGAAACCCCATCTAAAAAAGACCATTATTTTTGTTTTTCATCAGTTTACAAAATTAAAGTCAGGTGACCTACCTTCTCAAGTGATTAAGTACCACCATATTGGAGTACAAGTAATACACGTAATAAGCATATGGTGGATTGTCATTTGTGGTCCAATCAGCTGGAAGCGGGCTGCGGCTAGAAAATACATGGCTTTCTGCTTTGCTTTCATCATCCACACTGTCAAATCCAGCAACCTGTTAAAATGGCAACAAAAGGCATTAGTGACATATTACTTTGCAATGAGAGTGACGAGGTTTCTCCAGAAAAAGTGGAGTAGAGGGGAAAATTTAAAGTAGGCGGCAATAGAGAGAAGTGTGACGTCTTGTTACCATGGTAGCAAAGTTTCTGGATCACAACAATAGGGAGCTTAAGCAACAACAACGGCGATAGCAACGAGAACGTAAAAAAAAAATAGATCATTCAGATATGCAAAACAACCACTATGCACGTGATCACGCTTTTTTTGTACATTTCTTAGCCGTCGTTGCACGACTCCGACATAAAACTTCCTAATTTCATGTACATAAGCTTTATTTTTTATCATAAGTTTGTTTTCTTGATCGAAATTTTTGAGAAACAAATACCGCCAAATTATTCCCTTCTTTGTAAAAACTACTTTGTGTGAGTAGCCGGTGCTTCAGTCCCAACAATACGGCGATTTCTTCCGGCTGTGGTAGCTTCTGGAGAGCACTGCTGTGACCTACAAGTGTGAATTTTCAGACTGGATCCTCTGAGATCAGTACCTTAGTAACACAAACTTACCAATGACAGAAACTTGTGCAGCTCGGGGTGAGACTGTGGATTCACTGTTGCTTCAAACAATGGCGCAAATATGTTCTCTAGCATCTCCTGGAAGTTCTTCACAAGGTTCTTTGACCGATAGACATCACTGTACAAAAAATAATGCAACACAAATAAGAGTGAATAGTGGGCACTGAATTGTATCGTTTTACTGAAATGGTTGCTAATAATCAACAGCCTGCTTATTATAAAACTTATCACCTAGGCTATCAATAATGATCATGACAAATCACTGGTGATGAAAATGATGATGATGCAATGATGATGAGAATGATGACAATGCTGGTAATGATGATGATGATGATGATGATGATAATGATGACGATGCTGGTAATAATAATGACGATGCTGGTAATAATAATGATGATGATGATGATGATGATGATGATGATGATGATAATGATGACGATGCTGGTAATAATGATGATGATGATGATGATAATGATGACGATGCTGGTAATAATGATGATGATGATGATGACGATAATGATGATGATGCAATGACAACGAGAATGATGACGATGCTGGTGATAATGATGATGATGATGATGATGATGATAATGATGACTGCTGGTGATACTGATGATGATGATGCAATGATGATGAGAATGATGATGATGATAATGATGATGATGCAATGATGATGAGAATGATGATGATGTCAACGACTGAAAATTAGGCGTGTTCTGAACAAGCAAGGGACTACATACAACTGCCTAAAATTGTGTGAGATGGAAAAACATCCAAGGAGGAACTTCCAGGCTATGGGTGAAATTTGAGTGTGAAACAAGAAAAGAAAGTCAATGGTTGGCTTCAAGAGAGCTTAAAATAAAGATTGGAGGGATGCATGTTCCTCCAAACAAGCAAGGCTCTTTTAAATTACAGAGCCGTTCAATTTGTGCAGGGAAGATTTCTAGTTGCTTAGGAGTAAATGCAACAAGTAGGCAGTGAATCAAACAGCTAGGGTTTTCTTTTCATTCTATTTTTCGAACCCACGTCCCTCTGTGTTCTAGAACACGGAGGGTCGTTGGTTCCCATGAATTGTATAATACTTTCATAACAAAGTTCAGATATAAACACACTCTGATTGGTTGAAAAAGCGTGTTTTATGAGAGTACAAAACACACATCTAAAGCTGTCGCACCATCCGCCAATAGTTTGTTTTGAAAATCAGAAAGTAATGTGTGGGGAATTTAACAGATTGTTTATCATATGACGAGTGAAGAAGCCTTGACTGTGCTCTGTTCTGCTGTAGAGCACTTAGGAAGCCGATAGAGCACTCCAGAAGTGCAGGCAGAAACACTTGACTACGCCCTGTGTTCCCCCTACACTTCTTTCATACTCTAGCTGCCTCCTGTATGCATTACAACAGAAGGTTCATCTGCAAGCAGTTGAAAACCACAGGAGAGGTCCCACCAAAGCTACATTTTGGTATCGACAGGTCGTGTTCCTGTCAAAAAATACACTAAAAAAAATGGCCTTGCTCTACCAACAGAGCACAGTCAAGGCTTCTTTATTAAACAGATACTCACAACAGTCGAGGGATCTGAATAAGCCAGCGGACATTATCAGAGTAAACATCATACTTTACAGCCCAGGAGGCTAAATGATCCCACTCATCTCTTGAACGACCATAAATGGATAACCTAGGCTCTGCATTCTGGTACTTGCTTTCTTCCAAGTCTGACATGACCTCTTTAAGCAGCTCAGCAAAGTAGCGGCCATTAATGTGGTTGTCTGTCTTGAGAAAGATCTCCCTTAAGCGGCTTTCACCTAAATACAGTGATTCAATAATATTTATAGGATGTTGTTTTTTATAAAGATAATAACAATAAAAATAATATCAGTAGTAATAATAATAATAATAATAGCTGTAGGCAAAATGAACACTTAAAGAATACTCACCTATAGGATTGTATTTTGTGTTGAATTTGTCAAAACGATGAAATGTGTTCCTGTCCTGTTACGAGAAAACAGCAACATTTTTATTAAAATGTAAACCGAAAAAAGGATGCGACAGTGTCAATTTCAAAACTTAGGTTAGGGTACACTACAAAACTTGCTCTTGTGCATGCAAAGCCTAAATTCTGTAAATTCTCAAAGGCAGAGATAACTGATTGGCTGATCTTGAAAACCTTTGTTTAAAAAGACCTACCGTAAAATTCCGAAAATAAGCCCCGGGGCTTATATTTTTCAACGGCCCTTTTTGAGGGGCTTATTTTTGGAGGGGCTTATCTAAGGAGGGAAATTTGCGTTTCAAAATTGATTGGGCTAGCCTTATAGTTGGAAGGAAATGTACTGTTTTTACTTTGTTTTACTTTGTATTTGAGGGCAATTTCCAAGTACAAGCCCCCGGGGGCTTACATTTGGAGGGGCGATTTAACGGAGGGTTTTATACGTTACGAGTTTGGGGGGCTTATATTTGGAGGGGCTTATACATGGAGGCGCTTATTTTCGGCATTTTACGGTAACTTAACGTAACAAGATTTTCTGGTACTTACTGCATGTACATCTAGAGTATCAACACTGAGGTCATATGGTGTCAACTTCAACATTGCAAACACCTACAAGTAAAAAAAAACAGTAACAAATGAAGAATTTTCCTGGCAGGTAACTACATTTTTCTTTCTTCTTGACACCTTCACTTTGCGTGACTACTACAGTGCCGTCACATTGTTCTTGCTGTTTAGTTCCACTTTTATGTTGTATCCACCTGTTTATACCCCATCTCCTGGTAGATGCAGGCCACAAGGACAGAAAACTATTATATGTAATAACTCCTGTGACTATTGGTCCATGGCTCGCTAAAAGTTGTAAATATCTGCTAGCAAATAGCAAATCTGGCACAGGGATGTGCTAGAGGAAGGTATCTGCCGTCTATACTGAAGCCAACTGATGACGATGATGACTAACACTAAAAATATTTTCACAACATGCTCTCCTTAGACTTTGTACTGCAAAAACTTTTATTATTGTTATCCAGCAGATACTGTACTGTAGTACCCCTACTGATGTCCAATCAAAAGAAGTGTCAGCTTGTACCAGCAAGGTTCATAGCAACAAAAGACTTGTCTTGATGAATAAAGAGTGAAACAGTACCTCACGTAACGTAATTTCCCTTCCTTCATGATTTGTGACAAAATCCTCAGCATTGTACTTCATCTTTCTCTTAATGAATCGTAACAAGTGTTTCTGATTCATACAAGATGCTCCATGGACGTGAGTGTCAACCTGATAAAAATACAGTGGAACCCCATCAATACGGTCGCCAATGGGCCAAAAAAAATTGGCTGTGTTAATGGTTGGCCTTATTAATGAGGGTTTTTTAACAAGAAAATGTATGGCAGTTTTTGTCAGGCGGCCCAAAAAAGTGGCCGTAATAACAAGGTGATCCTATTACCGAAGAGGCCGTAAGGCGGGATTTCACTGTACCAAGAAGTAAGTCATGGGAGGTACATGTATTATTGACCCTTTCACTTCAAACGCAGGTTATGATGGAAATCCTTTTGGCAGAGCTTTTGAAGAACACTTTGTAAATCTTAGGACTTAGGATTTCACAAGGAAGATATATAGGAGTTTTTCTTCTCTTTTCGGGGGGGGGATTTTTTCTCCTAGCTTTTTTGCTGTTTGAAACTGGGAAAAGAACGTTATTATTTTTTAACAAGGGCACAGAAGAGAAGTTAGCACCTGAAACCAGAAGCGTAGCGTCCATATATACACATATGCCTGTGCATACAGGTACAGCTGTAATAATGTGAAAAATTTTTATTTTCTGAAAAAGCATTTTTGTAATTAAATCGGGATGACTGATACATTTTTACACTACATTGGTGTCTTCGTGTTGGTATTTTCATTATCCTTTTATTATTGCAACCTTAAGCTTGAGCAAGTAAGACATGCTAGAAATTTACGGTCATCAAGTACCATAAATCTAGTTATTCCCTATGCCTCGGACACAGTATAGCGTGGCAGCCCTCTTCAATTCTCTGCCATCCAATGTTAAATGCTGTGAAAATTTTAAATCCTTCAGTAAGCAAACATTATGTATTTTAAGGGGGTGCTGCCGGAACAGGGCAGAATAATTTCTTGCCTAGTTTTTAAATAATGTATATATTGTATAATTACATATTACTGTTTATTACCTAGCTTTTTACAAATTCATAATTCAGATTTATGTATTTTTTTTTCAATTTCCTTATTTTACTCTTATATCAGGCGAAGAGCCATACCATGGATGTACTGATATTAAGACTCACTATTGCACTTTCTGGCATATTAATTTGCTGAAAATGTCCTGTAGAAAACGCTGAAAATGGTATTTCTGAGACCTAAATTTAATAATTTTCTGGGGGAGCATGCCCCCAGGCCCCAGTAGGTTGGGCTGCCTTTGGGGCTACAACTTTTCTTCCCCCCATGCGTACATCATCTGTACACCTTCAAAATCTCAAGCTACGCCCCTGGAAACATCACCCTTCATATATTTTTATAACAGCAAATTTACCTCATCAAATCATTAAATAAAACTACATTTTTGCATTCAACGTCCCTGTTAATGCAGCACTATTCACTGTACTTTGTAGCTCAAGTCATTTGAGGTGAAAGAAGTAAAACATCTGCTGAGACCAGGGGGACAAAAGAGAGGCAAAAACTAACAACAAGGGAAAAAAAAATATAAAACAATCACTATCCTTGTCTTACCTTTCTGACATTGTAAAAATCTCTGTGAGCAACTTCCTTCATGGCTGCAAGCTCTCTGTTCTCATTTAACAAGGAATGTAGGCTATGGCGGGAATCCAGGTACTTCAGGCGACGGTAGGCAAATGATTTTCTAGATGAATTCAGAACAACTGCTTGGTTATTTGTAGATGGTTTTGACAGTGATGCCATCAAATTGTAAAGTCAAAATAGTCAGGTTTTACAAATTCTTAGTTACACTAGGTTGAAGATGAACAAAAAATAAATCCTTCTACAAGTTTCCATTCCCATAGCATGTTTCATTTCGAACATACAGCAATTTGAACTTTCCAGTTTTCACAGCGCATGACACCAAAATAGGAATGCTGTCTCGTTGAAAAAAAGTCTCTCCTCTTGATTTTCAGCTGTATAACCATTTCAAGTATTAGAGGATATGTTTATACGCACATATTCTAGTTCTCGAGTGAAAAAAACAGCCTTTATCAGGATGCAAAAAAAGTCAGTTTTACAGCTTGCCATTCGGGCAAGCTGTAATTAGTATATACTAGCCCAAAAGTCATTTTTAAGTAGCCCGATGATGAGCAGGGTTCATAACAATTCTTTTGTGATTTGAATTCCTTAAAAAATTTCAATTGCCCGTCCGGCAAGTTAAGAACAAAAATCGCTAGCCCGATGTTAAAATAGCCAGCCCCGGGCTATCGGACATGACTTTCTTTGCACACTGTTTTATTGAAAAGTGAACTCCAAATGTTTTTGTTGATTTCCGGCAGCCATATTGGTGCACCAATATGGCATCTCCATACAAAGCACTACAAAGGTGTATGAAAGCTAGGTACTCCCTTTAGATGGTTTGAAATAAGTGGTATAGGGTGTTAATTTTGTGGCGGCAGGGGCGTAATAGGGAGTGTAGGGTGCTTTACTGTACCACTATTTTCTTTCAAAAATACATCCTCAATTTGAGTGCATAAGATCATATTCAAATGTTTTTTTGTGCAGCATGCAAAGAAAGCAGTGTCCGATAGCCCGGGGTTAGTGGATTTTGCTATCGGGCTAGTGAATTCTGTTTCTGACTTGCCTGACGGCCAAGTGATGTTTTTTGAGGAATTGGAATAACAGAAGAACTGTGAAATCAATTCTGCTCGTCAAAAAGCTTCTGGGGCTGGTTGAAATGACGTCTGGGCTAGTAAATGCTAGCTTCAGCTTGCCCGAATGGCAAGCTGTAAGAACGATTTTCTTTGCAGCCTGCATTTGCAAATGGTGAATTCAACAAAACATGTCAATAATATACATTACTTTACTCACATAGGACCATGGGTTGACAGAGCCAGGAGAACATTCTGGTCTTCAAAAAATTCCTGCAAGTTAGGCCGAGGATGAACAACAGGATTCCCAGTGTCACTAACAACAACATCACTCGCAATTTGTCTTTTACAGGCTGTGACCTGTATTACACCGTCAATCATCTCAAAAAGGTATCCACAGTCGTCAGGCACTTCAATGTCGTATGGTGACTGAACAGAAAAACGTTGAGGGCAGCTGTCATCTTCTGGTAATTAAGTAAAAGAAATAATGAATAAGTAGTAGGCTTGCTGTAACGTAAGCTGCGTAATTTAACCTCAGTTAGTAACGTCTGCAAAGCAGTACTAAGATCCTTGTTCTAAGCCCGCAACAGACTCAACCATTTACCGGAAGTGCATTTTGAATTTCCTTTCATCTGCCAGTGGCCTTTTTAACAGGTCAATCATGGCACAATAGTTAAATCCTGCTGCTCAGCTTGGAGTGTCGAACAAGGATTTTAGCCCTGTTCTGCAGATGGACTTAACCAGAGTTTAGTTTCGTCTGTGGTGCAGGCATGCTGTAACTTGAAGTTCCCATGGGTTGTGAGTGTGGAAATTTCATATTACTTTTGCTAATTAAAAGCACACTTCCACTTACAGTAGCTTAATCCGCTAAGCTACAATGTCAACATATAAATTCTCCAGACTTTCTTAAAGAATTAATAATGAGAATTTGCTAAAAGATCAAAGCTTTTTCCCTTAAGTGATAATATTAATATTTCTCATAACTTTTCCCTTGACACTTTTATGGTATTGTTGGGAGAAAATGGGCATTGATCACCCTTGGAAATCTAAACATTTAAGTGTTACCTACCCGATAAAAATGGTTTATGGAAACTGGGGGAGAGTTTGTCTGGGTGTCACAAATTTGCTTAGCCACATGACCTGAATTGCAAATGCCAGGCACAATAATGAGCATTTATGACACACACCTTCTTCACTTATATGTCTGTGCAAAGTAAAGTGGGCTTCAACATCATAATCATCATGAACTGTCTTCAGTTTCCGAGCAGTTGTAGGACAAAAGCTTTGCAAACTCAGTGCCATGTATTTTGCTCTTATAAATAATGCTTCTACCAAGAGCTTTGCTGCCTGCTGGAGTTCATCTATAGAAACCTTGAAAATAAAAACAGTGTAAGATAAGTGTCAGTTATTAACCTGCTCATCCCTAGGCTGAGTTACTTTGTGCCCATCTAACATTTATTTCCGTTGACGAAATCCCATGCTTTGTCCCATGCTCAAAGCAAGCTGACTATCCCATCTTTCACGTTCATTTACTGAGCCAACTTTTCTCATTCTTTCCTTATTTCATACAGTACACTCTAAATACTGCTGATCCAAGAAGCATGTAGAACACATGTCAAATATTAACCAATTATATATGGCCTTGCTCTACATGAGTTTCTCTATACCTCAGTGGACAGAGTGCCCACCCAGTGTTTTTGGGAAGGAAGGTACAAATCCTGCCCACGACTCAGCATAGTTATTAAAGTGGAATAGTTATGAAACCTGTTCAACTCCTTCATTATATGTTTTGGTTAGCTTTTTAGACCTGACCGTGCACAATGCTCAAAAGCATTCCTGTCATTTTAAACTTACCGACCAACAGAAACATCACATTAATTTATTCAGTCATAATTTGTGAACAGAAAACAAAGGATTGTGTATAGTCAGAGAGCTTCCAACATAAACCACAGCACCATTGTTTTCAACTTTGATGTTTGCCGGCTTTCATAACCAGTCTCCTCTACTACCTATGGACTCAGGATTTTGTCTTTTGTGCCACACTCTAGCCTGTGCTGCAAACCATTGGCAAAGACAGGCAGTATAAAGTGTTTGTGATACAGGATAGTCACACTTGAGACATGCCGATTATCACATCTTTCACAATCCTTTGGTGTTAACATTCAATTTTAACCCTTTAAGTCCTAACAGTGACCAACATCAAATTTCTCCTCACAATGTCCATACATTAACAAGAGATTAGGTAATGAGAATTAATAAAATGATCACCAAAGAGAAAATTCCTTGTTCTTTTATCAAATTCTCTCAACTCAGTCTTTAAGGAAATGCATGGAGACCAGTTTGGAGAATTGGTATGTGAATATATTGGCACTTAAATAGATAAAACCTATTTGCAAGAACTTTTGCACAGAACTATTTTTATCTCCCTCTTATCCTTGGGGTCCAGTCACTCCTAACCCATCCAGCCTAAAGTCATTTGAGTCTGAACCAAGAGCAACTTTATTTACACTACAAAACATAGCCAAAAGCCTAAATGCACTTTAAAGGGTGGTTTTAACTTGCGATATATTCAGAGTGGGAGTCGTAATCAAAAGCGTAGAACTTTACAATCTAGCGAAAACAGCATTCTGATTCTTCTGATTCCGCTTATGATTCTGTTGTTTACGATCAAGTGAAAACTGGTTTGTCCAAGTCACAAGCAGAAGTGGAAGAACTAAACCAATAACAAAGCATGGGAACGTGCATTGTGATTGGTTTATCCGGCCTCCGCTTCTGCTTCTGACTCCGACAATCTGGTTTTCACTAGATTATGAGCAGAACATAAGTGACAAAGTCGTAAACAGAGTCAGGGGAAAATGGAAACATTCTGATTCTTCTGACTCTGATTCCATCAAGATCATGACTCTACTTACAACTCTAACTTTTGATTTTCACTAGGTCATAAGCGCTCTTACAACTCCGCTTACGACTCCGACTCTGTCGCTAGTCAACAGCAGCCTTAACAATGTGTATTTGTCATTCTTTAAAACTTCATAAGGGGTTTTAGGGGGGCTTATAACCAGACTGAAAAAAAGGTTTCATTACATGCTACATCAGGGTTTGAGCCAGGCCGCGCCATTGTGCCTATCCTGCACTGCAATTGAAATTGTCCCTTAAAAAAACGGCCAAGGGGACAATTTGTCCCCTTCAAAATTTAGAGAAACAACTCGAAAGGAAGCACACATGAAGAGATTTATTTCAGTACAGAAATTGCAAGCTAAAACAGAACATGGAAAGTATATTTTATCGCACGTTTAAAGTTCATTCTAAAGTCACGTTTCAGTCACGCTCTATTGAACACGTACGTCTCATGCTCAACCAAGCGTGGTGAACGCACCTGGCAATCGTTTACATGTCACATCCAAAAAGTTTTCAAACATTAGAATGCTTTTTCGCTCCAAATCAAAGCCAGAGTGAATCAGAGAAAAATGATACAGAAGAAGAACAGTGTATTAATCAGGAAGAAACGGATGAGGATCGAAGGAAACCGAAAAAATCACGAGATCACACGTGGTTGTGCTATGAAAAGGAGGCGATGTTCTGCTACTTTTGTCAGAAATCTAAGAAGACAAACCCCTTTGCATCAGAAGGCTGTACAAATTTCTATCCCCCTAAAAATAAAAATGCCCCCCAAAATTTTAGCTAAGGGGACAAATTGTCCCCCAGTGATCAAATCCTAGCTCAAACCCTGCTACATGGCCAGTTCTGATCAATACACTTTTTGAATTTACATTGTACTTGCTTTTTAAGCTTCAGAACGTTGTAAAAGATAAACTTCATTTCAAGACAAGCTATGTCGTAGAGGGGGACTTAAAATGCAGGGGCTTATAATCAGGGCTGAGTTGTTCAAAGCTGGGTTAAGATAACCCAGGGTTAGTGCAAGATTTGAATTCAGATTTGAAAGTTTCAAAAGTATTTCAGTTTCAATTCTTTTTGTCTACAAGTTGATGATTGGAAGCTTTAAAAATAACAGAGGAAATTATGTGAGAAAATTATGCGAGAAAATGCTTTTGAACACAAGAAAAAGAAATCCAGGGTTAAATTTAACCCCAGGTTAAGTGCTAATCAGCCTTCAAACAATTTGAACCAGATGTATTTGTTTTTTGTTTACAGGTAGATGGGCCTGTGACTGGGGGGGGGGGAGTATAAGTGGTGGTTGGGGCAGGGGGTAGCTTAAAAGTGGAAATCTACAGTAAGCCACCAACCACATTTAATATAACCAACACCACATTAAAACAAACAGTCAAGTATTAAATCTAAGGAAGTAATTCAAATAAATAAATAATCAATCATACCCCGCTAATATCTCCACCAGAAATCGAAACTCTCTGGTAAAAAGGGCGATGTTCTTGGTCTATCTGATCATCGGGATCCTCCTTCTCTTTCTTTATGACTTCTTCGAACTCTGAAAATTCATGCTCAGTTAAACTGTTCATCATTTTAGAATGCTGCCTTTGCAAGTCGATTTCCTCATTTTTTAACGCAATCTGCTCGATAGGATGCCGAGGAATCTCGAAAGGATGACACCACAATCCTTCCTTTTTGTGCGAGTCTCTTGATACAACAGCTTCGTCGTTGAGAACTTCCAAAGTTTCCTGCAAAGTCTGAAAGACATCGTGTTTTTTTGGAGCAATAACCTGTCCCACCACGTTCGCCAGCTTGGAAGGTTCACTGAAAAATCGCTGTCGTCTGGCTGAATCTGGGGAGAAAAGCCTTTCCTTAGAACTGGACGAGTCTGGCGTTTCACTGCGCTTTACTGGTATATCCATAACCAGGGATTTTGAATGCGGGCTTGGTCTGTCGACCGGTTCCCCACCGTCGGCCATTTTGAGATGAAACAACCGAGATTTTACACGCATTGTAATTGGTTATAAGCGGACGGCGACATCTTACGAAGTCTTTGATTGGCTTGTTGCGAAAAGCCTCGGGAAAACAACATGACATCAAAAAGAAAATGACCAAGGTATCCGAAATATCCTAACAAACGAACAATTTGTTTCTGATCACGACTCAGGAATACAGACAGATTGGGATGATGAGAAATTAAGGACCGCCTAAGTTGAGTAAAAATTAGATCTAAGAAGCGGGCTACGTCTCCTGAGTGCCCTAAATTGTCAGGTGACCTTCACTGATCTAGCGAAAAGCTCGAGGGAAAACAAATTTAAGGACAAAAGATCTCCCCGGGGACTGTCTTATGTGCTTAAAAAATTATTTCTACAGAGGAAGTTTTTTGTGATGCTGCCGTGATATGTAAATGTTTTTTTTGAAGTGTGGTAGATCAAAAATGGGCAAGATATCGCTCGGGCTGGGGTTTTGGAGGCTACAGAGAGCGAACCGCCTCCCGACCTCCAAGGTCCAACGCGATAATTTTCTGATCGAACAAGCGATCCTTAAAAGACGTGTCGTATTTTTGTGGAATTTATATTTATGTGATCTAAGAATAAGTTTAAAAATTACAAAAAAGTGAACTTCCACAAAATGTATAGTGATTTCCAGCCAGAATGGAATATACATGCCAACGAGCTACTCATAGTTTCGTAACAATATATCTCACCCTGATATCTGAAATGAACTCGCGTGAGCCTGATTGAACGAATAAAAGTCAAATTAAAACCATACTAAAAATCGAGAAAAAAAGTCAATGTGGTGGTATGGATCCTTGTTTAGTTTTGGCCATTTCGATGTCTAGCACTTTCATCAAAAGGCGTCTATTTAATATGAACCTTGATGTGAACATATCGTAATCCATTGATTGCTAAAACGATCACATAATATTTACCTTCATGGTCAATGCTTTTATCTTCGTCAGCCGAGAACACAGGCCACGAGTCCTCACGTTGCATTTTATTTTTTAAGATCAACCAAAAGCGATTTTCGCTTGTGGACTTCTACGTGTTGTATCGCTCCTGAATTGATTGTAGTCGTTTGAGTGGCGGCTGATAAAAGGGTCACCTCGCTCGCATGCTCTAAATGTGAAATACCGGAAGTCACGCACAAACTACGACATCCGCTTGGCAGCTCCCAAATGCAAATGATCGCAACTCTGGTTTTCAGATTTTTACAAAACCAATGCGCCAAGAAGATGAATATAAACTTATACTTTAAGTTTAAAACGTCGTCGAGTAATATTTTTTTGTTAAAAATAGATATACTGTTTTTTACCTCAAAAATCCTAGCGGACATATTAACCGGATTGTCGGATAAGGTGGGGGGGGGGACGGTCATCCAGACCCTGAGATAAGGGGAGGGGGCGGCTTCAAAAAAATTTTTTTTCGGCCCTTCGGGCATCATTTTGGTCTAAAAATAAGGGGGGACCGGGCCCACCGAGCCCCTCCCCTGGATCTGCCAATGACTAAAATGCAAAAACTGTTAAAAATGTTTACCGCAAGCCTCGTGATAAGGGTTTTTCTGACGTTTGACCTTTTTGACAAGACTTACAAATTTGCATTTTTTCACAAAATTGTTCACGATTTTTTTCAGTTTATCCACCGAACGTTTTCCTTTTCACCTTTTCACAATGTGTCGGCAAGTATTTTAAGGGCTACCGGTAGATAACTTTTTTTGCGCCAGCTTTATTTCAATAACTACGAATAAAAGATCCCTAGTAATTTATTTTGATATTAAAGAGAGTAAAAAAAAAAAGATTTAAGAACGTGACTGCGACGGGCCAAGGCCAAGAGAAGGCTGTCTCCTACGCCTCTGTTCTTTGACTCGTCACGCAACGCTTCACAAGCCGGAAGAGGTCGAAAAATGGGAAAAATCGCCGACAATGAATCAGGCTTCGATCACGTTTCGAGCGCTAGCATTTTTTATGGCTTTCGCTCGGCCTAGCACTCGTAACTGAATTCGCTCATCATCTCATTTTATAAAACCAATTTTTGTCAAAAAAAAAAAAAAAAATGATTGCAGGGCTGGCACTACGGCAAAGGGCTGATTATTACTAGGCCTATAATAAATCAACCCTTTGCCGTAGTGCCAACCCTGCATTCAGTTTTGTCTTATTTTACACTTTAAGTGACTTCTGGCTACAGCATCTCTTTACTGATTAGAGATCCGGCAAGAGGAACCAGTCAGTTATATTTACTCGTTGCGTGGACCTCTGCATTCAAACAGTTTTTCCAATTTTTGTCATGTTACTCTAAAGGTAAGGTCAAATTTTATTGGCTTATGAGGGATTGTCGCAATTTTGATCCAGTAGAACCTCGATAACTCGAATTTGGATAACTCGAATTCCCTCCTAACTCGAACTAAATTTCCTTTCCCTCGATCAAAATTTCGCTGAAATTTACCCTGATAACTCGAATTCCCCGCTAACTCGAACTGTTTTTCGTTTCCCTTCAGAGTTCGAGTTATCGGGATTCTACTGTATTTTTCTAGTATCGTGATAATCTATCCCCGCGATATTATGGTAATGAATGGTCTTACCTTTTAGCTTTGTTTTGTTTTGTATGCCGTGTTTTCAGTGAGAACCGCACCACGGTCTTGTTCCGCGAAAAAAAAATCAGGCAGCAATCGTCGCCCTCCGTGCCAGTTATTCCTTTTTTTTTTACCTTACTTCAGCAAAGTGTGCTGAGCGAGAATTACACGAAAAATACGAATGTCACTGGTTAACACTGGCTTTAGGTCATGCTCTAATGCGTCGTCGCAAATAGAGCCTATTTTTAGAAACACTTCAGATCCATTCCAAAAAACCAATAGTCTTGGATCCTGCCCTCACGCTACCGCAAACATCGCAAAAATATTCGTGTACACACGTATCTGTGCGCCCGTCATCCCGTGATCCGTATCTGCTCAAAGAGGTTTTTTTACGTTCAGTTTTAGATACTATTCTGAACATGATAAGCTTAAGTCTTTTACCCTGTAGAAAGAAAAAATTGCCTTGAAACATGCTACGCATCGTTTTAAAAAAGAGGCTTAAAAGGCAAGATAGTCAATGACATGCAGTGAAACATTTTTATCCCGCGCGAAATTAGATACTGTGACGTCATCGTTCTCGTAAAAGTTCCGTAGAAACCAACGTTTTTAAAACTCTCCACCCTGGAGTGTGGCAAGATGGGATGGATAGTAAATTGCAGATGATTGAAGTTCTTCTTGGTTGCAATTACCCTCTTCTAAAACAATCAGAATTGAGTGCTCTTATTAATAGATTTTTATTTTTTTTGGAGACGGCGGATACACCCTTTAGATGAGGTCTACCAGGAGCAGTCTGTACAACCTCCGGAGGAACGCCAAGGATGAGCAACAGGGGAAGACGCGCATACAGTAGCAGTCATGTTAATTTCTCTGTATTCCTTATGTTAAAGCTGTCGGAATAACACTTCCGCAGCTTTCAACTCGTTCTTAGGATCTTCTTCATTACCTCAGATAATCTTTGAATTGTAGGCAGGGGGGATCCAGGATTTTTTTTAGGAGGGGGTGCACTCGTCTCTTGCTCTACTACAACACCAATAAACCACATAGTTTTTTTTTTTTTTGCAGAATACCAGTTGTATTAGAAAACCGCAGGTCATCTCAGCGGGGGGGGGAGGGGGTGCGCACCCCCTGTACCCTCCCCCTAGATCCGCCCCTGGTAGGTGACTCCTCACAAGTTCCCAATCAAAGTCCTCAGTTGTATACGTAACGTTCTTGTCCACTCTTATATCCCAGGAAATTACTCTCAATCTTCAAGCATTTTTAGAAACCTCTAGTCTAGATGTTTTAATTGTAACCATGGTCAACCATGAAAGGAAAAGGGTGACAGACGGTGATTCCCTCATACAGACTTAAACCACTTGTACCGTTTCAGCAGGAGTATAGGTCTGAGTAAAAAAGTAAACAAATTTTCCATTGTCTATCAGTCTTGTAGATTTAGAAATGAAGTCATGCTGACGGGCGGGATCAGAAACTGATTTATTTATTTATTTATTTATTTAGTAAAATACAACAAAAATATAACGTGAGTAGAAAAAGAGAAGTGGCGAAGTGGCGAAGTGACGTTAGAGAAACTGTTAGAGGCTTATGAGCGATTATGCGAGATATATTGCTGTAGCCCTATCCCAAACCTTAATCAAGCGAATTGATCCTGTTCAGTTTAGTCTGATCCAGATTTGGTTGGCAACTTTCAAAATGTCTAAAACTCAAGTGAAAGCACGCCATCTGGGGGCGAGCCGAGTCGCACTGAAAAGTTTTGGTGCTCAGGTATTGATTCGAGATTTTAGTTTGAGAGAATAACAGAAACAAACCAACGAAATGTTTGAATCCCTCTTGCATCTGGTATTCACGTGATAAGGCACGCGTGTAAAGGCCTAAAACGTGTCTTGTAACACTGAGTTTCAAAATACTTCGGTCAGTGAACATACCCCGCAAGCAGAGGTCTTGTTCCCCTTGTTACTCCTTGTTCCTCCTTGTTGCCCCAAGTTACCCCTTGTTCCCCTTGTTTCTCTTTGTTACCCCATGTTCCCCTTGTTACCCTTTTTAACCCCTTTGTTACCACTTGTTCCCCCTTGTTCCCCCTTGTTACCCTTTGTTACCCCTTGTTCCCCTTGTTCCCCTTTGTTACCCCTTGTTCCCCCTTGTTACCCTTTGTTACCCCTTGTTCCCCCATGTTCTCCTTGTTACCCTTTTTAACCCCTTGTTACCACTTGTTACCCCTTGTTACTCCTTGTTCCCCTTGTTCCCCCTTTTCACTTGTTCCTTTGTTCCTTTTCTTTCCCCTGTTAACGCTGTTGCCCTGTTCCCCTTGTTCTCCCCTTTCGTCTTTTTTATCTTCGTTCTACCTGTACCTTGTTCCCCCGGTTGCTTTTTTTTCCCAAAGTGTTGGGAACAGTGGGAAGAAGGAGAACAGGGGTACAGGGGAGACAGGGGAAACAGTCAAACAGGGGGTACAGGGGGAACGGGGGAATAGGGGAATAGGGTCAATAGAGGGAACAAGGGGAACAGGGGTACAAGGAGAACTGGGGAAACTGAGGAAAAAAGGAGAACAAGGGGAAAATCAGTGTACATGCAAAAATTTCATCGCTGTTGCCAGATGGGCTCCTGCTGTTGCTAATTCTTTAAAGGAAAAACTATTTGAATGCAGCGGTCCACGCAACGCTTAAATAAAAGTGATTGGATCTCTGATTAAAGAGATGCTGTAGCCAGACGTCACTTGATGTGTAAAATAAACCAAAACTGAATGCAAGGCTGGTACCACGGGAAAGGGCTGATTTATCATAGGCCAATTTTTCAGCTTACAAAATTAGCCTTCCTGAGGGCCAGAGTTATACCGAGAGAAAATATTTCGAAATGTAAGGATTTGTATGGGAAAAAACCTAACGTTTCTGTAACCTACGAAAATGAAAGAATTTCAATAACAAAACAGCTTACCTTACTTAAGATATATGTGTTTCGTCTGGCCGTTTAATGGGTTGTAATGTAAACGGTTTACTCTCTCTATATATACTTTACCGCATTCCGTATTGGGCTACCTGTGCTGGGATCGACCAGGATTTCGCTTGGAAGTCTGTGATCAAGTGCACTTCCACTGCGACATTTTGCGAGCGCTTACATGAACAACTAGCCTATCCATGCCCTTCATTTTCCGTATTAGAGCGTACAAGATGGCGCTCGAAGTGACCATTTTTTGGTTTATTTTATGTGTATTTCTCGTCCAAAACAGCTGTTCAAACCTCGTTGTCAACATCAAAGCAAAAGATGGAGATGTGGTTCAGAAGAGTTTCTTTTCAGATCCCGAAAAAGACTACGTTACGATTGATTTTATGACTCACGGGGGTCGGTATGTTACAGTGTACATCGACTTCCGTTTGGTATGTTGACTTTATTTAACGTGGGTTTTCAAAGCTTCTAGTCATTTTTCCACCATAAATATTACCTTTTGAACACCAGCCATCTGCTCTAGCAGATTTCGTTATCTCCAACGTGGTATTACCTTAGAAAATTATTTCAAATGGCTCGGATCGTAGGCTCGACATGGCAAGCAATACTTATTATTCTTCGGTAGCTTACGAGTACCGACGAAAGATCGAACCACTACACAGAGTTTTCTCGTTCTTTAAGACTACGACCTCAACTTACAGGCCTCCGAGCCACTGAAATGTGTTCCTTTCTTCTTGCTAATCGATACACATTGCTAGCTGTCTTTTAACACAGCTAGGAAGGTTGTTTGTCTATACGTCCGGTATTCAACGGGCAGTACGGCCCAGACGTAATGTGTGTCAATAACATGGACATAATGGGATAAGTCGTCGAATCTCCCATGAACTAAAATAGTCCAGAAGTCAAAATATAACAAAACAAAGCTAACATACCTTTAACTGAACGTCTCCTTGTCTTTCCTGATCGGTTGAAGTGACATTTTGTCCAGTTTTGCAATCGGTCACTAAAGAGTGGTCAGTACCTACGATTGCAAAACTAGACAAAATGCGTCTTTAACCGGCTAGGAAAGACAAGGAGACGTTCAGTTAAAGGTATGTTAGCTTTGTTTTGTTATATTTTGACTTCTGGACTATTTTAGTTCATGTTATTGACCCACACTATGTCTGGGCCACCTGTGGTCGGACAGAAGTTTTAAAACATATACTTGATGTCTGATAGTCGGAGTTTCTTTACGTTTGTGTAGATTATGCGAAAATGGTTAGGGCTCAGAGCTGTTTGTTAGGAGACAAAGAATTCAAAAGGGTAACATAAGAAAATTTTGACTGCCAGACAAAGCATTTAAAAAAAATCCTTTATTGCTGTCGAAAATCTGGTCACAGGGTTAAATTTAAGGTAAAATACAATCTTTTTTGTTCCAGTGTCCTGAAATATGGTCAAAGTAGGCTATTGGATGCCTCTAAACTTCAAGCTCAAACTTAAGTAAAAAATAAATATTTGGTGAGAAATCTGGCAGATACTTCATATGCAAAAAGTACATTTTCCTTCACATTTGCAGATTCTGTCAGTGTCCAAAAATTTATCCCTTATAATTTTTTTTAAAGAGTACTAATCAATACTTTTAAAATACTGAAGGAGGTTGTACTCCTGCTGTGTTTGAGATATTTTTGGGGAGTGGGTGTTTTGTAGTTTGTGGATTACTCCTCAAACTATTACACATACACTTGAGTGTTTTACAGAGCGTAAATGTTATAGTCACGATATTGATAAATACGTTTTCTCTGCTCATTCAGAAACGGAAGATATTCCAGGTCACTGTTCTTGGGGAAATGGACAAAGCTGAAAGTTCGTATGAAGCCATGTGCTTTGTAACAGAACTTGTAGAAGATGAGTTTATCTCTTCTGATGCCATGTCAAAGCTGAGACAGGTTAATAGTACATTATCGATAATAATAATAATCGTAACTATAACAAAATTCTCAAATCTAATTGGCTATCAACTGCCCTGACTTCAGGCTTAATAGGACAGTTTAATTGGACAGTACGCGTCATGCTTAAGTAATTGGATAGTAAGCGCCATCACGCGTGCGCTGAAATGGCTTTTTTTTTTCACTGTTAGCAAAAATCTTGGAATTTCTTGTGTTTTGATTTTAAAAAGAGCTTTATATATCACAAATCTTGTTAAAGTTATGATTAATTGGTAAAAGAACCTCGTGTCGTCCAATTCGGTTTGTAATCATACTCGTGATTAAACAAATGGCACTCCTGCTACACGGTCGTCCAATTTTGTTAATCACTCGTATGATTACAAACCGAATTGGACTCCACTCGGTCCTGTTACCATTATGAATAGCATTTATAAAAATAACAAAACTGGTGAATGACAACGAACCATTTCATTTGCCAACGTAATATCATTTCCATTTGCTACACATTTTTCATATTATTTCCACTACCAGCTTGTATTTTATTATTATTATCATTAATAAAAAATATAAAAATTTTGTTAATGCCCTATTAATGACAAGTCTTAAACTCCTGGTTTCTCAATAAAATTAACCTCCAACTAAACAATTCAAACCAAAACCTTTGTTATAATTCAAACCAATTTTGTTTCCCTAGTAAGTTTAAAAATTTGAGATTCTTGTGTTTGATTATTTTACAGGATAATGATAATGTTAAATGTGATGATGATGATGATGAGAAATTGGTGTTGCAGAGCAGACCCAGGTAATTTATTTACAGACAATGTATTCCATTTGCAGAAAAACCCCAGCACAATTCGAATTCCAGAAGATGATATTGGAAGTGATTCTCATATCATGGATCATGTTGTCAGCCTCACTTCTACTGATGTCCTGGATAAAAACTTGACAGAATTGTGTAGAGATGCTGGCAAGGTGTTGTTCAAAGGAACAGATCCCAAGTTATTGTTATCAGGTATGTAGTGCTCAGCCACCAGGGAGTTTTGTGAGGGTTCCCTAAAGGTTTTACAGGATGAGGGATGCAGGGTTTGCTTTATTTGAAGGCATATACAGGTACAAATTCTCCAAACTGGTCTCCATACAGTTCCTTAAAGAATGTATTGAGAGAATTTGATAAAAGATCAAAGCATTTTCTCGTGGGTGATCATTTTATTAATTCTCATTACCTAATCTCTTGTCAATGTATGGATATCGTTGGGAGAAAATTGATGTTGGTTACCATTGGGAATTGAAGGGTGAAAGTAAAATTGGGTGAGATTCGGGATTGAGAGTATGCACTGGATGCAGGGTGCCGCTAATGACCAAATGTGATGACAGGATTGGGAGAAAATTTCAGTTGAGAAGGTTGTATTGAAGAACCCTCTTAGGGCCCCTCAGATGAACGAGCCTGTTGCATTATCATCATGGCTGTAGTTGCTGTCGATGGATATAGGACTCATTTACTGACAGTTTTTCTCAAGTCAGATCTACAAGTAGATTTTCCCCTCTCTTTTACCTAGATCTGTAATAACATTTCAACGACCTCTGAGCATTTATTTAGATACCTAGTGTCCAACTACTTATAAACATTGCAACCACTGGACATTTTCCAGAGAAGTTCTCATGACTTGGAGAAAGGACACCAATCGAAAATTGGAAAAGTTACCAATGACAGTTGGAAAAGGGCCTGTTGTCCATCAATGAGCCAATGAACAAGTTGCCTGCATTTATAAGTCAGGCACGTTGTATGTGTGAGGTCAATGTTCTTGTCTGGAAGCTTTACTGACATGGCATAAGAGTTTGGGCGCATTTCTATCGTTATCAATCTGTCAACCTTTGATTAATTGAAAGAGTTCTCTTTATGGTCTTGCTATTTTCTTATTTGCAAACTCTTATCCAACGTACAATCCATTTCTAAATCCTGAAGGGATGTAAAATTGGCTTCCCAAAATTATCACAGAGGTAAAAAAATCAAGGGGAATATGACTGTGTTTATGATTTTAACAATGTGAGCCAAGCGGTCTAAAGCCTGATTGGAAGTTCTCTCGCAATCTCTACGAACAGAACATATGAGTTCAGTTGTCATGGTAACCAAGCCTGGATATGACTTTGTGCTGATCATATTTAGAACATCTTGACCATAATCTGGAATTAACTTGTGTAGGTGTTCAATTTTTTTCTCAGTTGTTAGAGAATCTAAAATCTACTCCCTGATATTCTAAACAAGTAGAATAGAGCGTTTCTGAATTGAAAAAACTGGCTTTCAATATGAGGCAAAGTACAAAACCTTTTTTGTGAGAAAGAAATTTATTTGCAAGAGAAAGAAAAAATCATCAATGGCTTTGCACTTAGCCTCACTTTGAAACAGAGGCTTGGGACTACTTGAAAACGGTCTATTCCTGTGCCTTAAGTTGACAAGTAACATCTTAGTACTTTTTTTACTTACAGAAAATTCAACACGAGAAGATCGTGACAAGCTAGAGTTAGCATCACAGGATCAGTCTGGCTTTTTAAAGGTGTTAAAACGTTGCAGGGACACTTCGGAACTCAGTGCAGAGTGTATCTGTAGAAGTGAAGTCTGCATAAGCTGGTATCCCTGTAAACTGAAATTATGCCAAGGAGAAGATGACAATGGGCAGCCTGTGGAGTATCGATGCGGCATTAAAACATGTGGCAAATGCCATGACTTTGATTTTTATGTTCATGAGAGAAGGAACTGTTTTTGGGACATGAATACGTAGCCTCACTTGGCACAATCTTGTACACATATAAAAAGTTTCTACTTTAACGAATTCACTACTTTTCTACTTAATCTTTCCCCTTCTACTTTGTACAACAGAACGTTTTAGCAGGTAGAAAAAAAAAACAGGAGTTCCTGGGCTGTAACAAGTGGCTAGAAAAAAGCTGGGCACTGGGGTAATGTTTGCTGATGTTATTTTGTACAATTTTGATTCCCTTTTATTCTTTAGAACATTTGTATATTGTTTTTATAGAAGGTTGAGCCATAATATCCAAGCAAAAAAACGTTCATGTTCTTTTTTGTAGATGATTTTTCTCCTATTAAATTTTTTTGAATGCTTGGTCATTTTTTCAACACAGTTTTGTAATACTAATATCTGAATTTGTAAAGAACAATTTAAGATTTTAAGGTTTATAAAAAATGTAAATAAGATTTCATTGCTGTTGAGCTTGTTGAAGTTAGGTTACAAACCACACTAATTCTGAAGAAAAAAAATTCTCAAAAAGTATTTTATTACAAAGACAGCGATAATTATGATTGATCTGATTGGTCAATTTTGTGTCAGTGACCCTGTTATTTAAGATTCAGAAGGTTTAAAACCTGCAATATTTTTTCCTCCGAAGGCAAAATTAAGAGCACTTCTCTTAAATAAAGCAAAATATATTTTATAATAGTTATTTTCACCTCTTGCACAAATACACATGTTATTTCTATTCTTATCTACAGTTTACTTACATTCTGATAATATTATTCCACACTAACAGGTGCTGGACGTTGTGCAAAATGTAACAATACTAATTTTGTATTAAAAACATTTTTTTAAGAGAACCATGTGAAAGTAATCCTAGTTACCAATAGTCATTCTACTCATATTAATATTTTCCTATATTATGTACATAATTGGTTCTGCAAGTATTACATTAAATAAGACCACATGCCATAATAACTCCAGGTTATACAGTCATGCATTGAAACATTGTATTCAGCTTAACGTTAAGTTGCAACATTCCACACTCTTGTTTGCAATTCCTTAACTGTCACAGGCAAAGTCAGCACTTAGAATAATAGTACAGTAAACTACAGTGGAACCTCGACATAACGAAGGGACAAGGGACTGGAAAAATTTGTTTGCTAAAACGAGGTTTCATTATATTGCGGTTCTTTTTCACACATTTTACTATTACTGGGATAAAGAAAATCGTTTGTCATATTGAGCACTTTGTTACACAGAGGTTCATTACATCAAAGCTCCATTGTAGGTACTTTTGTGCTTAAGACTTGTTTGCTCTGCCAAAAATTCTAAACATTCTATCTACATAAGTCTCCACTCACTCAAGAACAATCACAGCCTTCACCCGGCAGGTTTCAGTGCATTTTAGAGGAAAGACTGGTACAAATAACCAATGTTATAAAGTAACATTTTTAAGTCATCAAAATAATATTAGTAGTAATAAATTATCATATATTTCGCATGAAATGCAAACTTTCACAGCAGGAAAAATAATACAACTAAACATAACTTGTTTACCAGTCAAAAACGAGGCGTTTCTATTGTATCGTTAGGGAGCTTAAGCAACAACGACAGCGATGGCTACGAAAATGTCACTTAAAAAGTGAAGTTGTGCTACTTCAAACTTTATCGCACTTGTTCTATTTCGTTGAATTATAAAAGTTCAGCAAAAAAAAAAATAAAGTTGTCTTGTGTTCACACTCTCCACAAAACATGAAATCAGGCATTTTATGTTCTAGTCGTGTAGTGACGGCAAAGAAATGTACAAAAAAGCATGATGCACATGCGGAGTTGTTGTTTTGTTTACCTAGACCTATTGCGTTTTTGCCATTCTCGTTGACGTCTCAATCGTTGTTAGCTTAGCTCGTTATTATCTCCCACAAATGACTTCGCAGATGTTTTCTTATGGAAAACAAAAAATAACATTTCCTAGTCACCCAAGAGCAAAAAAGTAAGGAGCTAAGGGTCACTGGCATCTGCTGGAGCAAAGTCCTGAAACTGATGACAATAAACAACTTAATACAGTCAAACCTCCATATGCGACCACCTAACATAAGTGACCCCACTACCCAAAACACCAGATTTTTCCCTGTCAATGCCTTGCACTTGAAACTCTTATAAATGACCACCTCCTGTATGCAATCACAACCACTTTGGGGGGCTGACATTTTTATTATTTTCTCTTGCGTTTAACCTCTTGTAAGTTATCACTTGATGCATGGTGTGATATCTATGTTTGCTGTATTTACAATGCTGCTCCCAATATACAAAGAACTTTTAGTGAGAACATGGAACTAAACATATTGCATGCAATAAAAATTATCTCCCAAAAGTAGGTGAGTCCTGACCTTGACTCGGAAGAGACCCTCAGGGGTTCTAATGTTTTGCTCAACCACCTCCCATGTTAGAAGCTCAAAAATTTTGGCTGGTTGAATTGGAGGTTTGACTCAAAAACGTCACGGGGGTTCCCTAATGTTCCAAAACAATGAAATCAAAGATGGCAGTTACAACAGTATGAACATAAACAAGGAATTGAACTCTTTTCTTATGAAAATACACCTTTTGCACTCCAGTAAACTTGCATAGATGAGTCCTGACTTTGACTGAAAAGACCCTCTAGTGGTACTATTATTTAAACCACCCAAATCCAATACTTGAGAACTGGATGAACAGAGACCCTTTGATTTTGAGATGGATGTTTACGAATATGAGGTTTGACTGTATGAGTATTTTTCACATGAATTAGTGTCACTTTGGCAGAAAAATGTGATAGCAGTTATCATTCTACTACAAGTTTTAGTGAGAATGTGGTGGGAACGAGTTATGAAATGTAAGAGGATTTATAATTTTGCTATTGGGAGAGGGCTTCACCTCCTTCAGTGTAAATATTATAACTGTACTAATTTTTTTGGTAAAAAAAAGTGAAATGAAGCTTTCCGGGGCATCGCTTTGTTGAGAACACATGCAAAAACTCTAAGTTAAATCTCGTATTCCCACTCTTTCTCATCCTCAAATCTAAAACTCTCTGTTGCTGAGAAGGTGAGACCTATTTCCAAACATACTACTTCTTTATTCACATCATCTAGGGAGTTTAAAACCCCATGTCGGAAGGTTCACCACAAAGGTACCTCTTTTGCTATACATCTGTCTTGTGCAGGCTTTGTACACATCATTATAATATATCTAACAAACAATAACATTATTTATAGCTAATAATTAAAATTAGTAATTTGAATGTAATCCTCATTATGACATATTTTGTTCTTGATTACTCAAAAGCTTTTGTCCCGTATCATCTTCGACCCAAGCCACAATTTTTCCTTCCCAGCCAGGCACCAAGTCACTGTCGTCAATAACCTGTAATAAATAGTCATCTTCTATCACGAATAATTGCCATATGCATTTGAAACAAGCACTCCACGCTGCAACCATGGTCATCATTGCAGCGAAAGTATCGGCTAAGTCATAGCGCTCTTCTTAATCATGTTTATGGTCATTCTAAAGCATATGAGAGATCAACATTTTGCATGCAGAGAAATAATTTTCGCTTTGTTTTCTTTATAATTCACCCCAGTTGCCAAGGTATTAAATAAAAAGCCTTGAGATGTCATGTGCACCCCTGGATGTATTTTTGATGGTTGGGCAGTCAATTTACCTAATTCTTTCAAAACTTTCATGTATTTTATTTTTCTGACCACTGGTATTTTATATATGTCTGGAGACCATTAAATACTATATCTTCTAAAAAAAGTTGGGCTTGAAGCACTGAAAATGTTCTTGACTATGTTGTGATGTTAATAAAATAATATACATGTAATCACACTAAAATACTGCATAGACAGATCTAAGAAACTATTAGTTTAATTCGTGTGGGAGATGTAGTTATTTTTTATATCAGGTAATGTTTGTTTTCTTTTGTTTGGGGGTATGGTAAAGTATTCTAATGAAGTTGAAACAGGAAAACTTCAGATTACCTGAGATAAAAAATAATTAGCTAGAACAGAGACAACATTTTATTTTCTTCTCAGATCTATGCAAAAAAAATTGTCAAACTACAGCTTTTTTCTGAGTATGACTGTGTGACTGTGATCCACACCATTCCTTTTTTGTCAGAGAAGGTACTAGTCCTGATTTCATCATGCAAAAAAACAGTTAATAGTTAAAGTGTGAACATGTACACACCTCTTCTTTGACAGTTCCAAATTCAGGGTCTAATGCTTTGAAGTGATAGCGAAACATTCCCGGTCTGTCAATAGCCTCCTTAAAATCCCCTAAAGTTATTTCTCCCAATCTGAAATCCAGAAGAAAGTACTCTCAGTCAGTAAGCCCCATAGTACAACTTGAACACTGGAAGAAGAGCTTTTGGTTCACCACAACCCACTTGTACTAACACACTCTGATGGGAATTTATTTAATAGGGATTTTGACTGGTAGACTAAACAAGCATGTTTTTACTTCACACAGCTAGGTGCGACTTCTTGAATGGTGGCACTTGGAAGAAGATTATCCAACCAAAAACAAAAGATTCTCAAGTTGTTTTTGCAAACGGACCAATAATAATCATAAATTTGAGGGCTGTTTTCTGAGAAGTCAGGTAAGTTCAATGGTTTTAAAAATTTTTATCGGTTGCATAGTTTTCCCTTGATTTTTATTGGTCTGTTCACATTTAAAAAAACTTGAGAATCTTCTGTTTTCAAAAAACGTTGTGATTGGATAATCTTCTTTCAAGTGCCCCAGTTCCAGTAGTTGCACTGTAAGAAACCATAATAACAATAATAATAAGTACTTAATTATCCACTCCCCTTATCGGGCTTTTTCAGGGATAATGAAACCATAATTCAAATAGAACATATGTTTAAGAATTTCAAATGGTGGGAGGCGAACCAGTTGGCTATTTACAAGCATGGCTGAGGATTTGAACGCGGGACTTCAAAGAACAAATCCAGCTAGAAGTCAGAGCGGCACTTGAACTTGGGGCTTCCGGATTACAAGTCTAGCACTCTAACCACTTGGCCACGCTGCCTCTACTAACCATTGCATTCACAGGGCTCTACTACACTCACCTTCTGGGAATGGATGTAAGAAAAGGTGTAACAGTTTTCTCTGTAAAGTACAGTACTTTGGTGCTGATTCCTGATGTTCCAGAAGTAGCACCTCCTGTAACCAAATTAAAGTCATTTATCTTATCTGATGGGTTAAAAAAAAAATTATGATACTGGTTGGGTACCAGGGATTTATTCTGGCACATAAAAAATCATGATGGGGGGTTAACAACAACAACAACAACAACAACAACAACAACAACTCATACAAAATTGGTCACACCACCTGCACCAAGACTCTGAGCCATTAAGGCCCAGGATTGATTCCCAATGGAACCATATTAATAATAAAAAAAACCATGATAAGTGGGGCTATTTAGATGACCAGAGATTATCATATTATACCGCTGCTGGTATCTACTAGACATGGGTTTAAAGGCTGGTTTTCACTAGTGATGGAGTCGGAGTCGTAATCAGTAGGGCTGTCATTAAGTTTTGAAGCCGCCATAGCAAATGAAGATTCATCTGGAACATCTCACAAAAATCTCTAGGGCCACCTTTAGCTTTCCACTTTGATCGCCTGTAACATAAAGTGATCAAGCTCAGCCGTAACAGGTGTTGTGGGTTACGGCTCTTTACGACAACTCTGATCAGAAGCCTAGAATGTGTCATGATCTAGCAAAATAATGTTCAATTTTTCATCATCACGTAAAGCATTTCTTAATTGCTAAAATGGCCGAAGAAACAGCCAAACAAGTTTCTTGTGGTTTTGAATTCTGATGGCTTTGTTGCTAAGCAACTACAGATGCCAACCCACAATATGCATACCAGTAAATGGGTTAGGTGACTCAAGCTACACATGTGCAAAACAATTTTTGGCCAATTTATAACCTCACTCTGCAAAGCCAAGGAATAAGCATATTATACTACCTGGAGTTCTAGAAGATGCTGGTGTTTTACTATTGTATCCATTACTATGATCAAATCCATTTACTCCCTGAAAAAAGATAAGGCCACACCGTCAACCTGACCATGTTATAAGTAATATATTTTTAAGCAGTGTTTTTCACCAGATGACCTGTTTAAACATCTGGTGATGTCAAACAAAATCATTTTTGAAAGAGAAATTAAGTATACAAAAATGACCAGTTTTTCATCTGATATCCAAACACTCATTAAACATTAATTTCCTTTGAATTTTCTTTATGAATTATTAATGAGTTTGAGAACAATTTTTTAAGAGTTTTTAGACCTGTTTAAACATGTAAATTACCACTCATGAAAATGGCATAAGTAAATACTCTGTCCTTGCCTTTATATTACTGGTTTCGGGATCAGAATTCAAATAGTGGAACGGCTGATTTGTTGAGGACTGGACTGCATAAATACTCTACAAGAAAGAAAAAAAATGTCAGCCCATTTTCAATGGTGGCTTTGAAATTTCATTGGTTGTAACAAAAAAGCTGTCATACATTACCTGTTCTAGTGTATCGAGTGTGTGATGATGAGAGTCGTGTGGTCTAAAACAGCTTCGTAGACTTTCTATGGCTTCACGCACTACCTCCATTTCCTCTGATCTCTGTCAAAACAATTTTAAGCACAGATACTTAACGGCTGAGTCTAATGTTTGAAATTAATATTATTAATATAGATTATAATATTGACATTATTATTTGTAAGTATAATTTGTATCTTAACAGATGAATACATAGTCTGGAAAATGTACAATTAAAATAGTGTCAAATGAATAGAGTTCTAAAGTGATGATGTCATAAAAATTAAATTTGCGAAATTATGGGATTTGTCAGGATATTCTGAAAGAACAACATCCACGAGGCTTACTTAAATAAATAAATAATAACTTTAATAGTAACATCATTCTGACATTTAAAGGTCAAAACGGAGTCTCTGTAGAATAATTGTTCTTTAACAGGAAGCCAGTTTAGCTCTCGAAGCAAAGGTGTTACGTGGTCAAACTTCCTAGAGTTTGTTATGATCTTGCTGGCAAAATTCTGAATAGATTGTAATCTGTTTATATTCTGGAGTGTAGTATTTGACCATACAGATGAGCAGTAAAGCATCTTACTAAAGACTAGTGACGTTATTAACAACTCTAGTGTTTCCCTGTCGAAGCTCCTTTTGACTCTATTTATTTGGCAAAGCTTTGCGAAACAAGACGACACCACACATGTAATATGGTGATCATAGGTGAGATGGGGGTCAAGAAAGACTCCCAAGTCCTTGGCAGAAACTAGCATTTCTGGGCAAATTGTCTCTGAGATATTAGCCCAGTTATGCTCTGATGACTCCATACAAATCCTTCTAAATTTGATTTGGTTCGTAATGTTATGAACTGAGTCAAGTTTAGAAGGATTTGCCCAGAAATGCTAGTTTTTGGGTGACACATGCAATAATTGATTGTAACACCTTTCCCTGACATCACTGTCAAAATGCAGCACAGGAAAGAAATTGATTACCATTAAGTTTTGTCAGCTGTTAAGTGTTGAAATTTTCCATGAAACTAACCTGTTACATTGTAAATCCATTAAGAAAACTATTTATTTCAAAATAAGAACTTACTTTTGATCCGTAAGAAATAAATGCCGAGCTTTGAACACTCTGTGGATTTAAAATCCTGTCCTCTAATGATGCCATTTTTTCATCCTGTGAGGAAATGCGAGCTGATAGGCTAGCCTAAAACAAGTGATTGATTGTTAAAACAAGTCCGTCAATAACAGACCTTTCCAAGAATCCAATGAAAGCAAGGAGAACAAGGGGAGAAAGAGTGGCGCAGTTGTGAGAGCACTCTCCTCTCATCAATGTGGCCCAGGTTCAAATCTCGGCATCGACGCCACATGTAGGTTAAGTTAGTTGTTAGATCTCTTCCTTGCTTCGAGAGGTTTACCTCTGGATACTGCAATTTTCCCCTCTCCTCAAAAACCAACTTGACTGCCCCACCCAATGGCATGGTGACATGACACCTTACCTCGTAACTGCCAACAGAATCAAGCTTTGCCTGAAGATCTCTTATTCTCTGCTGCAATTCCATGATTTTGTGGTCATCTACAAACCTGTTAGGTCCTGCCTGCAATTCATAAAAATGATAAATAATAATAATAATAATAATAGTTTATTGATATCCCTCTCGCAGCCTAAAGGCTGAATTATAAGGAAGGTCAGTGACACTAACAGAAGACAATACAATACAAAACAATCAAATAGATAATTATGTAAATATGATTAAAAGCACTACATAACGGAGAAAAAATAACAAGCACAGGATTACAACTGGTCTTGAAACTTAACGGTGCAGAAATCTGCGAATCGCTTTGTCTTGGGGACAAGGCGACCGGAATACGTTCACCTGAACAGAGGCAGTATGGCCTGTCAATTGACACACAAGGAATTAATGGCTTGAGTACCGGAGACGACAGGCAGTCACGCTTGATAAAATTAATGCAAGCTTTCTCCCTTCTCTGGGAAAGGGCAGTGATGCCAGATTGAATTAGGGCGTCGTCATAGTGACAGTTCGGCAAAACGATGCGTAGGGCCCTTTTCTGTACAGATTCTATAATGTCATCTAAATACTTTGGCAGGGCTGCCCAAACAGGGCAGGCATATTCAAGTACAGATCTTACAATGCTACAGTACACTTGCAATTATTAATTTCTGTGATAGTCATGTTGGTGTAAGGGCTATTTACAAGAGGCAATTATATAGCTTCCTTTTTTTTACTGTATGCCTGTAACTATCCATGTGGATCCACGTCCCTTGGGCAAGGATCCTACTAGAACCACACATGAAAGAAGATAACAAAAGACCAATTTTTACGCAATATAACATCTTATAGTATACGGCGGTTCAAATTTTACTTCCCTTTGTTACTAATTATCAACAAAGGAAAATAAAAATTAATTTGAGCCAAGGATAAAAATAATAACTGAACCAGAACACACAGTACACCTACAAACCCTATTGCTCAGTACCTGTGCATACTTTAGCTCTTCTATGTGCCTGATAGCATCTTCAAGCTCTGCTCTCTGTTTGTCCAGTGTCTTCTCTCGGCGAATCAGCTCATTTCTAAGGGAAGACACCTCTTTATCTCTCTCCGCAAGCTGCCATTTAAACTGTGCTACTTCTGATTCATGTTGTTGCTGCATGAACTCGTGTTTTAGCGTATCGGATTGAAGATGCATTATAGTTTGTTCTTGTTGGTTGAGTCTCGACATAAGACCAGCCTTTATACCTGCAAAAATTTAAGGTAGGAACACACTAGGCGAAACGTCGCAGTGACAAATTGCTCTGTGTGATTAGGTTGGGTGATAATTGCTGCAACAAGTTGCGCAACATGTTGCAGCGACAACTCGTACTGGAGAATGTTGTGGAAATCTTTGTCTCAACAAGAGAATTTTGTCCCAGCAACAAGCATAAATTCTGTCTGATTTGATTTTGTGCGACTTGTTGCGGCAACAAAATCTGTTGTGCAGACGAAGATTTTCCCCAAAAATTCTTTAGCACACACAAAGCAATTTGTTGCTGCAACATGTCGCCGCAAACTGCTGTGAAGCAGGGCTGTCACTAAGGGAGGGGGCCAGGGAGTTTCCAGGCTACTACAGGTGTATGTACTGTACAAGCATAACCCCCAACTACTTTAATAGCAAGCAAAAGCAGAGTAAAACCAAAGGAAACTCTCTACTGTTTAATTCCCTACCCTTGAAATCTTAGTAAAAGCCCTGGTAGTGAGGGATCATATTCTTAATTTGCAGCGAGCAAAGAAAGTTGTGTCTGATAGCCCTGGGGCCAGTGGATTTAGCTATCAGGCTAGTGAATTCTGTTTTTAACTTGCCCGACGGGAAAAGTGATGTTTTATGAGGAATTCGAATAACAGGAAAAATGTGAAATTAATTCTGCGTGTCAAAAAGCTTTTGGGGCTGGTTGAAATGACGTCTGGGCTAGTAAATGCTAGCTTCCGCTTGCCTGAATGGAAAGCTGTAAAAGTGATTTTCTTTGCACCCTGATTTGTCAGTTACCTTGTAGATTAATACACTCCTCTTTTGTTTTATTTAGTTCTGTTTTCAGACTATCATAATCTGCTTCTCTCTGATCAAGACGGCTGCTTACAATCGTGAGCTGTTCCTGCACTGTGGACCCCTCAAGACCACAGTACTCTTCAGGAATTTCATCTTCCTCCACTCTGCCATTCAACAACTAGAAAAATTAATAACATATGCATATTAAAGCTTTCAGTAGTAATATATTTTTTCATTATATAGACACAAGTGTTTTACTGGAAGATAAACCACTCGTAAAACTGATAAAAACTACATCCGGGGCTGAGTGGTTTGTTTTCCATAATCTCACAAGCGAGTTTATTGATGATGTAACTTCGGTAATTACGTATCATTTTTCAAATTTTACTTACACATTTTTCAAAGCTTTGCTTATATTATTGTAGAGTCTTGTTCAGCTCAGTGTTATTTCTCAAGATTCTAGTAAACAATGTCTTATATTGCTGTACTGTAACTTTGAGCCATCACAATTACTTTTTGGCAAATAAAAATCTATTATTTTATCGATGTCTTTTTGTCCATATAATAAAAAGAACATTACATGGCCGCTTGAAGATATGAATTTCATTTTCTCGTGGCAAAAACAATATTTTACCCACTCGCTGCACTCATTCATAAAATATGGTTTTGCCACTCGAAAATAAAATTCATATCTTTGCGCCACGTTGTAATATCCTCTATATAATTATTTCAGTAAAGCGTAAGGGTGGGGCTAACATTCAGAATAACTGCTAATATAAGCAGTCTATGACCCAATTTAAAACAAAAATTAACAATAAAAAAAAATTTGACTATCTGATGATTTAATGACATCATTATCAGCCAAAGCTAGGAAAGTAATATGGTTTGTGGATATAATTGTTGTAGAAAAAGAAAGTGTTAAAAAGGCAAATTTACAATGGAAAAATGACAATAAAAATGTAAACGAAGGGAGCCAGAAATATTGTGTATTTATTAATGATAATAACATTTCTAATACACTCAAGTTTCCATCAGCAATTCTTGAGGACTTTAAAGTTTGTATCAAGATTCACCTGCCTGTGCTTTTTCATGAAATGCTTGCCAGCTATGAAATGTTTATGTTCCACTACAAGTTAATTTGCATCGCACAAATCACATTTAACTTTGTAAACAACATTTCGTTGGCTTACAGTCAATTTTGACTACAGGGTAACCTACAGTAGGAGTTTGGGCAAAAATAATCTGTAAGTGTCATTTTTTTACAACCAATTTCTAGGTGTTTGTGACCATCTTTTTACGCATTAAAACTCACCAAATTTTGTAGGTGCAGCAGCATTTCCTTTACATTACTTGTATCCTCTTCCATGTCATCATACCCTTCAGTTACCTCACGAAGAAACTCTAAATTTGGGAAAATGCCAGTGTTATTATTCCGACTAAGTGCATGGAAAGAAATGACTGACTCAGAGTCTGACATCGACTGCAGAGTGTCAGAGTCTTGTCGAGGAAGCTTAGGAGTAGAACTGCCGCTACTATGGTTAGAGCCTCCAGAACCAGTGTCCTTGTCGTGTCGAACCTCGGCGCTGGATTGTCGATTCACTTTCTTTATAGGTGTTCTATTAAGAGGGGAGTTTAGGGGTGAAGAAGAAAGAATTGGAGTATTTGAAGGGCTGATGTCAAAACCACGATGATCTGACTTTGGAGTTCCAGGGGTTGTTGCCTTGGGCTGCTTCCTAAAATCATCAAAAACATTAAATAAACAAATATTTTTTTAATATACAAGGAAGCAAAGGTGGTTCAGTCAGATGGCTGTATGTCCAGTCCTATGCCAAATGCCTCTTAGCTCTATGGTGCTGTTTCAATTCTCACTTCCATCCTTCCTTCTGAGTTGAGTTTGTTGTTGGTTCTTAGCCCAACATGTAATCCAAGTTTTTTTTTTAGGTTCCTTTTTATTTCTCTCTCTTCACTAAAACTAACAGTACCAAACAATAATTCCATCAGATGACAGGGACTGTTATAGTGCTCTAGATTTAGTTTTATAATTTGGATTTTCCCTTGAGAATAACTTTCAGAGATGACTAATCACATCTTTAAAAAAGAAATAGCACAAGACAGTGTGCAAATAAACTAGTGTCCAATAGCCTGAGACGGGTGGTTTTTACTATCGCACTAGCAAATTCTGTTCTTAACTTGCCAGACAGGCAAGTGAAGTTTTATGGAGAATTTGAACTAATCGAAATGACTTTCGGGCTAGTACACGGTAGCTACATCTTGCCATTCAGACAAGCTGTAAAACTGACTTTCTTTGCATTCTGTAAGAAAGCTAACAAATCTAACAATAGGGCCATTTATACGAGGAAAAATAAGATGCGTCTTACATAAGACGCGAACTTTCCGTATAAACGGCACATTTCGTCTAAAATAAGACACGGCTTAGCTAAGACGCGTCTTATGAGATAAGACATGCTCGTATAAATGGTACAGTTTGCGTCTTAGTTAAGATGCGTCTTATGTAAGACGCATCTTATTTTTCCTCATATAAATGGCCCTAATGTTATTACCTAAGCCTGAAGGGCATTCGTATGTGCCTCCCTGCGCTTGCGGCTTTCCTACTGGCTTCTCCAATAGCAGCAGCCGCCTCAGCAGCAGCTGCGGCAGCAGATGGACTGCGGGTTAGCTTGGTAGTCTGGGGTGATTGGGCACTGCCACTCTGATGTGCTGCTGGCTTCACACTCCCAGGTTTGAAGTGGGCAGCTAAAGCAAGTACCAGTCGCATTGTGGCTTTCACATTGCCATCCACAATGTCTGAAACAAAATGGAAGTTTTGTGATCATTTTATCATCGGCAGGACCATAAATCTGCCACAGTGTGATTAAATTTTAGTCTAGCTGTTATCGACCAAAAATATAGTGAATAATTCACTTTTATGATAAAGCATGAAACTTTGCTATATTACAAAAAACCCCAAGACTAACATTTCTGGACATACCTGTGGGGCCAATCCAAATTCATGGATATAACAGGAAATCCAACCTACACATAATATCTACAGGTTTTATTTACAAAATGACTTTAAAAGAGGTATTTTAGACGGATTTCTACCGAAAGCCATGTTGTAAGGCCATTTTAGGGCCTACGCAGTGCTTGAAAATCTTCTAATGTTTTTTTTTCTTAAAACGCTGGTCGATAACAGCTGCACTTATTAGATCGCACTTACTTGAAAAAGGTAGGGTAAGGAACATATGAGCCCACAAGCCCAGGGTTGTCATTAGTAGCCAGCTGCCAGCAAAAATCACCGCCTTCTTGGTCAGTATCGGCTGGCTACTCTGCTTGGCATTTCTTTACGGATGGCGTTTTTTGAAGTAAAATATCCCTGGACTGGCCGCTTACTTTGAAAACTCAGCCATCTACTTCACAACTTTCTGAGAACCCTGCAAGCCCACACGGCCGAATCATTACCCTGCTGCTGTTTTTGTAGCATGATACACTTAGAAATACCGCTACTTCCCCTAGGCAGGGTCACTCCCTCATCACAAGGTTGCTTTGATCACATGAATTTTGTTTGAAGTCCTCCTTCAAAGTACAAATTATTTTATATAAATTTTAAAAATAAAGAACCTGTTCCAAATTAAAAAGGTGGTACATGTAGTTTAGGAGGAATCTAGTGGCCAAATTTTAGCCTAACAGGTTATTGAAAAATAGGGTCTTACATGAGGGATAGTATGGTATGTTTTGAATATCTTCTCAAAGACAACAAATTTCTGAAAAATTAGTGCAATATTCAGTACCTTTAGAGGAGATCTGCCGCATTTTAATTCTCTGTGCTGCCATAAAGTGCAAGACTTGATCCACATTTTCTTTCTTGGATGCATATGTTGCTGGTGATTCATCAAATTTAAGAGCTTCACCAGCTGAAAAAAATCAGAATTAATAATTTAGAACATTAACTCAGTGTGTTGATCCCAAAGTCTCCAATAATTTAGATATATCATAGCTTGAGATTCTGTTTACACCTGATACTACACTAACAGCTGTAAACATAAAGCATGTAGTCATCTAACAGATACAGTACATTATTCTTGGCACCATAACACTTCTGATCATAGGTTCAACATAATTACTGTCAATTAAGAGAAATTGATCCATATTATTTTAACATAACTGGAATTCTTTTAATGTAAGAGGTGCTACCTTGCTGTGACCTCTGAGAATACTAATCACGTCTTAAATTAATTATTTTGAGGGTTTGTTGTTACACACAGTTAAGTTACATGTAAAAGATTTTTAAAAATTCTTGAAATTCTACAAATTGGCCCAGGGAGCTTGAAAACAAAGGAAGGGTTAGTTATAAAAGTAGCTGTGTGAATGATGAAGCACAAAAGTTTGGTTTCATCAACCAAATTAATAGACATGTAAAGTCAGTTTATCATCATAAGTAGCACAAATCATAACCTGAGAAGCATATATGTGTTATTGACTATAAGCATTAGGTTATTCCTTTCAAGTTGGCTGGATTTTGGAATTTTATGGACCAAGACAAAAAAATGAATAATAATAATATATAACATTTAATGTGCATTTTGATATAAAAATATGATCAAATGCACATTACACCATGAGACTAATATACGCAAGTTATACTACAAAGTCTGTTTGACCCAGTATTATTAAACAATCATTTGCTGTACCACCTTCCTTACTTACCACTATCAAAAGTGGTAAGGACTCAAAATCTTAGCTTAATCTGACAGCTTACAATCAGTTTGAGGGTATTGTGAATAACGATCTATCAGGTGAATTATAATCCAATAAATACTACTTAGAGACTGAGAGTGAGGTCGTTACAGGAAAATCTCAGACCTGGGCTATGATGTATTGACCTCGCAGGTCAAGGGCTGGTCTGAGATTTCCCTGCAATGAGGAACAAACGAGGTTGATAAGTTATTCATTATATGGCCTGTATTTTTTAGTACTATTCTTAAAATGAAACAAAAAAAAAAAACACTGGAAGTAATTTTCAATGACCGTGCATAAGAGGTAATTTAAAGTCATGTTCATGAGCAAAAACGAACTGGGTGATGTGATCGAAACCATCCACAAGACATAGTTTAGTTCCTTTGACAATGAAAATTTTGGACCTGAGCCCATGATCAATTAAAAAGCAATAACTGGTCAGCAGATAGTCTAAAAAAACACGTCACCTCAATGAGTTGTACACTTGAGCCCATGATACAGTCATGTGACACTGGTCAGCAGATAGCAAGTTAAGAACAGAATTTGCTAGCGAGATAGCAAAACCCACACAGCTAACACGTACTTACCTGTTTGGCTGTTTATTTCTAAAACAAACTCAGTTGACGAGCCACAAAAACTTTTATTTAAAAGAAAACATCTTGGAAAGTGGTTTTTAAACTAACTTCTAACAACGCTCTTTTTAAGCCTGCATCAATTATGAAAAAAGAAAATAAATACTTGACATGAACCATGGAACAGTTTGTCATAAACAAATAATACCTTACAGAATCACCACAATGACAGATTTAACACCATGAAACCACAAAACATCTTGTATACAATAGGGTTATTCTTCAAATATGTAAAACCACACTACTAAAATTAGTTCTGAGAGATAATTAGCACACACCAAACAAATTGCAATTATAATAAAACTGTAGAGTGCATTAATACACAATGTATGGACTAAATTATTGTGCCATTATAGAAATATATAACTTAATTCTTTTTTAGCCTACAGTGTATTCCATTAAAAAACAAAGAAAGAAACATGGAAATAAAACTTTTTAGGTCTTTTCTGGTATGAGTGAAGTCAGTAAAGAAGGATTACAACCTGGGTAATATTTTGCTGGTTAAACTTTTTATGCTACACACAGAATAATCTGAGTTAGCATTCTGTCCCTGATTAAACAGGGCTTTACAATGTTCATCACAGACAAGCCTCTTTTAATTAACTTAGATTCAGCAATAACTGTAAGAGGGTAAATATTTGATGAAGCAAGCCTAAAGGTCACTCAAGTGATACTTAATGAGATTATTAAAAACACACCATGTCATCATGCTCCTAATACTCTTGTCAAAACATAAGCAGTATTTATTGATTCTATTTTCAAGGGATCTTACCTAAAACTTCAACCAACTGAACCAAAGCAACTCCATCTTTAGTATCTCGAGGAATTTCACGCACAAAGCGACTGCCGGGTCTCTTCTTTAGCTGTGAGTTCACCCAAGCAACATACTGTTCCTATCAAAGAAGACAATATAAAAGATGAACATTGCAGCAAAGTTTTTAACTCCCACACTCCGGAACCAGGGCTGACACAAAAAATTACCTCATACATAACAGAAACAAACTGTGTAAATTTAAGGAACTACTCATGAACTTTCATTTGAATGATAAAGTCCAAAATTCGGCATGAACATAATATATTATCATTTCTATGAAAGTTATCAGATGAATTGATCCGAGGCAATAATGATAGATTATCACATTATTTACCGTATAATCACCCTGTGAATTACTCTTCTCCTTGTCAGACATTTTGCTTCTCAATATTCTTTTAGATCAAACCATTTCCACAGCCACTCACGTAGCACAATAAATAATATTATTTGAACCTAACTGAGCATGTATCAAAGCTCATGTGAAAAAGTTTTTAAAATGTGTCCACTGGTTTGTGACACTTTCAAACGAACAACGCTCTGAAGCAAGAAATTACCGATAGAAAACACAATTTGGTTCAACAACAGACATGGAATGTTGAGTGATTCATGTAAGGCAGTTTGTTTATGGTTCACTGACTGCTAAAACGTATCATGACTTTGCATAACAATAAAAAATATTGTAGTATGGGAAATAATAGAGGCCCTTTTAAAGCCTACACTCCATGAATAGGACATAAGACAGAATAATGTAAGACAGTGTCAAAAAAATGTTGATTGATTAAAAGCATTGTTCAGTGATCAATTTAAGGTACTATGTTGCTTGCAGCCTTGTCAAAACCAGTTTTCATAAAACTTAGAAATAAATCAAGTTACATAAAAAATGAAGTGCGAATTAATTTGTAACTTTAAAAGTGATACAAACTTTTTTCTACTGAGTATGTGTATTAAAATTAAAGTTATAGCGATTTAATTATTACCATAATAATTTATAATAATTAAAGAGCTCCATACAAAACATCCAATCTCAAAAACTGAGTGAGACAGGGGATCCTTTTGCACAGATCTGTTCAATAACATTGTTTAAAAAATCTTGATGTTTTGGATTGATTGTCAGTTATGGGAGCTAGTTGCCTATGGAGGTTCAAGAGCATTTTTACGGCTTATTTTCATGTTCACTTGTTCAAATTCAGCTGAAGATTTAACAGGAACACAACAGGATTGTGGCTTTTTTAGTATAAATCTGCACTTTTACCACAATAATATTTATTATTGCAACCATGGCCCAAGTGGTGGGGATGATCAAAAGATTTTTTCGGGTTTGAAATTGTTCGATTCCGGGATGTTTTGGGTAGGAGAATTGCGCAAGAGTATTTTTTGGGTGTCTTGATTTACATAGGGATTTTTTGGGGTATTGAAAACAATCTGAAGATTCATGGTAGTGCCTTAACGTATCACAGTCACGTAGTTTCGTGAACAAAGTATAACCAAATAACTAAGTACAATATGCTATTTAATGCTTTCTGGAAATTTTAAAGGCTCGGAAATTCAGCACGGGATTTTTTTTTTGGTCCACGAATTTTTTGGGTTTTGTTGGAACCCCTTGGGATGTCTTTGGGTTTTGATTTTTGCCCCCCATTCAATCATCCCTAGCACTTGAAATCAGGAGATCCCCACTCCCTGGGAGCCAAGTAAAATTATAGCAGAGGACAACTCTTACTGACATTCTTAGATCAGCTGTTAAAATAGTAGTACACACATGTATTTTAATAGCCATCTCAATCTTAGGGGTTTAATACCAAAAGTCAGAACTGGCTGGCTGGACCAGTCATTTTGAAAATGAAAAATTAGTCTTTTCTTTTTCACCACTTTCGGGCATACCATTTTATAAAAAGACTGATCTGGCTAGATAGTTATGAAGGAGAAATTCTCTTTACAACTTGACCCATCTGGCCAGTCAGTTCTAACAAATGGAAAGGGCTCTTAGGCTGGCAACCAGACGCCTTTGTACGAAGGTCACCAGTCTCTCAAAAAGACAACTTAAGTTCTCTGTCATTGTTCAGTCATTTTCATGGAATATCTATAAAGGGGAAACCTGGCAGGGATGTCACTAAGAGCTGGCGGGCTGCTGGCTAATTTCACTGGCTGAAATAGCTTACCCCGGCTCAAATTGTTCTGGAAAACATTTTGAAGGTGCAGTTAAGTAAAAATGCCTGCTTAGCTTTTCCTCAGCTGCATCCCTAACCTGGGCAACGTTTTTAGAAAGAGGAATGGTACACATCCAAGATTATTTACCATAAAAATCCTATGACCTGTTTTTTAAAAGACCCACTAACTGGGCTTTAACAACTTGGCCCTGGTGGCCCTGATGGCCCTGGGTGGGTACTCCTGGGAATTCTTGGCAGGGGTGTGCCGCTCGGTTCTTCAAATCCTGACCCTTTTTCAGACCAAAAAATGTCATTTTCCACGCCCATTTTCAGACCAGACCTCTAAAATCCATACCCATTTTCAGACCTAGCCTTTAAGCAGAAATTATGTCATTATTACTAAGATTAGAGTGAAAACAAAAAAATTCTTCAAATCCATTTAGAATTTGCATATTTCTTTTTCTTTCCTACTCATTTGGAATTGAAACTATAAATACGTTCATACACTCCCATAGTTCCCTCGAAAAGCATACCCGATTCCAGACCAAAATGGGCAAAATATATACCCGTTTTCGGACTAAAAAGGCACAAAAACTCTACCCGATGAGGTGGCACATACCTATATAGCTTATATAAAGAAGTACCCCCTTCCACCGCCAGGGCCTGGTGGGCAATCTAATAAGATAGCTCAATGTATTTCACAGTTTTGACAGTTACAAGGTGTCCTTTTAGCTTTGATCCTGTGTATTCCTGACTATGAAGTCTGAGTTTGGCGGAAGAAAATCCCTAAATCCAATTAACTGTGGTGCATTTACAACTTATTCACATACCAGCACCCCTAAGCCCATTATGTAAAGACATTAATGTAACAATGATGTAAGTAATCAACAGAAATCTGACTGAAACTTCTAACTTTCAACTTCTAACACAACATTATCCTGTTACTCTAACAGCATTTTGCCGCGTTTTTTTTTTTGCAAACGGCTGGCTTGTTTTTAATATTGTAAGCCATAATTTTCCTCAAGTTTTTAAGGAAGTACTTTAATATAGGAAAGCTATACTGCACTTGTTTCTTCTTTGAGTCATTTAGAAATAACAAACCCTTGGAGAAATAGCTAGAAAGTTTTAACATTTAAATGCGAGGAATAAATTAAACCTTATCGCCAAAAACAGTATGATCAATAACGTGAATGACGGGTATTATGTCGCTATGGAGGTTAAAACCGTTAGCAAGTATTATAACATGGATACAATATGCAAATTCATACAAAGTAATCCGAAAGCAACAGGGTCGCTTACCTAAAAGTTTATGTGTGTTTTAAAAGTCCTATTATGCGCCAATCGAACGAACAAATGAATGCACTTGTCGAAATTTATCGTCATCAAACAATCGAGCGCGTCAACACTTCACCGGCCGCCCGCCAGAGCGAAAGCCAAGAGGACATTTTTGTTAATAAAAAATGCTCGATGCATTTAATTAATAAAGATGGAGTTTCTATGTTCATTAAAAATATAGGCAGTTTTATTAATTTTATTAAAAATGTCTGGATTCGTGGTAAATAGGTGGAAAATTAGTTGGAAATGAAATTTTATCTCACAAGTGCGTAGACAGATATAAAAATTACCGCGTAAACACGCTTGAATGAGTGTCCACAAGCCGTGAAAGCATATAAAAGCGCTCCAGGAACAAGCGAAAGCGTCATTCAAGTGCAACAAGGTTTATTCCACACAACTGTAGAATAATAAGACTTAACTCCAGGGTAACAGTTAAGCTTACCTCGCGTTTGTTTCCTTCTTCGGCGTTTCGCTTTAGCGTTTCCCGGGCCAACGAAGGATACGAGTGGCTTTCATGGAAACCTTCTCGCTTTACCTTGCTTCGCGACGGATTAGGAGAAGAAACCTGACTTGGTTTGCCAGCTTCATTCGGGAAAGAATACATATTGGCGTTGCTGGCTCCTTCATAGTATCTTCCTGACATTCCATTTACACAATAATGGTCGAGAGTTTAAGTCCACTTCTCGATCTTCTGAGGGCAGGAAGCCATTACAATAAGTCTGTGACTTCTGCGACGGATAATGAGAAAATCGATATTCGATCGGTTAAGCCAGGGAGGGGATGGTGGGGGGAGGCTAGAGCGAAAACTTTCCTCACGCGTGGTTGAGAAATCAAGGAGATAAATATCCATATTAGCATGACATATAAATGCCATATCGAACATGAATGAAAGTATATCTATGACAAAATTCAATAATTTTTCTAAAAGGTTTTGGTCAAAATTTGGCAATTTTTCCATCTTTTTGTTTTAGGCAAATTAGGCCAGTAAAACGTGTTTAGCGATTTTCTAGAAAGAAAAAAAACGTCTTTTCTAGACTATAGAAACAAGAAGTTCAAAAAGTCGAAAAGTTGGAATTTTTTAGTTTATGGTTTTGGTCAAACTGAATTGCAATTCGTCCATCTTTTCATCTTAGGGGAAATGGGTCAGAAAAATGTGTTTAACGCTATTCTAGAAATAAAGAAAACGCTTTACTAGACTATAAAGACAAGAAGTTCAAAAAGTCGAATAACTGGGATTTTTCCGAAGGGGTTAGTCCATGGTTTTAGTGAAAAATTGACAATTTTTGCATCTTTTCAGTTTTGCCCATACTGGGCCAGGAAAATGTGTTCCAGGATATTTTAGAAAGAAGAAAACGCCTTTCTAGACGGTAAAAACAAGAAGTTTAAGAGCGAATCCATGCAAAAATCGACCAAAATCGCCGATTCGTGGCAAGGCTCAAAAAATCAAAATCGCTCTTCTTTTGCAGACTGGTAGAGATTAGTAAGTATACAAACGCTATGTAGTTTTTTCTTCGAAAGATCTGTTCGTTTCCGATAAAAACGAAAAAAACCGTTTCAAGCCCCACCGTCGATTTCGCAAGCCAAAAACAGGGTTGAAATTCATCATGATTCGCTGGACTCGCGTTCCAATACTGCCGCGCTAGGAAAAAAACTTATTGCTAAACTTTTAAGTTTAACTCGTCGTTGATCAAAATATGTAATATTTTTAGCATTACAACAGTCTGAGTAATTATAAAAAAGCTTAAAGCGTACGACTACCTGATGTTTAGCCACGAAAGGTCGTTGAAAAGAGCGACGATTTTCATCATGTGCCTTTGATCAGAATTTTTTCAGATTGAAGGGAAATACACTACAGGCATCAAACTATTCTGTTATGCAAAAATTATTTTGGGGAAATCATTTTGAGCTTCTCAGAAATTACTTGAAAATCGTTTTACAGACAACATAAAGTAACGCCATCTTTAACATATGCGTGACCATCGTCAGTCGACCAGGCAAAGGTCATGAAACGTCTCTCCGAAAAAGTATTGGTAATATTCACGCACAAAGTTCTAAATGTTAAAGTACTCACCCTATTCTTTGTTTCAGGTCTAGTTTTACGGCAAAATGTACTAAAATGTTTCCCGTTGCCATCTGTTCAAGTTTGCCATTCTATGTTAAACTCTGTTTGAGACTCATAACCAACACGCATGCTTTCTAACGAAGTTCGCTTAGTAAACACGTAGTAAACTCTCTCTTCCTTATCTGTCAACAACTTTTGTGTCAAAATGCTGCTGGACTCCGCAGAAGGAAGCGCCAATCTGAAGGATAAAGCGCCCATGCGAACGTTTTGTGACTCGGTCAGTGCAAATTACTGTCAACAGTAATACCGTATTTATTCGATTAACCGCCCTGGGCGCTTATTAAATTTTTGGACCTTGAGAGTGGGCGCTTATTTGAGGTGGGCGCTTATTCGAGGCTGGGCGCTTATTAAATTTTCACCATTTTCAGCAAGTGAAGAATGTTTATTTTCCAACAAAACAATAAATGCTAATAACAAAGCGCGAAGAAGTAACAAAGTAAGGTTTCTGTAAAATACTCTGAAGAAAACTCCGTCCTCGGGGAAGTCTCCTATTGGAATTTATTTACTCAAGTGGGTGGGGTGGAGGTGAGCGCTTATTTGATTTTGATTGGGAGGAGGAGGGGTGGGCGCCTATTCGAGGCTGGGCGCTTATTAACTTTTTCTGCCTTTAGGATGGGCGCTTATTCGAGGTGGGCGCTAATTCGAGGTTGGGCGCTTATTCGAATAAATACGGTATCAGATTACAGCTGTTAAGATCCCGGGGCCCTGGGTCTGGATCCGCTAAAAGCAGTCGAAAAGCAAACGTACAAGATGCGTATAATACAAAATTTTTGAAAATGAAGAATTTAATTGGTAGCCTCAATGAAGATTTTCATTGCTTCGAGACGTCGGCATTATCAAATCAAAAGATGTCTTAACAAAAAATCGATGGAACTTCCAGTTGTTGGCTGCACGTGGGTAATCCTGGCCTGCACGTGCGGTATTTCAGAGTGCCTTCTTAATATATGACAAATGTAATTTCTGCTGTGCTAAATGCCACTTTTCGTGAATTGAAACAAACATTATTTGGGGGGGGGGGGAAGTACAAAAAAAACCCCCCACCATAACTCTTCTAATGGTCCGTCCCTAATAGATAAGATTTCATGAAAATAAATAAATAAAATAACAATAATAATAATAATAATAATAATAATAAAATTTTTATAAAAATTTATAATAACGTAAAATAACAAAAAACCGAAAGAGAAAGAATTAAAGAAAAAGAAACTCGTATCATCTCCGGGTATGGGAAATTGGGTTTAATTTCGAACTAAGAGAAAAAGTGAAAGGTTTATTTTATCGGACAGATAAGGTGGATTGGTACCGTACCCGGGAGACTCTGGGTTATCTAACAGCGTTGACAACTATAATAAACTTTATACAGTATTCGTGGATTGAATCTAAGTGACTTATTAGAATATAATACGGTGAATGAATCAAGAGTACCTGAACCTACAGGAATGAGGATACCGGTTTGCTGATAGATCATTATATTCTGAAATGTTCGTCCTCTAACTCTTTTGTCGGCTTTAACAGGTTTCCCTCTTCTTTCAATTATGTGATTGGTGCTTTCCTGTGGAACTTGGCACGAACTGGAATGACTGTTCCGTCGCCATCCAATACCGAGCTCAGAACGATGGAAAGGGGATATATTGAAGGAACTTAGGGCGCTGTCCATTTTTCAGAACTGGCCGGCTGGACCTTTGCCTGAGTTTTGCCGAAAAACGTTCTCTTTCGAGCATACTATTTCGGATTTGAGTGATCTAGCTGAAGAGTTTGATTAAAAGGGAAATTATCATTGCGGCGGGAATGGTCTGGCTGGTCACTTCTGAGCTAAAATAAAGTCTGTTTCGCTTTCAATACCAGAAAGAGACCATGTCGACCTATGCCCAGTCACGTCCTTAATAGTTTGACAGCGACAAAGGAACAATCTCAGTTGATCTCTGCTTATCCCTTCTATCAAACGAACACAGAGTACCTACTAATGACTCGAAGGAGCACGAACCTTCCATAGCTTCATCGAAGAAGAGCGCACACAAACAGTGTTTTTGCAAAGATCTTTTTCTTTTTCAAGTGGGAATGAACGGTTGAATCAAATTAAACTAAATTTAATTCGATAATGTTAATCAAATGCCTAAAATGTCAAAAATATTAAAGATAATTCTCAGGTAAAATAATGTCAACTGCAGTATTTTTGAAGAAGGAGGAGTATAAAAGATGAATCTTACTCAGTGTACTGGAAGTAACGGGTGAAAGTCGGAGAAGCTCGTCACGTGTATACTCGGCACCGGAAGTAGACCGTTGGCACACTCCTATGCAAATCAGATTACTTGAAGTGAACGGATCCACGAGCAAGCAACTTTGCTTTGTTGACAGTTAAACTACCGAGCTTTGTTTTATAGACGTCTTTTTTCAGGTCCAGGGTTCTCAAAATTTTTAACAAACATGAGATGTTAACTTGAAAACATTAGAGAAAACAGAGGGATGAAGAAATTACCAGAAAGCTGTCACGCACCTCCAACGCACACATTCCAGCGGACTTCACGACTACGGTAAGATAGGTGATCCGGCGGCAAAATGAAACAACTTGGAGCTTGAAGTACAACAGATACAGGTTAAGGTAAGCTTTTTTAAAAAAATATTTTATATATCAAGGCTACCAGCGTTGTAAACGGAAACCTAAAGTCAAATTGTTGATGGTGGTCGTGTGACTCATGTGTTGGATGCAGTTATTTTATGTTGTCTGTAACACGAATTTCAAATAATTTCTGAGAAGCTCAAAATGATTTCCCCAAGATAATTTTAACATAACATAATAGTTTGATGCTTGTAGTGTTTTCCCCTTCAATCTTGAAAAATTCTGATCAAAGGCACATGACGAAAATCGTCGCTTTTTTCAACTACCTTCCGTGGTTGAACAACAGGTAGACATACGCTTTAGCTTTTTTATAATTACTTAGACCGGTGTAATGCTAAAAATATTATATATTTTGGTCAACGACTAGTTATGCTTACAATTTTAGCAACAAGCTTTTTTCCTAGCGCGGTTGTTTTGAAATGCAAGTCGAGCGAATCATAGTGAATTTCAACCTTGTTTTCGGCTTGCGAAATCGACCGCGGGGCTTGAAACGGTTTTCTTGTTTTTCTCGGAAACGAACAGATCTTTCGAAGAAAAAACTACATGGTGTTTGTACACTTACTAAAGTCTATCAGTATGCCAAAGAAGAGCGATTTTTATTTTTTGAGCCTTGCCGCACTTTGGTCGATATTTGCATGGAATTGCTCTTAAAAAGTCGAAAAATTGAGATTTTTTCAAAGGGGTTAGTCCGTGGTTGTGGTTAAAAATTGGCAATTTTTCCATGTGTTTATTTTAGGCAAAATTGGCTAGGAAAATGTGTTTCACGATATTTTAGAGAGAAAAAATGCCTTTCTAGACCACCCCTAGTGATATGTGTTTTCCAGGTAGGCGGAGCACATATCACTAGTGAAATGTTTTTCCTGAGTAGGGGAATGCATATCACTAGGGATCCATAGTTTTGGTGAAAAATAGGCATTTTTTCCATCTTTTTATTTTTGGTAAAGTAGGTCGGGAAAGTGTGTTTCACGATATTCTACAAAGAGAAAAGGCGTTTCTAGACTATAAAAACAAGAAGTTCAAAAAGTTGAAAAATTGGGATTTTTGCAATGGGGTTAGTCCATGGTTTTGGTCAAAAATTAAGTCAGACTTCGTTTAAATAACCGGAAAGACTTGACTTAGTCGCTATTGGCCTGGCTATTAGCCTGAATTTCATCCGATCACTTCGAGTCGTTATTACTCCCTCAGTAACACGTTGCTGAGAGGAGGAAATGACTCGAAGCAGTTGAATGAAATTCAGGCTACCTGGTCATGCTAAAAATTTATTCCGTGAGACCAGAAAAGTCTGATGGCTTAATATATTAACTTTACCATACTTTTTTGCAAACTTAAAGAGGGTGAAACGAACGGATTCGAGTTCCCTACGAGGTCGACTCCATTATAGTGCAGACTAGAGGGGAAAAATGAATCGTAATGAAAAGAGAAGAGAGATTCTATTACAAGAAAATGCGAATCGAATAAAACAACAATCAAAGCCATTACATGTCCACAAAAAGCAATGGGGCCAGGACCGTTTTCCAAATTCACTCGAAATTGTTTCTTCCCAGTATTGCTCCTTGTAGCCTGAAATTCATCCGATTGCTTCGAGTCGTTTTCTCCTCTCAACTGAGGGAGTAATAACGACTGGAAGTAATCGGATGAAATTCAGGCTATGCTCCTTGTAGAAGCTGTTGTTTTAAAAAAATAGAAGTATGGCGCAAACGAACTCAAGAAGAAGCGTCAAGGGTGCAGATTCAAGTGACTACAACGTATCAGCACTTCAAGTACAATGCTTATATATCGTTAATAGCTACATTAATGAAGCCATTGATAAATTCAGTCGGAAGAAAAAGCATTGATCGCTGTGTTCATGCCACTACGATACAGAAACTAAACGCAAAGGACATGAGCGCAGCTTGTAGAACTAAGCCTTTCTGAAACTGTAGTCAATTCAATATTAGGCTTTAAGTCTCTTTTTCTATCCCTCGGAATTCATCTTTTTTAGTCGTTTTACGGCTAACGGTTAACCCACTGAAACCCTTTAAGAGGGTCACGGGAAGGGTGACCTGTAAAATGTTAGGGATGGGAGGGTATATTAGTATAACTGGAGAGGGTGGATTTGTACAACCTTCTATACAACTGTGGTTGCTTGTCACTGATAGAATTTTAGCGTGGATTTTTTGACACATTTTAGGGCAACGTGCTTCTTCATTTGTTTGATAAAGTGTAAGAGTCTTTCAGTCAAGCTGAGCACCTTGTGTGCTATTTTTCATATTACCGAGCTTAAATAAAACTTTGTCATCGTTGTTGGGGTTGCCATGACGATGGTTGTGAATACCTTCAACTTGACGCAAAAAGGGGTCTTTTTTCTCGCTTTATTGAAGTGAAACGGAGTTCGCTGGGGTCTTAGCCGTTCCGCGTCTGTGGCCAAAGACAAAAGAGGCACCGATTCCAATCAACTATGGTACTGATTAAAAGTTGTTTTTTTCGCTAAGAGCTATACACATTTTATTCTAAAAATAAAAAGCAATCAGTTTTTATAAAAGAGTAATCTCGATGACCAACCTTGCAGCAAAGCTTTTCACTGATCTTCACTCAGCAAAAGCCCCTGTAACCATAAACTAATACGCTTCATTTTACTTCAATTAATTCTCGTGAATACCAGTCTTTCAATGGTATGCTGCTTTTAGCGGGTTTTACCCGATCTCTTTTACTTAGAGAAGCACAATATAGAAAAATAATTTAATCACCAGTCAACAGGCAAGAATGAAATAGTTTTGCAAGGAATCGCAACGCTGACAAATATGTTCAAAAAATAACTTGATGACTGCAAACCATAAGCACAATTTTAATATCTAGGTTAGAAATTTGCTTAAGTGATTTGCCTTGTATGCCCTGTTGGCGTCACTTGAGAAAGAAAACAACAGTATGGCCATTTTAAAATAAACTGTTAAATCCTGTTTAATGCCTTTTTTGTTTTTGGACTTTAAATTAGCTTGTAGTCTTGCTAAATTGGCTTAAAATGTTTTTTTATCGCTTCACTGAAATTTTGAAGCTAATATACTGATCACAGAGCGAGACCTTGACGTGTGACAAATCCGTAACATGTGATCAGTGTTTGGCGATAAATAGCGGAAAGCTTTCTATTTTCTAAATTATCTTGGTTTGTCATCGGTTGAATTAGAGGACAAAAGCTCACATTAGTGAGTTGCGAAGACGTAGAGACCCTGAACGGTATGTTCGCTTAATGAATTGTCTAATTTTGCGCTAGTTTAATATTCTCAAAAGCTTTAAAGAGTGTAGGGTACCTGTGCTTGACAATCCAAAGTCAGAGGTCGTGTTCGCTTAATATTGGGTCCGTTTAATACAGGCTTCACCGATTCAGTTAATTCGGATCAGGTTGTGTGCGTGGACCCGATGTAGCTCTGAACTTGATATACCCTCTTTTGTCTCTAGAGACTCGCCGTATCTTAAAACTGAAACTCACAGTTGAGTAACTTTTTTTGGTTAATTTTTGACTAATGCTCCCGTTGTGCAGACGAAAGTATTTTTCATTGTCAAAAAACTGGTTAGTAAATTTTCACAGTCTTAAGTTTGCGGCATAACATTTAATGTCCGCCCCTTTAAAACATTTAGTTCCTCAGTATAAACAGTGGATGACATGGCAAATGAAACCACACTCAAATTCTCCGCAGGCCATAAGCTACACTGCTTATAATTGTGAAGTATTATTTTCGTTTTCTAGTGTTTTTCCCAAATTTGGTTTCATAATGCATCCAACAGCTTAGGTTAACCTACAAACATCTATAGACTTGTACATATATCATAGAATTTGTTTGAGTTGTTTCGACTGATCGACCAGAATTTTAAGCTAGACTGAAATAGTTAGTTGCGCGTCCAAGCCGTTTCACTCCACTGGCTATATAGACCTGTTTGAATTCGCTTTTACTGTGTTTTTGTTTCTAGACGAGACTCTTTTTTTCAATGTGCGTCCTTTTCAGGGAATTAATATCTTCGCATAATTTCTGAAAAGAGAAACTTCAGTTCCCTTGAGAACATGAAAACAAAGCACATAAATCATAAAGAAGCCTCTCTTGAGGTAAAAAAAGAGGTTAAGCCAGTTTTGAGTCATTTGTAATTTCGTAAGCCCTCGAGCGTAAGCATATAGCCAACCCATTTGTTCCTTAAATTTTGTTTGTTTTTAAGCTTTCAACAATAAAAAAATTCAACAGTCAAATGAAGCGGCTATACGCGCCACGTGCCTCGCGTATTTTTTGATAAAGAAAAAAAATCTCCGTTTTCAAAAATATCCAGATACAAGTGGACAGTGCCTGAGACAACTGACTGAAGGCATTTGTCCTCGTAATTGTACACTTAATGCAATCTTTGGTTTTTGTCTTTGTCAGTTTTAGGTACAAGCGGCAATATGTTTACAAGAATCGTTGCCATTATTTTTGTTGCTATTTTCGGTATCCTTGTCGCTGGTGGGTCCGTCATAAAGCCCAAGCCGGGGATACGATTTCTTGAACCAATTTTAAAGTGTTACGGAGATGGGCAAAACGGTAATATGGGCCGCCCCCAATCGGATGACGAAATCATAAAAATGGTCTGCCAGGATATGAAGGTAGGTACAGTGGTTACTACCATTTACGTTGGACCCCAAGCCTCTGTTTCAAAGCGAGGCTTTGTGCCAAACTATTGATTTGAAAATGATTTTTTATTCCCATTCAAATTAGACTCATTTTCAAAAGAAAAGTTTTACACTTCCCAGTTAGCACTAAAAAGTGAAACTGATCACAAAAATCGTCACAATCACAGCTTTCAAAACATGAACTATCTCACTTAAATCGATGTACTGCACTTGTGGGAATTCAACACTCAACATCGCAGAAATAAGTTAATCATGATTTTTTTATACATTATCTAGCTGCCTGAAATGATGACTGCAGCAGATTTCGGGGCAGAATAAAAGAAAAATATTTAATTTGTTGGATAATTATTAAAGAACCCAGTCTAACCTTCATATAGCATATAGGGGACACTTAACCAAGTCTCGAGGGTGTCCCCTAAATAGAGGTACCACAGTAGCTAACAAAAAGCGTATTCAATTTTGCTTTCGGATTGATGATATGAAGAATTTTGGAGATATCGAGGACCTTATTCACCTCAGCCGGTAACACTATCTTCGATCAGTAAGTACAAGTTCGTATTATCATCCTAGCTAACCCAACAATTGTCAAAAACTTTCCACTGGAAACCATCCGAAAATTTGACCATCAAGCTAAGATCAGATATCTACTGCCAAGTGACTACTGAAGTCCAAAGCTTTCGTTTCAACTTCTTTTTTGTGTTTTTTATATTATCAGGAATGGGATCCATGTCTTGCAGACGCCATTAAAGCAGAACCAGACCCTGTGCCTAAGGTTTTCAACTTCTTTGCCCTGAATGCATACCAGACAAGCTATCTTTATAAGCGATCAAATCTGTGTCCAAAACTAACTTATGGACGTGTAAAGAAAATTACAGAGGACTCGGGTGAGTATAACAGATTTCAGAGATTTTCCAGCAAGAGTCATTTAGCAAATCATTCACCAACCTGTCCTGAAAGTAATGCTCATCATCATATCATGTGTATACAAGTTGCACAGGCAAACACAACTCAGATCAGTTATTGGTTATACTTTACAAGGTTTTAAACCAGACACACAATACAACAACCAAATGGTAGCATAACGCCGTAAATGATCCAATAAACGCCCAGTCTCAAATAAGCGCTTCTTTTCTGATAAACGCGCGCGCCCCTTCTACAAGACCCACGATGTTAAGTTTGTATTAGACGCCACTCTCTAATCAACGTCCCCCGTCTAATAGACGCTCCCACGACAAGATCAGAGAGGATTAAACAGGGGCACCCAACGAGAATATAGTTCAAAACCACTTAAACATAGCATTGTTAAACGTATTTTAGTATTTAAACGGTAGGTATAGGCATATTTTTATCCCCTAAAAAATTTTCATCTGTTCGGATTTCCTAGCTGAAAGTCTAGTGATCCGAAAATTATAAGGAACAAAACCTACCTTCTCGAAAATTTCCGCCAGAAAAAAGGCTCCCAAAAAATTCTAGGTGACTTTTTTAGGGTAAAAATCCGTTAAAAATGACCAATTATACCATTTTGTTAGATGTTTGAAAATCCTAAGAGAGGCAGGCAAGCAACAAATTTACAAAAAATGTTCCGAAAATTTTAGACCTCCAACCGTCTTTCGAACAGATATTTCCGAAAATTGACATGGGGTGGTCATGATTAAAATCAATCAAGTTTGCTCAGTTTCTTGCTGGATTAAAAAGGGTTTGTGCATTGAATCTTGTTCAATGCCAAGTTTAAAGTAACAATAGGCTATAACAATGACAACATAGTAAATTTGACCAAGGATTCTGTCACAGAAGCAACTTCTATAAGATTTGAAAGAGCAAGATGGATCCCTAGTCGGCATAGACGTTTCAATTGATGGTGTGAATATTCCACTATTTATAAACTCTCCCGATAGTTCTGTTGAGCTTGTTACAGTTATGAGAATAAACGCCTTCTCTGGAAGCCTATACACTTAATCACTCATCCCCTTTCCCCTCCCCCCCCCCCACCCTTGGGCTTTCCTTGCTAAATTGTATATTTTGAAATGTTTCATACTTTCATCCACCTATACCTACAAAATCATCTAAGTTCATCCGGCGGTATCCAAGGCAAGCAACGCTCGCTTTATCCTCAGTTTTCCCCGTAGGCCTTCAGTATTCTCCCTGGATCCCCTTGCTGGCGTGGCAACAGGGGTGGCAATCATTAGAGCATGTAATTAGCCGTTTTCCGCCTCTTCCAAAAAGTTACTTTACTATTAACATTTTTTTTGTAGGCATACTAAAAGAAGAAGGGCTCTCCAATATAGGTAAGCGCAACTTTTTCTTATTCCCGCGTAATGTTCTCGGCGAAAACGTGTGTATTGGTTAAGCTTTCAAACCCTTACGCAATAAATCCCCAAAAGTGAGTTTTCTCCTAACTCCCCACCCCCCGGGGGGCACCAACCAAATATGCCAGTCTCCTTTATTCAGCTGTTTATTACGTTTCTTAATTCGAGCATTCGAGGTTTCTCGGTAACTGACCACCTACCCCTCCCCTAAGTCACAATTTTGTCCTAAGTGAAAAGGAAGTACTAATGTTAGGGGAGGGGTAGGTAGTCAGTTTCCCAAATGATCCCTTAATTCTTTTTAGCGGATGATCACTACGAAAACTGCGTTGGAGATGCTTTGAAGAAATGCACAGTGGAAGAAATGCGTGTAAACGGGGAAGACGATGACAAAGACGAATACGTGTTCTTCAACTGCATGAAAACAGAGCAAAAGACCTGCAATCCGCTCATCATGCGCCATTTTATGGATCAGATGGACGCGTACAAGAAACGTTGGAAGAAACTAATGGAACTAGAAGAGATCGAGGGGATGTGAATTTGAAAGTTTTCATCTCGCATTGAAGGTCTGCGTACAAAACAAAAACGAACAAGAAGATGTTTTCTCGTTGAATTCAAAATGATACTTTTGGCTGATAGCAGTGCACCCTATAATTTCACCATATCCATCATGCAAATTTGCAGGTGCTTAAGGACTAACAGAATAAAAGCAATGTCACCTTGTTTCGCCTAGAGGGAAACAAAAGGAATTAAATTTGCCAATACACGAAATCGAGGTCCGGTTTGTTTATTCTAGAACGTAGAAAATGAAACACTTTTAAGCCTAAATATCGGCGGAGCAAGGAATAATGACGAAAAACTTGATCAAAAATTATTATGTACAATTTGAATCACTAAAATCGTTGCCTCAGTTCGAGGTAAACTCAAACTCAACCTTTATTAAGGATTTCTTTTTCTTGGAAAATTTTATCCTCTGTTTGCCCCCTGAGAAACCACGTGATATTGCTTTTTTCCCATCAATTCTAAAGCGCAGGCAAAGATGGTGGGTATCGTTGGAGTCAGGTCGCATCGTGTGAGCGCGAAAGTTACGTGCCTCGCTCGCTCATACGTAACATGCGGTCCACCACGTGACAATCATGAAGGACTCCTAACAATCTAAACGTACGGTGTTTGTACTTGTGGGCAGTTATTGAATGTTAATCTCTTAGCCTTGTCAGCACAACACACGTTACTTTGATAAAAGATAAATAAAAACTCACATAAACTGTACGATTTCAGTTGCCCTTTGTTAACTTTTTTAGGACGTTTTTTATGTTGTAAGGGGGTGTGATAAAAAAATCTCCTGTTCACCCAACACTGGCCTCTTTCCTTTCGTTTTTCCTCGTAGTCTTTGCCCTTCTTACCCCTAATCCGTTATAAAACTTAACATTTTGCCAAAACGTGAACACTTTTTACAAACACTAATGACCTTATAAACAAATAATAACCATTATTTGAAAAAATGTCCAACACAGTAAAGGAAAAAGAGTCTCAACCGTTTACTTTAAAACTCATGCTACATGCATTATTAATGCAAAACGTTTGCCCTAATCTATGCCTTTTTCGCCTAACGACTCTGCACTATGAGCTATACTTTAACTATGGATTTTACAAACACGCCAGTACTGAAGAGCATTCTAGAATAAAACGGGAACGTCTTCGTGACCAAAAAAGAGAAAATCAAGGTCAAAACATCATCAAGGCATAAGATATTGAAAGTTGGTGGAACATATTATTTAAACAGCTGTAGATTAATCAGCAAGGCTAGCAACTGGATAGGCAAGGATCACGATCGGATTTTAAAATTCATCAAAAAATAAATATGCATGTTTTTAAAGCTGCCTTGACTGCAGTTTTACCAACTTATACTAGTAGCTATACACGCGAAATAAAATGCCTTTAGTGGAGAGTCTCTATTAACATGAGGTCTATAACATATGTATAACTAGTGTATCAAGGTTATTTTCCTCACCAATTTTAATCCACAGTAAAGGAAAACGTTTGCAGTGCAAAGATATTTTCTGCTCACTTTAATCACCCTCAGAAATTTTTCCATTGACCTCACTAGTCTTTGCCCTTCTAACCCCTAATCTGTTATAAAAACTTTACATTTTGGAAAACGTGAACACGTTTTACAAGTACTAATCAACTTATAAACAAATAATAACCATTTGAAAAAACGTCCAACACAGTAAAGGAAAGCGAGTGTTACAAGTAACCGTTTACTTAAAAACTCATGATACATGCATTATTAATGCAAAACGTTCAGGGGCACCCAACGGGAAATTTTGGGAAAAAGACCTAAAAACAACAACAAAGCGTGAATAAATTTTTCTGAGACTATTTTAAACATTTTGGGAGATTGCTGGAAAAAAATTATCTGTTCCTCACTCCCAGCAAGACTAATGGAAGAGTTCCCAGCCAGCAACCTTACAACCTGCAACCTGACTTACTGGGAAGTTTCATAGGGTACAATTCAGATCTTGAGTGGTCAGTAACCCATACAAGTAGCCCGTAGCAGCTATTCTAGACTTCAAATCCCCTCTGACACCCTGAATTATCTTTTTCCCAGCAACACTTTCCTTCCAAGGACTATTATTTCTTTCACATCTCCCAGCCAGCAAAAATGTGCCTGAAGAACAGATATTTTGAGGAACAGATCCATTGGGTGCCCCTGAACGTTCGCCCTAATCGATGCCCTTTTTCGCCTAAGGACTCAGCGCCAAGAGCTATAATTTAACTACCAATATTACAAACACTCCAATACTGAGGAGCATTTTAAAATAAAACTGGAACGTGACCAAAAGAGAGAAAAACAAGGTCAAAATAAAATCAAGGCACAAGATATTGAAAGTTGGTGGAACATATTATTTAAACAGCTGTTAATAGGAAAGGACGCTCCAAAGTTGACAAAAATGTAGTACGTACCGATCATGAAAAAGTTTAAATACCCTTTAAATTTGGGCAGAAATTAAATCGAATAACTTCATTTGTGAGCCGGTTAAGTTCGTGAAAGCTTTATTTCTTCTTTCATACATGAAGATTATAATCGGCATTCGCAAGGCTAGCAACTGGACAGGCAAGGGTCACGATCGGATTTTAAAATTCATTAAAAAATAAATATGCATGTTTTTAAAGCTGTCTTGACGGCAGTTTTACCAACTTATACTAGTTGCTATACACGCGAAATAGGAATTTATATCTTTCCAACATACCACGTTATACGAAATCAGTTTACCGTTTACAGAGGGGTTAGGCATTCAAAGACTTTTGGTATAATGCATATTAAAATTTAAAAGTCACCGACTCACTTTAAATTCAAACTGCGGAAAAATCACAATATTTGGACCTGTTACTGTTGGGAATTAATAAGTAATTGTTAAGCTTTCTGAACAACACGGTATTTAATAACAATGACGATGATGCCTTTAATGCCTTTAATGAAGAGTCTTTATTAACTTGCGCAAAAATAAGCAAGATGTTTCGTTTACTTGTACATAGTATGATTATCAGCTGAAACTATAGAAGTCTTAGTTTATTCTGTGCTATTATTTTAAGTGTCTCTCGTTATCCATGGCTATAATTTTCCGGCTTCTTACCCTCGTAACAGCAATAGCTAACATTAATCTGTTTATTTCAGATACATTCTTCTTAACAACTAAAAAGCTTATATCACTAGACTTGTTCTTCCTTACAGAAACAATACTAAAAGACTGAATATGCAGAATGTAGTTGAGGATTTCTTTTATTAATAGTGATATTTAAAGGAAAAAGACCAAGTTCAGCTCTTTGTGCTATATTAAAAGCCTTGTTGTTTTATACCTCTAAGTAATGTTTGCAAAATTGAGGGTGTGTTCACCGATAACAGTATTTCACGACAAACTCAATCTTTCCGTCATAGAAGTAACTGACACTCAGCTCGTTCGCTCCACTACCCCAAGCAGTGCGCTCTCTGTTTGCTCCGCAATACCAGAATATCTGGCGATACCCGGGATGTGGTAGTTTGATCACTCGGTTAAGAGTACCCTGGGATATACGTTCACCCAATACCTGGATGGAAGAGGCGCCTCTGCAGCGTTCGTAGGTTGTGTCAACACGTTTGCAGCCTACGCAGTTATAAATCCACCACTTGATCGTACCATCCGGTGCGAAGTAAAAATCTACACGGTTTCCCTCTCCTCCAAACCCGACGCGCTCACTGGACGACCCACATTTCCAGGACAGTTCTCTCTGACGGTGCTGTAGGAGGATCTGACCACCGCTTCCATGGTGGTAGCGACGGTGGTTGATAATGAGGTCTGCGTTTCTGCATTTGTCGGTGGTGTACTCGATCCTAGTGCAGTGGTCGCCATATGCCGGGGAAATATGGCTGGCCATGTAGAACATGACTGTGAGGGTGGCAACTGTTTGAAAAGCGCGCCTATCCATTTTCGCACTCGTGTTGTCTTCTGGTCAATTGAATAAGCGTTTGCCTCAGCTTAAAGATGAAGGGAACCGTTTGAGAGTGAAATTGGCTACTGTGTTTCTTGCGCCTGTATAGACGACGTTAATGCAAGACAGGTTGTGTTCTCTCGCCTAAAAAGGGATATTTTTGTACTTTCAAAATAGTGTTAGTTTTAAATGACCGTATAAGGCAAATGTTAGTCCAAACTTGCACCTGTGCCAATTACGTTTCGCAGTTGGCTGGAAGTTACCCAATCAGCTCAGTCAGCATCAGTCCGGCTGAATAAGGGTAACGCAGGCTCTGGGGACGAGAATAGAGACTTCACAAAAATGTGAGTCGGCTAAGATATTTTTTGCTGTACTATACTTTAAACTGCTCTGTTGTCCTCTTCAGTTCTTCCATCAACCTCACCGTTATTCTTTGCTTGTTGTAAATTATTGAAAGTTAATCAGTGGAACATGATTTAAACAGCTATGTGAATGGAAACGGATGTTCTCACGTTGTGTCGACACACATCGTTTTCTTACGTAAATGTAGATTGCAAATTACGATCGGATTTTAAGATTCATTAAAAATAAACATGCATGTTTTTCAAGCTGCCTTGACTATGGTTTAACCAACTTGTACTAGTTGCTACACACGAGAAATAGGAATTTATATCTTTCGAAAGATCGGACTGTTTTCTGAAAGCATACAGAGTGGAAAAGCATTTATCTTCTTAAAATAACGCCGCACTGAGGAAAAGATCTGGAGGTCCGAAGATTTGTTAAGCCACGGCATAAGTTATACTTCGTTTAAATAACCGGCCCTAAATTTTTGTCGGCCCCTGGCCATAGGAAAGACCTAACCTGGCCATGCTTAAAACCTATTCCATGAGACTTTTAGGCTATGGAACAGATTCAAGTAACTACACGCAACACTTCAAGTACAGTGGTAATATATCGTTAATAGCTACGTTATAGAAACCATTGATAAATTTCGGAAGAAAAATCATTGATCGCGTTGTTCATGCCACTACGATACAGAAACTAAAGACAAACGACGCAGGCGCAGCTTGTAGAACTAAACCTTTCTGAAACTTTAGTCAATTCAATATTAGGATTCAAGGCTCCTTTTCTATCCCTCGGACTTCATCTTCTTTGTCGTTTTACAGCTAACGGTTAACCCCCCTGAAACCCTTTAAGAGGCTCAAGAGAAGGGTGACCTGTAAAATGTTAGGGATGGGAGGGAGGAAGGGAAATAGATTATAGTACTGTGTAACTGAGGAGGGTGGGTTTGGACAACCTTCTATAAAACTGTGGTTGCCTGTCACTGATATAGAATTTTTGCGTGGATTTTTAACACATTTTGTTTGATAAAGTTTAAGAGTCTTTCAGTCAAGCTGAGCACCTTGTGTGTTATTTTTTCACATTACCGAGGTTAAATACTTTGTCATTGTTGTTGTTGGTGTTGTCATGGCGATGGCTATACATGCCTTCAACTTGATGCAAAAAAGGATCTTCTTTCTCGCTTTATTGAAGTGAAAAGGAGTTCGCTGGGGTCTTAGCCGTTCCGCGTCTGTGGTCAAAGACAAAAAAGCAACGATTCCAAGCAACCATTGTACTGATTAAAAGTTGTTTTTCTCGCTAAGAGCTATAGACATTTTATTCTAAAAATAAAAAGCAATCGGTTTTTATTAAAAGTAGCATCTCGATGACCAACCTTGCAGCGAAGATTTTCACTTATAAAACCGCTTGAAGCCATAAACTTTAATACATGCCCCTTTTTATTTCACTTAATTATTATGATTACCAGTCTTGCAATAATGGTATGCCTCTTTTCGCGGGTCTTATACCATCTCTTTTAGAGAACAATATTATGTTTTTAACTTAATCGTCAAAAGGAACAAGAAGATAATTTTTCAAGGAATCCACCGCGTAAAATATGCTCGAAAAAGAACTTCAAGTGGTGAATTACTGTAAACCATAAGCACAATTTTAATATCTATATTAGCAATTTGCTTAAAATTTGCTTTGTATGCCTTTTGCAACAACATTATGGCCATCAAATAAAACGTAAAATCCCATTTAATGTCTCTTTTGCTTTTGGATTGAAGTTTTCATGCGTGATGCAAAGACAAAAAAAAGTCAAATTACTGATTCAAAAAGATCGTAGAAATACTATAAAATAGTCCACTCGAAAAATTCAAATGAGTTTTTCAAGAATGTTTAATTTGTCAACTGGCAGATATGGTTTTGCGGAAATTCTCCACTTGGAGATATAAAGATGTCAAGGGGTTTAAAAATATTTCAGTGAATAAATATCCGTCAAACAGTTTTTTTCCACCAAAGTAGCCAATATAAAAACTAAGAGCGCAACCATTGGTCTTTCTCTTCTTTTGAGCCCTTTCATCTCCATTGCATTTTCGAATCCGAAAACTTTAGGTTTCCTTTGCCTACGAAAAATAACCTAACCTGAGGAGTGAAATATGAAATATTAAACTTGAGAAAATCGTTAAGCTTCGAAAATTGCACAAGAATGGAACGATCATCTACAAATTTTAGCTGTCCTCAAATAATAGCAAATTATAGGCAATATTTGCTTTTCCGATCAGATATCTTACTGAAAACAGTTGTTGGGTGCCCCTGATACAGGTCCACTTCTAATCTCTAAAGACTTTGAGAAAGTCTAGGACGATATAAAATCAGATATGAAGAGACTAAGAAAGGTGCCGAACGTTCTTTTCGAGTTCTTTCTGCGTTTTATCTTTTCAGGAAGGTTTTGAATTCATGCCCTTGGTATACCAGACAGGGCTATTAAAGCGATCAAACCAGTCCCCAGTCCCCAAGGTTTTGAGGCCAACTGATGCCCTGCTGGTATACCAGACATTTTTATTTTACATAAGCGATCATCGAATAAACGATCAAATCTGCAATTGTCAAAAACTATGAAAAAATTACCATATCATCGATCTCAAGGGGCTACGTACGTTGTCAAATTTTTTTGAACAAATACTGATCAAAACCATTACAGAGGACCCAGATAAATCAGGTTTCTGACAACGAACTTAAATTAACAATGTATAATGCAAAAACAATATCTAGATTCGGTTTTTTTGGGATATTCGGAATAATCAAAGGTCTGGTTAAGTTTGGTTATCAGAGGACTGAGGTAAACAGGTATTATCAAGTATATTATTCGGGTGATATTGAAAATCAAGGTCTAGTGTTATCAGCCAACAGTATTATCAGTATTTTATGGGACATGTGCAAATCGCTAAAATCCTTGCCGGCGTGACAATTCTTAGAGCATAACTAGCCATTTTCTTTTCGAAAACGTTACGTTCCCTGAGGGAAAATGGGAACTACTCGTAGTCTGTTAAGAGCTGATAGGCTAAAAGCAATGTCACGTGGTTTCTCAGGGCAACCTCTGACTACCACTAAGATAAATCAAAACTTTAATCTTGCTTGTTTGGGCATTCTTTTCGACTGAATTGCCTGCCAAGGTACCCTTTGAGCACAGGTTTCTTTCCGGGAAGGTCAGGTTCTTAGCATGTACGGAGTCTCTGAGATTCGTTTAGAATTTACGTGCCGGTATATGAGTTACAGACCGAACTGGACTTCATGAAGTTCTGTTTAATCATAACGTACACTTCATTATCAGCTTTGTGCTGTAACCAGGGGTGGCAACGGAAATTTCGTTTCTTAAGGTAAAAAAAAAAAACATCAATTGACCGCATTTCGATGTTGCCAGCAATACAGTATACCGTGGATAGAATGATTTGTAGTGGTCAATTTCAGACTATTTTGGCATCCTTCAAGTTATGCGGAGAAAAGTTTTGATTAAGAAATATATAGATGAGCAATTTCTTATTGTTTTCCTTGATTTAGTCCGCGGAATAACGGCTTTTTGAAGTTTAGACATTTTTAATTTTACGAAACTAATGTCCTCTTTTATTCCCTTAGTATTTTATATTAATAAAAAGGTGTATTTTTACTTTAATAACATGACCCGCTTAATAAACACACTTTTTATGGCCCCTTCAGGATCTGTGACTGTACCATGTATGAGACATATATAACTTTTGTTATGTCGTAAAGGGAATGGGAAGAAAAAAATATCTCCCCCACCTCCCCTCCCACCCTTTCCCCTTGTCTACATTAGTGGCAACAATGCAATAATTAAGCTTTTAAATGTCGCTAAAGATGAATCATGTGCTTGTGTGCAACACCTGTTCTAAAAATTACCGATCGAATACATCGTGAAGACGTGAGCACTTGAAATTCTCAAAGGAAGTTAATCTGTCTACGTGAAAAACTTTCTATTGTTTGGTAAAACAACATGGCCGCCTCTTGTTACGTGCCTGCAGACAAAGAATTTAGCCTGAATTGAACAAAAGCGGCTTGTTCTAAAACGGAATATGAAGAGTTTTTTTACAGAGTAAACAGTACATAAAACACCTCATCCATTTCTACTGGTTGCCAAGCACAGAATAAGTTTGAAAGTAAACACAAACAATTCTTACCAGTTTACAATTCCTTAAAAATCTTCTATGGACCATTATATCACGTTGCAGACAGATTTAGTGCAACTCTCCTTGTGCAATTTTTCTCTTGAATGGCTCGTAATCGGTGTGGTATTTTTTTAAGAGCGTCATTACGAGGGAAAGTTGACGCTTGAACTGTTAACTTCAGTTTTCCAAACTTATAAGTCTCCAACCTTAGTTGTTTTGGTTGTTTTTGTTCTACTTGTTTTTGATAAATCAGCGTGTTCACTCTCATGGCCAGCAACTATGCAAATTTATTGGAGCAAAAGAAAGTTTTTACATAGAAAAAAGGTTCAGCTCCCAAAGGACTGGTTTGGAACACTTGGAACACCAACATGGCCGCCGTTTCATTGTTTTGGGACACCAATATGGCCGCCATAACGTCATGTGAAAACGCTCGAAACACCAACCAATAAAAGATAATAAACCCAATACTTTAGGGACGTGTTCTTAACACTGTCACAGCACGAGTTTTATCAAGTCTAAAAATTTCATCCCTCGTATTTGAATTTTTTAATTAGATAGCAAAAAAATCCCAGTTGTAGTTGGTTTCAGTCATTAAAAATATCATGAACTAAACCAGTTTCGTAGTTCATAGGAATTCTTTTTTACTCACAAAATTGCTAAGTATTTTTGGGACGACTAATTACCACATTTTTAGGCACTTTCAGATGGCGCTTAATATACCTTGTTTCCTCGAAAAACTTTGTACACCCACTTTTCCTGGGTACTGAAAACAACACAGGAAATTTATTTGTGGGAATCCGAAGCGAATGAATTTTTCGCGCTATTTTCTCTCCATAACTTTTCTTAGGCCCTGTTTACATGGAGGTGGGGGACCCGAGATAGGTGAGGTAATATGCGGCGGGTCACCTCACCTATCAGGTAAACGTGATCAAATTAAAATGAGAGATTATGTGGACAGGCGGGTTACCTCACCTACCTGGGGTCCCCCACCTCCAAGTACAGTGTAAACAGGCCCTTAGTACCTTGATTTGGCCGTTTTGAAAAAAAATTACGGTAAATTAATAATTATTCATTCAAAGAAATAAACTTCTAAAGTTTTCTTCGCAAAAAGTCCATTAATTTGTTAAATGCCATAAGACAAGTTGTTATTTTAATATTTCTTTAAATTTCAATCGCAGTTCCTGGATTGACATTGTGAAGTTGCAACGATCACCAGACTTCGCACTTCTTCTTTGGATTCATATACGCTCCTTCTTTACATTTGAAAACATCGGAGAATTCTTGAAAGTTTGACAACGTTCCAATCACCCTGAAACAGGAACGAAAAAAGATCATCATTTTCTTGTAGTCTCAAATGTCATCCGTCTCTTAGCCCAAGCCACCCCTCCCCCCCCAACAGGCGGCAAGGCGAGAGAGACTCGCCTCTTGGGGGGTAGGGGGGTCGGTGCAAATAGACGGCTGCCATTTTGGAAAATTCTCCCAGAAATAGTATAAATCACAACGAGAACGAAACGTTAAATATCAAGGTGCTATATAACTGGGGTGAGACCCCACAGAATCACTGTGCACGAAGACGTGTATCAACCACTTTTGAAAAAACTGTTGAATGTAGAGGTCCACGAAACATGTAAATATAACTGACTGCTTCCTCTTGCCGGATCTCTAATTAAAGAGATGCTGTAGCCAAACGTAACGTAAAGTGTAAAATAAAACAAAACTAAATGAAGGGCTGGCACTACTGCAAATGGCTGATTTATTATTGGCCAATATTTCGCCTAACAAAATTAGCCTTCCTCAGGGTCAGAGCTATACCGAGAGAAAATATCTTTCAGCCCTTAGTTTTAACCACTTTTGAGTTTGCGCGCGCTCATGAGGGTGGATCAGTTTTCCAGCTGAATTGCACTATGGCACTGTTCTAGGGAACGTGGTTGGTTCTTTCATTGCTTATTACGAGGTTGCATAGGAAACGAGTTTTCAAAACATTCCCCAAAACAGTCCCACAGTGCAATGCGACACAACACCGACCAAGTCCTAGAGCAAATTTTAAATGGCCGATATCAACAAATTTGAAGGTTAGAGTTGATTCAATCCAATTTCTCAAAGCCCGTTTCCAGTTTCGGCTGCCCGGCGAGAAACCGGTCGACTCGAGACTTATTTTGCTCGCTTCACGGCGTCCCTCGCGCCTTCGGCGCTTTCATGGTCAGCTTGTGGTCGTCTACAATCGACGTCGCCGTATTATATTACGGCTAATTTGAAAACCAATTTTGTAAATTGAAATTACTACCGTGTACAAATAAAGTAAAATCATTACCTGTATTTAGTGAGGGCATGAACGTCTTCTGTTACTGACAAAAACTCCGCAGCAGGGGTGGTGCGGGTGCACTCTTTCTGCAAGTGAACAGATGCGATTTTTTTAATTTTACATTATCTCATCGAAAAGTTTAAGAAAAAGAAGAAAATGGGTCCAGTTGCACTCAAGTTAGGTAACAGGCAACGTTTAGGACCTAGTGGAAAGCCAATGAGGTCATTCCTACAGTATTAAAGGCAGACCCTGATGAGTCCTCGGATTGGAAGCGTCCTGGGACTGTCAATCAACAAGTTGCTGGAGCCCAGACTCCTATCAGTGGCCTGTATTATGATGAATGTGAAGGTATCTTGCTGAAACGGTCTTATCTAATTGAGCAAGCTCTGGTAATCCACCGTGAATGCGGATTTTTTGACCGAGGAGATAGCCACACTCTGTCTGTACGCTTGAAAAATGTTAGTGAGATGAGATTGGATGCCCTGTGCTAGTACGCAGTTAACCTATGCTCCTCACAGGCTTTTAAGTCGATAGGGTTTTACATTTGTTTCTTTGGTCGGGACAGCTTGGCAACTTTGACTGGTTTAGTACTGTTACATAACTAAAAGTACCTGCGCATATCCAATAAAGAACAATTCTTTACTCGTCATGTTTAGCTCTGGTAATATTGGTTCTGGTCCATTTTTCTCGTTGAATGCGTTATACGCCTACAAGACAGGAGAACACAGTCCAGTTGTTCTTGGGCATTTATAAGGTACGTTCTTTAGTTTTATTATTATTATTGATTAGAGAGGTTAAGCATCACGTTTGCGTCAAACGGCAAATGCAAATTTGTACCACGTGACCAAGTTTCCCCCTTTACTTGTCGTTTACTGTTCATTATTTCTACACATAAATTAGTAACTTCAAGCAATTTATTTTTCATCGTTAAGAATTGTTTTGAGCTGTTTTTATCTGCTCATTTTAAATTTTGAGGAATTCTGAATTTGAATCTAACGTTTCCCGTTTACATATACGCTTTCAGTGAAGCAGTGAAGCTTAAACTCTCTAGTTTTGCTGTTTTCCTTATTACACCTATTAATTTTCTGTCTTTGTCTTTGAGATCTTGGATTGTCGTCATGGGCGAAATTTTTAAAAGCCATGTAAACGTTACTGTCGTACAGTTAAAACCATTATATATCCAAAAATAATAAAATGTCAGTAAAATCCTGGGAGCGTCATAAGGCCACCACGAGTTGTGACTGCGAAATTGAGAAGAAATCAAGATCTTACATGGTAAGCCAGATTGACTCCTCCCAGATCAGCAATGTTCTCGCCCAGAGTTTTCTTCCCACTAATCTGTGCATTTAACAAAAAACAACACGAGGTTATCACATGATATCTTACATGGAGAGCTATCACCAGGCCTCCTCCGTCAGCTATGTTCTCTTCCAGAGTTTGTAGGCCATTGACCTGTGACGATTGTTATGAAACATGCAATAGATAAAATGCGAAGTTAAACATATAGCGGGCGCGACAGTTGCTGCGCATGTGAAAGACACGTGCCATGCTCGCGCTCGTTGAGAACTAGTACGGGACTGAATTTCTTTAGTCGCTTTGAGCATTTCCCGGTATTTGACCACGGGTTTCTGAATGAGGCTGGAAAAAACAAAGTTCGTTTGTTTTTTTTTTCTCATTTAATAATTACCTGCCACAATATATGGACTGTGTTGGTGTTTATCAATCTATGAGGACCTGTCTTGTTTAGTAAATAGGAACCTTAAGATTTGAGGACAGCGACGGCAGCGAAAAGTGTAGTTAAAAGGTGATCTCGCGTTCTTTCAAACGTCATCGCAATTATTCCAACTCGCTTACTTTGTTAAATGTATGGGAATTTTCCTGAAGTTGAACTCCTAAGAACCATCTTTTGCGGGTCGTTTGCGTCCTCACCCACGGGTGAACCACGTGCAGTGACGGTAAAGAAATATACATAAAAATGTATGCATGATGCACGTGCAAACTTGTTGTTTTCCTCATTTAATCTATCTTTTTACCTTGATGTTCAGTTTTTTACTGTTAAAACTTACGTAAAACTTGTTGAGAACTTTGTACTTGGAAAACTGCTCCACCAGGCATTTGGCTCGCTCTTGGAATGTTTTTATCGAGGGCTCGCTCCAGTGGGTTCGTTTCTCAATCAGTTCTCCATTTTTGTCAAATTTCCGACCTGAAAACAATCATTGGGGCATTTTGTTTATTTTCCATGAAATGACAGAAAGAGTGCTTGGTCTAAACGAAGGCACACAGAGGGTCTGGAGCAAGTGTAGAAGTAGAGAGTGCATGCAATCTGGATATATCAGTGTATTTTTTTGATTCTTAATGTGACTGATCAATGTTCCGTTTCTCCAGCTGCCAGTAGGGAGCGTATCTGTCATCCGAGATATCATATGTGTATTCTTAAGACATGAAAGTGAGGCACGAAGCCTCTTTGCTCACTGCAACAAGTATAAAAATTCTCCCGTCCATGTAATATTTGATACATGCATGCCAGAAACTTAAGTTGATACACATTGTCGTGAATCACCGAAGCCGAATCAAGAGCAAATAAAGACACGGCCATGGTGAGGAAGCATTCGTAACACAGTTTTGATCGTACCCTGAGCACCCGTTTTCGAGATTCGAGAGGTGTGAGTGGGCAGGAAGCTTGCTCACAGGAAAGAGAGGAAAATTCTCCACTTTAGAATTAAGAGGGGAACTAGGCCGAGTTTACTTTCGCAAAGACTTCTGGGACTGTTACTAGGGACAGGAAAAGAAATTGACCAATAGCTGACCGGTACGTCACCAGTAACGATCCCAGAAACATTAGCGGGACGCATCACGGCTCCAGTTTACTTCTCGTTTCAAGGATGGCACAAGACTGGGACCCATTATTCTTTTGCTGCGGGCTTATTTGGCTTTGTTCGCTATAGACAAATAACAAAGTAACTATTCAAGTTAACCCTTTCACTGCCAGAGTAAATGATATGGTGTTTTGTGAAGTGGTTCTAGCTTGTACGTCTGTGGACAAAATCCTATGGCTTGACCATTAAAACGAAATCTCTCTGGAAGTACTTTCATGTGATGATATTTGTTTTTAAACATTTAACAAAACGAAATTTAGGATTTTTTTGTCGAATTTGACTTTGGTCACATTTGGCAGTGAAAAGGTTAAAGATCAATCCGGCTAGTGATTCATTGATCACTGACTCTTACCTGTCGTATCAAAGCCGTGTGTGAGCTCGTGACCAAGCACGTGACCAATTGCACCATAGCTCAAAGCCCTGAAAAGTGGGAACAAGAGACTTGAGAATCGTTGTCTTAAAGAGACTTCATACCCATAATAGCTAACTTCTTAGAAGAGCTACAATAGCTGTAGTGCTGTACGTTCGTCTTTTGAGCCACAAAGTCGACTTAAGGAACATTATATCTATGTTTTTTAGCTACATTTTTGATACAGTGTTCAAATGACTCTACTTTAGCACCCTACCTTGGTATGTCGTTGGCGTAAAAAAATGGCGGCTGTAAAATTCCAGCGGGAACCACTGTAGAAATAATGGCAGGTGTTAATAATTTTACACTACTGTGAACAACCGCCATAACAATAACATAGACACATTCTCACATACACTATTCGCTATTTGCGCATCCTCAGTAATACATCTTGTGTACCCCTCGCCCTCTCCTCCCCCCCCCCCAAAAAAAAAAATTGCATGGCCTTTCTTTTTTGGAGGGGGACAAGGTGCATTATGGGAGATGTGAAAATATAGAATTTTCAGAAATAATAGGCCAATTTCGAGTTGTCCTACAACCCTGTTTCAAAGTGAGGAAGTGACCTTTTATTATCATGCAAATTAAGCCATTTTCTCAACAAAGGTTTTGCTCTTGGTAGCGTTTTGAAAATGAGAGTTTTGTAACGAGAAGATAACCTATTAGGTTCGTTTGAGTTCACACCTACCTATTTCATTTTTAGTTATAACATAAAACGCATTTACCAACTGAGGAACGGTTATCCACCTGCAATCAAATACAAACCAATATCAGACTTTATACCACCGGGTCAAAGCCAACGACAGCGTTGAGGGCAGGGATCGGTGATAATGAGAAAAAGTGGTTATTTAGCACGTGTTAGTCAAACCTAACCAAACAATATGTCATGCTAAATGATAGCTGTTCGTGGCGCCACTAAAAGCTGTCCGGTAAAGTGTGAACAGCAACGTCCCGGAGCGGCAAAAACTCGTTCACACTCATCGAACATCGTGCCGGCGTGATTGGCAGAGAGGATTTGGTGCACTCAATTCCAGTCTTCACTCCTGAATATTTACTTCCGTCCTAGTGGGTTCCAATCCTCGCTCCTACTTATCCACTTCCGCCACGGTCTGAATACCCGTTTATACTGCACCAAAGAGTGACACAGAACCTATCCGATATGTGACTCTCCAATTTCGTGATCGGTGCGGCACAGCTTCGCTACGTCACAAAAATTGGCCCGCCACAACCGTTCTGGTGTGTGAAAAGACGCCCTATCCGATATGATTTATTAAAGCTATCTGCTATAGGCGAATCTTTGCTGACGTCATTGTTTACATTTTTCCTCATTAGCATACGACTTAACTCACAGAAGCCGTGGTCGTATATAGGAACTAAGTGCAAAAGTTGAAAGAGCTGATTAAGTTTTGAGCAATTTGTGCAATTTTCAGCTCTTTGCAAGAAATACTGATTGAAATATCAGCCATCAAAAACTGCGAAATTGCTGTGTGGCAAAAAAGTTAACGAGCTATACATTCTCCGTAAAATTTCGAGTTTTTCGAAGAGAATTTCTCCGAAACCATTCGGGGTATTGGACTCAAATTTTCAGAGACAACTGAAACTGTTATGCTCTTTCAATATTCAGAGTTTTTATTTTATTAGCGTCATCAGTTAGTAATAAGCATATGTTAATGAGGCAAAAAGTGTAAACAAAGATTCACCTATAGTGTGAACAGAGGCTAAAACGACCAGAATTCACACAATTCTCTCTCTTGCGCCCAGTGGGTTAACGGAAGAAGACGGCTTAAAAAAACACTCACTGGTGTCTGTCCACTGGTTTCCCCAACTTGGTGTACGTCTGATAGTTTGAGAATTTATCCGTGTTAAGAACATTAGTAAACCATTGGTCTGCCGAGACATTCAACTGGAAAAAGATAGAAAGTCAAATGAGACAATAAGGAAACAAATTGGATGCTGTTAAAGTGGGGAATCACTACATTCAAACAGGACAGCATTTAAATTCCATACGAAATAACAAATTAGATGGCGACGAAAACTCCTCCAGTCGGGAAATTCGGTGCCCACCTACCCCTCCCCAAATGTCAACATTAACACTTACTTCTCAGTTAGGGCAAAATGCTGGCTTAGGGGAGGGGTATGCGGGCAGTTAGCCAGAATTAGAAACCTCCATTGATCCGGAAATTCTCAGTTCTTAGGGTAGCTTATATGCTGTCCTGTTATTTGAAGCTGACAAGCGATTTTCGGCGAGAATCTGGCGTAAGATTGGATAAAAAGAAAGCTAACACTAACTTTGTTTCACCCTCGTCCACTTTTAAAAAAACCTACAGCTATCTGCCTCTGGTCGTCAGATGAGGGAAAAAATAAAAACCTCCCCGGCGGGGAATCGAACCCGGGTCTCCCGCGTGACAGGCGGGGATACTCACCACTATACTACCGAGGAATTGGTCACTACAGTTGTTTGAATTTAATGTTAAGACTCTCAATAGCCTTAAAGTGGCAAAAATGAGTTTTTAACCGTCACTCAATATTTTCAAAGAGACATGATCGAGCCTGTTACAGACGATGCGATATTAAGGCGAGGGTGAAAAATACAACAAAAGAGGGGAAAAGAAACGCCGTAGAGTCTCCAGAAACCCTCTGGTAATCATCAAGAAGCCTGGCAACACTGGTTATGCGATAATTTCTAATGTAAGCATACCATAGAGTATCTCTTAGCAAATGATTCGTCATTCCACAAATAATCAGGATATCCTACTTTATAAACAGCTGCATCTGCCTATTTACAAATAACAAACAAACAAACAACAAACAAAAATTTAACAATGACAAATTGTTTATGTTATTTGACAAAAAGGATTAAAGCCTGTTAACAGACCTTTTCAAGTTTTTGTGGAGAAATCGACAGCGAGAAAAACAACGAGCGAAGAGCGGGAGTAAAAAAACTGCTTTTTCCTTTTCTCCACCTCCACCCCATTGCAAAAGAGAAAATGAAAATAAAGAGAAAAAACGGTCTGTAAACAGGCTAAGAGGATTAGGGAACGCGGCTGCATTACTATCATGGAACTGTTTTTTCACAGCGAGTTATTCGTACTTTTTCTCTGACGGCTTCCACTGTCTGGTTGTCGATCCAGCCTACTCCAGACACGCGGTCCAAAAACGCCTGAATTATGCCCTCCATCATTACTTCAACCTTAAAACAGATAATAAAAGTCCTGAATATGCAAATATGAATTGAAAACCTTGTTCATGGAATGGAAATTTCCATATTGGAAAATGACGCTGGCTTTTGAAAGAGTTTTCCCTGGAACCAAATAAGTAAATGATGAAGTCAAATAAGATGAAGAACTGAGTTTGATGGTGGCACGTCCACAAAGTAACCCCGGTCCGTTTACACCTGATCGCAGTTCCCACTGATTTACAGTTGAACCTGTCCACAACAGTGGCGGATCCAGACGTTTCGATAGGGGGGGGGCTGTCATCCAGACCCTGAGATAAGGGGTGGACCGGGTCTCCCAAAAATTTGTTTTCGGCCCTTCGGGCCTCAGTTTGGTCTAAAACCCCTAAATCCGCCATTGCACAACGGCTACCCTGGGGACACAAGACCGTTGTGGAGGGGTTCGACTGCAACTGGAATTTGGATATGTAGGTGTTTCGGAGCAAGTGCGAGAACCAATAACGACAACGACAATGATAATGACAGCGATGGCGTTTGGTAATGAATTTAACGATGAGTTTGACGACAATATCAATGAAAATACGAACAAAATGACAATGGATCTCACAAGAGGGCCGCGTCCCTGTAAGTCACCGTCACCAGTGACTGTCATTATATGCGAGGGCCATTATCATTTTTGTTCGTATTGTCATTGTTATTGTCGTCAAACTCATCATTAAATTTTAATGCCAGATGATATTAACAAAATATGTACATCTAGCTGAATTTTTCAAAACGTTACTGCCAAAGTAGACCTTTTTCGTCACCGTCTCCAAAGTAACCAATATAAAAGCTAGGAGTACAACCATTGCTTTTTTCTTTTCGCTTTCCTTCATTATTTCCTTGCTCTCTCTATTTTTCCTCTCCCTTTCCTTCCTTAGTGTGATTTTGGACTTATGGGATGCATGAAACCTTCCTTTTGGCCTCTTTTCGAGTAAATGACTGCAAGTTTGTTTGGTTCGGTAGGTACATTTTCAAAAATCCTGCCACACAGTCATATGAGGGTCCTCGATAGGTTTATCGGCACCCGGAAATTTCAAGCTCGGAGATCGGGATTTGAAAGCAAAATCGGGGCGTGTTCTGGGATTGAAAGTATGCTTGGGAAGTGGGATGCCAAAAATAACCCTCGGGATTACGGGATTGCCCGAAATTTTGGGTCGGGATTACGGGATTGAAGCACCCTGGGGACTCTCTCTTGTACCTTCTGTTTACTCTCCGGCGAGAATGCATTGCGTATAAACACTGCCCCTAGCATGGGACCCAAAACGTTGTTTGTGTAGCTAAAGCACGTTGCTTCTCTTGTCTTGTTTGATTTGCTGCCTAAAAGTCTCTTCCGGAATTCATCGTGAACTGCTCGAAATGGTCTGGAGAGCAACGGTACCTGGTCTTTTATCGCCCGCCATATGATATACGTAGACAATATCCTGTAAACAACAATAAAAATTTTACAATAACTGAAAGATTTCTCGTGTGCTGATTGGTCGAGAGCTCTGGTCAATAAGAATACAGACCATGGAAATGACGTGATGGTGGCGCAATTTGTTTTTCACTTTCTTTAGACTGTTCACAGTCCTCTATTTTTCTATAAGATCGCCAACAACAACATTTTATTCAATTATCAAATATTTAAGACTATGTTACCCACAATAGTCCATTTTCGAGTTCGCTATGACCGCTGAATTAAAGAAGTGAAGACACATCTTTTACAGCCTTAGCCTCCATCTGAAGTAATATATTCACAAATTCCAACGAGAAAAAGACCTGTTTATTACTGTGTCTATTGTGTATGTTAAAATTTCAAACACTTACTTGCCAGAATTTCTGAATATTTACTTTACGTCGAGGCTAACCCTGTATGAATGTGTCGTTAATGTTTGTATTCAGCGGTAATTTTTAATTCGAAACTGGACTATTAGCGGAGCTATTCTAGGTGGGCAGCAATACAATAATTGTCTCCTATTAAGTCCCCAAAAGAAAGTAAGTAAAGAGAAAGCAAAAATAAAGTGAAATAAATAAAAGGTAGCACCTATAGATATAAGGAAGGAAAACACTTTAACTGACTATGGAGTTCAGGTGGGAACTGGTAATGATACTCATATCAAGATACACCTTCTTAACCTCCAAACCTTGACCAAGATCGAGCGCTAGCGCTTTGGTTACCGGCGGCCATCTTGGGTGAAGTATCAAATGTACTTAGGGGGCGGGGGATGGTTTGAAAGGAGGCGAGAACGTATTCTTCCAGCCCTCCCCAGCTGTCAATGTTATCGTTGAAAACAAATCGACAGCAATTTATCATGGTCTGTACTCTTATTAACCATAGAAATGACGTCAAAATGTTCGAAACTTTGCTCATTTTGACGTTATCGTGATCGATTTGTTAATTACCCGCTAGAACGTTTTCAGTCGGTCTTTTTCACCCAACCAAGCCTTACCATAAAAAGGAGGTATGAACGAGAGAGAACTAGGACGAAGTGATTAGAGCGGGACTGCGGAGTGTTTCGCACGCCGCTCTCTTATTTCGACCCAGTCCTTTTCTTTCACATTTCAAGCTTATGCTCTTTTACAAAACAGAGATAAAGTAAATTTTAAACCCAAAAATTCCTTTGATCGTCCCCGTCACTTTAAACCCAGAGAACCCTCCCTCCCCCTGGGTATACGTATATAGTAAGGATTGTCGCACGAACAAAGCGCAGGAAACTGAACTTAAGTATTCGAGCCTGACTTACTTTTTGTCTGTCTTGCGCAATAAGTCGATCATGTTCTGCAAGTAATCATTGGCTAGAACTATGACCATTTCGTCTTTTGAGAGGTCTGGACGCGACAGAACCTTTCGTAAGTGTTCCAGCCAGGGAAACTGATGGAGGAAAATGGGGAAATAGATAATTCTGGATATGACTGTTAGCTTCAGAATCTATCTACGTGGTCTCTTCATCCTGGGAAGTGGGAGGGAAGCAGCTTGCTCTAACCTATTTAACGATGTGCTCTCATTCTCACAAGCCTCTGCCTTCACCATTTATATACTCCCCCAGAGACATCAGCCCATATATTACCTCAGACGGCCACTTATATTTAATGTTCCCATTTGTAGTACAAATCATTTTGGCCGGGTAATCCTTTTTACCTTTTATGACAAATTTCTAATGAATTAAATATGTAGTTATATGACATGTTAATGATATTTAGTTTCTAGACTTTTTGTATATATATTTTTGTATTTTTGGCTGCTGTGAAAATATTTTTTGATGAACTATCTATCCATCTACCAAAACGACCTTACTCCCTTTACAAGGTAACTCTTATATCAGTTGCCATGGTAATTCTTACGAGTTCAAGCTTGTTTTAACACAGCCTTTTTGGGTTACATCTCATAGACGATAGCGAGATAACCAAGCGGATGGAATGGCCCCAGTCAAATTGAGGGAAGTTAAAAACCTCTCAAAACTCCCCCACCCCCACCCCCCAAAGTGTCTATATATATCTCGCGCAAAATTGACAATCATTTGACAATCTTACCTCAGGGAGGGCATCTGCCAGCTTACCAACCGGAATGCGAACGTACTTCTTGGAAACTTTAGGGACCCAGTACTGAAGGAAAACATATGAAAGAATAAAATTTCGGGGGGGAGGGTACTCCCTATAATGTCTTATACGGGGAGGCTCCGCCCAAAAGGGATACCTTTTTTCAGGCTTCAGGTATATGAAAGGGTAGGGATTTCACTAGTTGTAGTATGTAAAAGGATAAGGAAATCTGTCATTTCATCGGTAAAAAGGTCCAAAAGGGCTAACAGATGCATTTTATGGTTGGGAAAAAGTCGAGAAAAGTATTCTGGCTTGGTGATTAATTCATGTTTAAAAGAGAGTGCATTTACGGCTCTTAAATGAGTGCAATATTCTAAACCAGGTAACTAAAAGGGGTACCATTTGTCAATGGAAGGAATAGGAAAGGGGTCCCTTTTTGGTTAAAAATGGTTTATAAAATAGTAACGTGTTAGACCAAAAACTGTTAAAAAAAAACAACTAATACATTTTCAAATATTTTCCCGCTGTGGTACTGATTATTGTGCTGTACAAGGTGGTTCTAACTTTTGAGTGTGTAGATGAAATCTTATAGTGTGAGTATTTTCCTTTCAGCATTAAATACTATTGTACAATTGAATAATAATTAAGTTATGAAACTGTATTAAGTAATGATCCGGGTAAGGTGGATAGCAATTTCTTTTGTTATGCGGCAACGGTGCTTTCCCCACATAGGAATGTTCTCATTTTTACACAGAGAATGCATTTACCTACACGAAGGCCGTTTACGCAATAAAATGCATTTACACTCCACTTTGAAAGGGTGTTTTTTTGTGTTAAAAGTAGCCTGCGTAGCAAGCGTTTCCAGTCGAGTTATTGCGCGAAAAAGATTTTGACCAATCACTTGAGTTGAAAACAATAGCCAAGTTAAAAGATTTTGACCAATCACAAGAGTTGAAAACAATTGCCAAGAAAAGTTTACAATTTTACATGTTCTCCACATAGGATTTCTTTGTTATTCAAACTGAGACCAGATTTTGTTATATGGAAGATGGTTGGGAAGTAAGGATAAATATATGTACTGCTTTATGAAGTTTTGTTAACTTTTGCTGTTTAAGCCAATCAGAAGTAAGTACAGAAAATAGAAAAGTTAGCACCTTTTTTGCATTTCAACGTGTTCGTTGCCGTTGTTGCTATCGTTCTTATCTGGGCCGTTTCTTAATATTTATATTATGGAGTGATTGTAAGATGAAAATGAAAGCCACTGAGCATCATTTTCCTGTGATACTGTTTATTTTGGTCTTTGACCGTTCCCAAATAACCTCTTTAATGTAGAGTTACGAAAAAATTATACTTACCAAGGCGAGATTTCCTTCAAAGACAAGTAATTCTTTCATTGCATCTTTGGAATCGTTTGCTTCTGTTCCTGACAAACTGGTAATTAATGACATGTACTCCCACACTTCTTTTAAAATCTAAAAGAGCGATCGATAAAGCAGCGAAAAAAGGAATTGAATACGACAATTAGCTTAGTTAACGACCAAACATTTAGCCTGTTCCAGGCACTTAAAGAGATTTTAGTGACAAAGAAAAACAGTGAGGAGGTGGGGAAGGGAGAGAAAGAGAAGGAAGTTCCTTTCTGCCTCCCTTCCCCTCCTTTTCTCCTTCTCCCCCCGCCCCCACACCCGCTCTCTGACTTTGCGCCACACTCCAAGTAAACGACTGGATAAGGCCAAAAATTTAGGTTAATGGTCCCGGGGAAAAAGAAGTGAGTTGTTTTTGTTTTTTAGGCCGGAGAGATGCAGCAAACTTTTGATATGTGCACTGATACATCGTACGAGGCAACACCGTAAGGAAAATCGCTCTCTAGAGACCTGTCAAGCCTCTTCACTGGACAGACTAAAAAAGGAGACGGACTACAGTTGAACCTCTCCACAACGGCTACAACCTTGGGGGCAGAATAAAGTGGCCGTTATAGAGAGGCTTAAACAGGAGTCAATGTATGGACTGTCCGCCAAGAAAGTGACCATTTATATGTAATAGTAGTTTGACTGTACTAGCAGTCTACCTAACCTCTTGTCTGCTTACCTTTTTGCTAGTGAAGTAAATAATCTGAGGAAGGTTCAACTTTGCTTGGTCAATCTAAATGAGAAGATAAAACATTTATTGTTAGCACCGTTTATTATCCTTATATGGCCAGCACATCGCCAAACAATAAGAAGCAACCAAGGTTCGATTTCAGCCGCTATCGGTTCCTATGAATTAACTTAGACTACAATAGCTCGTTTCACCCTGACTTAACACATTTCAGTTAATTTTTATGGAGTTGAATTCTTAAGGACTTTATCCACTACTTTCAGAAAAAGAATAAGAACATTGTTGTTTTTTGTTCACGTGAAATTATTTTTAGGAAGTGTCACTTTGTAGCCTTGCAATGAATGCAAAGAAATGTACAGTCAACCAATTCAAGAGACGATCAGCAACCTAAGCCGACTGCAAAGCCAGTGCGAATCCTTAGACGCAGCAAAACAAGATAAGCATGGCTGTTAGCCAGTCAGGGAGGTGGGAGCAGTAGCTTTGAAAATTTTGCCTTTTACATATTAAAATATTGGCCCCATGTATGAGAATTCAAGACAGTCTTGGATTCTGGATTCTATGGATTCCAGGAATTGGATTTCGGATTCTTTGTGTGTGGAACTCGGATTCCGGATTCCAATCTGTCAGTTAAGTTGGATCCCGGATTACTTGAGCTGTATTACGATTCCAAAGCCCAAAATTTCGGAATCCGGGTATTCGAATTCCTTTACATGGGCCTATAACATACTCACGAGTATAATATACTTCTTCTGGTCGTCTTCCTTCTTTTTTACAGGATCCTGAATAACATTGACGCTGAAGAAGACTTCAACTGGATAATCTCTTTGTACCTTTGCCAACACATCGTAAAAATTCCATCTCCTTGGATGCCATTTACTGGACAGGGACCAGGATCCCAAACTGTTGATATAATCCAGCAAGGGTCCATTTCCCAACTCGTCGATTTTCTTTACATTCAAGCAAGACTGATAAAAATTTTTCACCTTCAAGACGGTTTCTGTGTCTTCGGGTTTGATTGTTCCCAGCGCTTTTTTCATGATCCTTTCGTTATTTTTCGATAATTGTGTTATCCTGGAGAACTGTAGATGCCCCGACGGTACGGGGTTGTTTTTAATCCACTTACCGCACGCATATTCGTAAAAATTTTCGCAAGGGTCCATCGATTCGTTTCTAACTTCTTGTATTAGCTTTGCAATCGTTCTGCAACTTTCTGATTGGCACACCGGTGCATTAATGCACTTAACCTGGTTGCTCTCCCCTGAATCGCATTCTTTTAAAGGATTTACCTCTAACGGCGTAGCGCTTTGAACTAAAATATCCTCTCGTTGTGTCGATATACTAGCGCATGACACCAAGGCGATATAAAATAGATTTAAAACGAAAATCTTTAGAACGTTTTTACGCGTGATCACACAAAATCTAAGATTTTTCCTTTCCATGATGAACGTCTAATCCTGCTTCCTTGGAAAAACTTTCATCGATGCGAAAATAATTTCTATTCCATCTTAACAGTTAGATTTCTTCAGCAGATCAATCAAGAAAATTTGATCCAGTGTTTCTGGGCAATTTAAATACTCTCTTCTCTGTGATCTTGCTCTTTCGCAGGGAGAGATTGTTCAAGTAATGACAGCATTTGGCTGGTACCTGTTTAAGACATGAAGATATTCTGTCTCGCCACCTGTTTAAGGAAATTAGGTAGAAAATGGTAACATAAGCCTTAAGGCGCCAAAACAAGTCATTTAAAAAAGAAATTTTTGCTGGTAAGTAGAGCCACTAAGTTCATCAAAGATGTGTTAAAGAAAAGTTTAAAGAAAAATATTCTAGCATTATTTTGCCAAACTATGGACAAATACAAGAAAACCATTGAAAAATCGCTTTTAGTTTGTAAATGGCAGCCTAGGAGACGGGACTCAAGCTCAGATTTAAAATTAACTTAGATTTAGAAACACCTTGTACAGCGTAGTAAACAGCACCACAAGAAAGTTTCGCTGCTTAATGGCTTACATTTGAATCCACAACCCTTAAAGACCTTTAAGGTATATGCACCTTGTATAGCAAGAAAAAGCCTAGTGAAAAAACGTTTTACTCATTCTCAGAATGTTAATCTTGAGTGCACTATAGAAAGTACAGAAAATATTGAACAGTTTCGTCAACTTTTCCGCAGCCGAGGGATATTGAGAGGGGAGCAGTTTCATTGCAAGAGCCTTTTGCGAAACTTATCTCCCTGAGAAAACTCGTAAAAAAAAATAGAAACTGGAGAAAAACTATATACGTATCTCACAGTTTTTTTCTTAATATTGGGTACAATTTATTTGGCTGCATAATGGTCAACATACCCTAATGGTAATGAAAAACAGTTAGTTTTTGAAAAAAAAGGGACATTAACAGCTTCGTAATAGCCTTGTGGGAGATTTGAACTCCCGACCCCTGGTTTACGAGACCAGTGCTCTGCCACTGAGCTAACAAGGCTTGCGGATGCTGATGAACTTGAAAAAAAATTTAAATAGTTTTAAGTAAATACCACACATAAGTGGATAGTGCTCTTCTCGGTAGCTGATTGGCTAGCTCTGAGATGCTCAGCCAATTACCACTCACTTTATTCAACTCCGAGCAGCCCGGCAGCGCGAGAAATCAACAATTTTTCACCCCACAGTCTGTCGAAAAGGGTAGATATTTACCGCAACGTCGGTGAAATAATTAGTAGTATTAATTATTGCCGGATGCTTCTTGAAGTTTCTGGCAAGAAATAATACAACTGAATAATACTTTAATAAGTGAGGAGCTCATTTAACAAATTAAAAAAAATTACGATACTATAAATAACCAGAAAAGAAAACTTTTCAGATAGCTAATTAAAATTTCATATTTAATAAAGGTTGTAGTTTGCTTCCCATTTTTTCAACATTTTTATAACGTCGGTTCATTTCACCATTCTCTGTATTTCGGCGGTGGTGGTGGCGAAACTTTCACTTTGAATTAAGGTCAAATTCCCTTTTTAAAAAGATTGTTTGCTAACGACATACGATTGTTTTTCATTGTTGCGCGACATTGAAGTTCTTCGCAATGAGTTTTGGTTTCCATGTAAACTATATCAACATAAGCGTTTTCTCTTTGCTGCAACACAAAGGAAACAATATTATCGAAAAGAGGCTTCGTGATTGATATTCAAAAGAATTTCAGCTTGATATTTTCTACGGACCTATCGAAAATTATAAAGTTTAGGCTATGAATCTTTAAAGCCTTCAAAGAAAGCGTGGCTGAACAGTCTTCATTAGCAACCTCCTAGCGTATAGTGAAGGTAATTATCCAAAGAAACATTAATTTCCTTGATAACTTTCATGTGCGATTTTAAACGACTAGTGAATGAATCGATGAGAGGGTCAAAAATCAAAGTTATTTTCCGGATTTTGGACACGCTTTCTAGCGGTTTGTCATTGTTAGCTTTGTTGCTGATTTATCGCCGTATAACAGACAGCGATTTTAGCCTATTCAACAACTTGCAGTCGAAGACGGGACAAAACGATTTTGAAACAACTCCAACCCAGGAAAACGATCTGAATCGATACATTAATGGTAAATTAGCTGTTGAAGTCTGGCCGAATATTTGTGGTGGCAAATTATCCAACTTATACAATTCTCCGTTCTTCCCGCGGTTTGCAGAAAAGTCGCATTTTATCTCGGAGACGAGAACAAGGCTGAATGAAAGCAACTATGGACAACGGATAGCTGGTTATTTACAACCAAAGGAAACTGGTTATTACAAGTTTGTCTTGTATTCTGACGATGGCTCGGAGTTTTGGTTTGGTTCCAATGGTAGTCTGACAAGTTTAAAGCTCGCGGCTAGTGTTGCATCGCGGGATAGAATTGGCAGCGCGCCAGTCGGCGAGATTCGGTATGACTCTCAAATAACAGATGATTTTCTCCTTGAAAAGGGAAATAAATATCCATTAGAAATAATTCATCTTCAAGGCACCGAAGCTGAATTTGTGGAATTGCATTGGATTCAACCTGGAAAACACTATTTGGAAGTTATAACCTCAGAATACATTTCGCATCTTTCTAACTCGCATCCAGTGCCCAAAATTGTAGTTTCGAGGGATGAAGAAAGCCATTCTGCCGTGGCTGTAACAACGAAGTTCTACCTTGTGGCTTTTCTCACAGAAGGTATTGTAAAAAAGATACTTCCCACGTGTAATTTCGTACTTCCGGCCTCAACAAAACCGGAAGTGGCTCGTTTCCATGCTTATAGAGAAGTCAAGGAAGTCACCATAGTAACAAACGATAAAGAAGGAAACTGGACGAAAAATAAAGAAGCAAAGAGGCTAGCTGATCTTTTCATGGCCAGACTTGGAAAAATTTTTCCAAAGTAAGTGTATTGTTTTAATATTTTATATAATGAATTAAGCGCATAATTAACGAAATTATAGCGTTCTTCATATCAAATACATGGATCCTACAGCTTCAGTAGAGTTAGTTCAGTGTTGGGTTTACATTTCACCTTTACAAATTGTCCTTTTTTCCCTTCTTTTCCAGAAAGTACAAAATTGTTAGGTTTTACAACCTTGAACGCATTCCTTTAGAAGACGAAGGCAGCGTTGTACTGTATTTTCTAGAGCTAGAATTGGGTTGTGACGCTCTCGACTACACAGAGAGAGTCGTAGAGTACGTGCTTTTACAAAATCACGAACAGAACGGTGTCTTAACGACCGATGCCCAGCTCTGTTATCCAAGAGGACTGGATTGGAACAAAGATGCTGTAGTCCATTTGATCCTGGCTGTACATCACGAAGGTCCGCGTTTTCGTCGTTTTATTGAAAAACTGGAAAAAATCTTCAAGGAGAATCTTGAAGTATATTTCCACCTTGTTGTTGTTAACTCTGGTAACGCAGGACTAGACATCCGGGAAATTCTTGGGGCAACCTCGTTGCTGAAGTACAGGGTGGAAGAGTTAGATGGTGACTACTCTTGGACTCGCGCAATTAATTATGGGATCAGACAAATTCAAGACCCAGAACAGATTGTCCTCACTGCTGATGTTCACACGGACTTACCGGCTTCCATTTTTGAAGACTGTCGTAAAGTAAGTTTCCAGTATTTGCTCTCATAGCTCTTGATCCATGATTTGAGATTGTGCCAAGAACTGGGTCGGTGTTGTGTCGAATTGCACTATGGGAATGTTTTAAGGACCCTTAATTTCTCTTTAATTACAAAGTTTCGGGCGATGCTGAAGGTCGAGATTCGTACCCCGAAACAGTCCCATCGAGCAATTCGATTCAACACGGACCCAGTCTCAGGCGGGAACTCGAAATGGCTGATAGTAAATTTTTCTGCACCTATATTAATAGCCCACGTTCAATATATTAAAATTCTAACATGACTCCGAGGCTCTAGGGAAAAATTGCAAATTTTTTCACGACTCCCTTGTATCGCAATTCCCAGAAGAGACTTGAGCGCCCAGAAAACAAAACCAAATATAGAAAATGACCAGAATTTTAATATACTGAACGTGGGCTATTCCGCCTTTGGAAAATACTTGATAAATCGATCGAAAACACAATTTTGAGCCCCTAATGAGCACCTCTAGTAAAACCTTGTTTTCACTGCAACTGCAGATAACTAAATCTGGTTTAAGTCGATGTGATCTAGCCACTATTTTATGTGCGCGCAGCTCTCCACTTTTTCTTCAACCGCGTCCAGAGGAGCTGTGCCTGTTTTCAGTTTATTGACACAGAGTTCCCTTATCAACTGCACCAACTGGAATGAAGCTCGTGAATACTAAGATCCAATTGAACAATGCCCTGATCCTTGTGGGACTCGTATTTTTTCTTCTAAGTCAGCACCAAGCGCATTACTCTATCGTTTTCACCGTGCGACCAAGTCTAGCCTGTATCTGGTCCCGCATTCTCAGGCCATCGGCAAGCATAAAACAGGGAAGGAACTGCATCGGGAGATGGAATTGGATTTCTGTACCCCCTATTTCATTTTTCTCATGGATCAGGTTAGCGAGAGTGAGCTCGAAATTATACCATCCTTTGTTCTTTTATGACCAAACATAGCGCATACGCGCATTATGGATCCTAGCAGTATGAACCCATCCCAGCAAATGAGTCATGTTTTTTTTGATATATCTTCACCTGACTCTGAAATTTTCTTACTTCTGGTTCTTTACCTACCCCTTCCCTACCCGATCATTTTGCCTTGAAGGTGTTAATGTTAACATTGGGTCAGGGGAGAGGTGGCTGGGTATTAAGGTTATTGACTATCTTGGTTTTCTGTATAGCACTGTATTGAAGGAAAGATGATTTTTGCGCCCGTGCAATATGCCTTGGATTGCGGGGCGAACCCCAACAAACCAAAAGGGTCATGGTATAGTCATGGATACCAAATGATTGGCATGTATAAAGGCGATTGGGATGGGACTGGAGGTGAGTTTCGATAGCAAGCTAAGCAACGAGTGACCAAAATTCGAAAAATGATGACAATAGATCAGTGTCCAACAGATGATTAGCGTAGATGCATAAAAATGGTTTTAAAAACTTTAACTTCATTCCACCCATAGACATTTAGTAGAGGAGACCAATAATGAAAGGCGGCAAACATCAAAGCTAAAAACGACAGTGCTGCAGTTTATGTTCAAAGCTCTCTGACGGTGCACAATACTTTGTTTCTTGTTCACAAATTGTAACGGAATAAATTAATGCGACGTTTCTATGGACAATAAGATCAAAATGATAGGAATGATCACGGCATAGCGTTGTGCACCTTCAAGTGAACAAAAATGTATAACAAAGGGTCCGACGGACTTCAAAACCCTTCTACTCTAGATCTATAATAACAAAGCTGTACCTTGAGGTTGCACTTTCAGTGTTCCTTTCTTCAAGAAGGAATATAGGAAACAAGCTTTCTCAAATGCAAATGTGAATGCTTTTAATAACAAATCATATGCAATTTTTTTGCAACGTTGTTTTGCAAAAACTACATCTTTAACGTTGAACATTCTTTAGGACTGGATGAAAGTGTGAATGATCATCAAGCAGCCTGGAACCTAGTAGACCGCATTTTGTCCAGTGGAATCCACGTGGCACGGATGAGGAGTCCAAATCTGTTCCGCTTGTTTTATCCCGAGTCACGAGATTCCACAGAAACAACAAGCGTCAGAAAGCCTCGGGATATTACAAAGAGGATGTTTAATTAACTATTAGGGTTGGTTACTAATTGTCTTACGTCGTCAAATGCGGCGTGAAGAAGTAGATTCTACAGTCAGAAAGTTTGTTTATTTGAACGTAAATCACGAAGAGGAATTAACAAAGTAATATTCAGAATGAAAACTCGCAGAAGAGCAACAACGACAGGAGAAGTAAAAAAAAAAAACGATAAAAATTTTTATATCGAGACAACAGCGAAAAAAAATCGAAATAGAACCTTCTCACTCAGATGGCCTGCAGCTTGTGCAAATTTCTTGGAAAAAAAAAAAGTTGTTTACATAACAAAAAGACTTAACCGAACTCCCACAGGAGTGGTTTGAGACACAGACATGGCCACCGTTTCATTGTTTTGAAACACCAATATGGTGAGGATTGTACTCTTTCCTCGGATAAAACTTTTCTTTTGCAGAGCTAATAAACAAATGAACGACAAAAATGTCTGTTTGATTATTTATTCAGGAATGGTTGTCAACCAAAGAATTTCTCAAATTCCTTTTAACCGCGGCAAGATTAGCTCAGTCGGTAGAGCGCTTGACTGCAGAGCGGGAGGTCGCGGTTTCGATTCCCGGGACCGGACCAACACTCAGGGTCTTGAGATAACTTAGAAATGAAGGTACTCCCTGTGCACTGCACACAAGTGGCTGGCCCTTCGCCTGGCTCAGATGACCACGTAAAATGACGGTATCGTCTCCACTTGGATAGTGTCCCCAATTAGCACTTTCGTGCTAACTACATTGATGATCAAATAAAATGCATTTTTTAATAGTGAAATTGAGACCAGCTCCTTTAATTAAAAAATATGTATCCCTAACACAGCTAAGCTGCTTCTACATTATTCTAACGTTTGTAACGCGCTCCTTATTTCGTGTTCAAAAGCTGCTAATAACATCATGATCAAAAATCCTAAGATAATACCCAGATTTTGGAGTAATATAAAACATCTTTTCTTCTCTGTTCTAGATGCTATAGAAATGAACATCTCTGGAATCTAAAAGGGAAACGTAGACAATCAATTAATTAGCTGAAAAGCGATGTTGCGCGTTTTACCAATGTTCGAATTGTCTCGCAACAAATCAGTTTGTTTCCGTAACAGGGAGAATCTTCGCCGGGCCGATCTGGACAGTTGATCGTCACAGTGGCGGATCCGGGGGAGGGGCCTGGGGGTCCGGGCCCCCCTGTATTTTTAGACCATTTGAGGCCTGACGGGCCGCAAAATTTTTTTTTGAGACTAGCCCCCACCCCCACCCCCACCTCCCCACTTATCTCAGGGTCTGGATGACCGGGCCCCTCCCTTATCTGAAGATCTGGATTCCCAGTGCGTCACACATTAGATAGGTTTCTGTGCCAGAACGTTCCTACTATGACGGAAAGGTTTCATCTTGACAGGTGAAACTTGACTATCCGGTATAGTGCAGACATATTGGTTTTTGAAAGTTCTCGTTGCCGTCGCCGTCGTCGTTGCCAAGTTCCTGATAGGAGAGGGAACATCTCCACTCGAAGGGAGAGAGAGAGTGGGGGTTGAAAACAACTGTAAGTTCCACTTACCATTTCTGCTAAGGCAATATAAAGAAACATCCCTGCGATCACAGCGAATATCCAAACTGTAAGATTGAGACTGGTACCTAATATGGCACCAACGACCACCCCCACGTAGGAAAACAAGTAACATGTTGATAAAAGGCAAAGAGCTTTACGGAAAGAGGCCCCAGATGAAACAAAGATGGCGAAAGCACCTGAAATGAACATCAAATTCTCATTACTACATGAAACTTTCTTGCTTGCTTTCTCGCAAGAGCTGAACTGCAATGGCGAATTGTTTTAAGCGAAGATATTTTTTAACTTTTCATCGGAGAGTCATTCAACTTTGTCTTCGAGTTCAGCTTGAAATTCGAACCCGCGACCTTCCCCTCTGCAGTTGAGCGCTGTACCGACTGAGCTACAATGGACTTCCCGTGGTCTGAAAGGCGTAATATATAGATTTAGCCAAGGCCAAATTAAAAGCCAAGCTTTCGCGGAATCTTTAGAGAAGTGTCTCTCTGAAGTAATTCAACTTTCATCATAGGCAAGAAGCAAACTGAATCCCTCCTAAAAAGATGGAGCCGAGCCAACGATCAATTGTAAACCAATAACTGGTCAGTGAAAAACTTAAAACAACCGGTTTCCTCAATGAATTGAACACCTGAGCATACATTTATGTGACACAAGAGAGAATGAGATCATTCTCTCATATGTGACACTAGTCAGCGGATTTGACAGCTGTCAATTGACCATACCATAGATGTCCAATCTCAAGATAAACACAGATTTTATACATTTATGCCTTGAACTCCAAGCTGGTAAGTGTGACATTTCGCATCCGCTAAGACGAAGGGGAACGTACGAACGGGCAGACCGACGATTTTGTCACAACTTGAATTTCTTACGTGCATAGATAAACACATTTTATTACCCATGGTGAATTATTTCCCTACCGGTTACATTTGGGATTTCATGAAACAAAACGGCAAGTGAGGTGCTGAGACCATCTGCCGCTGCATTGGAGAAGGCTGCCCCTATAGCCAGTCCGTCGCTTGCTGTATGTAACATCTCACCAAACATCAACATCCATAGAAGGGCCTTCTTTTCATGAGACCGAGGCTGCTTAGATTCCTTTACCGTATCACAGTTTAAGAGTGACATTTCGGTATCGTGTTGTAACAACTCCAAATTCTCATGGTTGTCACCGTTTGATATGGCATGCCAGTGAGAATGGCCACCCTGAAAACACAGAACGCGGCACAAGAATTATCTCAAAAACTGGCCCAATTTAGGGGACAGGCTCCCAAGGGGAGAGGGGTGAATAGGAAAATCGGCTAGCGAAGCGAGCTAAGCTTGGCCTTGCCTTGTTTCTCCCCAAGGTGAGATTTCCTTTTTCGCCCCGCTCCAACCGGGAGCCTGTCTAAAGCTAGACCCAATTGCACCTTTCACCGTCTAAGGCATTTATCTAACTGATATTCCAAGGGGAATATTCGATAGAGTTTTATAAGAGTATCTATTGATTCAAATGTAGAACCAGAACCTCCCTCTGCGCGTGTAGAAGAACGAAAAGCTCCATGCTCTGCAATGAAGAGATACAATCTCCAATTCATAAGCTCCAAACAGAATAAAACTCCTCTCTCGAGTTACGATGAAACTAAAGCCCTGTGAGCAATCCCGGTCAGCCAGGCCACAGGTAATGTTACGCAACAATCCCGATGCTCGCCGATGCTCACAATTCGAGCTTTGGCTACCTGTGGCCAGGCTGGCCCGCGTTACCAGTCTGGCTTAGCTCATTCCTTGTTTCCTCTTAAAATCTTCGTTGTGTTTATATGAGCAGGCGGGCTGGCCAGCTTGGCGAGATCCCAGTTGCTCAAGCCGAGATCTCGGCTAGCGGGCCACCGCCAGCCCGCCGTCTCATATTAACACAACGCAAATTAAAGCGGGCTGGCTTACGTCACATAAATAGGCCCTAAGACGTTCAAAGATGTTGCCTTTAATAGTAGACCTTAGTAGTTCCATAAAATTATATCAGACTCAGGCTACTCTTGAAATATAACCTCTTGGAATACTTTGAAAAAGCACAATTGTACGATTTTGTAGATCTAGTTTGCCTTTTACCTCTTGGGAATGGAAGTAAATATGAAATAGATAGAAGAAATAAATGCTGCAAGCCATCAGGAGACATCGCCACAAAATCACGTGATCGTCTGGAGTAATACCGCCATGTTCGTGGTGAAAGTCAGAATTCAACGCCTGTAAGGAAAATAATAACTAGTTATTATGTTCGACAGAACACAAGCTCGTAAATCTCGAGGGCAACCCGATTAATGGCTCATGTTCAAATCTTATAGTTTCTCGCATATAGCCCGCAAAACAAAGCATGTAGCTTTTTGTACAATTAAACAAACAAAATACCGTAAATTCTGCAACTCGTTATCTCTTCGCTTTTGGAGAGCTGCTTCCGACCGTACTTACGTGCGGAATCAAATGAAAGATGGCGTCCCCTGCAAGGCAGGCAGCCCCCAGTGCCGTAAATAGTGTGATCGCATGTTCTTGATACTTCCCAAGTGCAGGATATATTACAGCTGATGACAGGACGGCGAGGACAAAAACAATCGTTTGCGCCCCACAACCCTGCAAAATAGCTGAGGAAAATAGAAATAGAGAATGCTTCGTTTAAATCACTTCAGGAACACTGTGGCGGATCCAGGCGGAGAGTCTGTTTGGGGTGTCCGGAGCCCCTATCAGACCTGACGCTTGTATGAGGCTGAAATTCTTACATCCACAGGATCGTATATCACTTTTTAACTTAATGAAGCGCGCGTTGTATTCTGCCTGTAAACTAAATTCCAGGGATATTCAGAAATGTAATTGTTTTTGGGTACCCTCCAATGATCTGTTCGCCTCTGCTCGCAAAGCAGTATTTCCTGCGCCAAAGGCGACCGGCGTTCACAGATTGGGAAACACGTGGTCGTCTCTGTGAGAAAAAAATTTGCCACAAAAAGGTCAACAGTCCTTTCTGAACCAAAGTTTGGTCGCACCCATCCCCCAATCAAAAATTCCTGGATCCGCCCCTGCGGAGCATACAAATGATACCCCAAAACAAGCTCTCATCAGGCTACGTCCAGACGAATCAAGATATTTCTCAAGCCGCTGCTTTTTACACGAATCGGCCTATTTGTGTTCACACGAAACCAATGAATCCGCTAACCGAAACCGCATTGTTTCGAAACCTCTTTTCAGAGTGGTTTAAGCTCCGTCCACAGGAATCCGGCTAAAACTCAGGCGGTTTCAAAAATTTCCGCATTCGTGTGGACATGCATGAGGAGTGTAATTTGGTCTGAAATCATAGCGTCATACGCGTGATTTCACAATCGGACGAGCGAGTACAAGCGCGTAGTGCGAGTTCGATTGTGAAATCACAAGTATGATTTCAGACCAAAATTGCCCGACACGAAGTGCAATTAACACTTTATTACTGCCATTTTGAAATCGCAGAATTCAGTCAGTGCCAACATTTTATTGATCAAGTAGCCGGTTTGTTGAAAAGCGTAAACAAAAGGGCTTTTTCATCGCATTTTGCATTCGAAGCAGAAATGATGCGATTTAAAACAAAAATATACGATTTAGAACATGAATGACGCGATCTAGAACAGACTTGATTTAGAGCAAAAATAGTGTGATTTGTGAATAAATCACACTGCTGAGAGCCAGTCAGATTGTAAGGATCACCAGTGATTTCAAGATAATATAATAAATGAATTAATTCTTCCATTTACTAGTGAAAATTCTAATACGATAAGGAGCACTGAACTAAAAAATGTTAGAATATAAGTTCGGACAGATTATACGAAGAAAATTTACATACGACATGAAAATACGAAATCTTTTGTTTACATAACATTTTCCATTTTTGTAATGATCATTGTGAGAACGTTGCATAGATGAAGGCAATGAAAAGTTCCCTTGGCAACCAGGAAACGGACAGAGGTCTACCAGATGGTCACTAGAAATTTAACGAATTTCATGTTGATTTTTAAAACACTACAATCAGTAGGACAACATACCATTTTCAGAAGTGCAATAGAACATTTGATTGTGTCTTATGCCGTAGTCTGTTATACTCAACATAAGGTATCATGTAAATGCCCACATTTTAAAAGGCATAATCCGACAGATCTTGATAGACACTAAATATAAAATTCATTAAGATACTCAAACTCACAACAAAAGCCATTTTAATGCTAAAACTTCTCTATTCGTTTTAAAACTGTATTGTAAAAGAAAAGAACTTGAGGCTAGTGTAAATGTTTTTTAAAAAAACTTAATCTGATTTGGTAGCAACTTAGACCAGTTTTAACATTTCGTGTGATCTTTATATTAATGAGGGTTTTTTTATTTCCGACATTGTCACTTGTACAGATGATATAAACCTTTCAGTGGATACACTTGCATCTATTTATCATCGTTTTAGTTTTTTGCTTTTCAAAACGGTTAAATTTTCTGTAAGAGAATTATATGAATTCGTTTTTCTTCCCCTTTTACTTGCGTCAGCAGCGAACTGGGAACTAAAATTGGCCATCGACTTTGTCGTATTTGAGATTCGAAGTAAGGTTTAATGAAACACAAGTTTTCGAAGCTATATTGACTGGTCATGAAAGTTTCGATCTGTTTCCGAATAATAAGTATATTTTCAGTAAAATAACATAGCTACTAGAGGTTAACAATTCTAGTAATCGCCAAAAGTCAACTTTAAATATTTCCAACTACAGCGTAGAATAATATAACCAACACTTACCTCGAAAGTTAAACATAAGAGAACTTACGAACTTAAGCTGGTGCCATTAACAACAACCAATTTTGACGACGTTTAAAGCTTCTGAGTCAAGACAAAACAACGCTATTTGCACCAAGGTACTGCGTGTTGTCGGGGTAAAATTACTGAAATGAATCGATGTCAAAAATTATCCCGGCTATCACTCACCATTTTTGGTAGTTTCACACAGTCACGCGGATACTTGTTTGGAGTGACTTCAACCACCAGTCTTGAAGCAGGTGATTTCTTTTTTTTTTTTTAACTCATTTGAAAACAACTGTTCGCTTCTCACTTACTTAATGAGAAAACAGCCCAAATTATCACTACGACTACGCAGATCTGAATAGCGCTTCTGATTGGTTGAAAAAATTCCCTCGCACGACGCGTACATCATGCGCGAGAATTCTGCTACGTTAGGCTACTTCCTAGGCGCAGTCAGATAACTTTTCAGAAAACCTTGCAAGGCTCGTTCCGTTTGACTCTTGATTTTTGCCATGTGCTATGCCGGGCTCACTTGCGTGAAATCTACCTCTGTAATATTTACAGGGTTGTTTATTTGCGAATTTTTAATTGACACTATAAAGTGACAGGACTACTAGATCTGCATTTCTCTAATAACCGTTCAACGTTTAAGGTGATTTTTGAATGTTTGTGTCCAATTGCAGATAATGTAAAGTCGAAAACATAACTGATGCGAACGAAAACCCCATGAGATTCGACGTCTTGGACGTCTTGTGTATGGGTTTCTGACTGCTGGATCTGAAAAGTACAGGGACAGTTTTTCGTGCAAGGTACGTTCTACGTGTCTCCCTTCAAAACCGCGAAGACACGCCTACCCTTAGTCAGTTCTGGCCAACCCACCAAACCCGCAAAGAAAATCTTTTTGGCTACTTAAAGAAAAATATAAACAAGTTTTTGATCGAAGTGGAGACACGTCTTACCTGTCCTTACTTGAGGGCATCTCCTCTGTCGAGGAACAGCATTTTCGATACGATGACGTAACAAAGGATTCATGACATGCGCAAACACTGCTCGCGCGGTGCTCACCAAAATTAGCAACCTTAGATACGAGAAGGGAACTGGGCCGAGTTAACTTTCGCAAAGACTTGTGGGACCTTTACTGGGGACAGGAAAAAAATTACCAATAGCAGACCCGTATGTCCTCATTAACAATCCCAGAAGTCTTTATGAATTGCCTTCTCGTTAGCACATCTCGTTCCCAGAGACTGCGATCCTTTTGGTCAGCGCCAAGGATCACCATCCTCTGAGCTAATCCCAAAAAAAGAAACAAAATACCGGTAAGCAGGGGGAAAGAAAAGAATCAAAACATTAGGGAAAATTTGATTTACCAACCCAAAATGGTTCTCCATGTTCTAAACAAAAAGCCCTTTGAAACCAGACCTCTTTTTTTTTTTCGATTCAACTCTTTTTTGCTGCCTTATGCCTGGATATTTGCTTGATATCTGTGTTTATACTAATGGCACATGACGTTGACATTGGTGAACGACAAAAAAAAAAGAAGAAAAACCGGTGACGATTGAATTCTTTCCTCATGTCAAACCTTTCGTTTTTATACAGCTAATAACCACGTGAACGAATGATTTACAGTTGAACTTCTCCATAACGACCGTCGGGGACAGAAGAAATTAGCAGTCGCAGAGAGGTTTAAACAAGGGGAAATTATATGGACTGTGCGCCAAAAAATGTGGTCGTTGTAGAGAGGCAGCCGTTGAGGCGGGGTAGCCCTTAGTGGAGTTTCGACTGTATCAGTGTGTGTGTTTGATTTTCTTAGTCAGGAATGGATCTAAGTAAAATTTTATTACTGTTAAAGAAGTTCTCAAATTCTTTTCATTTGGTGAAATTGAGACCAGCTCCTTTAATTAAAATAAATATGTATATATAGACAATATATTTGACCCTCATTTGACTTTTAAATTCAGTATTACATTTCCGACGATGTTAGAGACTTTTTTTGTTAGTGTTCTAAGGTAACAAACAACTCTTATATATCATTTGTAATTGTCTATTTACCTGCGTTTAGAGACTTAGAAGCAAAGAGTGAAATCATTTTCAGTATGAGCATAGGGCTATCGTATTTGCCTACTGGATTTTTTATTTTTGTTAATTATTAAGTTAAAACGAAATGGAAAAATCCAGTGGGCAAATGCGACGGCAATAGAGCTTTTCCCAATTAAAAGGCCAGAAGCTATGCGGCAAATTAATGGAACAAGAGAAGCATTTACTCAAGAAAAGAGTTCATCTCCCACAGGGTTGATTTGGAACACGAACATGACGGCCATTCCATTGTTTTGGGACGCCAATATGGCCGCCGTTTCATAGTTTCGGAACACCAATATGGCAGAAGTGACGTCATCGGAAAACGCTCTACACACTCTATACTGCAAATGAATCCCCCCAAAGTTTTCATACAAAGTAAAAAGTTTACTTTTGCGAAGAATAACTAATCAATGTTTGCGGGAAAACTGGCCAACTTGCAAACGCCCAGACAGTTTTTGCTTCATGATGAAATTTTTTTATCAAACTCTTGACGAAAAAGGGGTGAAGCGACCATAAACTCATTCCTGTATGTCTGTTTAATAGGTTAAGATTGATAATGTTATCTAAATACAGCGGTTGATGTGTTTAGCCAAGTTAGTGATTCGATATGATTAATCTTCAAAATTTACTTTGAAAAACTGTCGTATTGTTTATTACGCTTATCAAGGTGGTTCTAACCATTTGAGTCTGTGGACGAAATCCTAAAGTATGACCTAAATGAAAGCTACTGAGCGGTACTTTCCTGTGGTACTGTTTATTATACTGTACAGGGTGGTTCTAACTTTTGAGTCTGTGGATGAAATCCTACTGTACAGCACTTTTCCGTAGCAAAGTTTACGTTGTACGTGGTGCATGGTTCTAGCTTTTGATTCTGTGAACAAAATCTAGCGATAAATCCATTCAAATAAAAGCTTGTCTACGAGTTCTGTTACATGGTAACGTTTGTTTTGCAGTGTGTTACAAAATAAATTTTGGAAGTTGTTCTAGATCCTGCCACTTCTGCGGACAAACTCAAAAAAGCAAAAGAATGGCCTGGGCGTAAGCAATAATCTGGCTTCGTCAATTGCTATCAAGGCAGCAGGAACAAAAGCCTTTTTGGGCGACGCAAGTCAACCGGATATGAGGCCTTTTAGCTTTCAAGAATCCTTGAACGCTATAAAATTTGTATTGCCAAGTGTCTTTACTCGTATGCAGACGATTTGGACAGGACTACTGTCCAAGAATACAGAAAGTCGACTTCCGGTCGACATGCCTCGCTCAAAAACGTCTTTGCTTGGGCTCCACGATCACTAGCCTCCCACGCAGGCGTTTTTAGGGGAGCTCGTGGGGAGGAATGAAAAACGAGCTCCCCTAAAAACGCCTGCGTGGGAGGCTACACGATCACTAGAACGTCACTGGACGAGTAATCACTAACGCATATTAATATTAATATTAATTTCATGGAAATAAATTAAAGATGTTTGATACGGGAAATAATATATAACACGGAAATCAGCTAAGCTCAAGCTTTTGCAAATTACTAAAAATTGACCCTAAAACTTTATACACCGAGTAACTTAATCAAGCTATCATAAAATGTTGTTTCCTTTTAGGCAATGACTACATAAAATTAAAATAATTGGGAGAGTATTTGGTTTATATACACGAAGACTAAAAAAATAGAGGGGAACTTTTTGAAGTTTCTCTGCACAGATTAATAGTGAAATTTTTAATTTTTGATGCTAGAAACAACTATGCAGTAGAGCAGTTTTGAATCTTAGCGTCGTCGACAATCGATCGAAAACCACTTAAGCTGAATGTTATTTCCATGTAAATGAAGAAAATCACGTAACTGATCTTTTTACCGATATGGCGGTCATATTGAATAAGTCAATTTAAGGAGTATTATGGGATGGCCAGGGGGCATGAGCACATTCTGTTCAGTATTTACAAGCGCCTTTCGGTGCAATTTTCTTAAAGTTTTCTTAGAATAAGATTGTAATGAGAAAAAAGATCGTTTTCCGAGTTACGATGTAATAATGATTGCTTTTTTTCCCGAGAAAAATACAGTGAAAGACCGTATTTCTAATACTAAGCGAGTTCAACGGATCTTGGTCATGCCCCCTGGGCATCCCATAATACTCCTTAATCGAATTAATTCAATATGGCCGCGGTATCGGTAAAAAGGTCTATTGACTACTACGGTAAAAGCTCCATTTCCTGTTTACAAGTGCCCATAAGATTCTTCACCGTTTAAATGGGTAAGTCACCATTGAGAAACAAATCAGAATGAGATTAATGTTTGGAATAAACATGACTAATCTTTGATGAAAAGGAAAGTAACCAACACGTTTATCACGAGATATTGTTGTGTAACTGGCTTGAAGGCAAAGATAACCTCCAATGTTGGAGCAAGTTTCCAAACAAATTTTTTGCAAACTCCAGAATTTATTGAAATTTTTGCCCTTCTTTTACAAATTTATTAATCCCACTGAAGTTTAACTAACTATAGGTCTAATTTGCTCCAGAATGTAGAAACCTGAAGGATTGCGATGGTTGTAAATAAAATAGTGGCAGCCAAATGACGTCATAATAATTCAAAATGGCGGCGCAGAGGAAATTGAATAACTATATTCATGTCCAGCTTCTGGTTCATTCAATTTTTTTAGTTTTTAGAATAACAATGGAATTAAGAATTCTTTACTTTTCCTTTCAACATGTTCTAATTACTCTCATTCTTTAAACTGAGTTTTGAGTAGCTGTCGCTTTTGAATTAAAAGGCTTTGTCAAGAATGTCATCTCTTTTTTCAGAGGTGGGCTGCTTACTTCCCGGAGGTTTCTGTTTGAGGGAATGCTTATATGAGGAAACGTGATAATCTTCTCTTAACTTTATATTTGTTATTTAAGCTTTCAACAAGAGTCTCGCTTCAAACTTCGTTAAGAGGAAACGCGAGTTGATTTAGCGAAGAACCACGAAGAACACAAAAAGCAAATGGCATCAGCATTTTTTGTTTTGAATAGTAATCAGTACGTTGGCTCAGTATACAAGACAAGGGAAGGGATGTCTTAAGAAAGGAACCTTATTAGAGCTTTTACCGTGGTAATCCTCTTTTAAAATATATTCCTCGAATTCAATAGTTCGGTTCGTTTGGTATAAACCTCTGGTGATCACTATACAAGTTATCATCACTTCATCAAAAATTAAGCAAAGCAAATAAAAACAGTATCCCAAGCAAAAATATACACAAAACGTAATCTGAAGTACTGAACTCTGGCTTGCAAAATTTTCAAAATATACATTTTTGAATATACGATTTTTGTTCTCGTTAGGTAGCTGTTGTTAGGCAGCAAATACGTAAAAAAGCGAGTTAAAAAACAAACAAGAGATAATCTCTTGAAAAAAAAATATATTCTTTTACCCCGAAATGTGCATAAATATTTTAGCCCTATGTTCTTGATAACACCCTAAGAGGTATTCTTTGTAAAACGTTATCTCTATCCTAAATATCAGCGCTTTCCACACTAGCATTTTTTTTAAACCAACGCGCACGTAAAAAGTTAATTTGTACGTTGAAGTCATTACGTCGGTCGGAGGATGAAATAGACCTTTCCTACAAAGACCATAATACTATTACATTTCAGGATTAACCCCGTACTTGGAAAGAAAAAACCCTGAATGTTCTTTTTTCAGCAACCTCCAGACAATTTCTATAACCAGCTCAACTTAAAACGAACACACCAGTACCAGTCTTATCATTTTTGGATTTTGAAGGCTACTTTCCACTTGTTTTAAATCAGAACTGATCTTTAGGGTTTCCTTTATGATGATACAAGTTTGAAGTTGAAACTGAGAAGTCAAGGACCACATCTGTACTGGGGCGTTCGGTTTTATATCGCCGAGAAGTTGTTTCAGAGCACGTACGGCTTGTTCCAGGAAAAGAAGACATTAAAGGACTCCACATAAATACGAGGCTAAAGTTTCATGAGCCTTAAAGTTTCTTATAGCAATTCTGGGAAAGGCCAACAATGAAGTGGGGCCGCATTGAAAAGAAAGATCGTGAGCAGAACTTTACTACCGAGATCTAAAACATTCCGGTGCTTTGTTTTACATGTAACAGGTAGGCTTGTATCACACTTGGCAAACAGGGTCAAAGCAATTCAGCGTGCGTTTAGCAAAATATTTCCCTTTTAAAAGCAATGAAATCCAACCGAATCAAATCATTTCAACTTTCTGATACAGAAAACTTCGTAAATTCTGATGGTATTTCCACCTCAACTTAAGACACACCTTTACCAAACACTTTCTCATGTTGCCTTTCCATGACTTCTCGTACCAAATTCACCGTCACAAAGGAATCGTCGACGGTTTTCCTCCATTGCTCCTTACAAAAAGACACACCGTGTCTCATGCGGAGCTTTCTTTGTTTTCTCTGGTGTTGTTCCTCTGCAATCTAGCTTAGGACCTTTTGTTCTTGTCAGGAATCACTCCTTTCATTTGCAAGGACTCCTTGTAATGCGTATGTAAATGAGTCTGCAGACTGCCAGACTGAGAGAAAGCCTTTGAGCACTGCCAACATTTATATGGTTTCTCTCCCGTGTGAGTGCGCATGTGCCGCTTTAGGTCCGTAGAGCGTGCAAACGCTCTAGAACATTCTTGGCATTTGTAAGGTTTCTCTCCTGTGTGATTGCGTAAGTGTCTTTGAAGATCAGTAGAACGAACAAACGCCCGCGAACATTGCGTACACTTGTAAGGACTCTCGCCTAAGAGAAGGAGAAAATCATTGGCTTACAAGCGATTTCAGAGGATATCCCGGTAAAATGTGGAACTTCACATTTGACGAACCTAAGATTTATGTGCAAGAAATGCTCATAGGCATCAGTTAGGTTCACCACATGTGAATTTCGACGTTTGACCCCGGCCTAATTAACGTTTAAAACCAGAAATAAAATTTTGTCTTTTTTTTTCTCGTTCCTCCATAATATTCGCAGAGAACAGCAAAGAAAAGTACTGAGTTCCATTGGTAGTGTCTTCTCAAGGCTGAGTTGAGGCTTTTACAAAGGACCCTCCACCTTTAAGACTCTTACCTGTATGTGACCGCATATGCCTCCGCAGATAACATGGATACTGGAATGCCTTACTGCAATAAGAACACTTCCAAGTGCGGCCTGTTTTGTCAGGACATACGTACTTAACATGGCGCTCTAGGTAACTCTCATAAGCGAAGATTTTACCACACTTGTAACACGTGTAGCTCTCGTCATCTTCAAAGAAAGCAAAAACCAAAACGCGTAAGCAAGAGGAAAAATGAATTTTTCTGTTGTTTATCGTGGATGGATCAATGAAGTGGAAAAGGTATATCGTAAAATTCCGAAAATAAGCCCCTCCGTGTATAAGCCCCCCAAACTCGTAACGCAGAAAACCCTCCGTTAAATTGCCCCCCCGACTATAAGCCCCCCGGGGGCTTGTACTTGGAAATTGCCCTCAAATACAAGCTAAAATAAAGCAAAAACGGTCAATTTCCATCCAACTCTAAGGCTAGCCAAATCGATTTTGAAACGCAAATTTCCCTCCATAGATAAGCCCCTCCGAATATAAGCCCCTCAAAAAGGGCCTTTGAAAAATATAAGCCCCGGGGCTTATTTTCGGAATTTTACGGTATTTTCAAATTCATTTGCCTCTTGATCAACTACCCAATAAAAAAGTGGTTCAAATTTAGGGCGATGAAACAACTGAAAGGTATCAGCGGTGACGAAATCTTTCTTTAATTATCGTCAAGAAGAGTGAGCGAAATTGTTTAACTGCGTTGACGCTAGGGTCTCTGAAAGGCATGTACCTTCTAAGCTAGAGAAATTAAGACAACTTATAAGGTTTTTTTCATTTTGCTTCAGAAGTTCAAACGAAATAATCCCTAACAAACAGCTTAGCGATAGATTTAGGCAATCTGAGTCGCTTCTATTGATGAGGAATACACGCACCACTAAGCTAAACGTCAGAAAATGCACTTCGAATCGAAGAAAACGAAAGAAATCTTGTAAGAAATACCCAATTAGAACCCATTTTTTTTTTTACTAAATAATGATAGTAACTAGTTTTAGTGCTTATGAAGATGGAGGTCGTACCTGATTCCATTCTACTAAGCTTTTTCTCTAAATACCAACGAAACAGATTCTTCCGCTTGTCCTCATTCAGATGAACACTTTCATGGAGATATTTATTGATCTCAGTTTGGGACACGCCGGTCTCCTCGATCAGCTCCTTTTCCAAAGCCTTGTTGTTCTCCATAAAATCTCGAATCTCGCGTCCAATAATCTCTTCTTTGCCCCTGAGAAATGTATCATGTTATAAGATTCATTTTACACTATACGCTGGTATACCTGCAACGCAAGTGCAAGTGAGAGAACTGCGAGTGAAATTGTTATGTCTAAGCTAGTCTCCCACAGTCGACTCCTGATAATTCGAACCTTCAAGGGAAATAGAACTGAAAGGGCAGTAATCGGCTGCTGAAAAAAGTTCTGGTTATCGAGAGAAAAATTATATAGAAAACGATCTGAAGGGAAATGAAAATTGCTTCGTGTTAGTGGGAGGTTATAAAAGATTCGAGTTACCCTGAGTCGACAATTTTGAGGCGCGAATCGCAGTAACAAGGGATAGATCGTTTCGCGTGGTAGCAATGGCCAACATAGCAAATAGATGCTCCCAGCTACTCCCTGTCAGTAATAAATCTACTAAATGGTAAATATATTTCAAAGAAAACCTTTTCCTTTTCTCAGGTCTGTACTTTTTCAAACTTTAACTACGTTTGCATCAACAGAGCAGACTTTCCTGTCCGCGGTGTATTTTCCAGTTAAATCTCTCTTCCTGCCCTTACAAGGTTCTAATCTTCTATGTTTATTGTTTACCCAAATTGAAGTTGCGTTTGTTGAAGTGAAATAAGGCTCGATAAGTGCGATCCTCAATCAAACCTTCCCCTCCGTTTTGAAAGTTATTTTAAATAAGCGCCCAGGCGCTTAATCGGGTAAATACCTTAAATACTCTTCTTGATTGGCTGACAATGCTAATTAAACTTCTTTTTTTCTTAACCAGTTAACAAAAAAGAATATTTTCTCCCTGCTGATAAAGCCACCGAATATTAACCTGCTGAAATCAGATAACGACTGACCACAAGAAAAACATGAAAGAAAACTTACTGTAACATCTTCTCTAGTTCTTCTTCAAGTTTATGGAGTCTTGTTGAGCCGTTATCGTCCGAAACATTGCTACCACGTTTTACCGCTTGCTTTTTTCTTTCTTTCAGATCTTCACACTTTTCCTCGGCACTTTCTTTAGCCTCAAAGTTTACTCTCTCTCTCTTTACATTGGCAAAACTATCGCTAACTCGCCTTTTAAACCTAGGGTCATGCAATTTATCGTAAGGCTCCCTAAAGCTTTCATGCTTGTTCACTTCGTTGTCTCTTTTGTCTATCTTGCTTGCCTGTGTACAAAACTCGTAGTCGGCGCGTCGTAAGCACAGCTCCGCAAGCGTATGCAGTCCGCGAGTGTCAAGCGCGGGAAAAGTAGCCGCTTCGTTCCCACCAGTACTGACGCGCGGTGTATGTGAGTTTTCCAAGTTACACTGAATCGCCACATCACCTGAAAAAATAAATAAATCCTTCAAAAAAATCATTTTTAAGAAACCCAACTTGGAAATCTCGGCTTAACTTAATATCTTACATTTATATCTGTCCATGGCTGAGATGATAAGGTCATATGATTATTTTGGGCTCATATCCACTTGTTTTAACCAAAGCCCAGTAAAAACAATAAGGGCTGAGAGATGACAACTCTTTTGAGCTAAACTTTGTTGATTAAACAATGAAACAATTGAGAGTCAAGTATCAGGCAGCTTTGAAAGCTGAATGTCCCAAAAAACTGCGCTGAAACCTTCTGACAGATACGAAATTGATGGGCAGATATTATCCTGTACTCCGGTATATCCTGGTTAAAAAAGCCTGTCAATTAATCCTTGTGTTACATGAAAAAATCAAACATTAGATTCACAGCTGGCAAGGATTTTGCAAGTAAGGATTCAGGATACAAGAAAGTGGCCAAGTCTTCTATCAACGCAAGCACCGCGGTAATTCAAATTTTGTCCGATTCTGACAGTAGTTTGTTTCGGAATGGAAAACCGCTGAAAATGTTAGTAAAATTATAAATTTGTTTGTTTGTTTTTTTCTCAATTGCTAGGTATAAAAAACTTATTACACCATTGGTAGTGTTATGTTATCTCAAGCTTTACCCTTGGAGTGTTTCAGTTAGCGTGTCATGACGTGATCCAAAGGTATTTTCATTTGTGAAGTGGCTTTTGTTTTTCCGTTAGCGCTTTTCCAACGTTTTTCAAAATTTATTTACTGACTGCGACTTATAAAAAAATGTTGACTAAATTCTTACATGCAGAGGAACTTTTTGTACTGTGCACAGTGAGAAAAAAAATAACTCTTCCACAATAATTGGTTGTTAATCCAACTTTTTTCAACAGCTTCATACTAGACCTACAATTCAGTGTTTTAGATAGGCTTTAATGTAGTTCCTAAACAAAAACCACTGAATTTACAAAGCCTTATTAAGGAGAAAATGGCGCGAAATTAGAAAATTCATTAGCAAAGGCGAGTTGTACTAGACTTTGAAAGGGCGCCAGTATGAACTATTGACACTGTAAATAAAACTTCACCAGGACTACAATTATATAATCGTATTAACTAAATTGAGACAGTGATTGAAAACCAATCACTGTTGCAGTTTGGTTTCTGAAAAAGCTGTTAAGCAGTAACAAAAAAGAGGCATTGGCAGTTTCTGTGGCAATATCCCTGATTATGCTGTGCACGGTGACTCTAGTCTTTGAATACGCGATTTTAGCTTAAAAAAAAAAGCATTTTTAGTTGAATTTGCAGCTCGTGTTAGCGTTCTTTTATCTTTTTAATTAAAATCTGACGAACCCAATGTTTCTTTATGCTTCACGCTTTGGAGAGGAAGAGTGTTTGTTTACTTAAAAACACTTGACTCGTTGAATCTACTTCAAATCTCGATAGCGTAACCTTAATTACGTTATTCCTTCTACCGAGCAAATTTTCCTCAGCTAATAAATAAAAACTTGCCCCTATTTTTGAGACAGATCTATTATTTCCGTCGAAGGCGTACTTCCGACAATAGTTCACTTTTTAACTTTGTAAAGCGTTGTCGTCGCACAATTTCAAATGTTTAACGTTATGCTTGTTGACTCCCAAACAGCGGACACAGGCCCTTTCTAAGTCTGAACTATTTTAACTTTATCAGTCTTCCATAGAGGCTATAACAGTAACCAACTATTCTATGCGTAGAAATCACATTCTAGCAATAAAACTAACATTCATTTGCTCCAGCCAAGGTTAAAACACTATAGTCATGTTTTACCTGGCGAAAACTGTCGAGCCATTGGGTGAAAGTCTTAATGGCATGCAATTAAGCAAAACGAATTGACTTTGATATGTTCGTTACACAAAAATTAATCCTCACTTCTAACGTTTGAACTTTGGTTTTATTTTAAGTAAAGGGTCTATTTTTTAATCGAACGTACTCTTTATTCCGTGACTTTTAGCTGTGATCGCCATTTTGAAGTCTAGGGTCCTACAGGTAAAAGTGTCAACAAAACTTGTAAACATACCGGTGGCGTGCGATTCAAGATTTGTATCTTGTGCTCCTTCCTCGTTGATGTCTGAAACGTCTTCATTATCTGATTAAAAATAAGAAGAATTTCCTTAAAATGATTTCCAGGAATGAAACTGAAACGACGATCCAAGTCCAACAGTTCCGCTTGAAGAGCAACGGCAAAGGTGAATTATTGATGTTTGTGTGTGATTACACTTTTGCATACTCTCCCACTGAAGTAATGAGAGGAGGAAAATTGCACTGGAAGAGAAAACTGAAGAACAAATTTACTAGCCAACGTTTATTACAAAAAATAGAAAATAAAAAGCAAGAAGACTCTAGTCGACTTCAAGACAGTTCCATTAAACAAACCTGTTTAAGGCACGAGTAAAGCGCTGACCCAAAAAACTGCGGGACTTTTTCTCAAACGGAGGATTAATTAAATTAATTTAATAAGATTGAGGAAAATTGTTGGAAATTGCATATGGTACACATGCAGTGGGGTCAAAAGAAAATCTGAAGTTTAAGTGTTTTAAAGCTGGGCAAATTGGCCGGATGACCTTTGACAAGTTTGTCAGCTGCAAGGTTTATTGCAATGCGGAGAGGCACTCACCGTCGCTTGCTTCCTCCTCTTCGAGTCTCCTCTTGGTGCGAGAGGTTTTTTTCACAAGGAAGGATTTGGGCATATCACAGTAGCGTCCGCTTTTCTTGCCTCAGACCAACTCCACTGCTCATCTAGCTGAATGGCAAGTATTTCGAGGAGCTCCGCTCTCCTCCTTGCCTCAAATGACGTGATCAGGTGATAAGCTTTCGCTCCATTCGCGTCTCTCTTACCACTCTTCAAACAGCTCCATCATCAAACGCGTTAACGAACTCAAGGTCTGAGCATGCGCGACCGCGTTGGTTGAGTCTCTTTTAAAATATATCCGCGCGCTTCGGAAATTTAAGAAATGATCCCAGGCAAAACAGCAACAATAGTACTTTGGGGTGAAAAGGCGAAAATTGGTCGAAATCTCCGAACCCTGGACGAAACTTAAACGGGGACCAAGTTTTGTTTATGTTACTCCGCTAGCTGTTTGGAGAAATCAAAGAGGACTTTCCAGTGACAGACTGAATTAGTCAACAATTACGTCACACTGGGTCGCCGGGTTAGGTAATAGGCTTGAATCTCTTGCAGTTAGCGTCATGCGCCCAATTTAAACCTCTTTCACGATTCTAATCTTTGCAAAACATCGCTGGTTTGTCGACGACGATTACCAACGTTTTACCATCCGAAATCCGGGTAACTTGAGCTATTGAATATAATTGTTTCCAGTAAAACAGCGCGCGGGATAGCAGTGCTCTCGCTGGTTGTATACTTGCTGTTTACCGGTGCTTAGCTCCCGCGGTTGACCTGTTTTCGCAGATGACAGGGTCTCAAGCGGCAAGCTAGTGTTTGAAGTCACAGGTGGTCTAAGTGTCATGTGTCAACAATCAACGAGCCTAGTATTGACCACGATAAGATCAGAATAAATTGAACAACACTATCGAGGCGACTTGGGTTAAGTGGAAATGGCTTGCGCTGTGAATCAAAGGTCGAAAACCATTCTTTTCGTCAAGTAGCTCTTGGGCTTTCAACAATTCTATTCGTGTTCGAAATTTTTCTTTAGTTGATACGTTTAGTTTGGTTTCTATGGAATAATTAGAGAACGCCGATGACCCTAAGAAGCACATCAAAATTGCTTTCAATCCACTGGCCAACGCGTTTGAAGTCCTGTATCAAATTCAAGTTGGAACATACATTTCAAGACAACTTTGATGGGAAGGAGTTCGTGATTCTAGTTTCTTAATCTTTTCTTAATTTTTCCCCAGAAACGCCAATAAGAAGAAAGTTCGATGATGTGTTGTTATTTATAGTGCGTCTTTCAGGAAAACAAGAAGAAGCTGGACTTTTGTTAAAGTAATTATATGAGATTGATCTTAGATTTCCCATACATCATTTGTTAAATATTTTCATGATCTTTGTTTAAGAACCAAGAAAATTTCGAGGGGAAAATAATTCTGGCACTAAACGCTCTACTTCATTTTGAGTAGGCTAAGGTTCTGAGTCAGAAACACGTAACAAGTTTATCAGATTGGATGGTTTTCAGATTTTATTAGTCACTGTGTTCTTGTCGCTTGGAAAACTTGTCATAGTTCCTCTTCAAGTGAATAAACATACTAGTACAGAATTCATCGTAGGTCTTAGTTTATTTTTATTTTGTTACTCTTCGTGGCCCGTCAAATCGTGTAATAGTCTAAAAATGGTTCATAATCCATAACCAATTCGCTCAGATTGTTTTGTATGACTCAAATGCCAAGGTGTGAATTCGAGTTCTTTGAAGCCTCATTACAATTACTCCACCTTGCTTTGTCCAAAGTAGGCGACCCCTGTTGGAGCAGAACTCCTAAGGACCATGTCCAAGTTCAGAGAGAGAGAGAGATGTATAAAAATTACGTTCTCTATAAAACGTGAAATCAGGCAATTCCACGCCGAAGTCGTGTAGCAGGTAGCAAAGAAATGTACAAAAAATTGTCTCTGCCGGCACATGCAGGGTTGTTGTCTTACGAATTAATTTCAACTGCTTGTGAGCAAAGTAATTGGTTATGTTCTAAACGAGCGGAGAACTGGTGCGACTTACTAGCGCAAAGGGTAAACGGATTGTTTGAAGGGAGAGCAAAAACATAGCAGACTGAGCAGCATGCACCATCGCCTGTGAAGTACAGCCTCAATGGGGACGTCGACATCAACGAACGCGTATCGCCGCCGCATTTGCCTGTTGGGATTTTTCCCTGTTTCAGTTTTAACAAATAAAAAATTCCAGCCGGAACAAAAAGAGCATTTTCACACGCTTGGCCAGAAGCTATGCAAATTTATTGCTATTAAAGAAAGTGTTCAGATTGATTTGGAACACCACCATGGTCGCCGCTTTAACCAACATGGCGAATGTGACGTCATGTGAAAAGGCTCTATAGTGTCAAAGCAAAATAACAACTCTGCACGTGCATCAAAATGTCAGCAGGGCCCAGTGCGTCGAAAGATGGTTAAGTTTAACCCAGGATTAAGCCAAATTTTAAGCAAGGTTTTGGGAACCGGGCCGAAGTAGATTTCTTGGTTTGACTGCACGACTACGACTTGAAACTTCTTGATCACACATTTTACCGAAATACAAGACAGGATTTTCTTAATTGCCTTTAAGAATTCAACTCTAGGAAAATGCGCCAACATTTGACATTCTAATTGAACGTGGAATAATAGAGATGATTTTTGAAACAACGCAAATAGACTTTTTCAAGAGTCGTTTTCGATGTTTAAAAAGTGCAACCCCCAGAAGGAAAACAAAAGATAGTAGCAAGAACTCCAGGTATGCCAGGACTCTAAGAGCTTATTCCTTCGATATTTTGTTTATATCAGAAGATAAACAATAAACCATTGCAAAAGTCAAAAAATTAAAATAATATAAAAAACTGGTGTTACAATGGAAATGAATTTATGCGACCGTTTAATTTAACCAAAATACCGTTAAGTGTTTAATTGCCATGAAGTTGGCGACAAGTTTTTAAACTCCAAAACATAAACAATCTCAGCTGGTGATTTTCAAGGGACAAAAACAAATTGCAACGCATCAGAAGACAGAAGAGTTGTTATGGCAAGCTAAGGAATCAAATCTGCAAAAGTTCACATGAAACCAGTTCTACATTTTTCCAAGAGGTTTTTGATTATCCGTTATTTTCTTAGGGTACTGGGTCCCGTTTCGCGAAAGTACCGGTTGTTACTGGGTCCGAAGTGCTGTTTTATTTGCATTCAAATTTAAGGTTTTAATGGATTTGAAAATTATGCAATAATTATAAAAGCTATCAGTTTGCAAACCAATATGGAATTGTTAGGAGATTAGAACTTCCGCTACGACCATTCATTAGATTCTGTTTTTTAAAACATGGTTTTGGGCCCGTAAAGTGAACGGATTTTTTGGAAAGTGGGCCCCTGGTAACTAAAGTTTTCAACCAATCCAAGTAGGACGTGAAAATGTGCCACAATAGTTTGGCGCGATATTTTAATTCAAACATGGACACTATGAAGATTGTCTCTCATGGTAAGACAAATTGGTGATACGTTTTCTCGAAATGGATGGAACTAAGCACAAAAATACTTGTAGTGTTGCCATGAATTTGTTGTCTAATTCGCCATGATTGTCAAACCGATATCGAACTGGTACCAGTTCGTTGGACATGCGCGGTGGTCAACCATTTGAACAACGCCGCGAATCGCACAAAAGAAAATTTATTTGGCTAAAGTGCTATTTAAAGGCGCCGAGAAAAGTTTCAAACGTTATGCGATCTGCTGCATAGAGGTTTAAAACTTATGGTGTTCAAGAAACGGCGCCATGTTGGAAAGCACATGGCTTCGAATCGCTGTTGTTTGCGTTTTTGCTTTTTGGGCTTAGTCATCTTGTCTGTCTGTTCTGTTGCCTACATAATGACGAGAGGTAAGAATTTGAATAACCAGCAGATTAGTATAGAGTTGCTGTTATTGGACCAGGGGACAAGTCTTTTAAGAACTTGTTTACCGAACGGGGTCAATAACCTAAGAGTATTTTGCTATGCTCGGTCAGATCATCGCCTTGACTCGGCGTTTGGTCATTAAATATTTATTGAAGCGTTCGTGGAAAGATAAACATTTTCCAGAATGGCATCACAGGCTATTGTCCACGGGCTTACTTAGAGTTTAGTGGGGAGCAGGGACTGGGGATGAGAGAAAAAAACGCGATCGTGAGCAACTGGGGACCAGTTATCGTTTACACCCGAGATTTCCTGGGATTAGGCTGGGAAAGAAGAAAAAATGCGAAATCGTGAGAGATAGCAAGGCTGAACTATCTTCAAGCATTCATATGTATTTCGGCGTAAGTGTAAATTTACAACACGTGGAGACATTAATTTCGGACTGGTGAAGTTTTTTATGGGGTTGTCGCGAGTTTTAATATGGCGGCAGCTCATCAGTAGTTGAAAGAATGCGATAGAAGTTGATTCGTCTGTCTTTCCTTTTTTAGGTTACTTTCTCCTCTATGTTAATCCAGGAGTCGAAAAAATGAATTTCTACTCTTTGATTGACGAAAAACGAGAAGAACGAGATGGTTTCGAGGAAAAAGACATCAGCAAAACGACTTGTAGACGAGACAAATTTGAGGATATTTTATTGGTGATAGCCTTTGTGGAATTGCTTCATGATTCTATACCGTATTTAGAAGAGATTTATAGAAAACATTTTCCAAATATCATTTACTGTTTTCCTGCCAAACCAACCGAAAACCTCCAACATGCATTTCTCGTTGTTGAGATGCTGCATGGCGTTACTGCGTATGAGTGCCTGAGTACTGCAATAAGGACAAAACCAGGTTTTACAGGTTATTTATTCATGAGGAATGATCTCTTCTTGAACATTTGGAGCATTGCGGATTTCAACACATCCCGAATATGGGAAAGCGCAGATCAGCTTGGTAACCAAGTCATGTTCCAGCAACCGCGTGGGTCCTGGATCTGGTGGTATACACCGTGGGGGCTAAAAGCTTGCGAGCAGGCTTTTAAGGATGTTATTTACTTAAATGACGCGTATAGACGTTCAATAATTGATAACACGGTACAAGAAGACTCTTGGGACGTGGAAAATTCGCTGAATGCCTTATTATGGAATGGCCGTGGCATAAACATGTGTTACCGCTCTTTTTCGAGTCTTTTCTACGTTCCTAATGAGTATGCCAGTGCGTTTGAGAAACTCTCAGCGGTTTTTCATAAGAACCAAGTTTACATGGATATAGCGGTTCCAACCATTATACGAATGCTTGACTTGATCGAAAAAGCAGAAATATTGCCCGGAGTTAATGTAGGATTACTGTACGGGGAGGAAAGAGCCCAAAATGACGGGCAACTGTTATTGCGTCATTTAACAACCAATTGTAGTTATATCAGGCCCGTTGAGTTGAGACCTCAATCTGATCTTACGGAGCCAAGGACAGCTGGTTTATTTGACAAGTTACTGGACCATTTAAGGCGGTTTAATTATAGTGGCTGCTCAATAACATAATCGTATTTTTCTCTATTACAGATGCGTAATGTCAAAATAGATTGCACTTAGGTTTAAATAGAAGTTCTTACGGACACAAATGCTTCTGTACCATTTTCGAAAGTCACTACCGAGTTTGAGAGGCCGTGAAGACTTGCCAGAGGATCTGGGGAGAGTGCAAATTTATACCCTCCTTAGTTTTCGCTCGCCATTAGAAAACAAGAAAGCGACTTTTAAAGGGAACGGTCGATTCAACTCAACCTTGAACGCAGGAGAGAATCTCCTGACACCATTTTGAAAACTGAGATGCCCCTGGGGACGAGGTTGCATCCAGCCGCGTTTTCAAGATCTTTCGATGTTGTAATCAAGCGGAAATTGTACGGAAAATTCTGCCTGACCGTAAGTAGAATATTGCTCACTGCTCTAGGTACCGCTTGAATACTGTTGAAGGTACTACTTAAGCATTTTAAAACGAAACAATAATCTAATAACGTTTTAAAGAAAGAAGACTGGTGATTACTTTGAGTATCGAGTGAGGAAGACTGGTGACCGATGTGATTTTGCCCTTTTAAAGAAAGAAGACTGGTGACTACTTTAAGTATCGAGGGAGGAAGTCTGGTGACCGATGTGACATTCACGTTTAAAAGAAACAAGACTGGTGACTTTTTTAGGTACCGAGAGAGGAAGACTGGTGACCTATGTGATGAAAGAGTTCTGAATCCCCTTTGTGTTCCTTATCGCCTAATATGCTCTGTCCGGCTTGTAGTTCTGAATAGAGATATAACAACCAATCGACTGGCATTTCGTTATAAAACATTGTGATATATCGAGCAAATTTGCGCAGATCTTTGTCCTGAAAAAGCTTCCCAATAAAGCCCCATCCACTGAACGTCAATACATCCCACTTCGCGTCGCCTTGGCGGGCAACGAAATCCCGTATTTGCCTCATATAATTTGGTTCAGCTGTGACGTCATCTTCCAGGTGTAAATAGTACTGAGAAAGCCCTTGGCAGTAGTGAAATATAAATGCATAGTCCATGCTTTGCTTTGAGCGCCAGTACATTCGCTCGGGGCTGTCTTTTAGCGTTTGTGTTAGGCCCTCTAGCTGAGGATAAAAGGAAGACGGCGCAGCAATCACATGAATTAAATTCATGTCCAAATACTTCATAAACTTCGACCGTAGTACACTTTTAACTTCTTCTCGCGGTGCTTCTTCGGTGTCAGCCAGAAAAATGACGATCAACACGTCTGCAAGATCTTCCTCGGAGATACCAGTGAAGAGCGAATTTAAGGTTTCTACCAGATAACTTACAGTTTTGTTTTTGAAAACCCGTTGAACTGTTGGAATTCCTATCGTTAAAAAACCTGGAAAGAAAATTGTTCATCACTGAATTGAAACAAAGACGTATGGAAGCAACATAGAAAATTTTATGAAAGCATGGATTTAGATTGCAAGTATCAGCCTATACGAGAAGCCATTGAAAACATTCGTCCGTTCTTTACTGGGTGGCTGGATGGGTATGTGGTGGGTAGCTTCCATTTGAATGGTTAGACTTGAGGATCTCATCCAGAGACTCAAAAGTTAAAACCACCCTGTACGGCATAATGAAGCAGCACCACAGGAAAGCACTGCTCAGTAGCTTTCATTTGAATGGTCACACTTTAGGATTTCATCAACAGAATCAAAAGTTAGAACGACCTTGTACAGCATAATAAACAGTACCATAGGAAAGTACTGCTCAGTAGCTTCCATTTGAATGGTCACACTTTAGAATTTCATCGACAGACTAAAAATTTAAATCACCTTGTACAGCATAATAAACAGTACTACAGGAAAGTACTGCTCAGTAGCTTCCATTTGAATGGTCATACTTTACGATTTCATCGACAGACTAAAAAGTTAAAACCACCTTGTACAGCATAATAAACAGTACCACAGGGAAGTACTGCTCAGTAGCTTCCATTTGAATGGTCATACTTTACGATTTCATCCACAGAATCAAAAGTTAAAATCACCTTGTACAGCATAATAAACAGTACTACAGGAAAGTACTGCTCAGTAGCTTTCATTTGAATGGTCACACTTTAGGATTTCATCCACAGAATCAAAAGTTAGAACCACATTGTACAGCATAATAAACAGTACCACAGGGAAGTACTGCTAAGTAGCTTCCATTTGAATAGTTACACTTTAGGATTTCATCAACAGACGCAAAAGTTAGAACCACCTTGAACAGCATAAAAAACAGTACCACAGGAAAGTGCTGCTCAGTAGCTTTCATTTGAATGGTCACACTTTAGGATATTATCCACAGAATCAAAAGTTAGAAGCACCTGCTGATACTGCTTCGTAGCAGTCATTTGAACAAACATTGAGATTTAACTCCCTGGAAACTTCCATTCGAAACTTAATCTTAGCGGGAATGTCATTTTCGAACAGCTGCCAGGTTGTAAAGGGCTTCTTTTCTTTAAAACCTCGCCAGTTGGGCCCGGTTAGAGAGTGAACAGGGCTACAGAAGCAGCCGAAAGCTGTATCTTGGTCCAGGGACTAAAGTTGTCATATTTTTTCAGAACTATTCTTGATTTCCTGGACAGTTTGTTTGTTCAATGTTACCTTTTCTTTTGATTGGTTTCCCTATTTCCCTAACACTTGATTTCGTGATTACTTCTGCTCCATTTTGGGAACATGACAAAACGTCGCCTTCACTGCAGCTTGATTTGCAGTTCATACCTTAAAAGAGAGAGCCATGACGATTAAAAAGGCTGATGGTAAGTGTCAGTAAAGTAGTGTAAAGGAAATAAAGGAGCACGCAAAATATGAAAGCATGCAGTGCAGTAGGAGCGCAGGCCCCGCGGGAGCTACGTAGAGCTACGTAAAGCCCCGTGCAAACGGACGCAACATTTTTGGATGTTACATGTTGTGTCCCTTTGCACACCCTGTTGCATGTTGCTGCGAGTTGGTGGGAGTTGTTGCGCAAAGTTTGAAACCGGCCAAACTTTTAGCTACGTGCAAACGGACGCAACAACTCCCAACAATGTTGCGTCCATTTGCAAAATGCCTAAAGGCACAAAAGTGAGCCATCGCTGCGTGACGATACCGACAGCTACGTAGGCTAAACGGAATCTGGGGCGTCTGTGCTTGAGGCAAACGTAGGTTTCGTGGAAAGAAAGCGGCACAAGTTGGGAACTAGGGAAGTCAAGTGTAGGTTACTAAATAACGTTGAACTTTCCTTGCCAAGTATCAACGTTGATGTAGGCAGTGCATGATAACGTCAATTTTTCCTATATTTCGCCTTTAAATTTACAACTCTGTACTGCTTAGGCTAAATGATGTACTATTATGAAAACAAAACCTTTTTTTTTTTTTTCTTTCTGGCCTTTTAAGAACTCAACATAACAAAGGGAGTTTCCAAAGCTTTAGCGAAACGTTTAAACACTCACCGACAAGGTCATCACTCCAATTGAAATGTAGCGTTATTCCGGCAACCAGAATTAATACAACCATCTTTACATAAGACTCCTTGACGGCTCTCTTCTCGAAGAAACACAATTTTAACTGAAAAACGCAAACACATACAAAGTAAAGAGAGTGATTTGAAACTAAATAAAATCAAAATTTGTTAAAAAGTGGCATCCCCCCACAGCGCATGAGGTCACATGACAAACTAACAAAAAAACTGTTTCCCGCCAAAAGTTTACAAATCACTTTATGACTACTCCTCCAGGAAGCTAGAAGCCATATCTACACTAGGACACCGGTCGTTTCGATACAAAGTCATTTTGATACGAACTCGAGCAGTGAAACTGCACAAAATTTCGATCACTTCAAGTAAAGTTTGCAATTGAAGAAGAAAAACATTTTGGGTGAATATTCTTCGTTCTTTAAGCCAAGTACTTCAAACTATTTACACCTCTAAAGAATTAGCTTGTATCGAAACGACCGGTAAGCCCAAACTACACCCAACAGCTTTTCATTTCGAGATGAAAGAAAGAACTATTAAGGAGCTTTAGCATCAACGACAGTGACAGCAGCGAAAACGTTACCCAAAAAATGAATTCGCGCTGCCTCAAACTTCTACGTTCTTATTCCATCTCGTTCCATTTGTCAAATGGTGGCGAATTGTTCTGGAGTTGAATCGTAAAGGCTTGTACCTTTTAAGAAAAAGAAAAATAGTTGTCTCGTGTTCACGTCCTTTAAGGACGGCAAAAAGAATGCACAAAAAAGCGTGATGCACGTGCAGAGTTGTTGTTTTGCTTTATATTGAACCAGAAACTCATAAGGGACTGAAACGTGTAACTCTCTTTGCTTTGTTTGATGCTCGTGAATAGACATCATTCACGATACCCGTCATCTTTGCACGCGCATAAGGACTGATGGGATAAAAGTGACGTCACGTGGTTTCTCAGGGGGGCAAACAAGATATAAAGTCTGCCAATACGAGAAATTGCGGTTGTGTTTGTTTATTTTAGGCAACACAAAATGAAGAAATTTTTATCTTAAAGACAACGGAAAATTATGGGTAGAAGTGATCGTTGTCATTTTTCTATGTGCAGTAGCGACGGTAGAGGTCCTCACAGCAAGTAATAATGACGCTAAACTTGAACTGTACATTTTTTTGCAAATTTAAAATTGTCTTACTGTTTTGATAAACAAACTCGACCGCGATCAATCCTAAAGCGCGTGCAAAGATGGTGGGTATCGCGAATAAGGTCTATTTTTGTTTTCGCAAGTACCGTATTTGGAACGAGGTCAAAAGATAACTGACCAATCAAACTTCGTAAACTACGTGACATCATTTTCCTCCGGGTTCTCGGGAGGGAACCTGAGGGAACTCAAGTAACAACGATAGCGACAGCTACAAAAACGTCACTTAAAATGTGTATTCGGGCTGCTTCAAACTTACTCGCGCTGATTTCTTCTCGTTCAGTTCGTCTAGAGACTGTATCGTAGTTCAGGAAAAGAACAAGAAAGTCGCTGTATTGTTTTCGCCCTCCATAAAAGGGCACTTCCATATCGAAGTCGTGCAAGTCAAGTCAAGTCAAGAAATGTACAAAAAAGGCGTGATGCTCGTGCAAAGTTGCTGTTAAACCTATTGCTTTTTTGAGGCAGCAGCGAGGGTTTCCGAATATGGTACTTAGAACTGAAAAATGAATATCCACGAGCATTGAACGAGAGTTACACGTTTCAGGCCCTTATGAGTTTCTGATTGAGCCTATTGCTTTTTGTCATTCTTGTTGCCGTGGCCGTCGCCGTTGCTATAGCTCCCTAATATAAATTTTATACCGTCGGTTTTTCTTACCTTGACTATCCATCTCATTTTCTCTTCATCGATATTGTTTGGCTTGCTTTCGAATTACCTATTCAAAAACAACAAAAAAAATTTCAGGGAGAAAATAATCCGTGCTAGCGTCCTAAAAAGACGTCCTTTACGGACCGGCCGTTGTAAAAACCAGTTCTTTGAAACTCCAACAAATTTCTCACCAGCCACCTCATTTACATGCAAATCTAATTCCACGTACTGTTAGTAGTTATCTGAGTAGATCAAGGCAAAAACGAAAGTTACAAAAAAATCGACAAAGCAGTTATAGGGAAAAATTAACTGAAAGCTAACTGTTGTAAATAAGTGTTCAAACCTAAACACTGCTTAACCCTAATCCAGTCAGTAAAATGAACGCTCAACCCTAATCAGTGAAAGTCGATGAAGACTACGTAATTCTGCCAATATTAGAGAGATTAAGATTCACGTTTACGGCACACGGCAAACGGCAAACGGCAGTTGAGAATTTCTCAAAATAGAAAATAAGCAGATAAAAACAGTCCAGAACGATTCTTTCGGATAAAACTGGCATAAATCTATCTATTTTTGTGTAGAAGCAATAAACAGTAAACGAAAAATAAGGGATAAACTTGGTCACGTGGTACAAATTCACGTTTGCCGTTTGCCGTAAACGTGAATCTTAATCTCTCTAATATTCCAGCCGCACAACCTCATATACCCACAGGGAACTAAGTGCGAAATATTTTTCATGTAATTGCAATTTCATTAAACTTTATCTTTCCCATGGCTCGCTCGCTCGCAGATTGTCCTGCTCCTTTGCACTGAGAGTGAAAACAATAACTCAATGCCAATTCAATCAGTCGACAATTGTCAGCATTTTTTCAGTAGGGTGATTTACCAAAGATTTCTTGACCAGAAATTTCTTTACACGTCCAACATGCGAAATCATTTTGACAAAGCTACCGTGGGAGACTTTATAAATGTTTTTAGCCCGGCACGTGAAGCAAATGTTCGCGTACCTTAGACAGATATTTCATAGCCATGCGGTGATTTATTTTTGTTTTCTAAAAATGAAGTAAAAATAATGAAAGTAATAATCTCATAATGAAGATTCATCCACAAGGGCATTTAAAGTTTAACAATAGATTTTATAGAAGCTTTAAAAAATCAAACTTGCGCGGAAGCCGAAGAAATTGAGACTAGAGCTTAGGTAAGTCAGATAAGTCGAAAGTAGACCATCCTGTTTTTACTTACTAAGGTAGAGGTAGTAGGTTAAAGTTTAAAAAGTCTTTTGTGACAAATAATGATATAAGTCTATTCTCATTTTGACTGTCTTTTTTTAAACTACATTTGAAACTACAATTTTATGAAATATGTAATAAGTTCGATTCACCGTAGTTGATGCGTTTTAGTTATTATGCCACGTTAAATTCTCGATAATCATCATTAAAAAAGTCCACAGATAATCCGAGATAGTACTGATCAACTTAACGCAAAAATTACTCACGTAAATTGAATGTCGGTGATTTAAACTGTTTTTCTGTAATCAAATACCGCCCGGAGCAAGGTTCACATGAGAGACTGATCTGGCTTACTTCAGTGGCGTATGCTGGCGATTTGATCTTGTACGATCGACATCATCAATCTAATTTATTCACAATCAGTATCCTTGTCTTCCTTTCATTCCAATGAAATATCTTTCGTTGCTAAGGCATTCCTTGGTCTGTTTCGCGCTTTGTGTCATCGACGATTCCCATTTTGATTTTCGATTGTTTAGTTTGAATTTCAGTCATAATGGTATGAACAACAGCAGTGACAAGACGACCATAAAATCATGTTAGAATTCATAAAGTTGTCAACTCACTGTCCTTAACTCTTTCTTATATTTCTTTAAGGCTTACATTGCAGACGAGTCTTTTTGTCGAAGCGTAAACGCAACTATATACGCACATGTAGCTTCCGCAAACTTATGTTTTCATAAACAGTCTCCAGAGAGTTAACGCCAGGTATTATAGAACCATCGTTCTCATGTGGACAGGCCCATTAGTTTGTACGCGTTTAAAATCTTGGGAATGCTGTTCTGGCACGGGCAACATGATAAGTCGAATGAGGCAAACAGATATCTAATCACTAAATTTTTATAAATAATAAATCGAGGATATTAAACGGTGGCGTGAAGATATGAATCTTATTTTCGAGTGGCAAAACAATATTTTACGAACGAGCGCAGCGAATGAGTAAAATATTGTTTTTGCCACGAGATAATAAAATTCACATCTTCAAGCCGCCGCGTAATATTCTTTTTATTATACAGACAAAAAGACATCGATAAAATAATAGAGGGAAATTACCGAAATTACGTTATCGATAAACTCGCGTGTGAGATTATGGAAAATACACCATTCGGGTCCCGGATGTAGTTTTTATGAATTTTACGACTGGTATATTTTCCAGTAAAACACTCGTGTCTATATAATAAAATGAAATAAATCATCTTACCTTCACAACCATTCGTCTCCGTCTTAAGTTTCCACGTCTTTCTTTTATAAGAATCTTGCCGGAGTAGTGTAGCCTGTTCCAAGCGTTCAGATAGTGGAGAGCGGAGCGAAGTAAAGAAAGCGATGTAAAGTAGAGGAGGACTGGGGAGAGAGGCGCGGGAACCCTCTCTCACCTCTCCTCCTCCCTTGCTTTTATTTTTTCGCGCTCGTTTTTACTTCGCACCGCTCCTCACTATCTGAACGCCTGGAACAGGCAAGGGGTAGTGCCGTAAAGGCTCCATTTCCGGGCTATACCTAAACTATACGGAAGAGCTCCTGGGCGTAAACGTAAACCATATCCGACAGGGATTCTTTTCAAACATAAGGAGCATTTCAAACGTCGTGCTACTACCGAACCGAACTAAATTGATCGAATTAAATTCGACTTCAGCACGGCAGTAGCGCGACGTTTGAAACGGTAAGTCGTGCTACAGGGCAGTAGCTCGTCTTGGTTTCAAACGTCGCGCTACTGCCGTGACGAACTCAATTCATAAATTTTAAATACATTCGAATACATTTAATAGTTTGCTAAACCGTTTCTTCATTTTTGTGTTTTGTTTTCGGCAACAGCCGTTCTATTCGACTGAATTAAATTCGACGTCTGAAACCAAGTCGTGCTAGTGTCGTGCTGCAGTCGAGCCAGCTTAGCACGGCGGTAGCACCACGTTTAAAACGGGCCTAACGTAACGGTAATTTCGGCTCAATTTCCGTAACTGAGGAAAGCTGCGACGAGCCGATCTCGAAAGTGGACTGTTACATATCGGTTAGGTTTCAGCAACTCTTTGTCGCAGTGTGCATGAGGTATTCGGACAATAGCGGAAGTAAGAAAGTAGGAGCGAGGACTAGAAGCCACTGACACGGAAGTTTATGTTCAGTCTGTTCAGAAGTTTTCAGAAGTGAGTATTGGGATTTACTGCACCAGACTCTCTCGGCCAACCGCTAAAATCAACAAGGTGGACCAGGGAAGGAAGATGCTGTCACGGGATTCGCACACGAAAACCGTCTATAAAAAGGTAGTAGTTATGTTCACTTGCAGAAAAAAGGCGAAGTGTATATACGCCAGCTTCTAGAGGGGACAGGTCGCCAGAGTGTTCTTGAATTAAATGAAGGAAATTTTTTTCTTCCCATTTTAAAAAGCATGGGTTGTTCAGACGATGAGAAAGGAAAACCTTTATGCGCATGGGCCTACAATGTAGCTTACTTTAAAGTTTCAGGTGGTCGCTACAAAGGAAAAAAAAATGAGCACTTCGCTTTCTTCGTCCTTTCCACAAAAGACTACCGAGTAAGAAACTTGTAAATAAAAAGAAAAAAAATGTTAAAGCACATTCTCTGACCCAGAGGCAGGTCTTTATCACGGCTCACTGAACCCTAATGGAAAATTGAAATTAAACGAAAAATCGGAGACCATTTGGGGGGAAAAGCCAGGGATGACAGGTTTGATAGTAACGGAGCAAGTATTGTTCACTCGCTGGCGACGATAAATCGCTGATTGGAAGAAATTTAAGGCGACAATTAATGGTAGTATTTTAAGAGAAAGGAAACTGGACTGAACAAAACAATATTCCAACAGTACGCATGAACACTCATAAACGGGTGCTGTATATACTCGAATATGTAAAAGCTTGTAATATTTTCCCGTGATCTCACTGGTTCAAAATCATAATAATGCATTCCATGCTGTTCAATGTGTTGTTCCTTGCAGGCGGACAAGGACACTGATTTTCCTGAAGTTTTCATTGTTCCTTTCGAAATCAGAAGAGAGAAAAGAAAGTGTTTTGAAGAATACAGCCCATGTGCTTCTGGTACCGGTCACAGGCGCGGCGTAGCTGACATTTATACCAATCTTCATTCGACTGCGGTAAAATGTTATTTACACACCAAGGAAAGGCGGAAAGAAATTATTATAAAAAATTGCTTTGTCATGGAAGGTTAGCAACAAAATTTCTACTTTCAGGCCCGTGAGACGCCGAAAGTCTTTCGTTCAGGGCGACTGGCGACCGCTACGGGCGTGCGGTAAGACTACAAATTGTAAACTCGTCAACCCGTCGTGTTAAACAAGAACGGGTTCTTCTTAGCCTTCGGAAAGTTAAGGAAATGCCATGGAGACAATGGCCAAGGTGTGGTTTAGGCTGGTTGTGTATTCTTCTGGTCATCTGTTGCTCAGTTACCGTGGTTTCATCGTACTGTGTAGCGCTTTCTTATGGACATATTTATCCGTTTCTTCCCGCTATCAGTGAGACTGGAGTTTTATTTCCTGAAAAGTACGTTTTCAGGGAGTTAGCGAATCTATCGGCGTTTCTTTTCATTTCCAATGCGTTCGTCCGTTTTATGCAGTATAAACTCGTGGCGGAGCAGTACCCGGAAGACAATGTCAAGCTTCATCGTCTCAATAAACTGGCGTTCGTGGTGGCTATTTTAGCCGGACTTGGAATGACATTGGTAGCTAATTTTGAAATTGAGAAGGTATGTTCCAAACTAAAATTTGCCGTTTCTTTACTCTGTAAAGAAACCAACCAAAGTAAATGAGACCATGAGCGCTACGCTGAGGGGGTAGGGGAGAGGCTTCACTTCAGAGTCTTGAACACTTTATGACGTCAATGCTCCCGAGTGTTTGTTCGGTTGGAGATCACAAATGACGTCACTCTACAAAGTATCTAATCCAAACGCAAATGGAACCATGTGCTTAGCAGAGGGGGTGGAGAAGGGGTTTCACTTCAGAGTCTTAAACACTTTGACGTCATTTCTCCCTAGTTTCTGTTCAGTTAGAGATCGCAGATGACGTCAACATGCAGTGAGAACAACCAAATAGGCCCAAGGACCGCAGGCAAGTGCGTAAAAGAGCGCGCACTTTAAAAAAATCTGTCATTTAACATTGTTTGACCCCCTTATTCTGGAGAGGCTTGTGGGAATATAATGTGAGAATACCCCAACGGGGAAAATTGCGCCATAATTCATCAAATTCCACTAACCAATCCCCCTCCCCTTTTTCCCTTCCTCCCTATCCCCTATCCCCTACCCCTTTCGACGCCTGCTACGCAGGCTACACTAACGATGATGAAATACACAATAGCTCTCAGCCAGTGGCGGCTGTGCAGTTGAGCCTGCAGTCAAATATTCTTTTGTTGCATAAATGAATGCAAACGAGGCTCAATGACTTGGCATCTACCGTCACTGGTAACAAGTGTAATGAAACACACGACACTCGACATTACACAAACAAGGCTTGCGCTTTGCTAGCCAGGTACAAAAATACTAAAGTTGTTTCCATTTTTAAGGACTGGTCGATCCACGACGTCGGTGCTATGACGGCGTTTATCAGCGGTCTCACATTCTGTTGGTTACAATGCGCAATGTCGTATAAGCTAAAAGACCACGGTGTCATCAACAGCTCAGCGGTGTGCCATTCAAGAGCCATGCTCTCTCTAATGATAACGCTGTGCGTGGCGATATTCGCAGCTTTCCAGACCAAAGCGAACCTGGAGTGGGCCTTGGCCCGGCCTCGATATCATTTTTTAGCCAAACTCAAGTGGGGTCCTCAAGACCCCGGATATTTATTTCACGTGATCTCTAGTCTTGCTGAGTGGAGCATGTGCGGAGGGATGCTTTTGTTTATGTTGACGTTCACATACGAGTTTCAACAGATAGTAATAACTTCGGACATTTCATCAACTGAATACTGGTGACAATTAGGAGATAATATTAATTTTCTAATGGTTTTAATTAAAGTTTAAAAAGTTAGGGTTCCTAAGGTAGTCAAACCTCGAAACGGTGCAGACGTCGCTTCCGAAAGGTTCCAACCATAGTGTTTAACTTTTTTACTCCTTAAAGTTTAAAAATTCTCAAAAAAATAACTGGGACCATGTAAAAAGTCTATTAAAGAGGTTTCGTTTGAATGGTAACACCATAGGATTTGGTCCACAGACTCAAAAGTTAGAACTACATACTAAATAAATAGTACCGTGTGAAAGTACTGCTGAAGAGGTTTCATTTGAATGGTAACACCATAGGATTTCATCCACAGACTCAAAAGTTAGAACTACATACTAAATAAATAGTACCGTGTGAAAGTACTGCTGAAGAGGTTTCATTTGAATGGTAACACCATAGGATTTCATCCACAGATTCAAAAGTTAGAACTGGAAACTAAATAAATTTAATGGTACCATTTGAAAGTACTACCATGGGATAGGATATAAGAAAAAATTTCATTGTTTGGATACGTCGCCTAACCAATGAGTATGTGTAAATGTGTAAAAAAAGAGGATAGAGGACATAATTAGAAGTCAGCGCGCTGAAAATAATTACGAACCTAAAAGCACTTAATCATCTTCAGATTCTAATTGAAGACACCCTTGGGTTCGCAAAGTTATCTGGCTTTCGTAAGATGTTCGTCATTTATACTAAACGCTAGCGTATTAAATGTGTTTTCACATTTTAAACCCTTTTTATTTTACTTGTTATCCCGTTTTATAATTTTACATTACAAACGATTATTTTGTCACCAATGCATTACCTCTTTTACCAAGAGGACAAAGATCAGATCCGGGCATTACAGTTTATTGTCACAACACACCAAATGATGGTGTAGCATAAAGTCAACCAAACCAAAGTACCGTAAACTACCGCTTATAAGCTCTTGGCCGAGTTGTTCGACGTTGGGTTAAGAAAACCCAGGTTTAGTGCGAGATTTGAATTCAGATTTGAAAGCTTAACAAGCATTTCAGTTTTAATTCTTTTTGCCTACAAGTTGATGATTGGAAGCTCTAAAAATAACAGAGAAAATTATCCGAGGAAATGCTTTTGAAAACAAGAAAAAGGAACCAGGGTTAATATTAACCTCGGGTTAAGCGCTAATCGGCCTTCGAACAACTGGGCCCTGGACTTAAAAAAATTCGTAAGGGGTTTTAGGAAGGCTTATAAATGGAGAACCCCTCCCCTAGGCCAACATTTTGCCCTAAGTGAGAAGTAAGAGTTAATGTTAGCTTAGGGGAGGGGTAGGTGGGCAGTTTCCCAGAAACATTAATTGATCCAAAAACGTTTCAAAACAATCTACATATCAGTGCTGATCAAAATACTTTTGAATTTACTCGCATTTTTAAGCTTTAAAACGCCGTAAAAATCGAATTTAATTTAATAAAAGATAGAGGAGGCTTATAACCGGATGTATTTTTTATTTACTGGTAGATCACGCAACGGATGTAATTTTTGTTTACTGGTAGATGGGTAGTCTCCCCTGCAGCCGTTTTTTGGATGTCACGCAACGCTCTCCCAAAAGAACTTCTGGGGGAGCGTTGTGTGACATCCAAAAAACGGCTCTGAGGGAGACTAGTAGATCAGTCGCTAACGGGGAGGAGGGGGACTATTAAGTTGCGGGAGGGGTCTTATAAACGGAAGTTAACGGTATTCGGTGATATGTATCATGTGATATGTATCATGAAGTGTTAGGGAGTTTTCACTTACAAATATAAAAGTTTCTTTTTCGTTTTTTGAAGCTGTTCCCTTCTTTTTTACCGACAACTCCAAAACAAACGTGCATAAAAAATGGAGCATTTTCTGCTGTTTTATCGCGCTTTAAAAGTTACTTTTTTGCATTCATTTTGAAATAAGTTAACGCTACATAGAAATCTTTACTATTCAGTACTTCTAAGTTCTATAAAACTTCCCTGTATTTCGTTTGGAAGCAATTAATTCATTTAATAAAATAAGCCCCCCTATCCCACTTTTCAGCCACCTCGGGGGAGGGGGTGGGGTTGCAATCCTTGTACACACTAAACCAGTCTTCCTGGTCAGCATCTTGACAAAATGAGGGAAACTTTCACAAAATTTTGCCGGCTCCTTGAAGACCTAATTCGCTTTTCGTCGTGGAATAACGTTTCTCTTTCAACCGCGCAACCTTTTAGGATTTTTTAATATGTATCTAATTTAAATTAATTTTAATTCATTTTAATCAAAGAAAGATTTAAAATAGCTAAAATGTAGTGAATCTGATTGAAAGGGACATGGAACATTTTATATCTAGACATCAACATTTCCGCTCATGCTCTTTCGACGAAATACGTTAAACGTATTACTAGTCCGTGATTCAGAGACATAAATTTTAAGACACTACTTGCAGCTTGTATAAATCATTCCTCTTTTGTTTCTGAACAGGAACTTGGGCGCGAATTTGTTCCAAATAATTTAGATCTACAAAGAAAAATAATGCATAACCGGGTTTAAAGTAATGTTTCCATGCGAAAGACGCGTGCGGAAAGGAGTGTACTTAATTAGTAGTCACATGTTTAGCAAAATGTTGCATTGCAATTGACTCGGAGGCTTTGTTACTAGGTGCAGTGTAGAATTACGCTTTTCATGTTCAGCACATACTGTATATTTTTCAGTGCACAATCGCATCTCTTAGTGCACAATGACATTAGTGCAAAAATTAGTTCTCAGTGCACAGGTAGTTTTTTTAGTTCGTGAACAGTCTTCAGAGTGGATAAAGTCGTTAGTGAATAACCATCCTTGTTGTTTAAAACAGCTGTTACGTACATATAACAAACAGGCAACAATTTTCAGTAGTCTACAGACTTACGGACCATAGTAATGAAGGCAAAATGTGCAATATAGCCTGACTATTATTGACTCACCTATTTCTGAATACAGTATTTGTTCAGTGTGGTCTGCTTTAGCTACCACATCACCCCTAAAACAAACAAACAAACAACAGAAAATGAGTAGAGTCTCACACAAGGAAACGTAAGTCTAGCCAATCACAGTAAAAGGAGTGAACTAAAAACCAATCAGAACACGAAGAAAACGCGTGTAGCCGACACCAAGCGCGGGAAAATACCGGCAACCATAGCGGCAACCAAGTCAGTTGTTTTTACTTCTGATTGCCGTGTGATTCTTCAGCATCAAAGGCGATAAAAATTGATGCAACACCAAAGTACCCTAGATAAAAAGCTGGACGGCATGAAAAGATAAATGTTCTGGCCTCGGTGGAGAGCGCTATCCAACGTTTGAACAACCACGGCCTAGTGTCGTATTTGGCCATTCCTTCCACCCCCCCCCCCCAGAGGAAATGATCATGTCATCGGCTTCTAACACCATTTTCACGTGACCTCAGGGGCGTAGCTGGGGGGGGTCCTGGGGTGCCCGTGACCCCCCCTTGGTAGGCCTTCTTTTGAGCAAACGAAAACGCCATGACAATATCTTGGCCGTAAAAGCCATTGTTGAGAAGCCCACTTTTTTTAAATTTGTTTTTTTGTAAAGTATTTTCGTCAACGGCTCCTGTCTTTAGTTAATATGGGCCTTCATGCCGCGATAATACGACATGACAATCTGGTGAGTAGCCTCTGTGACTCCCCCTTTGAAAAATCCTGGCTACGCCCCTGGACCTGGCTATGCTGATCAACCTTCTAGCCCACCAGCCTACACGTTTTAATTTGTTTCTCTATCCTGTAAACGATTTCCCTTGCTTTGAGAGGAAATATAAGAAAAGTTGGCTCACCCAGGGTGGCTTGGGCAGGCAAGTAACCTTTATACGCAGGATAACGTTTCTCCATAATATATAGAGTTAGCCAGGGCTAAAAGCGAAGCTTTCGATAACATTTAAAGTTTGTTCAAACAAAATATAAAATCGTGTAATGCTGAGCGGCGAAGGACACGAGAACGACGAAAAAACAACAATAGGCCTAATTAGCAAAAAAGCAACTTTGCACGTGCAGCACACTTTTTTTTGTACATTTCTTTGCCGTTGTTTTGCACGACTACGACGTGAAACTTCCAGAAACTTCTCAGTTACACAATTTTTGGAGAGAACGTCGTACGTTTTCTCGTTCACTTTTTCAATGCCGCTCATTTTCACCTTGCATTGGTGGCCGCAAGCGTTTGTCACCACCGCTACAAAATTTTCATGTTGTTCTTCCAACAAAAAGAAATGTTTCCTTTGTTTTTTATCTCTTGCTCTAGATCTCTGTCTTCCTTTCACTCGTTGAGCTTCGCTGGCCTGCCACCTACTTTCTCTCTTTCTCTGTCTTTCTCTTGCTCTATATTCCAAATTTGTGGGCATGACAATTAATCTAAGCTTAATATTTTAGACAACAGTGATACAGAAACAATAGGGCCATTTATACGAGGAAAAATAAGACGCGTCTTAAATAAGACGCGAACTGGACCATTTATGCGAGCACGTCTTATCTAAGTCTTCTGTATACTTAAACTTACTTTTAAAGTGTAAGTTTGTAATACAAAGATAGCAATTTGATTAGTACATATGAATTGTGATAGTTTAAAGTTAAAAGGGTCTACTTACACCAGCAGATGTCACGCATTTGTCCAGGAGGTCTGTCATTGCCTTCTCCTTACATAATAACAAAAAATCTTTTTCCTCCGCGATGGACCAAGTGTTTCTTTTTACTTTTAACGGTGTGCTCATTGTATTTGAGCGAAGAAAAAAATAAAGCAAAATAGACAAGGAAACGAAAACGCGTTGTAATTTGTAAACAATTTTTCCCCGCCGGTGGCCTGCCAATCCACCGCGGGGCAAGCGACAATTTTCCCACCAAAACTTAACGCATGCGTACTATGAGTTCGCGTCTTAAGACACAAAGGTCATTTATACAGTTTATACGAAGGTTTTTTCGTCTTAGCTAAGACGCGTCTTATCTAAGAACAGGTGTTAAGGACTGTTCTAAAATAAGACGCGTCTTAGCTAAGTCGCGTCTTAATTTAGACGAAATGTGCCGTTTATACGGAAAGTTCGCGTCTTATTTTTCCTCATATAAATGGCCCTGATTTCCGCTCTCCGTTTTAGTCCTTATTGACTTCTTAGTTGTGACACGGGTGGTTATGCAATTTCCCGCCAAAATACCCTCGAGTTGCATTTGGGTTGTCATACCTGTTGATTGAGTTATTTTGTATTGGTATGCCGGTGGTGAGGATGGACGCTCACTCGCTCGGTGTACGGTCACGTGATTACCAAATTTTCTGGGATGGGTAGATTTACTTATCCATGGTGCTCCGCTGGCGCACGCGTGAGCTCCACTATATATAGGGCATTACAAGACAAACAGAAAGTTGTTTGTTACCATGGACTGATGACAGTGCTGTGACCCCAAGCGACGTAAGTTGCTTCCTCATCTCTGGCAGGAGATACTGCTGCCACATACAACTGAAAGAGAAACCAAAAAATCAAGGAGGAAAATAAGTTCAGGACCAAAGAAAGTCAGTTTTACAGCCTGACATTAGGGCAAGCTGGAGCTAGCATGTACTAGCCCACAAGTCATTTCAACAAGCCCCAAAACCCTTTTTGATTAGCAGGATTGATTACAATCCTTCTGTAATTTGAATTTCCTCAAAAAACAGCACTTGCCCATCAGACAAGTTATTAACAAAAATCACTAGCCCAATGGCAAAATCCACTAGCCACGGGCTATCGGACATGACTTTCTTTGCACACTGGAGTTGATGAACTGGTTACTGTAATATAATTATGATCTCCTTTTTTGCATACCTGATTGTCCAAAGCTCTAAAAGAGAAAAAAAAATTAAAAGGCAAACAATGAATAAGTAAAATAATAATTAAACTGAATCCAGTTAAGCTAGACACAAGTATTCAAAGCCAGATGGCAAGTGAAGGATGACACTGAAGCTACAGCAAATTATGGTATTATGGTAAAGCAATTGTAAGGGAGGTTAAGCAACCAAATCTACGATGGTGAAAAATGCCTTTGTGCTCCTCCCTTTGGTGTCTGTACTACAGGGGTGCAACTGTAATGTTACCTTGATCTAATGAGAGGCTCCCAATGAGCTGGTCCTGTTGTCATGTTAAAAGCTCCAGGGTATAATAGCAGCTTACAACCTGCTATAACAAATACTATTACTGCAAACCCTCAAAGGAGTACTCTGAAGTGTCATTATACATTAAGAGTACTAGAGTGGAAGGGGGGGGGGGGCGGTGTTGGGTGTACTAATGCCAGTTGGGGGGGCACTTTTTAAAGATGGTGAGTTGCTCACATATAAAATTTGCATTAAATGATGCTCAAACCCTGAGTGAAACAAAATTTGATTTGTATAAATGCAAGATGAGGCGCCATGTATGAAGTATGTTATTAACATTTTCAATTCACTAAAATGAGTTTGCACACTGAAACAATAATATAATCATTTTTGTTTGACCTTGAAATGACTATACACAAACAAAACTAAAATAGCAAGCAAACAAGAATAATTCTACATAACAATTATTTGAATGGTTTCATAATAAACATACAGAAATCCATGTGGCTTTTGGTTGGTTAATAGCAAACAAAGAATTCATTCCCAGCGGAACAAAGAGTACTGCACAGTAATTTTCCACAACTTCACTGGACAGCAAAAACTGGCTGCTGATTAGACAACTCATGAATACTTTTTCCCATCTTAGGGTTTTCTTTAGAGATACGGCCAGTCCATGTTTTGATCTTTCTACAGTCAAACCGGGAAAATGTCAACACCAGAAATATATCTGGAATATCATTGTGTTGCAAGAAAAAAGCCAATCAGGGGTGAGAAAATAAATTGCAAGAAAGAACATTAATTAGTTTGTGGTTTTGTGGCTAGTTTGCCTGTCCAGATCTTTACTGTGATTGGTCATAACACAAGAAACATTCCTGAAATATTTCAAGTGTTCCCTTGTTTCACTGTAACGACTGGCTGAGCAAGACAAATGACAAACACTTATGGAATAACGATTTTTCAAAGGAAAAATTGCCCTGTTGAGGTGCAAATTAACCAGTGTTTATATACATATTATTACAACTGAGGGGGACTTGAGATGAGGAATTACCTTGCTGGGTATAAACTTGGGCCATTTCAGGAAACCTCATGTCATAGCAAATTCCAATTCCAATTTTACACAGAGCTATTGAAAATGAAAAGAATTCAGCAATTCATGGCAAAATAAAGAGTAGAAAGATATACACTTTAAACATAATAAATTCAAAGAGCATAATAAAAGTTAAAGAAAATTGTTCATTTACAAGTGTCTATCATTGTCAATTGACTGCCAGGAGACAGAACTTCTGATTCTTGAAAGCGTATTTTTCCTGGGACATCGATATCAAACAGATGTACCTATGAAACAGAATTACATCTCAGTTTGTCATGTCATCTCATTCCTAACAATGACCTTCTACTAAAATCATTCTGTTTGTTACTAAAAATTATTAACTGGAGGTCATAGGTTTGACTCCTTTTGGGAGTATTTAAAATATTATTGTTTCTTCTGAAAAACGGTCCTTCAGGTAATTTTGTTCTGTATGAGGAAACTGCGGCTGTCTATTGTTAAATACTAGAGTCTTGGTTTAAATCAGTCGGTACCTTAAGATCTGAGGATGGTGATGGAAACGAAAATGTTGATGAAAAGGTGAGTTTTCTTTCTTTCAATCTTCATTGCAATTACACCATGTCACTAACTTTGTCAAATGTAGGTGAACCCTTCTAAAGTTAAATTTCGTAAGAACCATATCCAAGTTCAGAAAGAGAGAGGAAATTTTGTCATCGTTTGTGTACAGTGAAATGTACAAAAAAGCTACATGCATGTGCAAAATTGTTGTTTTGGTTTTTAAACCTCTTGCTTTTTTCACATTCTCATTGCCGTCGCCATCGTTAGATGTTAAGGTCCCTTAACTGATACCCCTAAGAGGTATTAACTAAGTACAGATACTGTCAAACAATTTATTGAAGTCAGCCCAGTCAAAATAAGCCAGTAGCTGGCCACTTTTGCCACCTAATCAACTCTTAGGTTTAGTAATACCAAACAAATAATTATAAAAAATCATTAATTATAAATAACAATTTTTAGGCCTTTGCAGCCTATTTCTGTGATTATCCAGCCAGTCCTATTGCAAAGGATTTGGACTGCATGGCCTGTGAAGTTCAGGGTGCCACTGATCACATTTGGTTTAGAGATAAATGTACCACAAGAACAAGTCTCATATGATACCTACTTTTCTATGTTTAGCAAGCATTGCTCCATCAGGACCAAATGAAGTAGAGGTGTTATAGAGCTTCCCAGAATCTCTCTCAGGAATAGATCCTCCTATAACATAGCACTGTGTCTCCTTAGCAACAGATGACAGCATATTTGTAGATTCCCCAGGTATTTCTTCGGCATAGTCTGCAAAGTACTGCGTGCCATATGGGGAATTAAAACATTCCTGAAAGTTGTTTTGAGGCGGAAATTAACAACTTTGACACTGAAATGGGGTTGACCTTTTCCCCATAATCCCTAGCCTGTGAATACAGATGTATTTCTCTCCACCCAGAAGCAATAACTGGAAATAAAACTGCATTTGCAGCCTACATAATCCCCGATTTGTCTAGATCAAGCTTAGGTGCAAAACTATGGTCCTCTTGTTGTTTTAACACACAGCCAGCAACAGCAACAGGAGTCATATTTTTAACGTTTTTGTCTGGCACTGGGTCACAAATTTCCAACAGGGAGGATAGGAAGGGGGGTTGACTGGGAGGGGATGATTTAAGTAGGGGGTGGGGACCAAGTGAGGTGGTCTCCTACACAATTCAAAGTAGACAGACTGCAAATTATATTAGTTGCTAAAAATATATATATCTATGTGTCGCAACTGTTCATCAGTAGGATGCCTAAAATGTGTGCAATTCCACAATTGGTTTCGGCCCCATTAAATCCTATACCAATATTATTGCAGAACATTTTAGGAGGAGCCACCCACCATGTGAGCACATTGTCTCTTCTTGTTCGGTCTTGTGAAGGTGCCTGCATAGTTAAATAATAGGGTAACATGCCTCAGAATGCAAGCAAATGAGCTGAACATTGTCAAAGGAAATCCTCACCGGCAATGCTACAACTTTTGCTCCATTAGACACTGCTTCTTTGATTTTCTCCTTTGCACGCAACACGTTCTGAGACTTGTTTGAAGAAACAGCGAGCTGGATAAGTGCAATACGAAAGGCTGTAATGTTAGAAATCAAAGTTATATATTAAAAATAACAAATATCTTTTCTGCATTTGAGGCAAAAACAGAAGTTTTACTAATAACATTAAGTTCAAGAGACAACTGTCAGGATCACCACCCTCCCCCCGTGAGAAAAGTATTTGGAAATTTTTCCTGACTCTCAGCATGCGCAGTCCTACAACCTTCAAAAATTCCATTTTTGTTGCATACCCCTTCGTAAAATTTCGTCAAAGGGGGTAGGGGGGTGTATAGGGAATATATATAGCCTCGATGATCGAAGAATGGATCTACACTTTAATTAACCTGGCCCCAGTTGTTCAAACGTTGGATAGCGCTATCCACCGGATAAATCACTATCCAGCGGATAGCGTAATTGGTTTCCCTAATACTTATCCGCTGGATAGTCATTTATCGGGTGGAAAGCGCTATCCAACTTTTGAACAACTGGGGCCAGATCAATAAACTCAAGGAAATTTTCTCCAATTATATGCTTGCACTACATTATTTACTGACACATATTCTGTAAACTGACAAACAAACAATCAATTATGAGCAGAGTTAGAGTCAGGAAACGCATGCATAAATTATAATTTACAAGGTTGTAAATACTAAAAACTAAATAAAATTACAGCAATACTGTATTTTTTTAAAAACTTACTTGAGGCCGCCATGTTTAAAAACGGAGAAAGACTGGGAACAAGTTTTCTAAGACCTTATCCATATTTGGTAAACGAGCCACGTGATATGTGTGTCTGTGTTGTGTCTGTGTGATCGGCGCGCGAAAATTTGCTTTGCGAAATGCAACATGGCGGACCAAAGGTGAACACGTTCTGAGAAGTTCTGAGAGAAATAATCGTTGTTGTTCGTTTTGCGATCATGACTCCATTTGTAGAAGGGTGGGATTTTGTAGAAACACTCGGTGAAGGTGCTTATGGCGAGTGAGTTCTTTAGATCTTTAATCTGTTATTTGCGCTTCTTGATGCTGGCGCGTCGTCAATTTCTCACGTGTGTCTCCATGATGTCAAATCAAATTACTCGTTTTCGTGTCTTTAGAGTAAAGTTGGCTGTGAACAGAGACACCCAAGAAGCGATTGCTGTGAAGATCATTGATTTAGAGAAAGCTGCTGAGAAAGATTGTTATGATAATGTTAGAAAAGAGGTTGGTGATACGATATATTTAAATGATAATCTCCCTTTATTGAATTCGAACTTCGAAATAGACACAGATCGAGGCTTTTGTGTCATTCATTAAAGCTTTAAACATGCGCCATTGTTCTAAGGTAATGGGATAAATCAATACATTTGAACAGACAATTTTTATTGTTTGTTAAACTTAGATTTGCATTCATCGTATGCTTCAAGATGTACATGTCATTCGATTTTACGGCCAAAGAACAGAGGGCAAGAAACAGTACTTGTTTCTGGAGTGCGCAAGCGGTGGAGAGCTCTTCGACAGGATAGGTAAGGAAATTCTGATATTCACTAACACATTTTGTAATCGTTAGGATCGTTTGTGGCAACGAGATCATAAAGCTGGCTGCTAACAAACCAGGATATTTAAAGTTCAAAACATTAAGAATCCGATTAGTGTAAAAGGAGATTAAGCTTAGGCCCGGTTCAGACGCCGCTCCACTAGCTTGTTCCAGGCTCTCAGATAGTGGGGAAGACGCGAAAGTAAAAGGCACGCGAAAAGTTGGCAGGGCGAAAAAGAGGAAACGAAGGGGAGAGAGCCTGTAATCATTTCTTCTACGAATTCTCACGGTTAGTGTTTTACAGATCCAGATTTCGAAGAATGGTGTACCAAACTTGTGGGGTATACTCTAAACTCATGTACTCACGAATTGTACTCGGCAAATCCTTGTTTTTATTCTCCTCGTGGTTTTCCAATGCATCTCTAATATTATTTTGTTCTATCTCACACACAAAAAAAACCTATTGTCTCCTCTCAGACGTAACCGGGTGCAAACTCATGATCCTAGCCTAAACCTGCTTACGCATCTTCCGTTCACACTCCCCTAAAAATTAAAAGTGTCGCTTAATTTTTTTACCGAAACAGTGTTCAAACTTAAATGACTAATTGAACTAGAACAAGTTCAATCATCGTCATCATCCGCAGTGATCAGTCGTATTTCCTCCTTTGCTGTCTCAGCAGCTTGTCTTCTAATCCTGAAACGCTCTGTCTGTTGACTTCCAGGCGTCAGCTGCAAGGGTGCGTCCTCAGTTGCGAATGGCCCTTTAATCTCCAGTGGGTAGACCAAACTTAGTGGTCTCTCAATGTGATGGCCCTTGTACCGCAAAATTACTCCTCTGATGACCCCATCTCTCCCTCAAACATGACACATTACTCTTCCTTTCTTCCACTTCGCTCGGTTTTTCTCATCGCCAATGACTAGCACGATTTCCCCAATGTCAGGTACTGGACTAGTCTTCCTGTTGACTCGATGGCTCTCCAACAAACTGTGTATGTACTCGTGCTTCCATCTTTTCCATGCATGCTGTTTGGCTTCCTTCAGTCGCTTGTGAAGTTTGCTCACTTCGTCTCCGTCTTCTTCTATCTCCTCTATCTCGTGTGCGTTCTGCCCCCACGTGAGCGCATTCGGGGTCAAAACTTGTTCTTCCCCTCCCTCGCTTTTGAGGTATGTCAAAGGGCGGTTGTTCATTTGCCTCTCTATGTCGACTATCACGGTCTTGAGCTGTTCGAAGCTTAGGGTTCTCCTGCATAACGTCTTGTAAAGAGTCTTCTTTAGGTCTTTGATAACCCGCTCATACATTCCACCCCACCATGGGGATCTGGAAAGGTTGAATTGCCATCTGATGTCTTCTCTCGCAAGATGGTCTGGTAGCCTCTCACTCTTCCGTATTTTCTTTATCCAGCTTGCAGTAGCCTCGAATACCGAGGCCTTGTCTGAAATGATGAGACCAGGTCTGGTCTTCCTGGCAATGAATGAGTTCAGCTTTCTCTGAAACTCCTCCGCTGTGTGTGATTTCGTTACTTCCAGGTGTACTGCTCTTGAGGTGGCGCAAGTGAAGATCAAGACATAACATTTGCCTCGCTCCTTCTTGGTGATTGCAGTCAAGGGGACCAGGGAAATCTACTCCAGTTGTTTCGAACGGCCGCCCCTCCTCCACCCGAAACCTCGGCATTGCAGCTGTCGTTGTGGATCCATAGGGCTTTGTGCTGAATACTTTGCAAGTGTTACACCGATTGATCACCTTTTTTACCTTGGACCTCAGCCTTGGAATCCACCACTTGTTCCGTATGTTTGCCATTGTGTTTGCAACTCCCAGGTGCATTGTCTGCTCATGCGTATTAGTGATAAGTTTCTAGCCAAACAGTCCCCCTTCGATGTATATAGGGTTGTAACCGGAAATCCTTCCACTACACCTCAGGATGCTGGTGTCGTCCTTGACCTGCTCCCAGCCTGGTGTTTGTAAATTTGGAGAGGTACTGCTTTGGATCTTCTTGATCCAACGTGTCTTTGCGTTTCCCATCTCCTTCGGTGTCAACGGCCCCATCAGCTTCGTTGTTCTCTGTCGTCACGCCAAGGAATTGTTCAGGAACCTCAGTGCCCAGGCCGTTACTCGCAGAGTCTTCCAATACTTGTGTCTCTCTAACAGTGCCTCCCACTCATTGGACTTGTGCTCTTTAGCATAGAGGTTTTCTTCCTTGATAGGTTTGTGTTCATTGTTGACGTCCTTGGTGCATTCAAAATCTGGCTGATCTGGCCACTGCTTCTCGTCTAATAACCATTCAGGACCTGTAAACCACCCTCCAGTCTCCATCTTGTGAATTCCAGCTCCTCTGCTTCCCAGGTCTGCCAAATTCTTCTCTGTTGGACAATACTTCCAGCTGATCCCTGTCTCGCCGGTAATTTCCGCCATCTTCTTGACTCGGTTTGATACGAAAACTTTCCAAGGTTTTCCCGGATTTCTGATCCAATACAGGTCGACCATACTGTGCATCCACACGGTTGTAGAAATGATGGGCCATCGTTTAAGTGCGTTGTGCAGGTCTCTGACCATGTTCGCTGCCATCTGTCCGCTCACCAACTCTAGTCTCGCTATGGATGTGTTTTGTTTCGAGACTCGATTTTGATGTCAGTAGACCTTTGACCACTCCTGTCTCACCTTCGACCATGGCTATGGTTACTGCGGAACATGCAATGTTGCTAGCGTCTGCAAACACGTGAAGATGTACGGCTTGTATCCGACCTACTCCTCTCGTTACACTTCTTGGAATTCTCACAGGTTTTAGTTGACTAGACCATTTGATCCAATCTCTCTTCACCTGGTCTGAAACGTCCGCGTTCCACCCCTTTGTCTCATCGCATGTGCCTCTGTAGATCTGCTTCCCCTTCACAGTTGTAGGTGAAATCATTCCTAGCGGGTTGTAAATACTTGCAAGGTGGCTCAGTATTCCTCTCTATGTCAACAGCTGGTTATCAGAAGGCTCTGGTACTTGGACCTCCAGCGTGTCATCTCTTTTGTCCCATGTTATCCCGAGGATCTTGCTAGGGTTTGTTGAATCTTCACTTTCCAGGGTCTCAACGTCTGATTCCCATTTAAGGACGGGAAACCTTGCACTCTCCAGGATGCTGGTTGCTTCTATTTTGAATTTTTTCAGTTCCTGTTCTTCTTGCCCGGTCTTCATCACATTGTCCACGTGTGTGTTCTCCTTCAAGGCCTGGACGGTTTCTTGAAAGTCTTTGCCTTGCTGATCGTAATGGTAGTTTAGGGTAGCATCTAACAGAAATGGACTTGACTCTCCCCCAAATGGGACTCTGGTAACCCCAAGGTGTTGTTCTTTACCATTGATGTTGAACAGGAACCGGAATACGTCCCGATCCTCTTCTCTGACACCAATCTGCAAGAACGCCTTCTGGATAGCTGCTAGAACAAGATGGGTGGACATGCGTGCTCTGATCAAGATGTCCCACAGTAAGGGCTGAAGTGGTGGACCCGTGCACATACATTCATTTATGCTGTTGGCCAGTAGGTGTGGTTTCGCACTAGCGTTGAAAACCATTCTCACTTTGGTCGTACTCACGCTCTGCCTAATAACCGGTTTGTGTGGCATGTAGAAAGTGCGGTCTACGGTTGGCGTTTTGGGTGCAACTTCCACTATTCCTTCCTCTAGCTGCTCTCTTACGATTTTCCCATACTCTTCCCTCAACTTTGGGTTTTGGCTCAACTTCTTCTCAACCCTGATTAGGTGTCTCCTGCTTGGCTGTGCGTTCGTACTAGACAACGAAGTTCCTGGAATCCAAGGCACGCTCCGTTCATACCGGCTGTCTTCTCCCCTTTTTGACGCTCTCCTTAAAACTACTGAGCACGTCCGACTGCATGATCATCCTCTCCTCTATCCTCTACCCCCAACACGTCTAAGCTGTAAAGCTTCTCGTAGTCGCTCACCTCTTTGACGTTCATACACTTGTTGTCTGTGTACTCCATGCCTCCATGGATGACCCATCCAAACGTTGTGCCCTCTACTATTGGGTCCTCAGGGCGCCCCTTGAATGTTTGATCGGTCCTTATTTTACAGTAGGTCCTGTCACCCAAGATCACGTGAATAGGATACTCTTCACTTGCTGTCACGTAAAACTGTTTGTCTCGGGCATGTTCGTATCTCGTCTTTAACTTCTTAACAGTCGGTCTCCTCATGGTTGTGAAATCCGCCATCTTACTCCCAGTGATTTCTACCCGCTCACTCATTCTATGACCTAAAGAATCAAGTCTCACTTCAAATATGGGCAGGGACTGTTTCTGGACACCATTGATAGTGATGAATTGGCGTGACTCATGGTGTGTAGGCTTCAAATTTAGCTTCTCGATTGCTTTTCTTGATATGAAATTCCTCCCCGAGCTTGTATCTGAGTAAGCCCACAAGGTGATTCCTTGAATCTTCAGTGGAATGATGGCTGGTAACGATCGATCTTCTGAGCCGGGGTTATATGCTGTGAACACTGTGCCGTCACTTGGTCCGTTCACCAAATGTCTGTCACACAGGCTTGTCTGGTGTCTTGATGTACACTGAAACATGGGCGACTTAGGCAGTGACTCGCCCCATGACCCTCATGTCCACAGTCGTAACACAGTCTCCTTTTGTGAAAGAAATTTCTTCTTTTTTCTATGGTGTCGAAGACTCCACAGGCTTCCCCCCAGTGGTCACCTTGACAGTATAGGCAAGAAGGGGCTTTGGGTTCACGGCCGGCCTCCCTCTTTCCCCTTGTATACCAGTGCCGTTCCCTTTTTTTCAAGTCCCCTGCGTCAGTCAAAGAGTCAACCAGCTTGTTCCTTTTGAGCCACTTTTGCAGGCTTTCAATTAATTCCTTCATGCTCCATTCCTCCCAGTGATCGTCAACTCTAACAAGATCAGGTTTAACTTGTGGTAATTTCTTCAGTGTCATCATCACGAATCCTCTCAACATGTCAGCCTCCCCCAGGGTTTGTAAGGCGTCGTAATTTTTGCTTACAACTTCATAGAACTCTCTTACGTTCTCAACACTGTTTCCTTTTACTGGTGTCAAGTATATGATTTCGTCCATGTGGGCGTTCACAACAAGCTTAGTTTGCCCATGTTCCTTTTGTAATCTCTCCCCTGCCGTTTTGTACCCCAAGGTACCTGGTTTAAGGTTAGAAATTTTCTCCCTTACCTTGGGTGCCACCATCTCTAACAAGTAGCCAAATTTTTTTCGTCTGGAACTGGCAGTTTTAATTTGGTGAGGCAAAAGCGTTAAGTTTGACAGAGTCTGTGGAACATTTGTTGAACTTAACTTAGCCTCAACACACACTGTCTGAATCGGGTGTCACCCCAGTGTTGCTTAAACTTATTCAATTAGGTTCGACATATGAAAAGTACGGCGTCTGAACCAGACCTTGCAATGCATACCCTGGAAGCAGAGGACCTTCGATCTTCCACAATAAGATTGAAGGGCCTTGAGAAAGATATGTTGCAAACAGGCTTGTAAAGCAAAATCATTCTTGCACAGAGGTCAAAAGTTGTAAACAGTCAATTACTTCCCTTAATGGCTACCCAAAATGCTGTAATTTTGTGGTCACCTTAAGGAGGTGGTTGTTTCACGAGCTTTGAACCACTGGAATTCTCTTTCTGGAAAAGGCCCTAATACATCTGCTTATTCATAAAAACATATTATCCTATTTATAATGGGAGAGTTGCTAGGTTGTCTCTAAAACTCAGAGTAGCCTAGGTCACTCAGCGAACAAGGAAGTGAGACCGTATGTCAAGTGGTCGCTTAAAAGAGTGGAGTCTCTGGACAAAATCCTGTTGTGTTACCATTCAGATGAAACCTCTGGCAGTATTGTCTTTCAGAATCTTACAAAATGACATTTGGAAATTTTATAAAAAAATTAATAACGTTGATTTTGGTCACTTTTGGGTTTGCAAGGATGAATCAATTTCAGGGTCCTACCTGGGCTTCCTACCTTCTATTTTAACATGTCCCACATGATCAAATTCAGCAGTGGTTTTCTTTGTGTAGAACCCGATGTTGGCATGCCACTACACCAGGCTCAGCGTTATTTCAAACAGCTCATTGATGGAGTGGTAGGCCAGTTATTGATACCTAATGTTTGATGTTACTGTTAGCAAGAGTGTTACTTCAAATAATATTATAAAACAAGGCTCAGCCAATTATTTAACCAGTTTATGCCATAGATCTTTCATCTTTGCACTTTCTAGGTTTTGCATTATTTTGACCAAGAAAGTTGGAAGTATCATCCAGCCTTGTTTCTCTGAAATATTGGGTGTCCTGCAGTCCCCAGTGTTTTCCATGTAGTGCTTTTGATTTCCTATCTTTTGGCTTCATGTTTGTACTCATACTCTTCACACACAAACCAACATTGGTAGGGCCATTACAGTGAGTCTAGATTTGTTCATGAAATCATGGTTTGTGGCCATGGCCAGACAGATCATTATAGGTCCCCAACTAATTTTTGTTCATGTAATTGTTGTAAACGGGAGTTGATTTCGTGGCCAACAGATAAGTGTCGACTGCTTGAGTATCTCTAGACTTGGCCGGTTTCGGGCTATCAATATTCTAAGAGACTTGTAAACACTCAAGTCCTGATCACATTCATATTCATCGTTTATTGCTAAATCAAGGTACTTTTATACATATTGGTAGCTAAATCATAGGTGGGAAAATATAGTAGGGAATGCATGTGGTTTCCTTTCTAGTAAACACCCTAATTCGATTGAATGCTTAAAACACTATTACACCTACATTACTTACGTAAATCCTGAGCGGCTAGGTTTGAGTAATCATTCCATCCTACACAAAATCCTATCAGTTTAAAGGGTGTAGCCTGTAGCTTTTACGCTATTCCGATCGGAAGGCACATCTAACTATCTACTTTACACGCTGCACATTTTTGCACGCTTGCTTACACAATAGGGATCATATTTCCGGTTCCTATCAAGCTAGTAATTGATCTATTGTTCACTCAAGATTAACAAGTCACGATTCATTGTACAAAGTGTCACAAATTCTTTAACTTTACTACATAATATTGATGTTCATTGTGGTGAAATGTAGTTGTTTCATTGTACTCAGATTTAACACTTAAAGTTATAATATAATAAAAGTGTTTCCTCAGAAAAACAATACTAACTGACCATGTTGACATCTGGAATCACTTTTAGGAGTACCTCCACAAACAAGGTGTTACTCACAGAGATATTAAACCTGAAAACCTTCTCCTGGATGCTGATGGTGAGAGCCAAAAGTGGCTTATGCTATTGAAATATAAACTGAGACAGTGTCAGTAATCATGACCCCCTATAAAGGCCTAATGCCTTCATGCTGAGCACTTACTTGTTACAAGAAACTACTTCCAGGGTTTTCAATAAGACTTTAAGTAGGTGGCAAAAGCTTTGGAGTAGGTGGAGAGGGAAAAAACTTGTGACAAAGGTGCAATTTGCGAGCGCCGAAGGCGCAAGTTTCTGGAAAAATTGTGAAATCTGGGCCTCTTAGAATGCTTTTACAGCATTCTGGACCAAAAATTAGAGTTTCTGAACAGAACACAGACATCATTAAACTGTTTGGCTTTTTTATTCAGTGACAGCACATGAATATTGTACCACCACTCAAAAGTAAGTTACCACCCTCTCGCGAATCGTGTCGAGCGCTACACGATTCTATTTGTTGGGGTAATTTCCAAAGAAAAGTAGACGGTGAGTGAAATAGCTCGCAAATTTTGCCAGCCACCGGCTCTTATTGAAAACCCTGTATGTGTTGTTAGTAGTATAATTTTGTTTACTCAGAAAATTATTTTTTTGTAAATTTCTTTTTCAGACAATTTAAAGATCTCTGATTTTGGATTTGCTACAGTTTTCCGTCACAAAGGCAAGGAGCGGCCACTTGGTCGAAGGTGTTGTGGAACACCACCATACGTTGCACCTGAGGTATTGAAAAATCTAGTCACTCAGTCAAGGAGTCTTAAATTTCTCTGTCAATCAATTAACCCATGAATAAACATCCATCATCAGGGCTCGGAAAGAAAAAGTGGAATAAGATCATGGATTCCAGCTTGTCCTTTGGGAAGCAGTTTTCACATTTTGTTGGCCAAGGTCACTTCTTGCTCATCTTACTAAATGATTTTGTTTAAGAATTACTTGCTTGGAAACCTTGCCCAAGTAAAGTTTAAAAAATTACTTGCCCAGCAAGAAAACCTACTTGTCCCGGACTACCAGACAGGATTTGGCTCAAGCCCCTCCATCATTAGAACTGACACCTAACAAATTCCTACAATAAATCATTGTGCTGTTAGGTTTTGTCTGATGGTGAGTACAGAGCTGAGCCTGCAGACATCTGGTCCTGTGGCATTGTCCTTATCGCTATGTTGGCAGGAGGTAGGTGACTTATTCCACCTGGTGCCCCACCCACCAGAACCATTTTTATATTAACCTAAAATAATGGTACATGTAGCTTACTTTATCTAATTTGTCCACGAGTTTTGAAACTGAATATGAATTTAACAACTATCCTCATCAAGTGTACATGTGTATATAGTGCAGTTCTCACTTTTTCAAATGCCACATGTGATCAATAACAGTTATACATTAGTCTTGCTAGTGAAACCTTTAAATCTATACTTGCTAGCACTTTGAAAATTTTGACACTTGTAAGCTTTGGCAAAGTAAATCCAGTGTTTTGCTGTGTTTTGTGCTAGCACTAAAGCATTTTCCCAGAGTTAGCAACTGCTTTTTAAAGTTTTAAGTGACTAATGATCAATAGAACTTCCATGGGATCAACCAACTAAGAAGTACAAAGAATATGTTGACTGGACTTATGGAAGACTTCATAGAACACCATGGACAAAGATGGATCCACTATCATTAGGTGTGTGAACTTTATTTTCAGTAATTTGTTATTATTGCTTTGCCCTAAAGTTGCAAACAGGGACAATTAGAGTGTATGTTGAGGGATCTAGGATTTTAAAAATAATGCAACTGTATTCTGATAACATGGCCTCAGATCACATGACTGTTCTTATGGAGGAAGAATTATATTAGTTTTTCCATAGTAGGAAAATTTATGATATGCTAACCCCTGAGAGTGCAGATAAACTGGTCTGGGTTATTGGCTTAGCTGGTGTTTATGATGGTGAGCATGCATGTGGGCAAACAAGCGGCTGCAGCTTATTCATGTGTTCTTGCCGACAGCTATGTTTATGATACAGTACACCACATTTCCTTGAAAAATAACTGTCCTTTGTCTACCAATTGCCTCCCCCATCCCTTTAAAAGTGCTATTACATGGGACAATTCCCAACGATGATTTTTGGGGCAACACAGCGTTCCAATGCTGGAACAATGTTATAACCATTCAAAACAATGTTGCAACAATGTTGCAACCTTGTGTTGTGCTAAAAATCGTCATTGTGAATGGTCTCATGTAACATCCCCTTAAAACAAGTTTTGCTTACTTCCAATATTCACAATTTATTTTACCCTCTCCTTTCCCTTAAATAGTGAACTCCATGCACCTCCCCCCCTTCCTTTTACTCCCTTATTAAATACACATATCATGGTTTTTGTATAAAACCTTTTCCATCTACTTGAGGTGTTTACAGCTGTATGTACTTGAAATTTTTTAAAGGATTTTTGGAGAAAATTCTTGTGGAAAATCCCAAAAGAAGGCTCACCATACCTCTTATGAAGAAAGAAAAATGGTATACTAGGTAAAAAAAGGATACCTTGTCATGCTTTAGTTTGCATTTCTATTGAATTTTTATAACTGGTTTAATAAATATTGACAGTTGCATATTTTTTTAACCTTTGTTTACTGTTTTGACATCAGATCATTCACTTTGGCAAGAAGTCCAAGGGAAGGTAAGTGTTGTTACACCTACGTATAAACACTTGTATGCTATTAATCTTTAAAGAAGAATAGTGACTAACAATTTTTGTTTTTCAACAAGACCAAAGTCAACTGCACTCTTAATAATATCATTTTGCTTTATTGTTGAAAACATTTTTATTATACACAGGTTGTTCCCCAGGGGACACACCCACTGGAACAGCACCCTTCAAAAGAAGATGCACTGAGGCAGATGTCATTTCTCCTATTCGTTCAAGAAGAAATCAGTAAGTTTCAACTACATGTATATGTGTAAATGTTCTAGTTCAAAATGAAGTTTCAGTTAAAAAGTTTTCACTCTAGTTTGATTCTCTATTACATCTGCCAATTAGTTGATTCGTCAACCATCATGATGAAATTCTTTCCTCTACTACATAAACTAAATACATATTTGCCACTCTGACTCCTCCATTGATAGCTAGCCTTCATGACAGATGCCAGTTAATTTTTTGGTGGTAGGTTTTCAGGGTGCAAAGAAAGTCATTTTGTACAGCTTGCCATTCGGGCAAGCTGAAGCTAAAATTTACAGCCCAAATGTCGTTTCAACTAGCCCCAAAAACGTTTGATGCGCAGATTGAGTTCTTCTGTAATTTGAATTCCTCAAAAAAATTCACTTGCCCTTCAGGCAAGTTAATAACAGAATTCACTAGTCCAATAGCAAATCCACTAGCCCCGGCCTATCGGACACTACTTTCTTTGCACACTGATTTTATATACATGTAGTGCCCTATGGGGACAGTCGAAATTTCTCCCTCCACCCTAACAAAACTGGTGCCTCCTATGCAGGCTAACAACAGCTGGCTACTGATATTTACTTGGAATTTTTCTTGACTGATTAACTTAGGGATCACATCTCGGCATCCCAGCCTGAGCCTCGCCGACTGGACAGTGGTATTGGAAGTGGTGACCTTGAGAGTGTGGAGGATGATGAAAGAACTTTGAATGGCTTGTGTTTTTCGCAGCCTGTTCATCTAGATCACATGTTATTAAGTACACAGATGCAATGTACACCAGGTGCATCACAGGTAAAGGAAAATCAACATCAATTTTCTCCTAACTATATTAGTGATTAATAAAGAAAAAAGTTACGAGAATTAAAAAAAATGATCACCGATAAACTGATGAAAAACTCTTTAAGAAATTTCATGCAAAAGACTCAGTGCCAAATTTTATGGTTATAAGGAGCCAATTTTCCAACTTTCTAAAATTCCTCTTTTTCTCTTTATTTATGTATATGTTAATTTGGGCTATAGAAAATGATGATGATGATGATGATTATTATTATTATTACTCACTGACTCCTTGATATTTTGATGTCAGTAATTCCTCTTTTTCAGACTCCATTCCAAAGACTGGTTAAGAGAATGACACGTTTTCACACAAAGAAGACTCCAGACAAGACACTCAAAAAGTTGAAGGAAGTTCTAGACAGTCTCAAATATAACTTTGCTGTTAATTCCCAAAGTCAGGTAGACACATTTTAACTTTAAAATGTCAGCTAACACCATCATTCCATGAAAAAATTTCGACCAACATGTCACTATGGCATCAGCTGAAAACCAGCAATTGATGTCAACTAAAATCTTGCCTTGACCAATAAATTTTGAGAAAATTAATGTAATATAAATATTATTCTTTTCAATTAGGTGACAATTTACACTGCTGACAGAAGGCAAAATAAACTAAGCATCAAAGTGAATCTAATAGACATGAGCTCTTCTTTGTTAGTTGACTTCAGATTATCCAAGGTAAGAAGATGTGCAGTTGAAACCTTATTCATACTGAATGCTCACAAAATCGATTTACATCTACATGTACCCTTGTACAACGTACAACTGTAGCTCTCCTATCAACATGCATGCAATGAAACCTGGTTCTTGCTTAATTTAGTGTTACTTAATTTTTTGTAAAGTAGACACAAGCCTCTGAAAATCCTCCACTCTTCCCGTACCACATGTACATTTAGTGACGGAAATAAATTATTATCCAATCTTTGCAGAACAAACCTAGCTGAAACAAAGCATTTCTGCTGGTTGAATGTAACACTGATTTATTTCTTCGTAGGGAGATGGTCTGGAATTTAAACGTCACTTTTTAAAGATTAAGGCACAGATGAAGGACATCATAGACAGAGGATAATGCATCCAGGACAACTCTGGTACCATAGTATTATTGGCTTTGTTGAAGTTTGTACAAAAAGGACATTTAAAACAAAAGGCAAAAACAACGACAACAAAAATAAATGCAGTTATTGTTCCTGTTATATAAAAAGACAATTCTGTTCAGTAACTTTTGACCCTTTAAACCCTAAGAGTGATCAGCATCAAATTTCTCCTTGTAATAGCAATGCTTTGTAAAACAGAGTGGTCATGAGAATTAAGGACGAGATCACACAAGATGTGTTTGTTTGATATTTTATCAACTTCTCCCCACTACCTCTGTAGTAAATGAATAGGGGCGACAAAGGAGAATTTTCATTTTAATCTTAGGGTTTAAAGGGTTAAAGCTCGACATAAGATTGTTCAGGCATACTTCTAAACATGAACCCTTGCACACTGTAAGCTGACTATTACTATTAACTATGACTACAGTGCGTACTGTAAATCATGGCTGTTTCTAAGATTTCAAGTTGCTGGGTATACTGTATGCAATTGGTCAGGGGAGAATTATACAGCTGGGATGTTTCTACAAATTCATTTTCTTTTTGTAGCCTGAGATTATGCTCATAGTAGCCAGGGAAATCTCTGGCTCCTTGTCCTAAGCAACAGCCCTGAAAAACAGTTTACAAGCATGTCTAGAACTTCCAATGAGCTGTGAAAAAGCACTAGTTAAGAGTTGCTCAACAATGGTGTTTAATAGGTAATATAAACTTGGGTACACTAAGGGGAAAAAGGCAAAAAAATTCTAATTAAATAAGAAAAACGTAACAAAGTAAAAATACTGCCATAAGAAGAAAGTAAGAAATACAGCTCTTTGAAAAATGTATTTATTATTTGTCAGTGGATTAAAATTGCTATCATTAGTTTATTTTGCTGTTGTATTTTCATTGGTAAAAATACACAAGCATGTAAAGTTTACCAATTGCAATTATAATATATTTGTTTTATTCTCTATTCTCTGCTTGCAGAGGTCCCTTTTCCCTCTGGTATTAGGTAGGAAAAGAGACTTCTGCTAGCAGGAAATAATTAATATCATTATTGCACAATATTTCACACCAATAGTTCAGCTTCAAGTTCGCTTTCACTGCTGAATAAAAGAAGTGAGGACACATTTTTTACAGGCTTAGCCCCCATCTGAAGTAAATATATTCATAAATTCCAGCGAGAAGAAGACCTGGTTATTAATCAACTTCTGTTGTGTATTTTCAATTTCAAACTCTTGCTGGAATTTGTGACTAATTGACGCTAAGCCCGTATGAATGTGTTGTTAATGTTTGTATTCAGCAGTAATTTTTAATTTGAAACTGGATTATTACCTCTCTGTGGTTTCTTTTTGGGTTGGAAATACACAAAACATGAACTTGCCAACTCAGCGACCTGAGTAATATTATTTTATGCTTTTAAAACGGAGCTGTTATGTTAGCTCTGTAGTTTTATAAAACAAAAACTGTTGCATCTGAATGTGAAAAAAAAAAACAACTATCTCATTCATTTCAAATGACCATTCATTTGGAACGTCAGTGACTGTGTGGTCTCACAGGACAGACTATCATAGTTAAAATTGACATTTCTTGTCCTGAATTTTCTTATTTTAGGCTGTCAATTCAGCCTCTGTCTTGTATCACCATGGAAATATCCAAATGAGGAATATACCACTGAAATTCAATCTTGTAAAAAACAAATTCTGATTTTTAATGTGGTTCTACATCGTAGAAAAATCTTACTAGGTGATAACGGATGATAAATGCTACAGCACTTCCGAGGATCTGCAAACAAGAGAGACTGGTCTCAGTAGTTTTCACTTGCCACTGCAATGCATCAATCATAGCTTGTAGCAATAGGGAGCTTAAAAAACAACGGCAATGATGACAACAAAAACGGCATAAAAGCAGATTAGCAAAACAACAACTTTGCACTTGAATCACACTTTTTTGCACATTTCTTTGTTGCCATAAAATAACCACGACACAAAACTGCCTTATTTTACGTTTTGTTGAAAATATGAATGCAAGACAGTGATTTTCTAATACTCTCTTTTTAAAGTTAGATACTATACAGTCCTTGACAATTCAACTCCAGGAAAACTCATTAACATTAATAATTTGACAATGATGACTTGGAATAAGAGCGATGAATTTTGAAACAGTTTGAATACACTTTTTATGAAATGTTTTTGCCACTGTTGTTGTTGTTGCTCCCCAAGAACAGATAAAGAACAGAATTTCATGATATATGACCAAACCAATCTTCACATATATGTACATTAATTTTCTAAAAAAATGTGGATTAGGTTTTTAGAACTTTTGAACCATTAATTTTGTTGTATATCAGAGAACAGAAATTTTGTTAGAAATGATCATTTATTTTTGTATTCTGATTTTTGAAGAATCTCTTCGCACATCAGATGAAAAAATGCCAACCTAATAGTGGCCAACAAAAGAGAATTCACAAAATTCCAATGTTGTTTTTGAAAAATCCTAACATGTTAGATGTAGCACCATGCATAAAAAAGTTCTGCCAGGGAGGTCTCATTAGAATGGTGACACCACGGGATTTCATCCACAGATTGAAAAGTAAGTAAATTATATATCATCAATTTTAATAATTTGGTAGTGAGAGGTAAAAAACCTACCTGTATTCCTAACATTATAGTAGTCAATGTTCTTTCATGTAATGGGCCAAGCATTTTTATGACAAAGTTTATTAATGTAAAGTTGTTGACACGCACAGACTTTTTATCCTCTCCCACGCCATCTTCAACTTGTACTAATCTTAGAAGGCTGAACACAGATAAGATGAGTTTTCCTAGAGGACGAATGTCAGATTTCTTGAACACTGAATGGCTCATGCCTAGTTTGCCAGTCTCTGGATTAAGCCTGTTGAGACAAATGTATAACATTATTTGAGAGCAAGAGCTGTCATTTTTTAAAAGAATGAACTGCTTTCCATAACCTTAAAAATGAATAGGCAATTTGCAAGTTGCCTCAAGCCTCTGTTTCAGAGCGAGGCTAAGTGAAAAATTATTTATATCAAAACGATTTTTTGTTCTCAAGCTAATATAACTCATTTTCAGAAGAAAGGCATTAATATAGAAGACTTTTCATCAGGTGCCTTAGCTCCTGCTCCCGCCTGGAGCTCAGGGGATTTTTCCGAGCTTATCTGGTGTTTGAATTCTCCTTCTCCTTTAATATAGATATACAGTCTTGGGTTTGTATGCTGGTGGACGGCCAAATTTCAAGCAAGTCCCCAATGCAATCCTTAAAGTCTGGTGTACTTGTATTTAAATTCCGACCCCACTCGCCATTAGAGTTTCAGGAGCTCAGTGGTTAGAGCGTCCAAACTAGATCTTGGAGGGCCGTGAGTTCAATATTATTCTTGCCTGGAGCTCAGGGGATTTTTCTGAGCTTTCTGGTGTTTGAATTCTCATTCTTTAATAAATAACAGAAATACACAATGCACCAGGTTACTTTGCATTTAGTATTGTTAATACTAAACAGGCTAAGATTCCAGCCATGATATTTTCCTATTGCAAGCTTTTGCTAGTGCGATGGTGAACATTTTCCAATAATTAATTATTTTTACACACATAGTTGAAACATAAGTTGGGTCAACACTAAACTTACTTTGGCAGCCGATGTCTTGGGCATGGGATAAAACGAAACAGCTGTGGTAAAGAGTAAACAAAGTTGATGACTTGCGGAATAAAGAAGAGAAGCATTGTTTTACTGAAATGTCCCAAGATTCCAACTACTGCAAATGTCATGCCAGCAAAATAGCAGAAAGTGTCCCCAACAAACACTTGAGAAGGGTACCTAAAATGGAATTTTGATACATCAGTCTTGGAACACAAAAAGAGGCTAAGAGTTAAGTAGTCAACAAATGGGCAACAATAATAATTTCTCTTGCACGGTTGTCAGAAAGTTTTGAAGTAGACGGCTGAGTTGTCAAAGTAAGCGGCCAGTCCAGGGATATTTTATGTAAAAAACAGCATCCGTAAAGAAATGCCAAGCAGAGTAGCCGGCCAATACTAACCAAATAGGTGGCGATTTTTGCCGGCAGCTGGCTACTTTTGACAACCCTGCTTTTGCCCATACTCTAATAACCCATAGAAATTAATGAAATGTCAAAATGTCAACAATCAAGTTGAACCACAAGACATGGATATTGGTTTTGCTGCAAAGTTTTGACTGTTTTTTTTTTTAAATTTTTGATGTCATTTTCATGGTCTGTTAGAGTGTGGAGGTTAATTAGAGGGATTGAATCATTCGAAGGATCACAGTAATTAGGGTTTAGGAAAGTGACATTCCACTGTACAATAATAATATTGTATTATTATACCCAGGGTCCGAGGTGTACTGCCTATAAAAGCCTATATGGGGAGGCTCTAACCAAAAGGGTACCTTTTCCAGGCTACATGTACATGTATATGAAGGGGTAGGGATTTCACTAGTTTAATTATATGAAAGGTTGGGAAGTCTGTCACTTTGGTCTGTAAAAACGGGCTACACCTTATGGCAGTGACAAGGTCGATAAAACATTCTGGTTTTGTGATTTATTCATAATCAAAAGACACTGCATTTACAGCAGTTGAAAGGGATGCAAATTTCTAAAGTAGACATGTGAAAAAGGTACCATTTGCCAGTAGGTTTATGAAATGGGTACCTTTCCTGTCAAGAATGGTATATGAGGGGGTAAGGGGTTGGACCTTGGGGTGGGGCACCCCCCAGACATGATACATGTACATGTACGTAACATTGGACCAACTCACCAGTTGAAGTAAAGTAATGCTGAACATGTAGCAATAAATGGCATCATGAAGTAAGCAGAGAACAAGTGAGCCTGCCAGCAACATGTTCCTTGAAGCTCAATAAAGTTAAACACCAAGATAGAGATTGCGATAATAAGTGACTGCCCTGCCTCCACACCATTTATACCTGATAGGATGTTGATTGCATTTGTGCAGAACACTGCTAGCATCCCCATGTAGACGTAGTAAAATATTCCTGTGGACAGTGTGAGATGACAATGATTACAAATATTGTTCTTGGGCTGGCCTGTGAAATCAGCTGTCTCTCATTCCTCCTAGCTGCTAGAAAAGTTGATTCAGGTTTTACATGTCAATTAAACTGGTAGTTATGGGTTCCAGATGTAACTTTATTTCAGTTAATCGTTCTCCTGGTCAAGCTACAAGGCTAACTTTTCACTAACATTTACTTTACCTCAGCAATTGTGCAAATTGGGGGAGGTTCTTTTAATAATAACTACCCATCATAAGGTGTTTATTTGGTCAAAATAAATGTCCATATGAAGGCTCTCATCAAAATTTTATTCGAATTAATCCTAGCCTGAGAAAAAACTGGCTTTTGCAACACCAACGCTGGTTTCCCCGCAAAATGATGTCCAAAGAATGAGCACAGAAATTCCACACTGAAGGTGTGTCACTACCCACATCTAGGTAGTAGTTCTGATTGGATGAAGCACAAATTTTCAACCAATCAGAAGCACTGGGTAGTGATGTGTGATCAATATGGAGTTCCAGCCCTCATTCCTCAGGCTAATAGATTCCTCAACCCTTTAAGTCCCAATGGTGACCAACATCAATTTTCTCTTAACCATATCTATATAATGTCAAGAGATTAGGTTATGAGAATTGATAAATTGATCGCCAAAGAGAAAATGTTTTGCTCTTTTATCAAATTCTCCCAACACATTCCTTAAGGAAATGTCTAGAGATCAGTTTGGAGAATTCGTACGTGGATATTGCGGCTTAAACGGTTAATTTCTTATTACAAGCATTTACCATATATCTTAAATGGAAACGGCATGATCAAACCACTTTGACTTTTGTGTGAAAAATTATAATTGTTTTATTCATTTGTTCTAGGTAGTCTGTTGATAATTAATACTTACCTAAATCTAAATCAAATCCTAAGATAAATCTGAGAGGTTTAGGTACTATAATGGTGGTGACACCAATATTGACAAAGTATACCATCAGTAGTGGAAGAGAAGCCATTGTCGGAAGCAGAAGTTTATCTCTCCACTTGAGATCAAGAACATCATCAGCAAAACCAAGGAAAATCATACAGCAAATGGACAGAAGACCAGCAATAAACATGACAAACTGTGAGTGGAAAAATAGTGGTCAGTATGAGATGAATTAATGATTAACTATTACAATAATTTAAAAAGGAAATACATGAACAGTTAAAATGGAGGGGTGTGTGGAAGTAAGGCCCAAAGTGATTCCTGACCTAATACAAAATTCTCTCTACGACTCACAAGCATATACACTGAAAATTGGAGAAGGAATTTAGTAGTTTAACGGAAGTCACCATGTGCTGTCTTCATAATGACTGAATAATATTGTGAAGGAGAGCACCTTGAGAGGTTGAATACAACAATCACTGTATTAAGCAGACCCCATATTAAGTAAACACCCTGTTTTAAGTCAACAAATGGCTCAGTTTGTTTCAAACATTTCTTCCTATATTTTCTTTAAAATGAACCTGTACCAAGACAGCACCAAAGGTCCTGTGGGTATCCGCGTGATACAGGTCTCACTGTACTGATAAAAATGCTAAGCTGTTAAGAGGTGATAACAACATTGTTTGCTTACAGATACAGCTGTAAGGCAACTTTTACCTTGTCTCTAGTGCACTCAAAAATAATAGCAACATTAAAAAAAACACACATGCACAGGAAGCCTAACTATCTCATTTGTTGAAGTCCTGAAATTTTTTGGGGGCGGTTTATTCGCAATTGCTTAAATTGCAATTACCACTGCGATGATCATGTCTTCATATAAAATTTGTATTTCAGCAGTTCATATCATCTCCCTTTTTCATTCCTTTCACGGGTTAAGATGAGCCCAACAAATTGGCTGCTCTCATAAATATGTGGGTCTTCATATATAGCTCAAATGGTAGAGCACTACAGCACTAAGGCAAAGGCCATGGGTTTGCATCCTGTGACGTCCTGAAATTGTTTTTTTTGGTTTATTCGCATTTGGTTAAATTGGAATTACCACTGCAATCATCATACTGTAAAATTCTGAAAATAAGCCCTGGAGCTTATATTTTTCAATGGCCCTTTTTGAGAGGCTTATTTTTGGAGGGGCTTATATTCGGAGCGGCTTATGAATGGAGGGAAATTTGCATTTCAAAATCGGTTGGGCTAGCTTGTAGTGGGAAGGAAATTTACCATTTTTGCTTTGCTTTACTTTGTATTCAAGAGCAAATTCCATGTACAAGCCCCCCGGGGGGCTTATATTCAGAGGGGCGATTTAACAGAGGGTTTCTTGCGTTACGATTTTGAGGGGCTTATACATGGAGGGGCTTATTTTCTGAATGTTATGATATTTTCAGTTAAAATTTGTATTTTCACAGTTCACATCATCTTCATATCTCATTTGTGGTTTCTTTTTTCCTCCTTTTGCTTCTGTTTCACATTTTAATAATAACATACCTCATGATGTGGAAAATCATAGTCGCCTTTTTCAAACCAAATAGTGAAAAATGGAATAGGAATAAACAAAAACATGGAAATGAGAAACACTGCTCCAGTAACGACACCAAGACCCTCAGGGCTGCAGAAAAAATGGATTAACAATAATTAAACACCTTCAAGTGCATGTCAATTTATTATTCCAACCCAAAAAACATTCTTAATCAATTACACAAAAGTGATGAGTTGAATTCTCAGAGGATATTTGGGGGGGGGGTAAAGGATTGAGGCAATGGTGCTAAGCTCTATCAGGAAACCAGTTGCTTTGCTACAAACTTAAGGGAGTGGTAGAACTGTAGAACAATAATTTATTTATTTATTAAGTGCATGACCTTTTTTGTATAGTTAGCACAAGCACAAGAAAACTATATAATGCATCAATATTCCTTATTCTACAAGTCATCTACGTGGAACTGGATCAACTAGAGCATCAAGACGACTTGATCGAAAACAACTTTCTGGCAGAGCGTAGTGGCCCTGACTTTTGCCTTTGGGTGAATAGGAAATCTTAGTTTTTGCATTTGGGATTTCACAGGCCAAAACATTGGGATCCCTGCAATGTTTCTGACAGCACTTTTTACAAAGCCCTGATTAATTGCGGCAGAGGTCAACACAGCTGTTCAAAATCAATAATAATTGACTTGCATTTGAAATTAGCAAACACAAATGGTGAATGTGGAATCCAATTTAAAATAGAAAGGCAGGGTTCAAAGACCGATTTAAAAAATGAGATTTTGTAGCATCAACGACTTAAAAGCCACAGTCCAAAACGTGATGCTCATATTGATGAGTTTGTTGGAATTGCATTGTGCTGATCTAACGATCTGTTCAGTCCCCTGCTGAAAACATTTTAGTGTACTAGAAACAGAAAGTAATAAAGCCCCGTTGTGTTGTCTAAATTTCAAAATTTCTCCACAAATACAATCAACGAATCACCGCAACCCACGCTTCAAACTCCATGGTCTCGTATTAAACTGCTTAGGATTATCTGATTAAGAAGGCAATTTTCTGGTTACGTACAATTACGTTTCCTTTTCAATACAATATCCACGGAATATTTTGAAAGAACGGCTAAATGAACTTACATCAAATCTTTGTTGTCTTTTTTGTTGAGATCTTTACCACAGAGACCGGCCTTGGTGAACAAGGGCTTCATTCCAGAAATCAACTTCATAGTTATCAAAAATGCCACAGCAGACATGACAAAATTTAAAATTAACGGATATATCATTCTGTAGATCATTTTCGGTGATTTTCAAATGTTATCTTGTAGAAAAAGAGACTTTCATGCTAGTCTGATGGAAATATTACACTCTGATGAAATTTGAGCCTTCCTGAAAACATCCGCTGACTAAGGGTACTGCAGTTGCATAGAACGGCACGCGAGAATCCCGGGAAAGCGTCACAGACGTTTCCAAGCAACAAAATGATTGACGGAAAGCCTATTCTCTTTTCTGATTGGATAAAAAAGCCATTACGCGGGGATTTTCACCAGAAATCGACCAGAAATTTGCAGCAAACACGCATTTTTTCTTTCCCGTGAAAAAGTTAAAAACTGCGTGGAAAGAAAGTCAAATGCAACAAACAATGTGATTTTGAGCACCAAGATGTGTAGGTTTTTGTTTGAAATTCGTTTTTGATCGCAACATTGTATTTTTTCGGATTTTTTAACGGAACTTACAGAGCTGTCAGCGAGTTTTCAGTGCAAGGAAAAAGTCAAACATGGCCGAACAAAAAAGAAGCGTCACCGGAAAGCCGAGCACAAGAGACCTCAAGGGCTCAAGAAAGAATGTGATGGTTGGCATGTCTATGGAACATGAAGCTTGTCCCAAAGCTGACAAACTCAGGCGAAGGAAAAGTGTCGCCTCGCAATTTGCTCATCCGATGACGGGAGAAACTCTTAAAGAAAGACAGGTAAAGAGCTACAGAATTTAGAGGAAGCCATTCACATGAATTTAAAGGACCGTGCTTTTAATTTATGGTTTCTTTCTTGTGACTAACTGGTATTTTCATGATCTTTTTTTGCATCGTTTCTCTCAGGGTATGTTCTTTGTGATGCTGATTCGGTTTTTCTTTCTTTTTTCATTACAGCAAAGAGCAAAAGAAAACCGCGAAGCTCGAAAAAGGATGATAACCGACGAGTATAGGTTTATTATGGGAATTGTTGGTGGCTACCTGGATCTTGAAGTCTCTGCCATTGAAGAATTCATCGTTGATTCTGAAGAGGTATTTGAATTCTCAAAACCTTATAGACTGGAATAATTTTTATTGACAAGAAAACCACGCGAAGCGCTGTAAACGTCGGCTTGTGGATAAACATGTACTCAGACGAGAAACAAACAGTGAAAATTGAAAAGACAAAAATGACAGAGCTGTTAGCGCGAATTTAAGCTTCCAAGGTTTTGAATAATAACAAACAACATACAAACAAACAAAGGAGAAACAAAGACCGTAAAAATATTGCAAACGTTTGAAATGTTATCGACAAACTTTTCATCACCAGATTCCACCGTTCATTTTGTTTTCATACTACATGCAGATTTGTTTTCTTCTTGACAGTAGTTTCGTGTTTGTTCTACCCTGCGAGCAGAGGCTACATTTTCGCGATACGAGCTGGCGTGCCGGCAGAGGCTACCTTTCGCACGCCAGCTCATACCGCGAAAATGTAGCCTCCGCTCGCAGGGTATGTTTGTTCCAAATGCTCCTCCCTAAATTTCAAATCTTCAGCATGTCTTCTTAACCCCTTCCCTCTCCCCAAGTCTTGGTAGCACATATAATGAAAGGTGGTAGGTTTCCTGGTGACTGGGAGTTTTCAGACAAATGCTACAACTGACAAAGGCCTTCACTTATTCAAAGCAGTAGTTTGAGTTTATATATATTTTTTTCCAGGCCGTGTACATGATAGATAGTTTCCTTAAACCAAAAGGAAGACGATCACTTTTGTTCTTTTATCAGGAATTGGATCTTGATGGAAGTTGTAAGTAGTATGATAAGCTCCGCAAAGAAAAAATTGCAAGTATAGATAAATATAAAAAAGAATGAAATAAATTTACAAACCATAGCTTGGACTTCCAGGGTACAGAGATAGAAAATGTGACATTTTAGTAAAATCCAGCTAGTGGTCTATTATCAATGCTGTATTCTGATTGGTTGAGCTACTACTAGGCTATATGTTATAGCTCACTAGTAGCGAAAAGCGTCGTGTTTTTCGCGGCAAAAAAGGATTAAAGTGTAGGTTTAAGCAGCTAAAATTTTTTTTATTCTCGATATTTTTTACCAACTAGTTGGATTTTACTCATGGCCTCTGAGTCAATAGCCCAATCGGCCTTCGGTCTCATAGGTTATTAACCCGGAGCCCATTCGGGCTCGAGGAATAATTTTTAAGTACCGTACTGTCAGTAATGGTTGAATAGAACAAAGATACCTGAACATGGAAAGTGTCTTGTCTAAAAAAAAAAAAGAATGTTATACACCCAAGTGGATGTAGAGCCTGACCCATTGAGAGACAGTGAAAAGCAATCAATATCTTGGCTAAGGAAGCAACCCCAAGAAATGACGAAGAGACATACCCATGTCACTAAAAGTGTTTTTCGTTTTGCTCTGATACAAATTGTGGTCACACCTTCAAGCCTGGTCAAGACATCTTGGGACACTATGCTGATTTAAATCGCAATCTCATTCCTATGAAAGCTTGGGAATGTTGTTAGAGCCTATTTCTATTGACCCCCTCTCCCCCAAACAAATTTGATTGTGATGAGAAAGACTTGGATGCACGACATCAACGCTTCACCAGAGGGAAAGGGGGAAGGGAAAACAGGGGTGGATCTAGGGGGAGGGTGCAGGGGGTGCACACCCCCCCCGAGATGACCTGCGGTTTTCTAACACAACTGGTATTCTGCAAAAAAAAAAAAGAACTATGTGGTTTGTTGGTGTTGAAGTAGAGCAAGAGACGAGTGCACCCCCTCCTAACAAAGAATTTTTGACCAGGGTTGTAGATGTGATTGCTGACATATTTTACTCACCCCAACAACTCGTCCCAAGACAGTATAAGCTAATATTAGAATAGATACTTATGATAAGTCTGCTAATAATATACTGCTCCCTTTTCATTGTTTGAAGACACTGAAGTAAGAGCTCGTTCAGTGCTACATGCTCCCAAGTCTGGAAAAACCAGTGTTCTTCTAGTTACAGATGGATTAGAAGAGGGACTGACAGGAACTCTAGTGTATTGTGTGAAAGCTGATGCTACCAAAGACATTAAAATGAGGATAATCGCTGATGTATGTTACTTTGCAAGGTTTAACCATATAAGTTCAAAAATTGATCCTTATCAATTTTCTCCAAACAATATTAATACATGATCAAAAAATGGTTATGAGAATTAATAAAATAATTACCTACATGAAAATGATTTGTTTTCTAACAAATTCTTGCAACTGATATTCATTAAGGAAATGTATGGAGAGCACTTAAAGGAATTTTGAAAAGGGTTGATTTCCCTTTCGTGATTAATTATCCAGGGTGAAAGAAAGTCAGCTTTACAGCCTGCCACTAGCCCACAAGTCATTTCAACTAGCCCCAAACCCTTTTTGATTAGCAGGATTGATTGCAATCCTTACATCATATGGATTTTCCCAAAAAACATAAAACAAAAAACATTGCATATGATATGTGTGTTTTTCTTTCTTGTTGACTAATATTCAGGAAGTATCCTTTGGCAGTATCAATGTTGCAGAAGCTGGATCGCTTATTCCAGCTCTTAAGGCTCATCTCACAAAGATCTACTTGCCAGCTATTAATGCAATGTCCAACTGGGGAGAACTAACTGGGACCCCACAAGGAATTCATGCCCAAAAGGAGTTTGTTGAATCTTTAGACAACTTTGTGCATTTTATAGATGGTAAGACAATTTTGGTTCTAGATTAGAAATTAGAAATCTGACAAAATTGCACTGTTATGGGTAATATAGTGTAGATCAAGGTTCAAGGTTTACCATAAATATAGTTTAAAATAATTAACTACGAAAAGTCCACAGCATGCATAACTTGCCTGCAGCCAGTTTGCTTTAAATCTAACATCAGACACAACTGTCAATATTAAAATACGGAGTTTGAGTTTGACTGGGCTGAACATTATACGTTTGTTGAATTTTTTTTTTTCCTCAGTCTGTTTTCAGTCATGTTAATGTGTGATAACAAGATTAAAGCAAACGAAAATAATTAAGGTTAAATTAAACACAACAGCTATGCTTTAAGTATCATACCTACCAAAATTAAGTGATTAATTGCCATGTATTCATTTCAGCCATTGTGTTTTTTCGTAGGAGCGCACGCATCAGTGAATGAAGCAATAAAGTTACACCCTTGTAATGTGATTGACGTCAGTTCCCTTGAGGGGCCAGCTGATTATCAAGCGCTAGCAAACAATCAGGAAATACTCTCTTTACTGGACGATCTTGTGCACTCTTGGTGTAAACAGATTGAAAAAGTGAGTTCTTTCACGATGTAAATGAAATTTCACCACTTTCGTCTCTTGCTAACTCGGTATTCACATTGTTTGCCCCTACGGCAAATCACTTAGTGAACCATGTTTGTTAACAACTGACTCGTCAATCCAGTGTTGCTGCGTAAGGGAAGTTTTCAATAACTTTTTGGTTAAAGGCGTAATGGCTTTACATTAATAACTACGTTGTCGTAGCATTGTAAGGTAGATCTCTGAGATATAAAACTTTCGACAAGTCTGCATTTACTTAGGAGGAATTTTTGGGTTAGAGAAAAGCACTACCTTATAGCATTGGGAAGACATTTGAGAGTTGGGAATGATCTATTCTGGAATAGTACATGTACATGTACGTCAGATCAGACCGCGCTCTGATAACGTGATTATAATCGAGAGACAGTTGGGAATTTGCGTTGCCAGAACTTATCAATTGGAACAGAGAGAGAGAGAGAGAGAGTGAAAGAGAGTAATACAACTGTTACTGTGTACAGACTGTGCTCACCTTTATTCTTGGCTTAGCATGCAAGTGGAGGAAATAATGTCAATGGTATTTGTACTTTCTGTCTTGTTGCCCATAGGTGCTGGCCCAGAGCGAACAGATGAGGAAGGAAGCAGATGATACAGGACCCATGGCAGAACTGGAACACTGGAAAATGAGAATGGCAAAATTCAGCTCACTAGTGGAGCAAATAAATCATCAAGACTGTAGAGCAGTTTTACGAATTCTGCATATTGCTAAGTCAAAAACTCTTAAGGTGACTTTGTTGATGAGATGGTCTCTTCCTTTAAATACATCGATCGTGCGCCGTCATGATTTTATCGCGATATTCATGCTATCCTTGACAATTACTTGTTAGAAACTGGTTTTCTAAACCGACTGTCGTTTTTACAAATTTACTTTAGATAGTTGCAGTGATCCTCGAGAAGTTGGACATGAGCTAGATAGTGAAGGCTGATTAAATGTAACAATGTTACGATTTTAACTGCATTACCCGGTTTTCTTTTTTCAAGTCCGTTTTTTAAGTTATTTATGTAAGGTGATGTCTAATTTGCCCAACAAAGCTGTTTATGTCTTATAGTTTTGGCGTGAGTTGGATTGCCGCATTACAGACGCTGCCAATGAAGCAAAAGACAATGTGAAGTTTCTTTACACACTGGAGAAAGCTTGTGATCCTCTCTATCACTCAGACCCGGTATGAACAACCAATATATTTACTCAAAACAGCGCCCTTTCTTGAATAAGCGCCGTGCTTAGGAAAAAGTACTAATAAGCACTGCACCTTACTGGCAAAAATGCAGCGCTTGTTAAATTTCATTTTTTGGCATTCTCTGTTTCTGGTATAAGAAGTGGCCTTCCTCTCTTGCTTAAACTGGTGGTTTACTTTAATCCCCAAACAATGTACTATTTGCTCCCAGATAGAACACTCTCTCGCATTCACGTTTCTGAACACTTTGTCTACCGCTGGGATCAATCATCTTGAATGCAAGCTCGAAGAATGTTAATGTATTGGCTATGAAAATGAGTGATACGTCAACTTGTTTAGAATCGTTATTGACTGTTGGTCGTTTGTCTTCTCAGGTTTCTATGACAGATGTTATTCCTGTGCTGATCAATGCTATACAGATGATACACACCATTTCTAGATACTACAACACTTCGCAAAGGATGACGTCTCTTTTCATTAAGGCAAGCTATCTGTTTGACAATTTTTAGTAGGCTCTTAAGTAGGCGTAGGCGTTATTTTAAAGTTTATCGCGTTTATCGCATCTCGTTCAATGCGTTGGCAAATTCTTCTAGTGTTGAATACTGAGGGACTGTATCGAAATTCAGGAGAAGATAAAAGAAGTCGTTGTCTTGTGTTCACGTCTTCCACAAAACGTGAAATTAAGGATTTTTACATCGTAGTCGGGCAGTAACGGCAACAGAAGAAATTTACACAAAAGCGTGATGCACGTACAGAGTTGTTGTTTTGCTAAAAAGGAGCTTAAACAAGAACGACGGCGACATCTACGAAAACGTCAGTTAAAAAGTGTTTTCGCGCTGCTGCACACTTTATCGCGCGTATTCCATCACGTTCAATTCGTCAAATGCTGGCGAATTTTTGTGGAGTTGAATTCTAAAGGATTGTATCAAAGTTCAGAAAGAGAAAAAGAGGGTCGTCCTGTGTTCGCGTCCTCCACAAAAAGTGAAATAAGGCAGTTTCACGTTGTTGTCGTGCAACGACGGCAAAGAAAGGTACAAAAAGGGGTATGCACGTGCAAAGTTGTTGTTTTGCAACACTAAACCTATTGCCGTGGCCGTCTTCGTTCAGCTTAAGCTCCCTAAAAACTATTAGCGACCTTTAGATTCAAGGATGAGAACGACTACCAGTACGATTTTTTTGTTTTTTTCGCGTATTCTCAAAATATAGACTCCCCGGAAAGCTTCATTTTACCATTTTTCACTAGAAAAGTTAGCGCTGTTACCTTTAGTGAAGGAGGTTACGAGCTCTGCCCATCGCAAAATGAGAAAACTTCCAACATCTGATAACTCGTTTTCCCCACTTCGACATTCTCGTTAAGACTCGTCGTAGAGTGAGGACGGCTACCACATTTTCCCGCCAAAATGATGCTGGTTCACGCGCGAGCACTACTTAGTACTGAGAAAATCTCGTACTCGTAGTCGTACTCGTCTGTATTGATTTTTTGCCGTTCGTGTCCTTGTGAAGTCTTCCTATTGTTAACTGAAGACTGCGCCTTTATTTCAGGTGACTAATCAAATGGTGACTGCGTGTAAGAACTACCTAACCGACCGTGGTGTGAACCGAGTCTGGGACCAGCCTAGACAGCCCCTGATAGAGAAGCTTAAAGCCTGCTTGAAGTTGAACCAGGAATATCAGAAATGCTTTCAGCGAACCAAGAAGCGCATTGCAGAGGACCCCAGTAAGAAACCTTTTGAGTTCTCAGAGATGTACATCTTTGGCAAATTCGACACGTTTTGCAAACGTTTAAGCCAGGTATGAATCATACTGTATAATGCGCCCTTAATGTTTTTTTTTTCACTTCTTTTGATGGTTATTGAGCATAAACTGTGCTCTTAGTCTTGTTGCATTTTATGTATAATTTTCTATTGTTAATTTATTTGCGACTGTTTACTTGTGGACGACAAAAACGATTTAAGCACACGAGAAGGATGTAATTATAACAATTCTTATACATTGTAGTCACCATCTGTCTTCTCTCTCGACTTCTCATTGGCTAAAAGCCTACAGTTAATTCTGGGAAACAGTGCATCCTACAGATTATTCACTAATCTGTACCTACAGATTAGTGAATAATCTGTAGGTTGCACGCGCAATGCATGATTTCCTTTATAAAGACGGTGAAAATTAATTTTTGTTTATCACTGAGTTGTACATTTTTAAGTGTTTGAAAATAAACTGTGATCGCTGCGATAATGCGTTTGTCGTTATTTTCTTCAAAACAATGTATAATAAAACAATTATTAGATTCCGTTTTTGTGATATCCGGAATAATCAAAGTCTCGGTAAGTGTTATCAGCCTCAGCCTTCGACTTCGGCTGATAACACTTACCTCGACCTTGATTATTCCGGATATCATAAAAACCTCATCCAATAATTGTTTATAATGCCTGGGGCCGGGAAGTTCAAAGCAGGGTTAAGATAACCCAGGGTCAGTGCAAAATTTCAATTGAGATATGAAAGCTTTAAAATCAAATCCAGTTTTATTATTTTTGTCACAACTTGATAATGTAATGCTCTAAAAAGAATCGAGAAAATTCTCCGGTAAAATGCTTTTGAACAAAAGAAAAAGAAACCCGGGTTTAAATTTAACCCTTGGTTAGCGCTAGTCGGCCCAGGTCTGGACCCAGGTTGAACGTCGATCTTCAAACTTCACATCTGACAAACCTAATGCCGGTAAACAAAAGCGATTGTTCTGGCTTATTAACATTACGTTCATCACATGAAAAAAATACAAATGCAAATACCTGCTATTATCTTCGGCCCCTATGTAGTATTTGTCCTTTTTGCTTGTTGTTGTAGATCATAGAAGTAATAAATGCGCTGGAAACGTTTTCCGTTTTGTCGGAGTCAAAGATAGAAGGGATTGAAACAATCTCGAATAGATTCCATCACATGTACTCGGCACTAAAGAAGAAGCCATACGATCCTTTGGACCACAGAAAAACCGATTTTGAGGCAGATTTCTTCGAGTTCAGACGCCAGATTAGTGAAATCCAGGTTTGTCCTGTGCTTGTATATTTTTGTATGATTTGTTTATTTAAGCCACAGGTCACCCACACCACTCATTATACTCTTCTCCTGAATCAGACAGTCTATCAGTGAATGAGGTTCGTTAGCATTTTGCCAGTTTTCTTACCCCTCAACCGTGTTCGGTACCCTATACTTCTTGGTTCCATTTCATCATTTCTATAAAGTTTCATTTTCAAAACCGTGAATATGAGTCTTAGTAGGTTGTCAACTTTCTCAATAAAACCACTGACTTAAATTTTAGCGTAGGTATATCCGTCGAGGTTAAAAGCACTCTACTAAGTTCCTAAAAAGGTTGAATAGACCAGGGACAAATTAACATTTGACACACTTTTGCACTAGACCATTGTAACTATCCTGCGCTTTCCAGCTGTCTTGTTGTTTAAATTGTTTGTATTATTTTTATATAGAATCACTTGAAAATGTTTATGAACTGCTGTTTTGAAAAAATAGCCACCACTTCTCAGTCTTTGGAGCTGTTAGGCAGGTGGGTATGCTTGTGCCTTACATCGTCCTTTAACGCTTGATAGTAACAATCAACTTAGAGAAGAAATAGTTATACCGATGTGGCCTGTCATGCAGGCGTTTTCTGGGTGGCGAGTACCAGGGCTCGCGAAGATTGTGATGGTGCAAGGGGATATGAATGGTAGGGGGAGACAGGCCACACCCCACTTCGCCCCTTCAGTCCTACGCTCGTTACTTCCCTGTTTATCTTTTAATATCCAATAGTAACAATCAACCTTCCTGAAAATACCGGTGAAGCCTGTCGTACGGTCAGTTTCTGGGTGGTGAGTACCAGATATTGCTCAGGCCCCAGTTGTTCAAAAGCTGGATAGCGCTAACCACCTGATAAATCACTATCCAGTGTATAAATATTCTAGGGAAACCAATTGCGCTATCCAGTGGATAGAGACTTGGATAGCGCTATCCATTTTTGAACAACTGGGACCAGGTTGCGATGAAAAGATTATATGAAGCAAAGAGAAGTTAGGGGGCGGGGGAGACAGGCCTCAACCCATTTCCATTGCTTCTTCAGCCCTACACTGCTTCGCTATTTACCCTTTACTACTCAACAGTAACAATTAACTTACTAGAATACCGGCGTAGCCTGCAGTTCATTCGTTGTTTGGGCGGTGAGTACCAAAATTCACTAAGGTTGTGGTGGAGGTGTCTGATGCTACAAGGGAAATAAGGGGTGGCGAAGACAGGCCTCAACCCACTTTGCCCCTTCAGTCTTATGGCCAACCAAGTAACTGCACCTTTACTGCGTTCAATCTGCCACTCCTGTCAGAATCAAAGACAGCTACCTCACACAAGAAATAAGGAGTGCTTGCTTGCTTGCTTGCCTGAAAATTACGGCTGTAGTACATGTTAGAAAAGACCTCGAACTTGACACTTTCAGTACAATATTGAAAAATAGTTACCACTGACAAAATGTGACTCGTATTTTTTTTGCAATAATTATCACGTTATGAGCAAGGACATGAAACAATCCGGAACTTCTTCCTCGTCCTACAAGCCATAAGACTCTTGTCACAATAAACACGACGTGTAACCTTAATATAAAGGCTTTGACGATATACTGTTTCACTGTCATGCTGTTTAGATTTGAAAAGCTTGGAATACCAAGTCTGAAGCCATACGTTGAAGAGAGGTATGCGTACCTTCTCCAACACTTCGGCAGGGAAGTGGAAGTCATATCCAAGGTTAGTCTGGTTGAAATAAAGTCATTTTTACTGAGCTAGTAAAATACTGAAAACGTAATTATAAATGAGTAGATATAATTGGCACAAGATAATTTTACTAGATGAACCGACATGAACACTACCCCTCCCCTAAGACAACATTTGACTTGTTGACGTAAGGGAGGGACAGGTGGGCTGTTTCCCTGAAACCTAAATTGATTAAACTTAGCTGTTTATTCTGAACTTGTTTTTTGAATCTCTCTATTAATATAGGCATAGAATTTTTGGATTAAGTTTCGTTGTGGATCCTGCAGGGTACTTTGATTAGGAACCTTAAGATAAACCGATCTGTTTATGACTACGGATAGGTGAACATGTTTTCCATGCAGCTTTATAAAGCAGGACCATGATTTCCCAGATGTGGTATTGATTTCGTCGTTCTACCCGGTAACCTTGCTGTTTTTCCGGAGTAGGGGGCGGCTTATCCGTAGGAGGCGGCTCACCCAGGGGTAGTTATGGCCGGGGTCCCTGAGTGCGGTTAATTTACCTGTACACGGAAGCCGTGTATTTTAACATCTCGATGTTTTGTTTTCTTCCAGTTGTATCAAAAGAACTGTGAAAATCCCCCAGTGCACCGGGACGTTCCCCCTATCTCCGGCCGCATTGCTTGGGCCCGTCAACTCACGAGACGAATACGTAATCCCATGGACATATTTCAAAAGCATCCATCTTGCTTAAAAACTCCGGAGGCGGCCAAAATTATCCGCAACTTCAACCAGCTGGCCACTGTTCTGGTGGAGTTTGAGATTCTTTATCACAATGGCTGGCTGAAGCAGGTGGAAGTGGCCAAGACAGGTATGATTGCTAGCAGGGTCCGCGTTAATTTTTCCCCTGCTTACAGAGGTCTCTCACGGCAAGAGAAAAGGGAGAGGAAAGATAGACATCTGCCGGCCTCCGATTTGTTTTGTATCAAGCATGTATTAGCGTTTCCGTAAAAACTAGTAACGTTTTAGTCACGTGCAACACAACTCACAGACCTGGTGTGCGCGAATAACAACTGTGAGCTCAGAAATTTCCAGCGCGCAGTTTTAACAGGGCGCGCGCATTCCACATTAAACGAAACCGGTTTGGAAAACCAGTAAGTCTTTGCCTCATTTCTATCATTTTTCTCTTCTTGTGAGAGACCTCTGTTAGCTGTTAGTTTTCGAGAACGCGAATGACGTCACAATGACCTTTGGCCGTATGTAACTTTCGCAAATTTTCTGGCTGTCAGAGGGCACGGTCAAAGATACCAATGAAAAACATGAGAAATTCAAACAACAGGCATATAAATTATGTAAAAACGTAAAAAAAGAACCTTGTAGTGAAATTCCACTTTCAGGCATTTTTTAAGCACCAGCGTAAATTTGTCGTCCAGTAGACAGTGTGATTCATGGTACGTTTGGCTTTTGTTAGGGCTGCAAGCTTCATTGCTGGTTAGACACCCAGATACAGGTGAACTGTTTGTAAACTGCGATCCTCAGCTGATCCAGCTGATCCGTGAGACAGAGGGGATGATGAAAATGGACCTGCCAATACCAGAGACAGCTCGACTGCTGTACCTAAGAAGGAATGTTATCAGGGGTTTAGCAGATGAGCTTAAGGTATACTGGACATTTAATACCCGATCTGATTACTCTTAAGCCTTCTGTCTCAGTAATGCACATGACCATTCTTGACCTCTTAGTGTGGCAGTGTGGAAATGCCACGGCCATAATTTCCATGTCAAGTAGTTGTAAAAATAACACCAAGTAATATGGATAAAAAAGACATTCAACTTAACCTCTCTCGCAACCACGTGACAATGCAGAGATCAAAATAAACACATCGCTCTTTGAAGTGCGCCGAAATAACAGTCCTCTGTACTAACTATTACTGAACAAACAACTTCCTCTAGGGTAAACTAAAGGATTCTGAATGACTCAACCACACTTGTAGGGGATATTTATTGAATTGTCAAATTTATCTCTTAATTAATGTTATATGCTCTCACTTAGAGATTTTTCCCTTTTAAGATTGCATCTCTGCAATCATAGTTTTTGTTGTAGGGTTCATTCCTGGACGAATCTCTTTTTCCAAGAGTGGTACCTTACCACGGTAAATGATAGTCTTTTCATAATCGCCAAAACTGAAAAAACGTTTTCCCCTGACATGTTCTCTAATCTAGTCAACTCACGAACAAATTATGGTGACTTGTTCGAAAGTGAGAAGCAAGTGTTAATGTTGGCTTTGGGGAGGGGTAGGTGGGCAGTTTCCCAGAAACATGTAATGATCCACTTGTTGTGTCAACCTACAGCTGATGCTTGAAGATGTCAAGAAAGTCAGAGCAAAGATTCCAAACATATTTCTTCCTTTGATGGGACCTCACATGCAACGAGTAGGTTTAAGTTATGTTCATACTACACTGGAAAGCTTTTCCTGCCGACAAGTGATATTTAATTCTTCACTTTAAGGTGATGTTACACCGGACGATTCGCAACGACGATTTTTAGCGCAAGACATGGTTGCAATGCTGGAGCAATGTTGTAACCATTCGAAACAATAGGGCCATTTATACGAGGAAAAATAAGACGCGTCTTATGTAAGACGCGTCTTAAATAAGACGCGAACTGTACCATTTATACGAGCATGTCTTATCTAATAAGACGCGTCTTAGCTAAGCCGCGTCTTATTTTAGACCAATTGTGCCGTTTATACAGAAAGTTTGCGTCTTATTTAAGACGTGTCTTATGTAAGACGCGTCTTATTTTTCCTCGTATAAATGGCCATAATGTCGCAACAATGTTGCGACGCTGTGTTGCGCTGAAAATCGTCGTTGCGAATCGTCTCGTGTAACATCGCCTTTAGACTTTCTCAAAGTCGTTCGCTTGGTTTTCTGGTCTGGTGTGGTAGGACCCGGCTCGCTCGCGCTTCGCGCTCACTGTCGCGCTACGCGCTCAAAAGCTCGACTTGTGAGCAAGTCTACATCGCCTTCATCCTCGGAGACCCGGGGGCAGATAAAGGGGGTGAGGGAAAGTCTAAACGGGTGGAAAAATATATATGGAACGAAGAAACTTTTCTGGCACCAATCAGAAGCCAGAACGGCGGCGATCGTTTGGAACTGGTCTGGTAAGACATTGTCCCCAGGGGCTCTTCTCGCCGTTCTTTACTTTTCTTCGTGCGATATTTTCCGCCCGTTTAGACTTTCCCTCGTCCCCACTATCTCCCCCTGGGTCTCCGAGGATGCATCGCCTTTAGAGATCGGCGCGGCGCAGCTTCGCTCCGTTAGAGAAATCGCGCCGAAATCAGTTTCTTTATGTGTGAATAGAAGCCATATCCGGCATGGTTTTCGTGCAGTCGTAAAAGCCATCCGGTATAGTGAACATAGCCTTAGAAAGTGACTTCACGGTTTCAAAATTCGTATAGGTAATAGCATGATTCGTAGTGATATTTGGCATAAATACCACGAGTGATATTTCGAAATTGTTATACGTAATTTCACGAGCCGTTAGGCGAGTGAAATTTGAGACAATTTTGAAATATCACAAGTGGTATTTATGCCATATATCACGTACAAATCATGCTATTATTTGTTTATACTACTACCCACAAAAGGTTTGTAATTTTCACATGTAGGTATTTCAAATTAAGCTGAAATACCACGGCTCTAAGCCAATCAAATTGCAGAAATTTCTGATGTAGTAGTATAAATCGCTGTTATTCCATGTCGTTCAATATGTAAAATGTTGGTAAATTTGTCGAGGGTTGAATTCTAAAGGACTGTTTAAAACAAGAAAAAGAGGATCGTTTTCTTGTATTCACGTCTGCCACAAAACGTGAAATTAGGCAGTTTCACGTTGTGGTCGTCGACGTGCAGTGATGGTAAAGAAATGTGCAAAAAAGCGTGACACGAGGGAATTTAACCCCATACCTATTTTTAAATAGTTATCTCAAGACGTAAAAATCAATGCGGAAGTATCGAGCATTGTAAATGGTTCCGCTATCCGTTATTTTCTAGGTTGAGAGTGCTATCAGTCCCGGAGTAACCATGCTAAATTGGAATTCTCTTAACATACCCTCTTACATCGCCAATGTGTACAGCCGTTTGCGGCAAGTGGATCTACTGATAAAACAAGTTAATGACATTCGAGATGCCCGAATTGATGCTGTGCTTCGTGAGATCAGTGAGACTGTTCTTTGTGAATTGCCCAAAGATGATTCTTGGACTATTGATGAATTTGTTACCAGAACACTGGTAAGCCCATCGCAGTTTAACCTTTTGTTAAAGAGGCTCGCTTCTAAGTTAACAACTAACTGAGAGACTGCGGTAGAGAGATCCTGAGTCGTGAGAAAAGTTTGTTGAACTATCAGCTGTTTTTTCCTTAAGTAGTAGCTCGATAGTCAGTGAGGTTGACTGTATTCGTTTATTTACACGTTATGTTAGAGACCTGTTGATTCTAAGACGAGGGCGACTAAGAGAACGATATTTTTCCAGTGCTAACGTAAGGCGCAAGCCCGAACCAGCGTCATTTTGGCGGGAAAACGCGATAGCCGTCGCCATTCTACTACGAGTTTTAACGAGAATATCGAAGTGGTGAAAACAAGTTATCAAACAAGTTGTTGTCGTAGCCAACAGTTACCAGCACCGTACAAACGACTCATTGACGAGATCAAGCAAAACTAACTACGAGAGATTGACAATTTCACTAACAATAGACGACTGTTTAACTGTGACAATAGACGGATCGAAACGCACCAATTACTGATTACAAGTCTTCATAGCCAATAACATCACGGCTTAACTGACGGACGACCAATGACATCACGACGTAATTGACCAATCAAATCAATAACCAGAGTATGATACCATCAACTGACGTGACGCAACTCACTTTGACTCTGAAGATGACTACCGCACAGGTTGTCGAAACGTCAGTCACTGTCAACAACAACAGTCCTATTCAGGACTACGTTCACCCGGACGATCAAACTCAACCTACTTTTGAAGTTGTCAAATGTTAGGAATTTTATCATAAACCGATAGGGAGAGGGTTTTACCTCCTTCAACGGAAATAAGCGTACTAACTTTTGTGGTGAAAAAAAAAGGACAAATTAGCTTTTCGGGGTGTCTATTTTTAGAGAATAGGCGAGAAAACATAAAATTAAATGTGGTCATCGTAGTCGTTCTCATACTCGAATCTAAAGGTCTCTACTTTGTTGCATGCTGTAGAAACGCTGTGAGCCTCTTGGCAAGGTCCTGGACCACATGAGTCTATGCGTGGAAGAAGCCGTGCATGAACTAGCGAGTATCTTCCTTTATAGTTTGGAAAGTATTGGTGTGTCTGCCCTGGGACCTCGATCTCCGCCTGCTAAGCCTACTGATAAGGATAAAGATCGTAAAATGGAGAGCAACCGCGGAGAGAAGGACAGCAAAGAACAGAGGGTAAAGACGCCCAAATTACCGGACGAGAAAAGTATAAACGAAGAAATCGATGAGCTGATTTTGTTCTTCAATCACCGTAATTTCGAAGCTCTTCTGCGGGCTACAAGAAATGCATTGGATGGAATGAAGAGAAGATTGTTTTGTATCAGGTCTTTTTCCTTTTGCTTGTTTGTCTGTTGTTTAGCCTTCTGCAGGCCCGGTTCCTCGAAAGATAGTTAAGTTTAACCCAAGATTAAGCCAAATTTCTAGCACGGTTTTCTTGTCTAAAAACATGTAATTCATGCTTACAAAATGCTATTGAGCCTTTACTCTGAGATACAGTAATGTTGACACATAATGTTACGCTAAGCAATGCATTGGAAAGTAAATACAAAAAGTGGAGCAAAGTTTTAATCCTGAATACAGCAACCGGGCCCTACACTCAAACTGGGGACTTTCAAATTAGACAGTTAGTGAGAGATTGTGGTCCAGTAGTACTGTTGAAATAGGCCATTTCCGAGTTGTCTCAAAGTGAGGCTGAGCACAAAGCCATTCTCTTGCAAATGAAACTCATTTTCACAAGAAAGGGTGTGTTCTTAGCTTCTGTTTGAAAGTGAGAGTTTTTGGAACTCGGTAATGGCTCATTCATTTTGCGTACTAATTTTTGTGTTTACGTCCTCTTTCCTTGTTTTGTTTCTACTGTCTATGTGTTTTACTCGATTTTGAGCAACTGGGGTCAGAATTACAATAAAGCTGAAAATAGTGACAAGATTTTTGCAATTGTTTTATTTTATTCAGCACAACGCGGTCAACCTACGGCAAGAGAGCCTTTTCTTCATCCGCTGGATTATCAAATACTTACAACAAAGCTCCATTCTTCAAGGCCGAGATAACTCTTGTCATTCCTCATGTGGTAAGAATGTTTGATTAATAAAAGCGAGGTTGACAACAGCAGTTTGGTTAGGACAGCGAGCTCAAGCAACGAGAACACTGACGTCCTTTACGTCATGAATAGCAACCGGAAGTTTGGTGTCTCGCTTGATGGATCGCTTCTGTCTCGCACAACGAATGTGAATGCCTTTGTTTTAACTACCGCTGTACGAATTTGCCAAGTCAGAGAACTGAAAAATAGAAAATATCAACCTCCGGTTGCCATTTTTGACGTCCGGGACGTCAACGTTATCGTTGATGGAGGTCCCTATTTAGTACTGATAGATTTACTCTTACTTGTTTCAAGGCTACGCCATTGTGAGGAGCTAATAATGAATAATTAAGTGATGTAAAATGCAAACAATTCCAAACGCCGGCTTTGGCTAAGAGTTGCAGATTTCGAGTTGTATCCGTTCTAGGCACAAGTAGGTCAGGTCAATAACAAATAGGAAACCATACAGCTGATGTACAGAAGAGAAAAACAGCGACTTATATCACATAGTTGGCACGGAGAGGAATACATATATACAGCTATTTCGAGAAAGGTGGTCGGAAAAAGTGCACGCGACAGTCCCGAAAGGTATTGTGGGTGGATTTGAGGGCACTTTTCTTCAAAGAAATTTGAAAGAATGGTACGGGAGGCCACGGACATATGTTTGCGATTGCTAAAGGAAAGCAACAAAAGTAGGTTCGACATCTTCAGTCGTTACGAACAGTGTATTGATCATATCCCATATTACCTTTCGGGATTGTCGCGTGCGCTTCTTCCGAAAACAGCTGTATAAAAAAGGAGTTTGGTTGGTCCAAACGCACACTTGAATATTTCCAAACCTATGATTTATACATGGCAGGCGCCGTTTGTTCAAACGATGGATAGCGTTATCCACTAGATAGATCACTATCCAGCGGATAGGTATTTGGTAAACCAATTGTGTTTAATCCAATGGATAGAGCCTGTTTTATCCGGTGGATAGCGTTATGCACCTTTTGAAGTGGAGGGAGGAAGAAGGAAATACATCACACTTTTTGCCAGATTAAAGGAAGGAACATTACAATTACAACTTCATAAAAAAGGAATGTAACATTAGAGTTAAGATGGCATGATAGTGTGATATGATCTTGTCCGTCAAGCACTTGTTCGTTCTTCATTGTTGATAAGCTGTGTATTAATGTTTGTGCACAGGTCATCCATCCCTCTCTGGATGATATTCAGCAGGCTCTAAACAAAGCTACTCAGTCAGTCTTGGATGTTAACCGGTCTGTGGCTCAGTGGGGACAGAAAAGGTTCAAAATGATGGAAATCAGTTCCAACGGAGAAGCTTCTCCTGGGCACATCAAGAGAACAGTGCGAGCTACCGACTCGAGTGAGTAAATTGACCTCCCACTGTATTTGCTAAAACTTCTAGACCGTTTTAGAGAGTTAAAGACTGTCTATAACGTAAGTGTAAGCTTTCCAAGAAACTTTACACTTCCCAAGAAAAGGTGAAGTAATTTTCACTTAAGTTTGCGGTATCTTTAATTGGCCTCTAGTTCTCAGTTAATTGTGTTAAATATCTTCATCGTGTAAAATTTACACTTTCGGTCATGATGACAATGATTTTGATGAAGATGATGATGGTGGTTGTGGTGGTGATGGTGGTGATAATGATGATGATGATGATGATGATGAAGATAACGATGATGGTTATGGTGGTAGTGGTGCCTGTGTTGATACTGACAATGGCAACAACGTCAACAACGATGGTGTTAGTGATGATTATGATGCTGATGCTGGTGCTAACGATGAAGACAGTGATGCTGCTGATAATAATGGCAATAATGATGATAATGTTGATGTTGAGGAATGATCAGTATGTCACCGGTGTGGGTGCTGTCTTGTTGCCGAATCGAGTTCGTAACCCCAAGGGACATCCAACCTACTGAATTTCGAAGATTAATCTAGAAGGATCTAGATTTCAATCCCTCATGGGGACTTATCCTCTTTTCTCCGATCCGTGCTTGTGGGGTACTGATATTTTCATCTTTTCCTTAACGTATACTGATTTCTTGATTTTCCCCAGAGGAAGAGATTCTACCCAGCAAACTTAAGAACTACTACAAGAGCGTTGCCGAACACAAGGACATCACCAAGCTTCTGATGGTGCTGACCTCAGTGATCAGCTCTACAAAGGCGGAGGTCATGACCTGTCTCGACTCCTTCACACAGTTTCACTCTGTCTGGGACGAAGACAAGGAGAAAGCCGTCGCTGTAAGTACATTGCAAAAACATTTCTCGTTTAAATGGGCTGTCTTTGTTAATAATGACAGTTCCGCGTCTTCATTCGCTATGGGATTTGAGAAATTACTTGTAAATAGCAATGAGGAAGAGAATTCAATGCTTCGTGTCAAACAAATATGTCTTCCAAGCGTTACTTTTATTGAAGAAGGTTAAACCCTCTCCTGATTTCAAAATGATAAAACTTTGAACATTTGATGACTTGTTTCCGGCATTACGACATTCTCCTTAGCAGAATGACGACGGCAAACCCTTTTTCCCGCTAAAATGACGCCGTTTCACGCACGCTTGCACTACTTAGTAATGAGAAAATCTCGCTCCCGTATCGTCCTCATCTTGGGGAACGGAAAAACGGGCAGCAAAAACATGCAACTTGTCTTACAACATTGCTGCAAGACGAGTTGAATTGTGCTGTTGCCCGTTTTACCACCCACATTAAACCTGTCTTGCCTCAAATCAGGTTGTTAGAAGGTTTGAAAATGGGTGGTAAAACCCACAACATCGCTTTTCAACTCGTTCTGCAGCAATGCTGCAAAACGAGTTGCATGTATTTGTTGCCCGTTTTACTGAAGTCTTAGAATCTAACGGTCTCTACTATGACATCACGAGTTTGTGCTGCAAACCTTTGTTCCACCCACGTAGTTTAAAAGACAGCGTAGGAGTTAAATACTGAAGAAAATTGGTCGGTAATTTTTTCAGTACTCGTAACACTGGTTTTCAACTTTTTCTATAGGATTTTGTGGCTTCTGATCCAATCTTGTCAGAGTTCAAGGCCGAGATCCTGAAATACCAGAACTTAGAACAAGAGATTGAAAACATCGAGCCAACCTTCCGAGTGGGTCATGGAGCCATTGAAATGTACTCAGGTAAATAACAACAACAACAACAATGCATCTATTAACAAACGATAAATTTTTTACAGTATATTGTATGCCCCACAAATAGCTATTAAGCTAATCGACGAGACAAAACAGACAAAAATGAAATGCTAAATGCGTCTTGTAATAGCGGAGCTCCAGGCGCGAGCGGAGCCCATAGCTAAGAAAATAGGCCATTTTCACGATGACTTCATTTGACTACTAATACCAGAATCTTCAGGGTTTTGCTTTGTTGTGCAAATTAGGGGTCTTGTTATTTAAACCTCGCTGGGGTTACCAAATTTAAATATGAAAGGAAAAACGAAAAGGATTCTGCTCATAGTAGGAAAATGACGCCATCGTGCAAATGGCCTATTTGGTAATCTATCCATGCCATAAAATTTGGTTATGACGTCAGCGTCCGACCCCCCCTTCCGTACAGCCGCTGAGGGAGGGGGAAGGGAGTCAGAGGTCAGCCCGTCGGGGCAGGAGTATGTTATAGCTGAGATGAAATTTTCCATTTCAAGCACCTCGCTCGTTTCGGCAGTAAATTACATGGTCGCCCGGACTTTTAGAGGAAATAAAAAACAACAAAAAAACCGAGTCTTTCTTTCCAGTAAATTTTAATGTCTACAGTAACTTAGATAACAGGGAAAGAGCTAGGAGCGACTTATTTCGTTGGAAGAAAACATGAAAATTATATAGCGGCGTTTAGAAAATGAGAAATGCTAGAACATTTCCTCCATAAAACGCGTAAATAGGAAGCTAAAAGTAGTTTCACGTTTTTTGTCGTCCAAAACAACGGCAAGGAAATGTACAAACTAGTTTGCTGCACGTGCAAAGTTGGTTTTTTGCTAATTAGAAGAAAAAGTGTACTGCACGTGCAAAGTTGTTTTTTTGCTAATTAGATCTATTGTTGTTTTTTACCGTTCTCGTTGCTTTCAACTTGTCTTTAAAGTATTACTCGATTTTATATTTTCTTTGAGGAAAAATAAACGGTTTTGTTAGTGTTCGTCTCAAATCTAATTAACACATGTTAAAGTTCATGATGCGATTTACCTTCGAGATCAAAAAGCTTCACAAGTTACTTTGAAGTAACGACAACCAAGCCACTCAGACGCTGTTTTTACTCCGATAGTTATCCAGATAATATCCCTTTTACAGAGCCTTTTAAACTTGCCTTACGAGTTGAAATCAAGGCATGGAAGCTTTTATTTGGACACAGCATAAACGAAAAGTACAAAAGGAGCATGGACGAGATCACACAGTTTGTGAGTGATAACAGTAAGCGACTTGGCCGGCAGATCAATGACTTGGAAGATGTGAGAAACGCCATGGCTGCTCTGGAAGATATTAGACAGAACGAAATTAGGATCGACATGATTCTTGAACCTATAGAGGTACGCTTCCCAATGATACGGTGCTTAGTTATGTAATTATCTTTTTAGCCTGCGTGGCGCGCGTTCGAAAGTGTAGGGAAAGGGAATAATTTTTACTGTCCTGTAAATCTTCTGGTTTTAAATGAATGAGAAAGAACTTGCAAATGATGAAAATGTAGACCGTAAAAAAACGTAAAAAAAGAAAGAAGGAAAGGAACGAAATGATATAAATAAGAAATATTCACTTTTCATTTCTTATTGTAATCAGTGTGGCACTATTGTTAACAGAAGCACAAAATGTGTCTTGTGAAGTCTTCAAATTACAACTTATCGTTGTATCGATTAAACGAAACGTTAGGTACATTCCAAAGGATGTAACTCAAACGGGAAACGGAACACGGCGAAAATGGACACAAAACATGGAAAAAAAACAAAGAATAGATCATGGTTTACTGTTAAGTAAGGTTTTGTTCCCAGTTTGCATCTCTTTCCAAATGCTTGTTTCCAGATATATACAAACTCTTCCGTATTTGTGGTAGCGGCTGCTCGGAAGAGAAGTCACCAGTGGTTCCTAACCCTGACCCCAAACAATACTGAAACAATTGAAAGAATGACTTGTCATTGTTTTCAGCGACCAATCAGGACAGACTTTACGAGCAGCTCCTACACAATTTGTATTTGTAGCGTCTCAGCTGGCTGGTGAACGCCACAGAATGCTCGACAGTACTTATTGTTTTCCCTATGGTTGTCATTATTTATTTTTACATTAACAGGAGGCATACGCGATGCTCAACAGGTTCGAGGTGTCAGTGGCTCGTGAAGAAGTAGATGGTGTCGACACCCTCCGATACTCGTTTGAAAAACTCCTTTCTCAGGCGGTGAGTAAGAGCGGAGTTGTTGCTATTACTGTTGGGGTAGTTCTCTTGCAGTATTTTACCGTTCCAAGTGCAATAGATTAGGGAAACCAAAAGATTGGATTAAGATGTTGGGAATTGATAGGGCAAATAGAAGTTGATATTTATTTTTATTACAAGAAAAAACTCTAACCCCGACAGTAGAGAGCTTAAAGGGGCTGTGTCACGGCAGACTGGTTCATTTTGTTTAATTTTGCCAATTACTCGCCCTCAATCGCTATGGAACTTAAAGTAAGCAAAGAAATTACATGTAAATGACGAAATCAGAGATCCGAGACAAACAAATATATCCCCTGAGCATTGTTTTTGAAGTTTCAAGCAGCACGGATCAACTTTGAAAAACTGTTAGGCTGAACAGTTTTCAAAAACCCTAATTTCAATCCGTTTCAATCTTCTTCAGTTTTGCCCATCCGTGGCATCTGTTGTTTCTGTTATGTTATTTTAACCTTCCTTTAAAGTTTTAAACGGTTATTTTTATGTTTCTATTGATTTAACGAGCATTTTGTAATTTCCTAATTTGGCTGAATTTCGTGACACAGCTCCTTTAAGATTCACGTTTACCGCCAACGGCGAACGTCAGACTCAAGTTGAGAATTTCTCACATTAGAAAATAAGCAGATAAAAGCAGTCTCGAACGATTCCTACACAAACTTACCTATTATTTTGTAGAAGCAATAAAGAGTAAACAGAAAATAAGGGGAAAACTTGGTCACGTGGTACAAATTCACTTCTACCGTTTGGCGTAAACATGAATCTTAATCTCTCTAATAATCGAAAAGAACGAGTCAGGTTCTCGTTCAATCGGAAAACGCGCTTGTCTAAAAACTTAACAGGACGTCAGAGGAATGAAGACGGCAAACCTTGTGTAAAAGACTAGAAAATATTAATGTTAAGTGAAGATTTCCACAAAACACGCAAGTAATAGCCCTGTCACGTTTGTCGCACACAAGCGTTTTGCCGTCCTCTTCTTCCTGCCGTCCTGTTGCTTAAACGCACCAGTATAGTATGACGCCGGCTCCTTTTTTTCGAGATCTGATTGGCGCATCCAATTATGTTTGGCTCTGGTTTTATTTTAGAGTCAAGTACAGAGTCACCTAGTAAAGATTCAACCCAAGTTTAAAGCTGACTTACTTGAGAGAGTGGTGGTCTTCCATGAAGACTCAACAAACTTCATATCTGACTATGACGAGGTAAACTCTACAGCTCTGGGAAGATCATATCATCATTATTTCATTGAAGAGTGGCATTATATAGTCTACGGTTTGATTGTCACACGGAATTCCATAACGGGAAATCTCTTTAACTGAAAGATTCTGAGCGTTTAGGAATAAAACCTAGCGCATATTAATTCTCGAACTCTTATGCTGTTTAGCAACAGAATGGGAACGTCGGTTGACGACTGCGCGCACAAATGAAACAACTGGATTGACCAATGGCAGAGCGGAAAATTGGATACCGGAAGTCGAGTTTAGTCCTTTCCGCGCGCTTACCCGTCGTCAAATGACGTTCCCGTCCTTTTGCTAAATCGGCCTACTAGTGGTATCACCACAACTTTTGTGTTCATTCGAAGACAATGAAGCTACTGAGTCGCGCCATACACAGCTATATACATGTAATTTACGTTACTTGTTTCAAAACAAGTTTGCCTTCGGCTTGTAAGACCCACAATTGACGTACACAAATTTTGTTGCAAAAAGTAAGACTATTCTCTACTTTCAGCAACGACTGTTCGCAACTTGCAACAACCTAATTTGATGCGAAACAGGTTTGATTCGTGGGTGGTAAAACGCGCAACATCACTTTTCAGCTCGTTTTGAACAATGTATTGTAAAACAAGTTGCGCGTTTTTGTTGCCCGCTTTGTCACCGTAGCTTGAGACTCATAGATACCTGTTAGCTAAACTACTAGTTGGCGATTTCAAAAGATTTTATTATTTCAGGTCGGTCCCATGGTCGAAGGCATCACTCCGCAAGAAGCTAGTGACAGGCTCAATACATTTCAGGTGAAAATCTAGATTTATAAACATTTCTTTTGAAGGAGAGGATCAGTATAAATAAATAAGTAAATAATAAGGGGAGTCTTTAGAGTAAAGTTGTGTAGTATCAAAATCTTATTGAGAGTTTTCCTCCTTTTTTAGAGCCGTTTTGACGAACTTTGGCGAAAGTTCATCACCTACTCTGGCGGTGAGCAGTTGTTTGGTCTCCCTGTGACTGAGTACCCTGAACTCGCTCGCACCAAGAAAGAACTGGGCCTGCTTCAGAAACTGTATGGGCTGTACAATGCTGTTATTGATGGTGTTAACGGCTATTATGATATCCTGTGGACTGAAGTGGATATTGAGAAGATCAACAACGAGCTAATCGACTTTCAAAACAGGTGTTAGTTTAGTCATCACTAGGTTATTTTGATGCCCATTTCCAAGTTATTCTAATCTTCTTCAACTAAGCGAGCCCTGGTACATAGTTGTTCTCAAGAAAGTAAGTAGGTACATGTGGAAAGCTAAGATGTGCAACCGGATTGACTTTTAAGAGTAGACTTACAGTACTCGGGAAATGGACTATTCATTATAATTAATCAGGCACGAAGGGAAAATATTCCAAATATTATAAATTCGCTTGAACTCTTTAAAGTCTTATTCCCTTTCTTGTATTTGGGTTACAGCTACGTCACCTTAATAGCATTTGTTATCATTGGGTCCCGTGGGAGAACGTTTAAGAGTCCAGAAAATTGACGATGATGCTGTTGATAATGATTATGATTATGATGATGAATTCAGGGTGCAAAGAAAGTCAGTTTCACAGCCTGCCATTCGGGCAAGCTGTAGCTAGCATATACTAGCCCACAAGTCATTTCAACTAGCCCCCAAACCCTTTTTGATTGGCAGGAAATGATTACAATCCTTCTGTAATTTAAATTTCCCAAAAAAACAGCACTTGCCTGTCGGGCAAGTTAAGAACAAAAATCACTAGCCCGATAGCAAAATCCACTAGCCCCGGGCTATCAGACCCGACTTTCTTTGCACGCTGGATGATGTTGGTGATCGTGACGATGATGATAATTTTGATTACGATAATGATGATGACCGTTCTGATAATGACGATAATAATGATGATAAGGATGATGACAATAATAAGGATATTAATAAATCTCATTTGATGTTATTTACTCAGGTGTCGTAAGCTGCCTAAAGCTCTTAAGGAGTGGCAAGCATTTAACGAATTAAAGAAAAAGATTGACGACTTCAACGAATGCTGCCCGCTTCTTGAGTTGATGGCCAACAAAGCGATGAAGGATCGCCACTGGGAAAGAATAGCTAATGTGACCAGACACAAATTTGATGTAGAATCAGAGAACTTCTTGCTAAGGAATATCATGGAGGCTCCATTGCTGGAAAACAAAGAAGACATCGAGGTCAGCTACCACTTGAAAAAAGTTATTGTAGTTAGCGTTAAACTGCTTTTCCTGTGGTGTTTGTTAGTGTTGTGGAAACTACTTTCAGTTAGCTATTGTGTTGACTTGTGGGTATTGTATTGTCTTTTTAATCTTTTGTATTACGTCATTTGGTGACGCACCTGTCCGCAACACCAAGACACTACTCTTTCCTACAGAGTAACTATTCCCTTTTTGTTGTCACCTTTCCCCCGTTTTAAGTCCTTTATATCCACATCTTTTCGTCTCTTATTTAAACCATTTTCTTATCTTTTCACAATTTCTTGGTCGAACGGAACGGGAATCAGTTGTCAGGTTGTTGAAGTCATTAAACACGCGCCTCATTTTTATTTTTATTACATGGTATATTTACAACCTGTGCACTTTTCTAAATCTGCTTCAATACGTATCATGGAATGTTTCTGATCACGTTCAATAATCTGTTCTTCTAAAAATTACTCTCCTTCGACCCTAGCGTGAATTTCAGCCGTCTCCTCCTCGAGTCGCAAACTCCAGAGACAGGAGACAGCTGATATTCAGTTTACTTCAACCCCTAATGTCAACCCAACCGAAATACTGCGACTCGTTTCTAAACGTTGAACGAAACACCATTTCCTTCAAAGATTTTCCCTCCTTTTAGGACATCTGTATCTCAGCTGTGAAGGAGAAGGACATTGAGGCTAAACTGAGTCAGGTTGTAGCAGAGTGGAAGTCACAAATCTTTAGTTTTGCCACATTTAAGAACCGCGGAGAGTTACTTCTCAAAGGAGGAGAAACAACTGAAATCATCTCTCTGTTGGAGGACAGTCTGATGGTGCTGGCCTCCCTGTTAAGCAACAGGTATGTTTTGAACCGATGCACAGGTTTACCATTGTACATAGGTCCACTATCTTCGAAAGGGGTTTTCAAATGATTGAACGACTTGATTTGTTTTGCAGGTACAACGCCCCTTTCAAGAAGGACATTCAAGGCTGGGTACAGAAGCTATCCAACACGTCTGATATCATCGAGAATTGGATGGTCGTGCAGAATCTGTGGGTCTACTTAGAAGCTGTGTTTGTGGGTGGTGACATCGCTAAACAATTACCACAGGTATGGGTGTTATGTTGTGCTTGTCAAGATTTTTTTAAGGCACGGGTGACTTAGTCGGATCAAAACGTTCATTGCGTAGCATTATGCACTGATTAGAGCTGTATCCGGCCAACAGCATACAGTATTTAGTTTGTTAACCCATTCGCCCCTGGAAGTTTGCCGAAAAAACGCGTTTTGAAGCTAGTCGAGCCGCTTTCTGGCCATGTCTGGCCATTAAGGACTAAAAGTTACCAAAAAGCTGTTTGCAGGTCGTGCACTGGCGGCCCTCTGTGCCCCGTTTTTTTCCCCTACCCTTTTCTCCAGTCTCTGGCAGAGTCAGAGTCTCTGGTATGATTTCAAAGATCTCTTCACCCTTCACAAGTAAGTTGGTTATCAAGAAGAAAAGTGTTTCTCTCTTCTTGGAAATAAAAACCATTTTCATGTAAATTCTTCAAAAAATGTTTCTTGTATTGACAACCATCGCGTGGTTGCAAACCAAGAATTCAGTACTGCGCTCACCCGGACGATCCTGCTCCACCTACTTATGAAAAGACTCCTGGGTACAAACCTTTCACAGTAGTACTTGCAGATACACATGTCCACTAGAGATGAAGGAAGACAATGCATACTTTTTCGTTTTCAGGAAGCCAAGCGTTTTTCCAACATTGACAAGTCCTGGGTGAAGATCATGACACGTGCGCACGAGACACTTAACGTGGTCACGTGCTGTGTAGGTGATGATACTCTGGGTCAGTTACTCCCTCACTTGCTGGAACAACTGGAGCTGTGTCAAAAATCACTCACCGGGTTAGTCGTTTTGCAGCAATGTTGCAAAACAAGTTGCATTACCGTACCTTATATTTAGGTCAGCAAACATGAAAACAGCGATGATTACATTACAGTTCAAGAGAGAGTAAGGTGCTATTCACCTTTACGTTATGTTTTTCTACTTGGCTGATTACTTTTGTATCTTCTTTGTGTGTAGATATCTTGAGAAGAAGCGTCTTGTGTTTCCCCGTTTCTTCTTCGTGTCAGACCCCGCTCTTCTGGAAATCTTGGGACAAGCCAGTGACTCACACACTATCCAGGTCAGCTTTGTATAGTTTCGTTGCTGTCTACTGTTGACATCTGCATCTTCGAGTCAAAGTTTTAACCATGATACGGTTTCGTCTAACTGTAAACACGTGTTCTACTTACGCCTTTTTGGAGGAAAGTCTTCAACTCTAACAAGGCAACTGCGCATGTATTTTTTTTCATTCACGAACGTGGAAGAGCTGTTTAAAACTGCTTTGTTATATGAAAATAAAGTTATTCAGTGGGTCACTCAAACCATTTAGTGTACTTTTCCGAGGATTCAGGGGTACTTTCTTTTTTCTTTTTCTTTTTTTTTTTCAGAAACGTCTGCCTGAATGTTTGGAAAGATGATTGACCTTTTCGCTAGTGTTTAGAGGGAACTGGTCTGATATTTTTTCTGTGTTTATATTCCTTAGGCTCACCTCTTGAATGTGTTTGACAATGTCAAAAATGTGGAATTTCACGAAAAGGACTACGATAGGATCTTAGCCATAATCTCTTCTGAAGGCGAGACTGTCCAAGTAAGTTTAAATCATTTCTGACCTTTTTTTGGGTCTTAACATGTCACGTTTCTTTGCTTGTGCGTGCAAAAGACACTAGGGGGTGCTTACCATTTCCACAAAACCCTCCAAGTAGAAATCTTGTGCATAGCCTGCATAACAGGCGCTTCATGAGCTAAGCGAGGCGAACGCAGCATTTTGCGAGAAGCGCGAAACAAGTGCGAAGCGCGAGACAAAGGGATGTTCGAGGGGGGCTCGTCTCTCGCTTTGCACTTGTTTCGCGCTTCCGGCAAAATGCAGCGTTCACTTCGCTTGGGTCATAAAGCGCCTGTTATGCAGGCTATCTGGTGCATAAAATTTATGCTAAAAAATTTGACGCGGTGGGAGTAAAGTATATCCAAATCAGTTGAACACCCTAAAAGGAGGGGAATATTGCATCGCCTCAAATCACAGCCTGATTTTGCAACCGGAATTCCCGGTTTTCCCATGTAAATGGAACGTGTCTCACTCGTCGGCTTCTTTCGTGTTTCAATAAAGTAACTTCAGATTTTAACGTTTCTAGCTGCAATCACTTAATTAAGAAAGAACAGTTTGCGTAATTCTCAATAGCCTGCGTGGCAGGCGTTTGAAAGGGAAGGGAAAGGGAGTATTGGGCGCGAGGGAAACGCGCGCCCCTTGCGTTTCCCCCGCGCCCAAAACACCCTTTCCCTACCCTTTCAAACGCCTGCCACGCAGGCTAAATTCTCAAAGAATGGAAGTAGGCTCCTACTAATATTCCAGAGGCACCTTCAGCTTCGTGGCATAGAGAACCTAGGTCAAGAAATAATTGGAACACACTCTGATGTCGAATAATTTACCCAGTTATTCAGGCTTTTTCCTCACTTTTACAAAAGCTTGAAAAAGAGAGTCGCGGAAAGCATTGTGTACTAACGTGGTGAGAACGCCTTCCGCAGGTTTAGAAGAACGTAACGCCTTTTGTTTTGTACAGGCGTTGCTTACAAGCGCAGTTTGTTTTTGTCAACAGCTTGAGGCCCCAGTCATGGCTAAAGGAAATGTAGAGCTGTGGTTAGGAGACTTGCTCAATCAAGCTATGAACTCACTACACGCTGTCATCAGAGATGCTTATCTTGCAATTAACGATGGCGGCTTCAATCTTATGAACTTTCTTGGCCAGTTCCCCTCACAGGTTAGTTCACTACCCAGCTTTTTTCAGGGCATTCCTCCCAAATACTGGAACCAACCTTTTCAAGTCTACCTACATTGCTTCTAAAGCTCTGCAAATGCATACCAAGTGCTGCTATAAAGGTCTTTCTCCGGCAACTTTAATCTTTTAGAAATTATATTAGAGTTTTCATGCCGTTATTTCCCCGAAAATCTTAGATCCTGCGTATACGCAGCAAGTAAGATGTCTGTATCACAGTCACACCAACTAAATACGGATAAAGGGGCAAAGTCGAGTGTCCGCTTTACAAAGTGGTGTCCCTGTTGTCATAAAGAGGTAAAGACTTGTATGAAGCTTGACATCTTCTGTCCGTAATAGGGAGAAGTCCGACATGACTACCGCACACACAGGTTGTCGAAACGTCAGTCACTCTCATCAACAACAGTCCTATTCAGGACTACGTTCACCTGGACGATCAAACTCAAGCTATTTTTGAAATGACTCCTGGGTTCAAACCTTTCACAGAGAGAAGTCCGTAATACATTTCGCCATAGCTTTACATGGTCTGAGAAAAATTAACTAAGTTCCCACCTCCTCTCACATTTTGCTTGTTGTTGTTTTTGAGAGCATACCAGCAAAGAACGGTATTTTAATTTCTGTCCACCATTATCAGGTTGGATTGCTGGGTATTCAGATGATTTGGACCAGAGACGCGGAGGAAGCGCTAAAGAACGCACGGTCTGACAAGAAGGTCATGGCGGCCACTAACCAGAAGTTTCTTAATCTGTTGAACTCACTGATTGAAGTCACCACACAAGAACTAACCAAGATGGAGAGAACCAAATTTGAGACCTTTGTCACTATTCATGTGCATCAGAGAGACATTTTCGATGACCTCGTAAGTTAAAATGAGAGTTTGCTGGTTCGATGTCATCCTCTGCATTAGCCATCATAGCTAACCCATACGCGCAAGAATGTTGGTTAAACCATCTTAGGTGTTGTCTTAAAAGTCTAAGTCATCTTTATGAATTCAGCTCTGTTTTAGTTAATGTAAAACGTTTCTGTTGTGACTGTCGGCTACACCATCGCATATCGGGATACAATCCTGTTGTACCAGTTTTCAATTTGCATATTAAAATAATAGGCCAATTTCGAGTTGCCTCAAGCCTCTGCAGTGTTTCAAAGTGAAGCTAAGTGCGAAGCCATTGATTTGAAAATAATTTGTTATTCTCATGCAAATAAAACTGATTTGCACGACAAAGGTTTTGTTCTTAGCCTCGTTTTAAAAGTGTGAGGTTTTGGAAATTGGAAATGGCTTATTTCAACAAGGAAAACTACCATCTCCATCTATTATTGCCTTCTCAAATTGATAAGAAATTTAAATTTAAAACTAGTAATAACCAAAGGTCGAGGAGTGAGAGCGACAACGATCGAAGGTCAAAACAGTTTTGCTCCATTGCTCTGCTTTGCGTAAGTTTCATGTAACAGATGGTCAAAATACGCGTAATCAGATTACGAGTGATAGAAGGTCCAAACTGACGCGCGTGATCAAATTGCGTTGCGTGCATTCCATTCATCCTTAGTGGAATTCCAAACAAATGCTGGTTACATACATGCGACGCATGCGTAATAACAACTTGGAGATTAGGGTCGCGCGCTCCTCTTGTCGCCTTGAACAATGTGCTATATAAAATAATTTCATCCACATCCCCCTCAGCTAGGGAAGGAGAAAAGAAACTCATAACCTAACAAATGAATTTCTGATTTTATTAAGAAAAATCAATATGTTTTTAAGTTTGTCTTTCCTTTTGACGTACAGGTCAAGATGCACATCCGCTCAGTTACAGACTTTGAATGGCTAAAGCAGTCTCGTTTCTACTTTAAAGAAGACATCGATGACTGCATCATCTCGATCACGGACGTGGACTTTAGTTACCAGAACGAATTTCTGGGCTGCACAGACAGACTCGTTATCACTCCCCTCACGGACAGATGTTACATAACTCTAGCTCAGGCACTGGGCATGTCGATGGGGGGAGCACCCGCTGGACCGGCTGGTACTGGAAAGACAGGTGGGTCAAAGCACAGCTCTTCTTAAACAATAAAGGGACCCATATCTTGCCCTCCCCTCCCTTCGTCCATTAAATCCTTATTACTTATTTCTCTTGCTTTTGTCGGGATAGCACATTTAAAATAAAACCTTACCACAGCATAGTGGCCACAGTCTGTCTGGCAGAAATGTTTTTTGGAGCTAAATAGGTCATAAAGTAACCCATTTATTAACAGAGTAATGCAGCAGTTTAAACTTCTAAATTCTTGGCCAAATTCTGTGGTGTAAACATTTTAGAGAGATTAGAGAGGTTAAGCTTCACATTTACATCAAACGGCAAACGCGAATTTGTACCATGTGACCAAGTTTCTTTTTTACTTGTCGTTTACTGTTCATTATTTCTACGCACAAATTAGTAGTTTCACTCAATTTTTTTTTCCATAAGAATTGTATCTACTCCTGCTTATCATTTGTTCTTCTTTCTATCGTAGAGACAACTAAAGACATGGGAAAGGCTCTCGGAAAATACGTGGTTGTTTTTAATTGCTCTGATCAGATGGACTTCAGGGGACTTGGTCGAATTTACAAAGGTACAAACTGTCACAACAATAAAATTTCTGTGAAAGGTTTGAACCCAGGAGTCATTTCAAAAGTAGGTTGAGTTAGATCGTCCGGGTGAACGTAGTCCTGAATAGGACTGTTGTTGTTGATAGTGACTGACGTTTCGACAACCTGTGCGGTAGTCATCTTCAGAGTCAACTCAACCTACTTTTGAAATAAAATTTCTCTTCACAAGAAAGACATCGTCATACCATTTTCTCTTTTGGTATGTTCTATTATTGTGGAGCAAGTTTGGCACAGTGGTGAAAGCATTCGCGGGTAGAAGTCCCGGTGCTGCATTTGAGTTGAGTTTGCTGTTGGTTCTGTCCTTTGCTTCGAGAGGTTTTTCTCCGGGTACTCCGGTTTTCCCCTCTCCTCAAAAACCAACACTTCCAAATTTCAATTAGATCTTAAGAACTCCAAAGTGCCTCTTGGATAAACAACTTACAATACAATAACGACCAGAAATTGGACAAATAACTCCTCCTCGTTATTAGACAAATAATGCAATTCTAGAGCTCTGATTGGCTTAGCCATCAGGGTATATGAGCTATTATACCATTGTCTGACAGGCTTGGCGCAGTCTGGAAGCTGGGGCTGTTTTGATGAGTTCAATCGTATCGAGTTGCCTGTCTTATCAGTTGCCGCCCAGCAAATCTACATCGTGTTAACAGCAAAAAAGGACAGAAAGAAACAGTTTATTTTCACGGATGGTGATGTGGTTGATCTCAACCCGGAATTTGGTATATTTCTTACCATGGTGAGTGATTTTCATCAGATAAAGGATAAAGTATGAGACGAGAAGAGATGGAAAACTATTGTGTCGTAATTGTTAGATGTAATATATCAAGCATGAGACGCAGTGTTTCATCACCAGATGAAACACTAAGAGAGTTGGAAATAAGACGCGCAGCGGAGTATTGTTTGACGAACGTCGAGGTTTTTCTTCTGATGATGAAACACTGTGTCGAATGCTTGATATTACTTCTCAAACAAAATAATTTTAGAAGGAGAAATTAAGGATGCAAAAATGAGCAGTTTTTCATCTTATTTCCAAACACTCATTAAACTTTTTGTATTTTCTTTATGAATTATTAATGAGTTTGAGATGTAGATGTTAAGCTCTAGTTCGGCTTAGAATTTTGTATCACTTTTTCGATTTCTAGTGACGTTTTGCAGTTTTCAGATGATTAAGACGTTTTGTGACATTCTCCCTGGATAAGATATGTTGCACGTTGTTATTGAGAGGAGCCGTTAATATTTTATTAAACATAATAGAAGTCATGGGAGCCATCGGTAAAGTTGCAAAAGTACTAGCTGCCCTGAGGAGGCTAAGACCGATATGTCCCCAGAGTACCCTTGCCACTATTTACAAGTCACTGATTCTTCCGCGTCTCGATTATTGCAACGCTGTCTGGGGCTGTATCGGTAATGGTCTCAGCCAAAAACTAGAGAAACTACAAAACAAGGCTGCACGCATAATCTCAGGGTCTAGCTGGGATTCCAGCTCTGCCCCGATTCTTCATGCCCTTAAATGGGATACCCTCGCTGACAGACGTTCAAAGCAACTTAAATCTTTAATGTTTAAAACTGTAAATAACCTTGTACCCGAATACCTGTCTGATAAATTCGCCAGCATTAATACCATTCACAGGCATAATCTTCGAGGTGCGCAACATAACCTGTTTATTCCGCGACCGAACACTGAGGCCCTAAAGAAAAGTTTTCGTTATAGGGGCGCAGTAACATGGAACAGCCTGTCAGCTGAGGCTAAGCCGGCCACTACTTTAAATTGTTTTTATTCCGCTATTGTACATTAAGATTTTCTTAGTTGGCATTTATTATAGGATGTTTCAATAATGTTTGTTATTTTTAAGTCTTAGTTTAATGTGCACGGCTCTTTAGAAGATCACTTTTTAGTGATAAGGATTCCGTGGTTAAATATAGTTATTACTTACTTACTAATCGGATCAGTATAACATTGTGGGTAACTGCCCTCATGCCTCTTCCCCCAGAAATTGGTTCAAGCCGACCACGCCCATTTGACACGTTATGTCAAATCTCTTGGTTTTGAACAAAACGTAAACAGCCACTTCGATGTATTAACCAACTGGATTACAAGGAACTTGTACTTAACGTTTCCTTCTATGTATTACTTATCTCTTGTTGTAGAATCCTGGATATGCGGGTCGCCAGGAATTGCCGGAGAATCTCAAAGTTCAGTTTCGTACAGTGGCCATGATGGTTCCTGACAGACAGGTATGAGCTGCTTGAAAACTTTCCTATTTTTGATGGTCGGCGTCTATGTTAATTTTCTTTCAATGCTTTATAACGTTTCCACTTTATGTAATTTCCTGGAAAAGATTATTTGTCATTTCCTTTCCAGTGTAGTGCGTAATAGCTTCACTTGTTCATTGGATCGTATTTTTCACAGATCATTATGCGTGTCAAACTCGCTAGCTGTGGTTTTATCGAGAATGTTATTCTGGCTCAAAAGTTCTTCACACTGTACAAGCTTTGTGAGGAGCAGCTCAGCAAACAGGTAAAATATCTAAGCCCCAACCTTTACCCCAGGTAGACAACGAAACCGTCTCTCGTCGTACATCCCACCCTTAAGCCTAGCAGGTATTCAACAAAGTTGTCCCTCGCCAGACACCCCACCTTCACCCAGGTAGACAACGAAGTCGTCCTTCGCCGTTCAGCCAACCTTTATCCCACGTAGACAACAAAGTCTTCCCTCGCCGTACACCCCACCGTTTCTCTCTAACTCAGTTAAGTTTGATTTTCTCTAGGTTCATTATGACTTTGGTTTGAGGAACATCCTGTCAGTTTTGCGTACACTGGGAGCCGCCAAACGAGCCAACCCTCAAGACAGCGAGAGTACCACTGTAATGAGAGTGCTAAGAGACATGAACCTCTCCAAACTGGTAAGAAACTTCTAAAACTGGGATAAAAACAGCATCACAATAGCAAATAGAGAGACTTAGCATGAACTTCCGACGCGCAATTTAGCGCATTACCATTGGTCAAGCCGATTTTTTGATTTGCGCGCGCCGTCTTTACTTCCGTAAGGTTGTCTTTGTGAAATCTGCCTAATTAGTTTCGAGTAATTACATAACACAAGGTAAAGTAGGAGACTTGACTGTTTACAAACATTTTCTCTGTTTTTTAAATTCGTAACTAGTGAAACAAAAGAATCCTTTGGTACAAGAACCAATGCGCTTCTGTTTGGCCCCAAATATCAATTTCGAATTATTTTTCATGGCTGACATCATTGTTGTCTTCGTTTTTTCAGGTCGATGAAGATGAACCTCTTTTCCTAAGCTTGATCAATGATTTATTCCCGGGAATTGTTCTTGACAAGGCGGGTTACCCTGAGCTAGAGTCCATGATCCAGAAACACGTGGAAGAAGCAGGACTCATTTTTCACCCTCCCTGGATTCTTAAGCTCATCCAAGTTAGTAAATTGTTTGTACAACCCTTTAAGACTTTGTCATTCTCCGCTTTCTCTTTATTTTCTTCTTCCCTTCGGATCTATTATGTGAGGAGTAAGAAAAAAGGCGTTGGTTTTTTTGGTTTGAGCCTAACTCAAAATCAAGGTTAGGTACGATCAGGAGGGGGATATTGGGGTACCCCTTTTAGAGTACACACCCTTTCCTGTTACAGTCTGCGCGTTTCTCTTCTTTCTCATCTCTTTCGTTTCCCATAGGATATAGTATCTCCAAAGTAATAAAGGAAATAAAGAAGTGCTTTCTTTTAGTCTGATTTCGCGCGCCAAAAGCACTGTTTATGCACATGCGCCTAGCTATCTCATGGGATCCCCGTTCATTGATGACGAGATAGAATCATATTCAAGTCGCAAGTGCGACTTAAATAATTCAACTCTCGGGATCTTCACCTTTCCCTGATGTTAAAAAGCAGGTAAAAAGCAAGACGAGTAGTAGAATGTGATTTAAGTGACAAATGATTACCCAAATCAGGCAAACGACATTAGAAAATCGAATCTGCGTCTCTTAACAGGTCAAGACTACCCTTAAACATACTCCTCTTTTGACCTGTGATCGTATCAATTTCTAACGTTTCTGTTTGCAGCAGTTTTATTTTTCTAAAATGGAAAATTGTGTTTACCAGTTTTTATTCCAATTTATCTACTTTTTTCAAGTTGTATGAGACTCAGCGTGTTCGCCATGGTATGATGACCCTGGGTCCCAGTGGAGCCGGCAAGACAATGTGTATTAACATTTTAATGAAAGCCATGGGGGACTGCGGTGCTCCCCATCGGGAAATGCGCATGAATCCTAAGGCCATCACTGCGCCTCAGATGTTTGGTCGCCTTGACGTTGCCACCAATGACTGGACAGACGGTATCTTCTCTACGCTTTGGAGAAAGACACTCAAGGCAAAGAAAGGTTGCTACTCAGTTAACTGCTTAATGCTCCGTCAAATTACCGCTGAATACTAAATCTGATGACCCATTCATACAGGTTTAGCCTCGACCTCAAGTGAAATGTTCACGAATACTAGCAGGGAGATGCCTGAAATTTGAAACTGAAAAAGTTAAATGTGAAAAGATGTACTTTTCGTTGGAATTTGTGAATATATTCACTCCAGATGGAGGCTAACCCTGTAAAAATGCGTGTTCAGGGCTATACTTATCGAGCTCATGGTGAACTCGAAATTGTGGTTATTACACTTCTATTCTTTCGAATGAAACGCACTGAGTCGTTAGTCGCATACAAATCGAAAAAGTACAGGAAATCAGTCAAAGCACACAAAGACAATATTCTTAAACTTCATTTTAAAAATTTTTGGAACATGCCTTCCAGACCCTCCTGGTAACTGTCGCACCTAGCAAACCAAATTCTGCCTATGGGCTTGTGTCTGTATTGAAATTTTTCCCCGTCCAATGTTGTAGGAGAGCATATATGGATTGTTCTGGATGGACCCGTGGATGCCATATGGATTGAGAACCTAAACAGTGTACTTGACGACAACAAGACGCTCACGCTAGCCAACGGTGATCGCATTCCCATGTCTCCTCAGTGTAAGGTTGTTTTTGAACCACACAACATCGATAACGCTTCTCCGGCCACAGTATCGCGCAATGGAATGGTGTACATGAGCTCATCTGTCATGGACTGGAGACCTATAGTCAAGGTAACGATGTGCTTTCAAGTCCAAAAGAACTTTAAAAACTATTAACTAGGAATGAATTGTTGAAATGTGTAGTCTTAACCGCAAGGCCCTAGCATAGCGCAGTTTAAAAGGTGATAGCACTATCCACAGGATAGTGGATAGTGCAATTGATTTCCTTAACACTTATCCGCTTGATAATGATTTATTTGGTGGATAGTGCTATCCAACGTTTTAACAACCGGGGCCAGATTGAAAATAAGCGGTAACAAGGAATAACCAATATTCCGTGATCAGATATGAATCCGTGAACGAACATGAATGTCTCCAAGAATGTATTTCCTGTATGCATGTATACTGTATCCCCACGCTTTATAAGTCTTTGACTATTTTCTAAGAAACCTTTTGGCCCTAGGTATTTAACAGGTGTATAGTGCTATTCACTGAACAAATCTATACCCGCTGGATAACGCGATTGGCTCCCCTAATACTTATCCCCTGGAGAGTGATTTATCCGGTGGGTAGCGCTACCCGACGTTTGAAACCCTGGGGCTTGGTAAGTCCCGTTACCATGACACTCAACTTTTCCTTGTTTTGTAAATCTTCAGTTTCGTTTCTTAATATTGCGACCAGTTTTCAGCCGGATGTGAGTTTTTGTAATTTTAGCGGTTACCAATAGTCGTCTTTACCGATCCCTTTTGATGTGTTGTTAGGCGTGGCTGAACAAGAGAGAACCACAGGAGCACGATGTACTGGAGCAGTTGTTCGAGTGCGTGTTTGATGAGGTTTACACTTACGTCAAACAGAACCTGAATCCAAAGATGGTAGTGTTGGAGTGTAATGTCATCACACAGGTCTGTGCACTTCAATAGGCATTTTGAAATATTCGATCGGGTGAAAAATGGAAAATGAATTCATTTTGGATTCATATTTTTAGCAGCAACTGAAACACCTAAAAAATTATGTAACTTGTAAATTTCCAGCCCTATATATCCCATTAGGAGGATTTATATGGGAAAGCAACTGTTTTAAATTCTTCCTTTGCCCATTCAAGGCCTTAAATTTTCTTCTGTTCATAACAGAAAATAGTTACCCAGTTATATAGGATACAGTTTATACACTTTAAATACGTAATATACGTTTAAGTACTCAACCACTCCCCCGTTCCACCTATTCTAATATTCTTTTACGTTCTCTTCAATTCCAGTGCCTTGACCTTCTTCAAGGTCTTATTCCAAGTAAAGAGGAGCATGGCATTCTGAGTGCCGCCCATTTGAGCCGTCTGTTTGTGTTTGCTCTCATGTGGGGAGTCGGTGCCCTCCTTGAACTGGACGATCGCGCTAAGATGGAAGAGTTCCTTGTTAAACACGGCAAGCTACCTTTACCTGACATAGATGAAGGCAGTTATGACACAATTTTTGAGTTTGTTGTAGATGACTGCGGTAAGTGGGCGTTATAAAAGTTTTAAGACTCTGCTTCGCAGGGGCTCAATGCGGTTTTTATGGATCTTACAGGGCATTTCGCGCCGTACTCACCTCAAATATTTGCTGAATATGCCTGATTCTATAAAGGTTGCTTTGGTATTGAGCAATTGCGCACCGGAAATCTATTGTTTGCAGGGCACTCAAGCAAATCAGTCTCAAATGACTGCAGTGAGTTCCGTTTGCTCAAATTCGCAAAGCCCAAATGCCAATGACGCGTTGCCAAAGCAACCTTGATTAAGTTAGGTATATTCAGTAACTGAGTATCTGAAGTTTTTCAAGTTCTTATAATGAAGTGTTATCTTTATTTACCGTCAAAAGAATATAATGTAACTGTTCCTAGGGACAGGGAAAAAATTGGCCAACAACTGATTTTGTGCGATTAATAATCTTATTCGGTTTCTAAGGAGGGTGCGTAGTTTAACCCCATTGATACGCTCATGTTACTAGGCAACTGGGAGCATTGGAGGAACCGAGTGCAGGAGTACATCTATCCATCGGATTCCAAACCTGAATATTCCTCTATCCTGGTACCAAATGTCGACAATGTTCGAACAAGTTTCCTTATGGAGACTATTGCCAAGCAGCATAAGGTAGGTATGCTGTATGATGCGCACGTGCACAAAAGGGAAACCGAGTATGATCAGCATTTTCAAACTCGGGATAAGAGCAACTAAACGAGGCTATTGTTGATTAACACTTCCAGATGTAAACTAAAACTGTAAACTTTTTTTCCTGCAATTTCTAGTTGAAGGTGTTAGGTTTTCAGTCACGACATTTAAGCTAAATTTAAGGGAGTAATAACGGGCTTTACTCTTGCTATGGTTGCCATGTTTTGGTTTCTGTACGTAACAACAACTGATAAAATCAAGTAATGTTGTTTAAATTTCAAAAACTGTTGCGAACCACCTGGATACTGTAAATTTAGGTAAATGGGGTAGAAAGTTTAAGTTCAGGAGCCCTGATCTTTGTTTGTAGGCGGTGCTGCTTATTGGCGAACAAGGTACAGCCAAGACAGTGATGATCAAAGGCTACCTGGCGAAGTACAATCCCGAAGCTCACGTGAGTAAGAGTGTGAATTTCTCCTCGGCAACCACTCCAATGCTATTCCAGGTAAGTTCGCCCTACTCACGCAAGTCAATAGAGAGCTTAAGCAATAGGGTTTTTGAGCGACGGGCGTCAACCGGAAGTGGACTATTTGCATCATTGGGCAGTGGTTTGGTTGAAGGCCTCACTTCCGGTTTACGTTCTTCGCTCAAAAACGTCTTTGCTTAAGTTTCCTACCGACCCCAGGGCCCGGTTGCATAGAGCAACTTAAGATTATGAGAGAATATTCTGCAACTGTTTTCTATGTTTCTAATTATCACTTGTACTCTCTTTGTGTCTCCTACGTTCGTTACTTATGTCGACGTATTCTTTCCACACTGCAGAAAGTCCTCTGGAACAAAGGGTTGCCACTTTACCTTAAGTTGCTTATGTAATCGGGCCCTGGTAAGGTCCAGGTCATATTGAACAAAGGCTACTTGAATCACGAAGACCAACTTGCGCATATATTTCGCCAAACGGACGTAATAGCAAGGTGTTTATAAGATGCCACAATGTCCATGACGAGCAAACAGGGACTTGAACGACTGTATAGTAGTGGAATCCCGTTAATACGGACACCAATGGGCCAAAACAAATGGCCGTATTAACGAGGGTTTTTTTTTACCACGAAAATGTATGGTGGTTTTTGCCAGGCGGCCAAAAAAGTGGCTGTAATAACGAGGTGACCGTATTACCGAGGTGGCCGTAAGGCGGGGTTTCACTGTACTTATTTTGGGAAACAACTTCAGTCAGTGAAGAAATGGTACGTCGTGTCCAAAGAAATGACCGTGCCTAGTGATCAGTGTATGTTGACCCACATTTTCTGATTGAATTGAAAATCTTTAACGCTGTAAAACCTCCTTATTAGCGGACCATTGAGAGCTACGTGGACAAACGAGTTGGTACAACGTACGGTCCTCCCGCTGGCCGGAAAATGACCTGCTTCATTGATGACATCAACATGCCCATAATTAATGAATGGGGTGACCAGGTTAGTTATGATTGCTGGTGTGCACAAATTCGTCATGTGCTAGGCGTTTTGACGACATTTATCATCCCTTCCTTATCGATTCTCAATATTTGAAGAGGTTGGGGGTTGACAGCCCTCCTAGCATACCCTCTCCTCTGCTGGAAACTCTAACGCAGTGTACCTTGCATTGTTACGTAGATAACCAATGAAATTGTTCGTCAAGTCATGGAACAACAAGGTTTTTACAATCTGGAGAAACCTGGCGAGTTCACGCACATTGTCGACATTCAGTTTATCGCGGCAATGATTCATCCAGGGGGAGGAAGAAATGATATTCCTGAACGATTGAAACGACAGTTTTCTATCTTTAACTGTACCTTGCCTTCAAATGCCTCTATAGATAAAATCTTCGGTAAGTTACCAGATTTACTCCAATCTAATCTTAGGTGAATAGTTTCTTCTGATTTGTTCCCTTTTCAAAAAACATTGCAGCTTTCGGCGTCCATTCTTAAATTTTCTTAAAGTTAAGGTTTGAAACTGAACGCCGAAAGCTTAAATTCAGTTTCAAAAACATGTTAAGCCGTGCACTCTTTTTACCTGAAATGAATTTTTATCCTGTTTACTCTCCCACGTTTCATCGTCAATTATATCGTTTTTTTTATTTACCGCTATATTATTTACCCTGTTAAATATGCTGCACGTTATTTTAATAGAAATAGTGAGTAGAAGAAAGGTGGAATTGCTTGAGAACCATGATAGACTCAAACGCAAAAAAGTATTTTCTTGATGACCATTAAATGCTTTTGTACAAGACAGTTCTTGTCGAAGCGTTCACTGTCCTCAGTACCTTTGAAAGACAGAAGAAAAATTCATCGGTTTCGAACGTTTTACCAAGTACACAACATGGTGATCGCTTTACCGGTACCACATTACTTCCAGCAGTCGCTGCGTTTGACAAGAAGCCACTCGACGCATATTCAACCTAACGCTTGTCATGACTTTTATCTCTTAAGCTTCTTTCCGAGAACTACAAAGGATTGGAACCTAATCCCCCCTACGAAAGTTATTGAAATTTGTGTTATTACCTTAGCTATAATTTTTAAGTTTATCTTATATTTCTTATTATCTCTTTTCGATGCGAAAGCGTTAAGGAGTATATAAGAAGAAGTAGAAGCGCTGGCAGCGCCAGTCAGGAACCGGGTTTCACGAGATTCTTGTTCCTCTCTTCAAAATTGTATGATAATAACTCTCCTTTTGTTCTTTTTCTTTTTGTCTTACACCAACCAAGGTGTTATTGGTACTGGCTACTTCTGTTCGTCGCGATTTTCGGATGAAGTTTGTAGCACTGTAGCTGAGCTCGTGACCTGTACAAGGATCCTCTGGCAGAAAACCAAGGTATGTACTCGCTGCTATTACGATACAGCTCTTTATTTTTCCTTATTATTTTTTTTAAAAAATCCTTAAGGATGTCACATGGTGCGATGCCTGCTTGTGTTTAGTATCAAAAGTCGGGTTTGTATTACAGAAACAGAGTGTACAGGAAGCAAGGTTTTTTTTTTTTTTTTTTTTTTCAAAGCTAACAAGTCAGCCTGACGCGTATCTACTGGGGGAAAAATGGCTACTGGTACTGGCTAAATTCAGTCTCACTCACATGCCTTTTATTGTAGGTTAAGATGTTACCTACGCCTGCTAAATTTCACTATATCTTTAATCTGCGTGATCTTTCCCGGATCTGGGAAGGCATGCTGAACGTGGCCGGAGAAGAAGTTGACACGAAGAAGCTTGCATTGGCACTTTGGAAACACGAGTGCACTCGAGTGATAGCCGACCGCTTTACCAACGAAGCCGACCGCAAGTGGTTTGAAAAGACGTCGACCAAAGTGATCGAGGATCATATGGAAGATGACGCAGTGAACCAGCTGTTGGATGAGCCCTACTTTGTGGACTTTCTCAGGTGATTGTCCGTGTGCACGTTTGCGCCGATATTAAAAGTTCCTTTCGCATGCTCTTGTGAAGAGCCATAAAAGTAAGGATACAAAGACTCAACCTCGTTCCCAGCCTTCTTGGCGTTTTATGATGCGACGTCACTTCAAGCGTGATGGAAAAATTCGCGTTTGGTGCCAAGCCTCCTCTCAAACTGACCTGGGAACGAGACTGAAGCAAAATAAATAATTTTATGCGCATCCTCATCCTCGTTCCTGGAATTCCTTGGCGAGTTCTGATGTGACGTCGCCCGCCAAGATTGATGGGAAATTTTGTCGTCCGGTTCCAAGCCTCCTCCGCTCACCCACATATCGAACTGGTTTGATGACGACGCTGAAGTAGACTAAGAGAACTCGCTGAAAGATGCGAATTAAAAAATTGTTTCAATAGTAGTTTAATATCAATAGTAATTACAATTTAACCTCTTTTTTTTCTCGTCTTACTATTAGCTATCACCAAATTTGACATTTTTTTCTCTAAATGGATGTAATAAAGGTTGTTCTTGTTGTTGTTCTTGTTGAGGATAGCCTGGGATATATTCAAGGAAGCACAGGACGAAAATTTACGTTTACAAACACAACCATACAAAAAAAATTAACATCGTAATAGCCAATGAAAGAAACCATATTGTCCTTCAAAGGGTTCGAATGGATGATTGAATAAGACGTCTATCTCCTAATTAACGAGCTTATGAATACGTTGATCGTTTTTTTCCATGTTTCAGAGACGCTCCGGAACCAACAGGAGAAGAACCCGAAGATGCAGAGTTAGACGCTCCCAAAATCTACGAGATGGTGAATAACCGATAATATGAAATTTTTTCAACTTTTTTATGCTCTGGTATTTATTCAGCTTTCCCAAACTCTTCTCTGTGACAGGTGCCAACGTTGAATTTTCTGAACGAGAAGCTGGGTCAATACATGTCAATGTATAATGACACCGTCAGGGGAGCACACTTGGACCTCGTGTTCTTCAAGGACGCTATGGTTCATCTGGTCAAGGCAAGTGTGTCGGGTCATTAGGCAAAACAAACACCATACGTTGTCATAACAAAATTTTGTTTGTTATTTATCAATTCAGATATCTCGTATTATCCGCACGCCGTGCGGTAATGCTCTCCTCGTTGGAGTGGGTGGTTCAGGCAAGCAATCTCTTACAAGGTTGGCTTCTTTTATCGCTGGATACAAGATTTTTCAAATCACCCTCTCAAGGTAAATGTATCACGTATGATTCACAGACTGTAAGTTAAGGGACCTTAAGATACACCGTTTGAAATCTTCGGAGACAGGTGAATGAACAGGTTTGTTGCAGTAAATTTTTAATTTCAGTTAATTTTTGTTTTTTCATTGTTCTAAATTCATTAACATGCATACATTACCATGCCCAAAAAACGATGGAAAGATAAAAATTAACTGAAATAGAAAATTAACTGCAACAGGTTTTCTATGTATTTGTATCAGTGTTTAAGGCATAATTGTTTCATTATAAGCCCTAGCCTTAATTTTTCCGGGGGTTTGAGGTCAGGTTCCCCCAACAGTGGAAACATTGTACTTTAGGGTCTTTTATAGTTTTTACTCTCTCTGAATGACCTTAAAGAGCTTCCAGTCGGGGCTTATTCAGGAAAGTCTTGTCACATTTAGGTATTCGTTGCTTTTTTATCATATCCTGTCAAGTGTAAGCTGATTTCAGTTCACTATGTTTCGGTTTTACTTTCGCTTCTGTTGTATGACGGTTTTGTTCTCAAATTACATCATACTGTAGTTATTGTAACATTTCAACCGAAAACGGGGGGCAGGGCTGGGGGGAGGGGGGGGTGGTGCTTATTAAGTTTTTCTTTCACCCAACTGTAACCTTCTGACTAAAGCTACGAAAGAAAATCAAAGTTATTTGTATTTCGTTGCTATTGATTTAGATCTTACAACGTGAGCAACTTGATGGATGACTTGAAGTATTTGTATCGAGTGGCTGGGTTCGAGGGCAATGGCATCACATTTATCTTCACTGACAATGAAATCAAGGATGAAAGTTTCCTGGAGTACCTTAATAACGTTCTTTCTTCAGGGGAGGTAAACCGCCCAACCGTGTTAAACATACTGCTAGTACACCTCTTTATAAACGTCTTTGCACCAGTGCTTAGCAAACGTGATGAATTTTTAAGTGAAACTTTACCACGCTTAAAGCTACATCTGGCATAGTGTCTCTTCAGTAGTGAATTCTACTAATTGCTGTCTAACTTTCAGATTGGTATTGCCACACCCCCTCCCCCCTCCCCCTTTTACGCAACATTAATGGACCAATACATTTTTAACTCGTGGGTACGCGCGAGCGTACCACGAGTTATTGCAGGGACTGAGAAATGCAAATAAGTCACTCACTCACTCGTAGTAGACGCACTTCGTAATTAATCGGGTCCGAACTCGAGAGCGCGAAGATCTATCGTTTCCAAAGAAGCACGCGCTCGCCGAAGTTCGGTAGCATCAAATTCCTCGCTGCGAGCGTGCATCGTGCGCTACAGCACGGTTAGGATAGAGGTCTTACCAAATTTAAGACAGGCAGGAATCTTTCAAATTTGTACGATTCAAAAGCCTTTGACCCGTCCAGGCGTTAAACTTGACAAGAAGATGAACATTTGCTCTTCGACTCCTTCAACTTCGACGCTGGCTTGATCTCCTACCTTGTAGTAATGTAGTAGGTTATGTGTATGAATGAATTTTTGGCGGTCAGTATAAAACACGGACTGCGGACTACGGACTGCGGTCTGGGTATAAAATACGGACTATAAAATACGGACTGGTGAAATGTATGGTAAAGAAAGGGACTTCTTCTTCTTCTTCTTCTTCTTCTTCTTCTTCTTCTTCTTCTTCTTCTTCTTCTTCTTCTTCTTCTTCTTCTTCTTCTTCTTCTTCTTCTTCTTCTTCTTCTTCTTCTTCTTCTTCTTCTTCTTCTTCTTCTTCTTCTTCTTCTTCTTCTTCTTCTTCTTCTTCTTCTTCTTCTTCTTCTTCTTCTTCTTCTTCTTCTTCTTCTTCTTCTTCTTCTTCTTCTTCTTCTTCTTCTTCTTCTTCTTCTTCTTCTTCTTCTTCTTCTTCTTCTTCTTCTTCTTCTTCTTCTTCTTCTTCTTCTTCTTCTTCTTCTTCTTCTTCTTCTTCTTCTTCTTCTTCTTCTTCTTCTTCTTCTTCTTCTTCTTCTTCTTCTTCTTCTTCTTCTTCTTCTTCTTCTTCTTCTTCTTCTTCTTCTTCTTCTTCTTCTTCTTCTTCTTCTTCTTCTTCTTCTTCTTCTTCTTCTTCTTCTTCTTCTTCTTCTTCTTCTTCTTCTTCTTCTTCTTCTTCTTCTTCTTCTTCTTCTTCTTCTTCTTCTTCTTCTTCTTCTTCTTCTTCTTCTTCTTCTTCTTCTTCTTCTTCTTCTTCTTCTTCTTCTTCTTCTTCTTCTTCTTCTTCTTCTTCTTCTTCTTCTTCTTCTTCTTCTTCTTCTTCTTCTTCTTCTTCTTCTTCTTCTTCTTCTTCTTCTTCTTCTTCTTCTTCTTCTTCTTCTTCTTCTTCTTCTTCTTCTTCTTCTTCTTCTTCTTCTTCTTCTTCTTCTTCTTCTTCTTCTTCTTCTTCTTCTTCTTCTTCTTCTTCTTCTTCTTCTTCTTCTTCTTCTTCTTCTTCTTCTTCTTCTTCTTCTTCTTCTTCTTCTTCTTCTTCTTCTTCTTCTTCTTCTTCTTCTTCTTCTTCTTCTTCTTCTTCTTCTTCTTCTTCTTCTTCTTCTTCTTCTTCTTCTTCTTCTTCTTCTTCTTCTTCTTCTTCTTCTTCTTCTTCTTCTTTTTCTTCTTCTTCTTCTTCTTCTTCTTCTTCTTCTTCTTCTTCTTCTTCTTCTTCTTCTTCTTCTTCTTCTTCTTCTTCTTCTTCTTCTTCTTCTTCTTCTTCTTCTTCTTCTTCTTCTTCTTCTTCTTCTTCTGCTTCGAGTCGTTTTTATGGCTCGATCCTTTGCCGGGGGAAGTTCCATGGAAAAGGCATTAAATCTGAGACTTTTCGCTAAATCACGTGACCATCCTCAATGGCGTAGTGGCTGTGTGAAGTCGGGTCAAGCCGAAGGTACCGGGTTCAAATCCTGCTAAGACCTTCTTTTTCCCTTCTTCCTTTTTTTTTTCTTTTTTGTTTTGTCTTGTTTGCTTATTTTGTTTTGCTGTTTTTTTTTGTTTTGTTTTTAAATATATACTTAAATAACTGTTACTAAAGTGCAATAAACAGCAAGAAAAGTATTGTGTTTCCAGAACAAGGATAGTATATTTATAATATGAATTTCTATCATTTCCTAAAATTCACTGTGGGAAAACCAGTGGTGATAACTAATTGATTACTTTCTAAACAACGTACCCACGAGTTGACGATAGTCTTTCTTTGATTACCGTATCTTATCTTGGTGTTTCAGGTCTCCAACTTATTCGCCCGAGATGAACTGGATGAAATAACCCAAGGCTTGATTGGACCAATGAAAAAGGAGCTACCCAGAGTACCCCCTACCAACGATAACTTGTACAACTACTTCATCTCTCGCTCCAGGAAGAACCTACACGTCGTTTTGTGTTTCTCGCCTGTAAGTGTTCTTTCGTTACTTTAGATACAGGTCTTAAATAATGCGAGTCTCTGTTTTCATTACCGCTTCCGCGTTGTTTCCTTAATAGGGACTTTAAGATTCAACGACGCGACGGCAACGAGAACGTCGCTTAGAAAGTAAATTTGCATTCTTTCAGTCTGATCGCGATTGTTCCTACCCACTTACTTCTCAAATGTAGAAGAACCCTCCTGAAGTTGAATTCCAAGAGAAATTAAATTCTTAATACAGAAAGAAAAATAAAATTTCCTCGTTGCTTGTTTACGTTGTCCATAAAACGCGAAAATTAAGCATTTCACGTCGTAGTCGTGCAAAAACGGCAAAGAAATGTACAAAAAACTTTGATGCACGTGAAAAGTTGTTGTTTTGCTTATGAAATTAACCTGTTGTTTTTTGACGTTCTCGTTGCCGTCTCGTCGTCGGATCTTGAAGTCCCCAATAAGGGGCTTGAGCAACGAGGACGTCGACGCTAACAATAACGGCAAAAAAGAGATGGATCTAGCTATGTTTACACTATGCTGGATAGCTTTTGGGCCGCTACGAGAACCATACCGGATAGTGCTTCTGTTCATACATAAGAACGGTGATTTCGGCGCGACTTCTGTGGCGGAGAGAAGCTGACTGTGCCGATTGCTTAAGTGGAGAGTCACATATCGGATAGGAAAACGGTCGAAAAGTTGATCAGTATAACAGGGAATATTAAATTGTCGTGCGCGATGTTTCTTTGCCGTATATATAGACAACTATGAATTCATCTGTTTCCAGCCCCTTCAATGCGCGTAACCATTTGGGTATTATGTTTATCACGTGATAATTTGAAAGCACTATCTTTAGATGAATACGCACTTATGTGCTAGATGTTGTACCGCGCGTCCCCACTGCCAAGTTAAGCACCAAGGATCATAGCAACTATTTCGTTTGGCACAATAGGTGGGAGAGAAATTCCGAAATCGTTCTCTGAAGTTCCCTGGACTGATCAGCGGTTGTACAATGGACTGGTTCACCCGTTGGCCAAAGGATGCATTGATCGCAGTAGCAGATTACTTTTTGTCCAAGTTTGATATCACGTGTTCAGCAAGTATCAAGAACAGTGTAGTTCGCACCATGGGCACATTTCATGACGGGGTGGCCGAGGCTTGCGTCGAGTACTTTGAAAGGCAAGTATCTTGCTTGAGAGGAAACTAGAAAGGAAATGATTGGAGAGTACTAATACTACTACTTTTTAAATATGAAGGAGAAAACGAGATGAATTCTGGTCTTAGTAGTAAAAAGACGTCATCATGCAGATGGCTTGTTAACCTAAGAGAGTGGCTAATCTATGATATATGCGTCAATACTTCTCTACAGATTCCGCCGTCAAACCCATGTAACTCCTAAGTCATATCTGTCGTTTGTTGACGGCTACAAAACCATCTACGCGGAGAAGAGGTCACAGATTGGTGAGCTAGCCAACCGAATGAATACAGGTCTGGATAAACTGGTGGAAGCTAGCGAATCAGTAGCTGAACTGTCTAAAGAACTTGTGGTAAAAGAGAAAGAACTTGCTGTTGCCTCTGTAAAAGCTGACAAGGTAACGCTCATAACGAGTAACTAGCTTGATTGTAAATTTTACCCACGAAATATGAACTCGTTTCAATGCGCCCATGCAATCCAAATGAAATTGGAATTTGGAAGGGTTGGTCTTTGATTGGAGTGGGAAACCGGAGAACCTGGTGAAAACCTGTCGGAGCAAGGAGAGAGCCAACAACAAACTCAACTCACAAATGGCGTCGACTCTGGGATTTGAACCCGGGCCACATTGGTGGGAGAAACGTGCTCTCACCACTGCTCCACCCTTGCTTCCCCGACCGTGGCATAAAGTTGGAGTGACTCTTACGTATTCTGTGTTTGCGCCAAGACATTTGAAAAAGCAAAATTGAGCGAATGTAATTTGTGCAAGTTTGCTCTTTAAAAATTACGGTATTGAAGCGTAAGAGAAAGGCAAAGCACCGTGGTCTAATAATGGCCTGGGGTTCTCATTCAGCAGTGTGACTAGATGATAACGCGCTATTTTCAGCAGAAGTAAGTACCCAAAAATGTCGGGGTGTGGCTACGCCCAAGCACTATGCACCAGGGCCCAGTTGTTTGAAGGCCGATTAGCGCTTAACCCGGGGTTAAATGTAATCCGGGTTTCTCTTTCTTGTATTCAAAAGCATTCTCTCGGATAATTTTTTCTGTTATAGTTAGAGCTTTCTATCATCAACTTGTAGACAAAAAGAATTAAAACTGAAATTCTTTTTAAGCTTTCAAATCTGAATTCAGATCTGGCACTAACCCTGGGTTATCTTAACCCGGCTTTGAACAACTCGGCCCAGGAACGTTATTACGCAACTGATTGGAGAGTGTACAGAATAATTAACACTTTTGTTTTATTTAGGTGCTGGCAGAAGTGACGGTCAGTGCCCAAGCTGCCGAGAAAGTTAAGGCCTCTGTACAGAAAGTTAAGGATAAAGCTCAAGCCATAGTGGACGAAATTGAGGTCAGTTTTAGCTTAATGGTAAATATCCACGAATTTTCTCCATGACTAACAAGGTGTGTAAACATTTATAGGCTGACAAAGCATTTGCGGAGAAGAAGTTATCAGCTGCCAAACCAGCTCTGGAGGAGGCAGAGGCAGCTCTTCAGGTTTTTACAAATTTTGTCCAATATTGTTTTATCATCATCATCATCATCATCATCATCATCATCATCATAATCAGTATTATTATTATTATTACATCCACTTTGAAAAACCAGCAATCTGGAGTGTGATTTATTCCTAAAGCACCAGAGGCTAAATCGCATCTTCAAAGGTCATTTTTAAATCGCATCATTTCTTAAATCGCACCATTTTTGTTCTATATATTGCATCATTTCTGTTTTGAATACAAAATGAGATGTAAAAGCCTTTTGTTTCGGCTTTTTAACAAATTGTTTTACTCGATCAATAAAATATACTGACTAAATTCTCATTTCAAAATGGATGTAATAAAGTGGTATTATCATTGTCATCATTTTTGGTCTGAAATCGTGACTTAATCAAATCTTCGTTTCGATTTTGAAATCATCATTCATCTTTATCATTATCATTGTCATCATTATTATCATAATTTTTAGTTATCATTTCATTGTTTTTCATTAAAAATTTTTGAACGTTTTAAAAAAAGGAACCTCTCTCGCATTTCAGTTCAGGGAACTCACACAGGTACACAATGTTGAGGGTTTTCAATTGATAGACATTTTCATACAAATCCAACTGTTGAATCTCTGACAGAATGTCTGTTCACAGAAATGCGAGAAAGGTCAATACAAAATTACAACCTGATTCACAAACTCTTGACTCTGTCCAAGTGATCTCTAATGCTTGATAAGCTGCATGTTATTTTGTATTTTGCTCTCATTAGACAATTAAAGCCGCAGATATCTCGACGGTCCGAAAGCTGGCCAAGCCACCTCATCTGATCATGCGCATTATGGATTGTGTGCTGTTGCTATTCAGACGAACTATTTCTCCTGTCATTTACGATGCAGAAAGGGAATGTGTGACTCCTAGTTGGGGAGAGTCGCTTAAGGTAACTATGGCAATGCCTTTGGCAAATTCACATCGCGCTATTGCGGTTGCTCTCAAATGGTGACCATGAGGAGTTGCTAGGCGACATCGAAAAAATCAGAGTACCCCGCAGTGGTGGATCCAGGGGAGGAAAACCGCCCCACCCCCTTCCCTGAAGGTCTGGATCCGCAACTGTCGGGCTCGTATTGAAGTTTTTGGTTTTTAGAAACCTCCACAAACGAGGACGAGGGTTGTTATTTCACACCTTAGAGAGTAGTCATTTGTTATGTGACATAACATACGAATCACACCCGGGTTCACCCAAGAATTTGCAAAAAGACATGGCGGAAACAAATGCAGTAATCCGTTTAATAAGACGGTGCATTGAAAAATAGATATGCCTATCACTTGACCTAATCTTACAGTAGATGGCTTTTAAAGACGAGAAAAAGTTTTACCGGCTTAGATACCTTAGAGTAACCAACCCTAGCAACCGTAAAAAACCCCTTTAGCAAAACCGGTTCAATGTGACGCCCGAAAGAACTTTTTGCGTCATCAGGCAAATGCGCTTATTGCGCAAAATTACACCCTGAAATGAACACTGATAACTTTCCAGTCAACCTTTTAGTAAAGGAGCATAATATGTCAAAGTGTTAGCAAGTTACAGCGCCTTCTTTCCTCTATGTATCTAAAAGCCGTATTTTTCTGCACAGCTCATGAGCCAAGGAGGGTTTCTTCAGAATCTAGTGAATTTTCCCAAGGACACGATCAACGAGGAAGCCGTCGAATTGTTACAGCCATACTTACAGATGGAAGACTACAACCTAGCTACCGCCAAAAAGGTTCTTAACATTTCTAGTTTTCAAATTTGTTCCATTTTTACAAAACCACCGCCTGGCTGGAGCAACACTCAGTGTCTTTTTAAAAATAACTGAGGAGAAAGTGCTGCCTTTCCAACGGCATCTGCAAACAGTTAGACTTTCTAGTCTTCTAGGACAAGGACAAAAATCCGTAGGTCTCGTGTCACAACCTTTTTACTTCTCTGGTTCTTGTGGGACGTAAAACAATCCACACCGCTGTTCGAAAAGAGTAGGGGACGTAGACCCCGGTGGTGTGGCCAACCTTTCCTGGGCTAAGTGGGTTATCTGTACGGACAAACTTAAATTGAAGCCCCTCTCTGATGTGTGTTCCGCACCATATGGTGGAAGTGATGAAATTAAATTAATTAAATTAAACTGTTGTTCTTTTCATTACCTGGCCCCGGTTGCTCAAACGTCCGATAGCGCTTTCGAACGGATAAATCATTCTTCAGGGAACCGGTTGCTTTATCCACTGAACAGAGATTTATCCAGTAGATAGTGTTATCCACCTCTTGAACAACTGGTTCTTGCAATTTTTATTAGACTGTATGTTGGAACTGGATGAAGCCTTTTTGAAATGATGGTTAGTTTACGCGAAGCGTTTGATTTTTCACATCAATTTTGTTGACAGGTCTGTGGAAACGTTGCTGGCTTGTGTTCATGGACTTGTGCTATGGCTTTTTTCTACGGCGTGAACAAAGAAGTTTTGCCTCTCAAGGTACAGAAACCTGAAAGTTTTCCCCCTAAACACGTTCAGTTTTGGCACTAACTCTGCATTTTCGATTTTCGTATGACCTTGAAATGAAAACACGCGAACAAAACAGAAACAACAAATGAACGAAAATAGAGCGATTTGATTGGTTAATCGAGCGGATACAAATGCGCGTGGCTTTTGGTCGGTTCAGCGAACGCTCGGGTGAAAAAACGTCATGCCCTAGAACTTTCTAGAAATCAATTGATACTTCACTTTGACGTCATACTGAAACACGATTGGCCACTCGAACAATGCCTCTCCATATGAGGGTTTTCTTTGGCGGGAAAACGAAGAGTCCATGTTTTGATCTTTTCATCCATTGGCTCATAAAACAAATAACTAACATTTACCGAAACCATTTTGAAAGGTCATACAAAACCGCTCTATCCTACTGACATAGCCACGTTAACAGAACTGAATAGTTGTTCTGCAGGGTTTTGGTCTTGTGGTTCAAAGTTAAAATGCGTATAAAATTCATCTTTGCTTTCAGGCTAATTTAGTGGTACAAGAAGCCCGTTTGAACGTAGCTTCTACTGAGCTAAACAGTGCACAGGAAAAGCTTGATGATAAGCAGAGAGAACTTGATAAGGTTCAAGCTATGTACGATGCTGCCGTCAAGGAAAAGCAGGTGAATTTATATATTGTGCACTGCGTGAAATAAGTAATTTAGTGGAATTTCAAAGGGCCACGATACTCCATGGCACCTTGCAAATCTTATATTGATACGCAAGGTGTCACGAAACGCGGGGTTTCAGAGGGTGTCATGTCCCTGATACTTCTGTCGTGAAACATCAGGCCAAATCGTAGCCCGGAGACGTCTACTGCGGTGTGTCAAGAAATATACGAGCTCTGACACTTAGCGACATCAGTTAGCCACAACTATGTCGACTTTCGTCAGTGAGGTAGAATAGCATGAAAATTGAAATTTACGAAAAATTAAACTTTACCTGATACGGTGTTTCAATTTTATCCCTGGTTTAAATTGTTTCCCTTTGTTTTAAACTCATTATCATAGATTACCATACGCCAAAACAAAGGGAAAAAAATTGAATCAAAGGTAAAATTGAACTACAACACTCCTAGAATCATGGACAAAAATCTTTAGATAAATTTGAAGTTTGTGGGGCTTTCTTTAAATTACACATGCCAAACCCCTACCCCACAAACAACGTTAGACGCGTTCATCCAGAATTTTTCAGAGTTTCAACATTGTGTAGGATTTGGGATGCTGTCCCAGGACTGCCAGGATTGTAGAGATGTTAGACGATAGTACAGGCCATATACTTCAAATTACTTCACGTGCATAGCAAGTCTAAATTCTTTTGTATGGACAAAATAGATCCACACCAGTCCTTAAGCAGCTCACCTTACTACCTTAAAAATTTGCTTTCCTCGGCACTGTCGTCATTTTGAAGTATGACCTTCTCACCTCAGGCCTTGTTCACACTACATCGTGGAAAACGCAACTTTATTGTCCACCTAAAATGGAACTGTATTTGAAACGCTCTTCAAAGTGGATATTTGAAAACGCATTTTATCCGCTCTTGACTGAAAAGGTGTATATCTTAAATACGGTAAAAGCTGTGTGTAAACGAATAAAACAGTTTTCAGGGTAGTTAAAAGATTAAGTTCAAGAATGAGTCATCAGTGACAGTGCAAGATGAGTGACTTCAACTAATTTGCTCCTTTGATAATTCTCTTTTTATCTTCTTTAGGACTTGCTAGACGATGCAGAATCGTGTAAGAACAAAATGCAAGCCGCATCCGCACTCATTGCAGGCCTGGGAGGTGAGAAGATTCGATGGACGCAGCAAAGTAAAGAGTTCCAAGATCAGATAGGCAGGTATGAACGTTTGTCCATATGGCTTGTCTTGAAATGTGCATATATTTCAAGAATGTTAATAGAAATAGACGTTATTTGCTCACTCACAAAACACCTAGGAGCCTTGAGTTCGTTTCTTTCAGATCGAATCAGAATTCCGAGTGCTAGTCCACTTACTTTGCTTTGAACAGTTAAAGGAGCGAAGTACGCCAGCGCACGTAAAAAAATCGCGGCGTGCGAGGAGAAGCAAAACGTTTCCTCGCGGATGGCTTTTCATGCGCGCTCTCTTATTGCTCGCCCTACTATCTCTGAGGAAAATGATGGAGTTTTCGTAGTCTACTGGAGTTCTGGTTTTACGAGACGAGTGAAAACCGGAATATCCGAAAGAAAAATCTCACAGAGCAAGAGAAGGAACTCTGCTCACATATAGTGTGCATCAGGGATACGAATCGCACTGTTGATAGACGACTGCTCTCTCCACCATCTCGTTCGATCGATTCACATTTTTTTGAAAAAGTAAAAAAATACACTGCACTGCTTCATCACCCGTCGGTCTGATAAAAACATCAAGGAAACAATAATTCTCTTTCACTAAACATCGAGTGTTGCTCAACTGAATTGATTAATCCAGATCGATATCGGAAATCAATCGATATTATCGATATTAAACGATTTAATCCACCGGTTAATATTGATTGATATCAGAAATCTATAGAAATCGAAGTCACAATAAAAAAATAATTTAGCGATTAACAAAATTGATAACAATCGATAAAAAATCATTATCGATTGCAGTCAGAAATCGATATTTTTTTAAAATCCTAGTCACAACTTTTTTATCGATTTATATCGATTGATATTGAAAATCGATATTCATCGGTGACTGATATCGATTACTATCGATTATCGATCCTCCTTGCAGGCTTGTTGGGGATGTGTTATTGGCTACTGGCTTCCTGTCCTATCTCGGTCCATTCAATCAGAATTTCCGCACTCTGTTGCTAGGCAGGTGGGAGAAGGAGATGACCGCCAACAAAATCCCTTTCTCAGAGAATCTCAACCTGATCAACATGCTAACGGACGCAGCCACGGTTGGTACTGAGTAAAGTGATTTGTAATCCGCTTGTTTATGTGTTTATGCACCTATACGGTACTTCAAATAGGTTCCATGATCTCTGCACATGGAACCGAAAAGAGTTCTCCATGCAGATTGAAAATCGAGGGCTTGTCGGTGAATGATTGAAAGACACTGTGTTTGGCCAGACCATGTTCGCTTTTGGCTAATATTAGGCAACGTTAAGTTCACATGGCACCGGACGAATTTGCGACCGGTTGGAAATTCGAGCGTTTAGATGTTCCCTTGACATGCCCTGGGGAAGGCACTCCTGGGAATTCTTGTTGGGGGCGCGCCGCCCGGTTCTCCAAATCCTGACCCTATTTCAGACCAAAAAATGTCATTTTCTACACCCGTTTTCAGACCTGGCCTTTAGGCAGAAATTGTGTCATGGTTACTTAGATTAGAGCGCAAACAAAAACTCTGTTCAAATGCATTTCGAATTCGCATATTTCCATTTCGTTCGTCTTCATTTGGAATTGAAACGATAAATACATTCATACGCTCCCGTAGTTCCCTTGAAAACCATACCCACTTCCAGACCAAAATGGGCAAAGTCTATATACCCGTTTTCAGACTAAAAAGGCGCAAAATGCACATACCTAAATGGCTTATATAAGGAAGTACCCCCCCGGAGACATGCCACGCAACAAACAAACAAACAAGTCCGTACGAAAATTCAACCCCTTAGCCGTTCAAAGTTCCGTGTGAAAAGCGGAAAGTATTGATCGGTCCTATGTGAACGAAGTGCTTGGTCAAAATTGTAGAGGTGAATTAGTTTTTACTCTCATCTTTTTCAGATTGGTGAATGGAATCTTCATGGACTCCCAAGCGATGAGCTGTCCATTCAAAACGGTATCATCGTCACCAAGGCAACAAGGTATCCTCTTCTGATAGACCCACAAACGCAAGGCAAAGCTTGGATCATGAGTCGCGAGAAAGAGAACGAACTGCAGGTATATAACTCAATGTCTACACATTGCTCAAGGACTCTTGTCTATTGACCCTATTTATTAACCTTTTCGCTCTCAGAATCAATTAAAGAGACCCGTAAACTTATGACACGTACTTGTAACTTTTGGGTCTGTGGATGAAATCCTGTAGTGTGACCATTCAAATGAAAGCTACTGAGAACTACTTTCCTCTAGTATTGTTTGATATGCTGTAAAAAGTGATTGAGTCTGATTGATTGAGTCTGTGGATGAAATCCTATGGTGTTACCATTCAAATGAAAGCTCTTCAGCAGTACTTTAACATCGTAATATTTATTTAGTATGTAGGATAGAATCCTACGCTGTGAACTTTGCTTTTGAATCTTTGAATGAAATCCTATGGTGGACTCCTTAAATTCTTAAACTCTTTGAACTGTCTGGTATTTAGGTGACATCACTTAACCACAAGTACTTCCGAAATCATCTGGAAGACTCCCTGTCACTCGGAAGACCTCTTCTTATTGAAGACGTCGGAGAGGAACTAGACCCTGCTTTGGACAATGTGCTGGAGAAAAACTTCATCAAGTCTGGCTCTACTTACAAAGTAAGTACCTTGCTGATGCCTACCTACAGTTAACTTAAAAACGGAGCAACAAATAACGATTTTTATCCATTTCCAAGTTGTTATATTATTTCTGATTCTTGTATCGTAATTGTTAAATTATTTGCACAGTGTAAGACTTATCTTAATTCGCAATTTTGTTCTTGTTCGTGTTCGTGTTCGAGTTCCGAAACACCAATGCAAAGCTTTTGAAACACCACTACCGGAAACTTGATTTAACAGTGATTAAATAGTGATTAAATGAGAAAGCAAGGAAATCCTGGTAAATCTAAAGGAAATATAAAACTGACGAAGAGATCAATCATCTGAGATATTTCTCTTTTTTTTAGATCTTCTCTTTGACGCTACTCGCGAGAACGGAATATATGGTAGAGAGCTCGATACAACTACTATGCGAAAGCAGTTTTTTGGTTTTGGCGTCACAAAAGGTTTAAAACTTGAGCGCGCGCAGAAGAATTTTTCAAGAAATCCGTAGGCTCGCGCGTCACTTTGGCGGTATTTTGTTGACAGTTTTGGACGCTATTGGCATAGGTAGAGTATTGTCAAAAAAGAAAAAGGAAAAGTATAAGCATCGGCATTAGCATTAGTATTGGTATTGGTATTGGTATTGGCATTGGTATTGGTATTAGTATAAGTATTAGTTTTAGCATCAGTATTAGCATTCCCAACTTGCATGCCGTCAAATAAGTCAGTTCAGTTTTTATTTGCTCATATTAACACTCATGTGTTTCCGTTAGGTTAAAGTTGGCGATAAAGAATGTGATGTGATGAGCGGCTTTAAAATGTACATCACCACAAAGCTGGGAAATCCTTCGTACACTCCTGAGGTTAGAGACGTTGTTACCATCTTCGAGTATCTTCTGTATTGTGTTTTAAAAAACTGAGTTAAAGGATTGTGTAGCCACGGTTTTGCACAGCAACACTTCCCCACCGCTAAGCAAAAATGGCAACAGCTGTAGAATTTGCATTCCAATTCCCTTTAATCATATGTGGGAAAGTTTGCAAATATTAGCAGTTTGCTATCTGATGATCTTAACCTGTCTAATTGTACGGTTTTTCTGGCTGTTTAGGTGAGCGCACGCACAGCAATAATTGACTTCACTGTGACGATGAAAGGACTGGAAGAGCAACTTCTTGGGAGAGTGATTAACACCGAAAAAGAGGTGAACCTTCCTTATTCTTTACCCTGCGTAAACCTAAGATTCGAGATGTCATATCATCCAAAGGAAGTGTTACGTTTTCATTTTAACTTAAACGCCATGTTTTACAGGAGCTAGAAGCAGAACGAGTGAAACTCATGGAAGATGTAACAACAAATAAAAGAAAGATGAAGGAACTTGAAGATAATCTATTGTACAGGCTCACAAGTACCCAGGTGAGTTTAGCTTTTATATTGATAAAGCAATGGTACTTTTCCTGTAGTTGTGGAAACGGTTAAGGTTGGTTTTTGCATTGAAAAGCACCAGGTAGTATTACTAATCTAACCCCCTTCTGGGTCGGTGAAAACCGTTTATTGTATCAGTGTGCGACTCGTACATCCACTAGCAGATTTATTGACAAACATCAAGGGTGAGTTATTTTCTGTAAGAAAACAAAAGCTATCTTTTCTTTTGATAGAAGATACATTTTAGGCATTAAAAAAGTCCAAGAATGGATAACAGTCCCCAGTTTGGTAGATGTAGTAAAGATAGCGCAGCGTCAAACGAGAACGCGAAAGCGCGCGAACAAGGACTGAACGCGACTTCTGGTACTTAATTTGCGCTCTGTCATTAGTCAAGTCGGTTTTTCTACTTCACTGTCGTCTCTTTGTCTTTTCTTAATCTCCGTAGTGAAAAGTACTACGAATTGTATCCAAGTTCTATGAACAAGACTTTTTTTAGCTTTCCATTACAAAAGCAAACTGTTCTTGTAATAACAAGAGAGGCTACGTGCAATACTATGTACCATTTCAAGATTGCGCTATTAAATTCTGTTCAGTGCTTTGTCTTGCCATGGCCATTTTATGCCACCCACGTGGGCCATTTAACTTGCTACGGGGCGGGGTGCATGACTTAAACCTTATTTTCATCTTATTCAGGGTTCCCTAGTAGAGGATGAGTCTCTGGTAGCAGTGTTGAAAACTACTAAAGAAACAGCTGAGGAAGTGAGCGAGAAGCTTACTGTTGCTGCTGAGACTGAAGTGAAGATCAACTTGGCTCGTGAGGAATTCCGCCCTGTTGCCACGCGCGGCTCCATTTTGTACTTCTTAATCGTCGAGATGAGCATGGTGAATGTCATGTATCAGACGTCACTTAAACAGTTCTTGGGAATCTTCGATCTGTCCATGGCAAGGTAGTAGCACTGAGAAGTCTATTAATTCTTAACTAGTTCATTCTTCAGACGTCAGACAAATAACTCTGGAGAGCGTTTTTTTGATGCGCAATTTGTTCTCTTGCAAGAGACTGGATGAAAAGCACTCTTTTTTAAAAACATTTCAGTATCTTTTTCTATTGATCGATGCAAGACTTTCCACTTACCCATCCCCTGACTCAACTTTTTAATAGCATCTTACTTAGGGTCATAATGTTGGTTTTGCGAAGGGGAAGGTGGGCAGAAGATTCTGGGAATTGAAACTGACCTCTTACCCTTCCCCTATTAGTGTTAACATTGACTAAGGAACGGGTAGGTGGAAAGTCTAGCATCGAGCCCTGCCCTGTGTTAAACCTACGGCCGAAGGAGACAACTCAAAGCAAAATAATAACCTCGAAATCGGTAGACTTAAGGGAGGGCTGAGGCAGGCTTTGTTAAACTTAACGACCAGATTGAAAAATCGCCACATTTCAGCCCTTATCATTCTGCTCCAACTAAGTATCGTGGAATGGTATTATTGAATTTTTTTTTGTGAACAGATCTGAGAAATCACCCATTCCAGCGAAAAGAATCCAAAACATCATTGAGTTTCTCACCTATGAGGTCTTCAAGTATTCGTGCCGTGGTCTGTATGAGAACCACAAGTTCTTATTTACTCTTCTTCTGGCGCTCAAGATCGACATTCAGGGCGGAAAAGTCAAGGTTCAAGAATTTCAGACGCTAATAAAAGGTTTGCAACATCATGGTTTTTACCCGTGCGCGAATCAGTCAAAAACAAGAAGCGGCAGCTAAAATTTCTTTTGAAGACCAAGAGTAGAGGACAACACGTAGTTCAGCTATTTAGAGTGTATCTTCACATACCTGGCGCATAATACGATACACATCACTTGAATCTTCTTTAAGACTTGCCACTCGTAACCAATTGCTTCAAATGGGCGCTTGAATGCACTAGAAAAAAATTGACGTTTCAATTATTTTACGTCACAAAGACCTTTGACATGCAAGCGCGAGCGACAGAACACTCGCGCGAAAAGCGCGAGATAGTTGCATAACATACTTGAGTTCTAAACTTCTAGTTGAGAGGGCGCTTTTACAGCCGATTACGAATATGTTTGTATACGTTGATTAGAAGGCGGCCTTATGGCTGACGGTTTAAAAAATATGTATTTACTTAAGCTGATGTAACGGGGTATGAAGTGCCAGAGAACTTCACATGATCAGTTCTACCGTGCGCGCGCTTGTTTCCTCGTTATTTTGCGTTCAAAATGTAGCCGCGTGTAGCACCGTTTGGCCTCGTCCTGTTAAGGCAGTTATTAGGGAGTTTGAGCAAAGACTTTTTTAAGCGACGCACCTCAAACGGAAGTTCACTTTTTGAACTCTTAGGCTCTGATTTTGAACAAATTATTGGGCAAATTGTCTCCATAAGAGTTTAAAAACTTAGCAATACAAATTTGGTAGCGTCAAGGCATATTAAAAGAGAAAAATGCTTACTTCTGGTCGGCGTGCGTCGCTCAAAAACATCGCTGCTTAAACTCCCTATTATCCTATAAAAGAAGTGCATACTGCATGTTTTAAATAATGACATCATGTGCCTCTCTGTGAAGGTGGCGCGGCGCTTGATCTGAAGGCCGTGCAACCCAAACCTGGCAAGTGGATCATGGATATGACCTGGCTTAACTTAGTGGAGCTAAGCAAGTTACCGCAGTTCTCAGGAATATTAGATCAGGTTTGTCAGTGAAACACCAATAGGCAGCTATGACAGCAGATTTACGACCAACTTGTTTATTGTTCAGCTAAGTAAATTGCTGGAACATACAATTTGCTTTTAAATCAAGTTTGTTAGTAGTCAAGTGCCGTGGAGCATAAGCAGCTATAGTTACTGATGTACCAATGTCTAGGTAGTTTTGTAGCCAGACTGGAATCTGTTAGAAACGTGTCGCAGCTCTAACAAGACCTTTCACGATTGTTTGGGAAAACTGTGAACGGGTAAAGTTAACAAAGGAACCTATCCCCAAAACAAAAGAGCTGCGACCATAAATTATAGGGCTCCAGTGAAGTTAGAGGTTTTAAAGAGGTGCGAGGAAAATGCTCTGTAAGGCAGAAATTCGAAGGAGGAGAAAACCATAGGTCTTCTTCCTTTTCTGATCAACTCCCGCCAAAAAGACAAGTAAAGGTGTCACTGGATCCCTTTTACTAAAACAGTTCGATTCACCTAAAGGTTCGTCGCAACGAGTCTGGTTGGAAACAGTGGTTTGACCAAGACGCACCTGAGGAAAGCCAAATGCCTGATGGTTACGAAAGCTCGTTGGACACCTTCAGGAAACTTCTTTTACTCAGGTTTGTGTTTATTGTTTTTTATTTGTAACAATATGTTGTTAACCCGAATTTACCTTTTACTTGTTACTATAGAAACGTATTTTCAAGGGCTAGTTTAGAAGAGGCAAGGTCACGGCTCTATAGGAAATTTCGAATTCATACTGAACGATCACAAAATTAAATGAAATCTCAAAAAAAAAATTGAAAATTGTAATTTGTTTACCTACGGAGCACTTAGGAGTGTTGTCCGTGCGTTCCAGATCGAATTGAAATTTGGAAATGTTGGTTTTTAAGGAGATGGGAAAACCGGAGCACCCGGAGAAAAACCTCTTGGAGCAAAGGAGAGAACCAACAACACACTCAACCCACATATGGCGTCGACGCCAGTATTCGAACCCGGGCCACATTGGTGGGAGGCGAGTGCTCTCACAACTGCGCCATCCTTGCTCTCCTCAGCTTCCTCAAACACGAGGAATAAAATAGTGGCGCAATATTGGAGTCAACTAATTTTTCTATAATCTAGACTATCATATACGAAATGCCGTGAAATGTCCTTATTTTGCACGGAAACCCAAATCCATAAGGAACGTAAGTGTTGTCAAGGAGGATCTCCTACTGGGGAAGGTGATCACCCCTAACCTTCCCTGAGAGAGTCCGGTAGGGTTGAAAGAGAGCCCTCGCTGATTGAATGATTGATTAATTGTGTGATTTATTTAATAACTGACAGATTGATTGATTGATTGACTGATTCCTTTTTTGATTAAAATACCGCACAGGTCTTGGTGTCCTGACCGTACCCTGCATCAGGCTCGTAAATATATCGCAGACACCATGGGTGAGAGGTATGCTGAAGGAGTGATCCTGAACCTGGAAGCCACCTGGGAAGAGAGCAATCCCAGGACACCACTCATATGCTTTCTTTCCATGGGATCTGATCCTACTGGAGCTATTGAGAACCTCGCTAAACGGAAGGGAATTGGTACGTATGGAGAAAATGTAACTCTAGGCCGATTTGCTTGCTTCTTCAGGTTTTGATTTAAATATTTGATTTCGGGTACGAAAAGTTACGGGAACTTTCGAGAAACGAACCCCTGCTTATTACGGTTGACCTTTGGGTATATGGTCTATGTCTTTGCTATCTTGAACTTTTTCCCCTTAAAATAGTGCATATGTGGAGTGTGTGGAAGTAACAAACGGAGAAATAGAGACATGCTAGTGAAAGCTAATAGAGAGAGAGAGAGAAACATCGCCCACACCTCTTAACATGAAGTTAATTCCAGTAAAAATTTTAATTTACCCTTGAGGGAGGTTTTTCTCGCTTGTCGTTGTGAAGGTAGATATCGATAACGATCTACAACAGTAAGAATGAAAAAAACTGAAGGTGTCTCTGTTTGCCTTTTCAGTGTGGCCGGCGTTCATTTGCAACAGAAGCATTATATGCTTCTGTTTGCACTCATCATTCCGTCGTGGCTAAGGGGGCTGTCCACACGTGGTGACTGGGTACCGGCACAAAATGGTGTTGTGGTCATACCTTGAGTACCCAATATGTGACTGTATACATAGTTTTTCATTTCGCCCTGTCGGACACCATTTAATTTGAAACATGAGCTTAGCAGCGAGAAAAAAGCAGTGGACTGCCCCAGAACTTACAAAAATTGTGTTCACACACGGACCCGGTGCCCACTTTTAGGTCGAGACCTTATACTCGGGCACCGGTACCGTGCCTGAATACTCGCGTGCGTGCTTGAAAAAGGGGTGTGTTCACATTAGTACCCAGGGACTACCGTGCTCGGGCACCAGGTGTAAACGCTGCCTCATTTGTTTCAGAATGCCGAGCAGTATCAATGGGACAAGGACAGGAAGTGCACGCAAGGAGACTACTTCAACAGTCTATGGCTGCTGTATGTTTTTGTGGATATTTTAAATTTGATATTTTGCTTACAAACACAACGCAACAAAATCTGGGAGATCGACCTATTGGGCTGAGGCATTTTCATGGAAGCTTTCCTATTTAACAAGTAGAAATCCTAAATATCTCAGCTTCCTTAAGAGAACTATTTTTTAACTTATAAGACTAGCTCCTCGGAGCACTATGGTAGTGCTCCCTTCAGGCGAGCTGATTTCTTTTCTTTTTTTATTGTTTGTTTTTGTTAGCAAAAAAAAAAGCTAATTGTTATACTTTTTTGACTTTTAAAGTGATCTCTTTAAGTTTCCATTCCAGCTTTTCACTCTTTTGGAATTGAGACCCTTATACAGGCATTTCTCATTATGTTCGCGTGCTCTTAATAACTGTTCGGACTTGTGTTTTGTACCCACAGGGAGGCTGGGTACTACTTCAGAACTGCCACTTGGGATTAAACTTTATGGACGAGCTGCTGGAGACAGTGACTACTGCGGAGTCATCACATGAAGGCTGTAGAGTCTGGATCACTACTGAAGTACACAATCAGTTTCCCATCAGCTTACTACAGGTACGCTCAGTGAAACAAGCTTAATTTTCAGTTCTCAATTGTCTAAAATACTTGAGCAAATTTGCATGGTGGCTTTCTGTTTTTGTTTGTTTGCCGGGACTACAGTGAAACCTGTAGTGTCCCGATTCCTAGAACGCAAATAGTAGCGTTGTCCGCTGAACACAGGTTCATTTGATAGAAAATCTGGTGTCCAGTTAATACAGGAAGTTCTTTCATGCGAGGTTTGGTAAACGCTGTCACTGCAGTTATCAATTCTCTAAGATACTTGAGCAAATTTGCATGGTGGCTTTCTGTTTTTGTTTGTTTGCCGGGACTACAGTGAAACCTGTAGTGTGCCGATCCCTAGAACGCACATAGTAGCGTTGTCCGCTGAACACAGGTTCATTTGACAGAAAATCTGGTGTCCAGTTAATACAGGAAGTTCTTTCATGCGAGGTTTGGTAAATGCTGTCACAGGTGTCACTGCATTGACTACCCTCTACAGCAACTCAAGACCTAATGCTGTTTTACTAGTTACACCCTGTAATGTACTAATTGTTTGTCGTTTTATGTAAAGGCCATACTCAAAATGTTACGAAGATGATTCCGTTTGGAACAACTTTAACGTACTTGTATCCCGACGAATGTTTTAAGTAAGAACGATAGGGGAACGCTTGATCTTTTAGGCTCGCCTTACTAGATATTTTTAGACTGAAATAAGAGGAAATGATCTCACCAAGTTATTCGCACATTGTGTCGTTCACTAGTCTTCCATAAAGTTCACCAATGAGCCGCCACAGGGCGTGAAGCCAGGACTGAAAAGAACCTACGCTGGTATCACCCAGGATCAGCTGGACATTACTAACATGCCACAATGGAAACCTACTCTCTATGCTGTTGCCTTTTTGCATACCGTAGTTCAGGTAAAACTGGCGCTATCAGTGACTGTTTAACACTTTGTAGGGGCCTTACCTAGGCTGCGAACGGCAGACGTTTCTCCTTGCTCGTCGCCACTGAGGGACGTTTCGCGAGGAGAAACGTCTTCCGTTCGCAGGCTAGGGCCTACCCACGATTTAAAAACACATAACCGCCCATTCGGGAAGCAAGGGATGGCGTAGTGGTGAGAACGCTCGCCTCCCACCAGTGTGGCCCGAGTTCAAATCCCGGCGTCAACGCCATATGTGGGTTGAGTTTGTTGTTGGTTCTCTCCTTTGCTCTGAGAGGTTTTTCTCCGGGTACTCCGGTTTTCCCCTGTCCTCAAAAACGAACATTTCCAAATTCCAGTTCGATCCACTTTGTGGATGTGCTATCTACAAATCATTCCTTATTTATTTATTTATTTTAGTATTAATGACCAAAATTCACACAATACCTCTTTCTGTCATGAAGACAAGTGATTACGATACACTGACATCTGGGTTTGTCTTCTTTGTTTTTCGGCGCGTCAATAATAACAAACTTCAGTGCGAGTATATTCCTGTTTCTCAGTGATAACTCGTGATTTGTAGAATGAGTCTTAAAGTAGTTATTGAATGGTTTCAACAGGCGGTCCAGATAACCTTGCCGAGGGCATGCACTTCACCCCACCTTAGCCAGAGTTGGACCAGGGCTCAAATGCATGACAAATGTTGAGTCTATCTTACGCATCAACCGGGGTTTTACTTGCTAAATAATCGTGCACTAGTACACTCTTAAAACTTCAAACGTTTTCGTTCAATTACAGGAACGGCGCAAGTTTGGTCCACTGGGCTGGAATATTCCTTATGAGTTTAACCAAGCGGACTTTGCAGCGAGCGTGCAGTTCGTGCAGAACCATTTGGATGATATCGATCCGAAAAAGGTGAAGTATTTGGCAACTATAATGGTGATACTTGTTTTGTTTTTTTGTTCCAGAGGGAGATACGTATTATGTCTCTTTTAATTTGCTTCCTCCAATAACGTGAAAAGGGGCCATTTTCTATCTGTGCCAACTGATTTTCAGTTCGTGGCAGTTTGCTCTATTTACTCAATCACTGTGATCGAAAGAGAAAGGAAGAGCGAAGTGATATCCAATAATTGCAGTCAAATCAATCTACCATAGCAATGCCCTATGCAGCTATTATTACATTTTACTGGTACGTGTCAATTGTAGGGCGTGTCCTGGAACACGGTGCGTTACATGCTTGGAGAGGTGCAGTATGGAGGCCGTGTCACAGATGATTATGATAAGAGGCTCCTCAACACTTTTGCAAAGGTAACTTTCAGCCATTTTCCTCTCAACCGTCTTTTTGCTGGTTAGGGATTTAACGGGACTCCTGAATTGTACCATCTAGGACATTGGTAAGTAAGTAAGTAAAGTGAAAGCTTTATTAATGTGTCAGTGTATTTAGTTTTCACAACTAATTGGGGACATATATTTCCTTTCATTACACAAACTTCGCCAATGACGCATACACATAAAGAGCACCGAAGTGAAGTACAACGGCTTTTCTGACCAGTTCGTCCCGCGTCAGCATCCCTAAATCAGAGATTAATTGTATTTCTTCCATATACTAAAACACCGATGACTGCGAAACTTTCGCTGCCCCCTAAAAAGGTAGACATTGCATTTTACATGTTAACAGACTCACCTCTACTTGTACTAGGTGTGGTTTGGAGAGCATATGTTCACCGATGACTTCTGTTTCTACACTGGATACAAAATCCCCAAATGCCGCAGTTTGGAGCAGTTCTTTGAAGCTATCCAAGCGCTTCCATCTGTTGATACTCCGCAAGTCTTTGGTTTGCATCCTAATGCTGATATCACGTAAGTACCTTCAAAAAATTTTCTAAGGACATTTCCACGGTACCTTAGCTAAGAAACTAATGTATTCAGCTAAAGTGTATTTAACATAGTAACTGCCGTTCAAATTTCATTCTAGCGAAATAGTGGAAGGAACTAAATATTTTTAAGATTGTTTTCCGACTTTCACATTCACGTGCAAAACTCTGGAATCTATATTTTGGCTTTCCACAGAGTTTCTTAACTTGGAGGACCGTACTGAAAACTGAAGGTTGCTGTGGCAGGTGGTTGCTAAGCCTTAAGGAGATCTCTCTGAGTTCTCCTTGTGACTTTTAGTTATTCCCATTAAGTTATTTTTCTTGATGTAATATTCTCTAGTCTCATTTATTTTATTAAATGTAGTTTATGAAAATTTTTGTGTATTTTTTAAAACTTTTGATAGTGTTTTCATTAAAAGTTTAGAAAACTTGGAAAGTACTTCATGGTGAATAAAAACGCGAACTTCGACAAAGCCATTATGCCAATGTCATGGTAATCGGCGAGCAAACTGTCATTATCTGAATATACTTACTACTTCCTTTATAAAGTTTCTAATTTATCTTTCAGTTATCAGAGTAATACCGCCAAAGACGTGCTGGATACTATCATGAGTATTCAACCCAAGGACTCAGGGGGAGGGTCTGGGGAGACCCGTGAGAGCGTGGTTACAAGGCAAGCAGACGATATGTTGGAGAAACTCCCTAACGACTATGTACCACATGAGGTAACAAAGCTTACGGGAGATTATAGCGGAGCCCTAACGCCCACGAAGCGCGCGTAGAGGAGCAGCATAGAAATGTTTTTGAAAAAATCGTTCGCCCCTACGTCCTCCCTCTCATGTTAGCGGATGTGAAATGTCGCACTTACTCGTTTGGAGATCCATGTTTTGGTCAATTGATAGCTGTCAACATAACGTGTCCGCTAATCAGTGTCACATGACTGTATCTCGGGCTCAGGTGTACAACTGCCAGTTATTGTTTTCAATTGATCGCAGGTTCTGATCCGTTTTTTATGAGGAATTCATCTTGCTTCTTGCTTATGGCAAAAGCTGAATTTCTTCAGAAGGGCATTTCTTAAAAGATCCCTCGAAAGCTCCGCTGTGGTTTTGGAATTAGAACTCAAATAGTGTTGTTCTTGTAAAGGCAAGGTAGCTTACGTGAGTCACTTGTACTTTCTTAACCGCCCTCGTTGTTAAGCGGATGCTTCAGTAATGTTTCTATCTACAGGTGAGAGCGCGGCTTCAGAAGATGGGAGCTCTGGCGTCCATGAACATTTTTCTCAGACAAGAAATTGATCGCATGCAGCGAGTGATCAGCTTGGTTCGACAAACATTGACTGATCTCAAACTGGCCATAGAAGGAACCATTATAATGAGCGAGGTAACGAAAGGTTTCCCCGTATATCGAACCATCTCCCTTATTATTAAAATGATTGTGTACTGTTTGAAGCCTGGAAGGGAGGCGTATCACCGTTACTCCAAAAGACAACAAGAATAAGTCACCATTGTCTTTTATCTCACCCACCTTTCAGTATTCCTGTTCAGTGATCATTTCTAACGAAACGCTTCCATATTAAGGATATTTTAAGGTGAAAGCGAACAAGGCTTGCGTGTGGTCCCTTAAAGTACTAACGGATGAAATATAACGCATTTCCATTTAAAATAGGATTCTCCGGGTCATAAAAAAATCGCCCTTTTGAAAAGTTGCTTTTGAAGCGTGGAATCTGAGATTTGTTTAACAAGGAAAACCTCGTTCGCCAAGTCAGTTATGTGATCCGTCCAAGGTTTCTTTCACTGTTATTTTCTTCGTAAATCTCAAGTATTCTACCCTGGGTGTCAGAAACTTTTCATGCTCGGTTACTGGTTTCGGTCAAGTCAAACCTTTTCTCGCGGCTTCGCCGTTCGTGACTTCGGCCTTCGGCCGAAGATCTGTCGGTCTTGTAGCCGACCCAAGCATCCAACCGCAAGCGAGAAAAAACCTCTGGTACCCAAGAAAGAAACAAAGAGTTTTGTTATTCGCCGCTGTACTTTTGTGATTGCCTTCACACCACTGCTGTTGTTCTATAGAACTTACGGGATGCATTGGACAATATGTATGACGCTAGAGTTCCTGCACTGTGGAGAAAAGTAAGGATTTATCTGAATAACCTAGAAATGATCCAACCCATGGTTTTCCTTGGTTTTTCCTACGTGTTTTCTTGTTTTGAACTTTGCTGCTCTGTCATACTGTTGCGAAATAAAGATAAAAATCAAGTATGCTGTGCAAGAGAATTAAAAACTCACTAGTACACGTCAATGTCGTCGAAGTCTTAGGTAGCGCAAAAGAAAGATTTAAACCTTCCTCGTTGATTTGGTCGATGCCGCACTGGACGTTTTTTCTAGTTGCTGGCAATTCTTTAGTAGTATCTCTGGAGACAATTTAAAATAATATCTTTCCGTAGATCCTTTTGCTACCAAAGTGCGAAAAAACTAGGAGCAGTAGCAAGATAATTTCTTATTCTTGTGATTCTGGTTTTCGCTATTTAATGATATAGAGTCTATAAAGAATATAAAAATTCTTAATTGTTTATTTTATCCCACAGATTTCATGGGAGTCATCTACTTTGGGCTTTTGGTTCACGGAGTTCCTAGAACGAAATAACCAGTTTTCCACGTGGATATTCAATGGCCGACCAAACGTATTCTGGATGACGGGCTTCTTTAATCCCCAGGGCTTTCTTACCGCCATGAGGCAGGAGGTCACGCGTGCGCACAAAGGCTGGGCTCTGGACTCTGTCGTGTTGCATAATGACGTCATAAGGGCTATGAAAGAGGATATAAACTCACCTCCATCGGTAACTAGTCAAGTCCATCACTTAAACCTCCCTATCTGCTTCTCACCAACAAGAAGTTAGAGACTGTAAAAAATCATTGGGAATTTTCGAAGTTGTGTTTGTGCTCGCTTCGGTAGACAAGTGTTAAAGGAGCTGTATCACGAAATTTATCAACATTCAAAAGTAGCAACTACCAACAAATTGAGTGAAACAAGTAGTATACATGGAGCGAAAATTTGGAGAGTTTTCCTCCCTCGCTCTGGAGCTCTTGCAAAACACTCTCCAAATTTATTCGCTCTCCATACACTGCTAAACCATTTACCAGATTTCAACTTGGGAAGTATTTTTTATTAAAAATATATTTTATATGAAAATCTGACCGGTGTGGATCCGCGCCGCCTAAATACCATTATTTTGAATTACAGGAGGGCGTTTACATATATGGCCTGTACCTGGATGGTGCTGGATGGGAACGTCGAGGCTGTAAATTGATCGAACCTCAGCCCAAGGTTCTTTTCACTTTACTACCAGTCGTACACGTGTACGCAGTTAATTCCACTGCGCCAAAGGATCCAAGGCTTTACCAGTGTCCTGTCTACAAAAAGCCACAGCGGACAGACCTGACTTACATCACCCCCTTGTGGCTCAAGACAGTACAGAGCCCTGATCACTGGATCCTCAGGGGGGTGGCCTTGCTGTGCGATATTAAGTGAAAATAATTCGTGTTAATTTTTGAAATCCCTTCACTTCTTATCTGTTATGTACATCACATGATACTTCTATTAACTGCAGTTTACATTCCGTTCGCCTTTACTTTTTGAATCTTTAGAAAGGTAATTTGTCAGTACTATCTCAGTGTAAAAAACACATTTTGGGAAAGTATTTCATGAAAAATTTAAATAAATAGCTAAAACGTGTTTTACTGAAAGAATGACTCCTCTTACTGTTCAAATAGTACAATACAGTATACTGTAACCCCCTCTGACGGGTCACAGCCTCGGCTTTAAAACCTGAAACCCGGTTCAACCGTACGCGATATCAAATGTTGCAAAGCTAGTGTAGCCACGCCCCGACTCAGCACCCATGGAAGCGGGGTCAAATACGAGTCCTTCTGGCTCCAGGTTACATTCACCTGATTACGTCAGCCTAATAAGTGTTCTAATAAGAAATGTTAGATGTTTAAGGCTGTTCCAGTTCAATGTGTTCTACATTTTTATGATGTAGTGACTCAGCGTCTTTTGATATTCTTCAGTGACTGCTAAGAGGCCATCATAAGATCGATATTAGCTGCAATTACTCCTTGACTGCCTCATGACGAAGCAACAGTTTTTTGTATAAATTTTGTTTTCTTTGAAAGCATCTTTGTATCCGCAATTAACAGTAGGGAGACAAGACAGTTTGGAGAATGACTTCAATGGAAAATTCTTTGGAAATAACTGGTGATAACTTTAGTAGAAGGCAGGTTTTCATCCCACAAGGAATAGATGAGCCCTATGACATCACATTGGTGGTCGATGATGGTAAAAAGATCAAGGTTCATCGACGTGTTCTTTCTGAGGCCTGTCCTGTCTTTGAAAAAATGCTGAATAGCGAGATAAGAGAGACTCATGAAGAAGTAGTTCGGTTGGAAATGATAACCGAGCTTGGTTTGATGGAGCTGTTGGAGTATTTTCACACTGGTAGTGTTCCGATATGAGCAGACGACAATGCGCAGGATTTGGTTGTAGTGGCAGATTGTTTTGATCTTCCGCATCTAAAATATCATGCTGGGAGAGCTTTAAAGCAAACCTTAAATAGTTCAAACTCTATTTCTACTTATCGCCTTGCAAAAACATATCATTGTGAAGAACTCGCTCGCCATACTAAAGAATACGTTGATTTAAATTTTACTAACGTGGCAAAAACAGACGAGTTTCTTGGTCTGCCGTACCAAGACGTTAAAAAATGGCTATCAAGTGACGAACTTGTCAATGCCGAAGAAGATGTGTTTGAAATCATTCTGCGATGGACTGGTTATAAAAACGGTGAACGAAACAAATATTTTGCCGACTTGTTTCGAGGAGTTCGTCTTAATCATGTATCGCGTGACTTTCTGCTTAGTGATGTCGTAACAAATGATCTTGTAAATGGTAATAAACCTTGCTTGAATCTGGTGAAGAACCTGGTGGCGGTTATAGACCCGAAAGACCATTGTTACCTAAAAGCAATGCCTTGGAGGAGACCACATGGACAACCTGTCATCGTCGTCCGTGTAAGTTTGAATAAACGATATGCTATTCTATGCTATCAGCCACGTGACAATGCGTGGTTGCGGCTCAATTTACCTGAAGTACCTGAGGTTCGTATCGGAGGAGAAATAATTACGTGTCGTGGTGACGTATTTTTAATTTCCGACAAAGGGTAGGCCCTTTATCGTTTTCGGTTGCCATCTACCTGCTTGGTGCAAAAGCAATTTTCATCCCCCGGAAAACACGTGGTCGATCAATGTATACGATGCCTGGAAGTTCAGATGCATTGGACAAGAAAAAACCCCGCGTCTAAGTTCGCAAATTACGACCTCGCTCTTCGCCACTGGGGACGTTTCGCGAGGAGGAACGTCTCCTCCTCGCAAAACGTTCCCAGCGTCGAGGAGGGAGGAAACGGCTGTTTTCGCAAGCAACGACCTACATAAACAAATTTTCCTTGCAAACAACGAATTTTACGCCTTGGCTTGTGAATCATCTTGCGAATGGTGTTTCCAGACTAGTCGTGAGAATGGAAGATATCCATTATTAGTGAACACCTTTTGCTTGAATTTTAAACAGCATGAATCCTTCGTGGCGAAGTATCACGCTGAATCAAACTTTTGGGACGAAGTAGCACCATTTCCTTTGGGCTGGAGATACGGAATCTGCATTGTAGCCAAAGACAATTTTATTTATTTTCTCGGTGGTTCTAGCCGTGAGGATGGGAAGCTTCTTGCGAAAGCTGGAAGATGTGACCTCCGTACAAACAAGTGGGTCAAGATAGCTGACCTTCGAAGGCCGAGAATGTTCGCCTATGGAGCTTATGCTTACGGGAAAGTTTTCATTGTTGGTGGAGATGCACGAGTCGATGCGCGAGAAGTAACGAGTGTTAAAGCATATGACGAACTAACAAACAAATGGCATTTGGAAGCATCCATCACCATGTGGCCTTGCCCCTGTTTCCCGAAAGTAGTGTGTGTTGACAAAAGGTTGTTTGCTCTACACCAGCATATTAGAGAGTATTTCTTGTACGTTAGATGCTATGACTGGGACAATAATTCATGGAAAATTGTCACTAAAATACCCATGGAGATGCTTCCAGAAGGGTCCGATACCCAGATACCTAGTCATACTGGATACCCAACAAGTGTTTTTTCATTAGGGCCATTTATACGAGGAAAAATAAGACGCGTCTTACATAAGACGCGTCTTAAATAAGACGCGAACTGTACCATTTATACGAGAATGTCTCATCAGAGCCTCCTCGTATAGACCATTATAGGGAGTACTGTACAGTACCGCAAATGATCCCCAACCGCAAATGATCCCGAGACCGCAAATGATCCCCAAAATGGACCGCAAATGATCCTCGACCGCAAGTGATCCCCAAAGTCGACCGCAAATGATCCCGTGAAAACTTGAGGAATGGAATGGAATGGATTTTATGGGACTGATTACAAAAAAGGACTGATTATAAAAAAGAAACCTTTTTCTCTCGCCTTTTAAAGAAAAAGGGAAGGAGGACGCTACATCTCAGGTCAATTTCTACAAGGCGAAAAAAAAAAATGGAATAAATCTGAAAAGGAATGGTATTAACCGTATACTTCCTCCTTTGTCGATTGCTTCAATTTTCTTTCAAGAATGTTTCGTCTTTTTTAAAAATTTAAGACAGGCAGGACGTTACGCAGAAAAAACTCTATTATTTTAACGCCTAGAAGCTCAACTTTTCTACTGAGGAATACAAAGCCGGGCACCCTCTACATAACAAGAGCTTTATTGACTTTACTGATCTTTTTAAAAGCGTGAAATCAGTCAGCCAGAATATTTCATTTTGATTTTTCTCTGAAGTGTTAATTTTACGTGATAAACAGCAAAACATTTGTTCGTAACTTTGGTGCCCGTTACGAAACAAGACATGATTTAACATAAACACAAGTCAAAATGTCCCCGAACTTATCAACGTCCACAGGTTTCGGTTTATTTCGAAATAGCAACTTTCTTACATCTCATGAACGTGTTGGTAAATAGTTATATTAGCGTTTTTATGTATATTCATTTGTTGTGCTTTGCTGAAGACAGTTACCAGGAATCTAAACCTGGTAATGAGAAACGCAAAGCCAGGTAAGCGGTAGTTAATGCGTGACAAAACATCGTAGGAAACCGTCACATTCGCGGACTAAAAGAAAATCGCTTATGATCATTTGGATCCAGGAGGCACTTTGGAGAAAATTAAACAACCTAAAACCCTTCTTTAGCGGCAATGAAGAGCACTGCGTTTCAAAAGAGGTCAAAGGAAATGCTCTTGCATCAAAGGGCAAATCATGCCGACCAGAAACATCAATAACCGCAGAAAATGCGTGTCATGATCTCTCAGTATGAAATAAGCGGCAAAAATCACATTTGCTCAGTCAAAACGTTTTCTTCAGAGGTATAATCTACCCGCCGCAGCCGGAAAAAAGTCATTGGAATAAGCAGCATTTTAGCATGAGGTAAAAGTCGTGTGTTGCCTACCGACTTCGTTTTTACTCTTGAATGATTTTTTGCATTTAGTATTTATTCATATATTTATTTGAGAAGTAAAATTTAGCTTTTAGTCTGACTTATTGTAATAATAATAAAATCGACACGATGATCCGCTAACTTGAGTCCACGTCATTCCTATTTTTCTTTCGGGATCATTTGCGGTCGACTTTGGGGATCACTTGCGGTCGAGGATCATTTGCGGTCCATTTTGGGGATCATTTGCGGTCTCGGGATCATTTGCGGTTGGGGATCATTTGCGGTACTGTACAATACCTCTTCCCTGGCTCTGTGACAATCTCTTTTCAGGCGTCGCTCGGCGAAAATCGCCACCACCTTTGATATCGCATGTTATGCTATGCGCAGTAGGCGATACCCAGTGCAAAACATATGAATTTCCTTCAATAGCCCCTTAATAAAGGGGGGGATCTACTGTATCAGCATACGGTAAAACATTACACCCTCATTGGATGTTTCTCCTAATCTTATGACCTACTCGTGCCAGTGCTCCTGATAAATGCAAGAGTGAGGACTAAATCCCAGTTAGGTTACTAAAGCATGATGGGAGTTTTTCAAAATGGCGGAGAGTTTGAGTAAGTTTTCCGCCAAATATATCTAAGTTTTGGACTTCAAATACAAGCCATTTTACCCTGAGAAGCCACTGTAAACTATAATGGCTGGAGCAAGCCATAATTTGTTTAAATGGAACCGACAGACAAAGACGACAACGGTAAGGAAAACAGCTGCAATTAAAGCTTAAGTTCGCTGCAGCTGCAACTTGTGCTTCTATTGTGTTTATTCACAGAACGGCTAGTAAAGAGGGGAAAGGTATGTTAAGGTGTCAATTTTCACACCTTTTTGACATGAAATCGATATTTCTCACTTGAAATTCGAATTCTACGATAATGAGAACTTTAAGTTAGCATCCACGTGAATAATTAAAAGGAGCTGAAATACTTCAAAAAAGGTCACATTTTGGGTACATTTTAGCCGTACGTAATACCTTAATTCAGCACTAAAAAGTATTTTGGCCTCATTTAATAGCATTCTTCAAGAGGTGAAGTGCAAGACTGGATTAAGGTAGGCCTAACTTTTTAAACGTTTTACAACCGTTATATTTCGCCTGAGAATTGATAGGGAACGGATAATAGATGACCACATAATGCCCAGCATATCACGTCATTGGTGCAAAAAAATACCTATTGAATCCGATCATCAAGAATATTTGTGATGACACAAAATGCATCAAAAGATGTTGTTGGCATTGTAACATTTTATTATTGACCATTTGACCTGATTTTTTTACTTCCCACCAACTGCATTATTGCTTGTGTTACAATGGCATACCGGAGTTTATGAAGAAACATTCTACACTAAGGGAAAGTTCATTTAATATGACAGGGGGGGATGAAGATATTGAGGGGGGCTCCAAAATTTTTAGACACCGAAGGGGGCTCTGAAAAATTGTTGCGCTAGGAGGGGGGCTCAAAAATTTGTATACTTCAAACAAACACATGACATCATCATACAGATCGGATGGTTTTCAACTCAACAATTTAATGACCTGTGCAACTCAGCTATATCACGTGGTTTACAGATATAACAAATGTAGTCTCAGTAATTATTACACTCTTGTTCATCCCAAAAATGCTTTAGAAAATTGTATCACAACTGTATCTCAAGTTTGTCATAGTATAAACCATTGAAGACAATAACGGTAAATATATTTAATACAGTCTAGCGATCTTTTTTCAGGGGAGCAAAGCAATTGAAGGAGGAGGGGGCAGGGGCTCTGAAATTTTTTCGACTACCAAGGAGGGGGCTCCTAAAGAATTGAACCGCTAGCAAGGGGGGCTGCTAAAATTTAAAGCTTCGAGTTTCAATATCTTCATCCCCCCCCCTTGTCATATTAAATGAACTTTCCCTAACAGTAAAATAGATCAAACAACGCAAAATGTTTAAACTTTCATTGTCAGTAAGTCCTGTCTACAAGAAATGGTAAACTGCAGCGATTATCCAGAAGATTCAGTCCAGATTCTGGAGTCTCCCAGATTATCCAGCAGAGTTGACAGCACCCTCCTCGGTGTACTAGCAGGGTGCAAAGAAAGTCAGTTTTACAGCCTGCCATTCGGGCAAGCTGTAGCTAGCATGTTCTAGCCAACAAGTCATTTCAACTAGCCCCAAAACCCTTTTTGATTGGCAGGATTGATTAGTAATCCTTCTGTAATTGGAATTTGCCCAAAAAAAACAGCACTTGCCCGTCGGGCAAGTTAAGAAAAATCACTAGCCCCATAGCAAAATCCAATAGCCCAGGGCTATCTGACACGACTTTCTTTACACGCTGACTAGAAAAGGAATCTATAGAAAAAGGTTCTTACATTGGGGTAAATCAAGCAATGGTAATATTATGTCACTGATGTTATGCAAAAACTAAAGAAGTTCAAGTTGAGTTAGCCTTCTTCAAGAGAAAGAAACCTTATTTGACTTTAGAAAAAAAAAAAAGGTTGCAGTTAATTTTTTATTTCACATAATTTCTATTTTTCCTTTGTTGCATATTTATTAGCATACATTACCATACCCAAAAACAATGTTAAAATAAAAATTAACTACAACAAAACTTGTCTCAAGTCAAGTGCAAGGATATATTGATTTGAACCACGACATTCACATTCGTATAATAACAGCTGTTTATCAAGGTTTTTTTCTTATCCTAAAGAGAGTAGAGCGAGCCTCAACTGATGCTGCCAGAGAGGTGTTTGGAAACAATTATCAAAGTGTTCTGGAACAAGTCCATGTTGATGATGATGCCTTAGTAGAAGGTAAACCCTTTATACAAGGTTTTCATTCATTACCAGCTGTTTTGTTACCAAGATTGTCTCATCGTCAGTCAGGGCCATTCCATTTAATATACACCCCACTTTCCTTCCCCACTCCCCCACCCCCCCCCCTCCTCCATCATTGATGAAGGACTTTGAAATTTTCCTAACCTTCAGAAAAATGCTCTTTCCCCCGCAAAGCCCAGGAAAATTGATTCATGAACATGTAGTGTATATCCCCTCACTCAGAAAGATTGCCCTATAAGTCTAGAATAACTTAAAGAAATTTTTGCTTTTCTGTTACTTTAAAACCCTCAGAAAATCGTTCAGTCCTTCAACCTTCAGAAATTTCAACGGCAGGTTTGTGCCCTCACTGAGTACGCACATAAATATTTATTTGTTGCCTACACAGTGCTTTTTATAATTTTTGTTCCTTGTTTTGTTGTTGTGGTTGTTGTTGTTGTGCTCATAGCTCAAGATTTGTTGGACTCCTGGTTACATGACAAGAAAGATGACGATTTTAACTTACAAGTTCAATTTAAAGAGGAGAAATGGGCTCAGAGAAGTAAACCCATACATGCTGTTACCAGAAACTCTGTTACTGAAGGTTACTATAGTGATGATGTAGTTCAACAGTCACATGACTGGACATCAAGAAGCAGTCTTAATAATCATACTCCATCTCTCAATATCATGGGTATGTCATGAGATGAATTCTCTTAACCTATACATGTATTATCTGAGCTTAGCAGGACTGTGTAAATACATAGTCTGGAAAACAAAGACTCCTGGCCCCAGTTGTTCAAATCATTAATAACACTAACCACTGGATAAATCTCTATCCATTGGATAACACAATTGTTTTCCCTAATACCTTTGCGCTGGATGGTGATTTATCCCGTCGATGGATAGTGCTATTCAACATTTGAACAACTGGGGCCTGATGTTCAAAATTTTGAATGTTTATGAGGTCTTTCTCATTGCTGCTTTCATTGTTTCAAAGAAGATTATCCAGCAGCACTGGCTAAAAAAATGATGGTACAGCACATCATGCTGTGACTATTCTAGTTACCTTGACAAATAGAAAAATGTTTTCGCAACTAATATTGTAGCCAAAGTTACCAATTTGGCAACATTTGCTTGCCCTTCATCTGGCTACCTGTTGAGTTTTTATTTTTTTCTAACAATATTAGATTTAAGTGTTTAATAGGTCTTTCTAATGTTTAAATGAAAATGAATAACCATTTGCATGAAATTAATATTATTTATGCTCCATTTTCCTTATAACCCTGTCTGTTTGTAGGGTAGGTATTTTAAAAATCTTTGGATGTTATGTGCCCTTCCAAAGTTTGGGGCAAATGCCAGGGATAGTTTTGATTTTGATTTTTTAAACCATTCCTGTTAAATTGCTCAAAGTGTCCGTGGTGGCTTTTTCTGAGAACCAATATACATGCATCATATCTGAGGAACATTTTATACATTTTTTACATTTTAATTAAAATGAATAACATCTTTTAGTATATTTTTTGTCATGGCTGTCATGTGTTTTAGGTCCAGAGTATGATGAGGATCTTCATGAAGAGATATCAGTGCAGCAGATTTTACGTGAAATGCTGGACAAAGAAGTTGTAGAGAAAGACATAATGAATGACTTGGGGTTTGATGGTCATAAACAACGAAAAGACCCAAGACCTAAGATGGAACTCAGGCACAAACAGGTATTGTATTTAAGGGTGTTTCTGTTTGTCTTAGCAGCAGTTTAGACTTTGCTTTTTAGTTAAACTGAAATAATATTATACATGTATGTCTTTTCAGTAAACCTTCACAATTTTAAAAAAACACTCTTGTGAAAAAACGAAGCTGTGGGATCTTGAAAAGAAATTGCCATTGTAAGGGATATAAGCTCTTTCTCTGTCTTTTCTAATTCTTTTTTACATATGTAGTATGTAGTATAATTATATTTCATGTATGCAATGTATTGAAGGACTGTAATTTTTTCTGGCACTGAAGGTCATGAAAAGAAAACTGTTTCTTTCGTGCATATGTACAGGGGTGTATGTGTTACAGGTCAAATTTGATCTTAGGTTAATTTTGATTTTACCTAGGCTGATTCTCAATTTTCTTTGTCCTCTAGCCCTGGTAGACAGAGGAAATCAAGAATCAACCTAGGTTAAAAATTTTTAACCTGAGAACAAATTTTGACCTGTAACATATGCATAATTATGAAAAGACGGAGACCTTCATTGGAAGAACAAAATTTATAAGCAGAAGAGGTCATTATTTCCCATGTCATTAGGTAAAGGAGAAAAGTGAGGCACGACAAAAAGAGTTGGAGAAAAAGAGAAGAGAGCGTACAGCTCGTAAGCAAGCTGAAGCAGAAGCTCGCCAACAGCTGATCCGTGAAGAGAAGGAACAACAAGCACGGCTGAAGAGAGAGGAAGAAGCAATCAACAAAGAAATGGCCAAAATTCGTCGTACAATGGAAGAAGAAAGGAAAGCTGCTAGTGAAAAACTAGAAAAGTAAGTACCACTGAAGGCTATTTCCAAGTTGCTCCTATGTTTCAAGGCAAGGTCTGAGGAACATGGTTACAAGAACAGTGTAACCTGTACACTCCCCCAACAACTTGTTGGTAAAAATCCCCAACAGGGATGGGGTAGACCGTGAAACTGAGTGCGTGCGATGGATGTACAGGGGACTTGACCTATTTCACATTTCTCAAAAAGAGGTATGCATGACAGCATCCTCTGTTAAAAAAAAGATAGTTGGTGTTGATTAAGAATTCTTCGTCATTATGTATACGGCTGTATATAGATTTTTTCTACCATGGCAGGGCTAGCTCAGTTGCTAGAGTGCTTGACTGCAGAGTGGGATTTCGCAAGTTCAATCCTCAGGGCCAGAGCAATTCTCAGAGCCTTAAAATAACTAAGAAATGAAGGTACTGCCCTTGCCCCGCAAATGTCAAGACCTTGTATGGCTCGGATGACCACATGGAAATGGCAGTCCAGCATGAGACAAAAAAAGGAGTCCTTAGTCAGTACTCTCCTGTTAAGTACATTGATACTCAAAGAGAGTGCTTTTTTATTTGCTTAAGTGAAAGGCGTAAGGATCAGAAAGCTGAGCTTCTTGCACGACAATACCTGGAGGAAGAGCAAAGGAGGAAAGAGGAACAGCAGAGAAAGGAGTTTGAAGACAAAGAAGAGATGAGGCGAATGCTGTTGGAACAGATGGAGAGAAAGGCAGCTGAAGAAGCCAGTAACAATCTCAGGGTAATCAGCGTTGTCTAAACATCCTTGCTAGCCTTATCTAGGCGTTCTGATAGTGGAGTGTGGTGCAAAGTCAGAGCGCAGGAAAAACTAAGGAGGGAGGGAGAGGAGGGTGTGAGGAGAGTTCCTTCACTCTCATCCCTTGCCCCACCCCCTCACTTTTTTCTTGCTCACTTTCCTTTACTTGGTGTGAGTGTCTGAGTGCCTGAAACAGGCCACACCCTTGTCGATGATACATTTTGCTCAAATTTCAGAGTACTGGTATGAACAGTACGTTAAGGTCTCGGTAAAGGAAAACGAGGTGCCCACAGAAAAAAATTCTAGTCGCGCGAGTATTTTCGCTACAAAGGCAAGTTATATATCAAATTAAAGCTAAAAGACTAAATTACCTTATAAAAGATTTTATTTTATCGAATTTTAAAAGGCGCTTAAGTTTTTTGCTCGCGAACTCAGAGGTATCGAGTTTACTGCTGAAGCTCCAGCCCTTTCGCGTTGTTAAATATTCACTTCCTTTTTATTGCGTCTGATTGACAGATAAAAGACCTAAAAAAGGGTGTGAGGAAATTTGCATATGTCTCGTATTAGCGGAATTATTGCATTTCAAACTAAAAAGTCGAATCTCGAGCGCGATTTACGCAAAGAAACTGACATAAAATGAGTTACAAAGGGAAATCGGAAAATTCCTCACACCCTTTTTGAGTCTATATCATTATCCATCATATCTGAAAGTTTCAAAGCGATAGCTTAAAACCTGTCCCGACTGGAGGTCGGAGAATTTTGATTTTTGCGTCTAAAATAGAGTGAGAGAAAATCAGCTCTAAAGATTTAGCGCGAGGTCCACGCTTGGCTGGTTAGCGCAGAAAAGGCTCATTTTAGAACGGTTAAAAAGCACTTTCTGATTTTCTTTTTCTGCCAAAATAAAATTTAGGACCCACTCATGCCAAAAATCCGAAAAAAACAAAATCGAGCAATGTACTAAAATTTTCATTTACCGAGACCTTAACCACCAACCTCTGCTACTTACACCCGAGAGCTGTTTTTTTTTTCTTTTCGCTCATTTCTGTAATTGCATAATCGTTTTGTAGGAGTGAAAATAATGATGATCATAAAGGCAAGAAAAAGTGAAACTTTTTTCAAGCCTGTTGCATCGAATAATAGGTCTAATAGAGACCTTTAGATTCAATGATGACAGCGACTACAAGAACAAGATTTGACTCTCAAAAAATAAACACCTTGGAAAGCTTCTTTGCACTTTTTTTGTCACCAGAAAAGTTAGTACTGATATCTTTATTGAAGGAGGTTAAGCCCTTTTCCAATCACAAAATGGTAAATAGTACTTCTAATGTTTGTTAACTTGTTTCCGCCACTTCGACATTCTTGCCAAAACTTTTAGTAGAATGACGACAGCCATCACCTTTTCCCGCCAAAATGACGCTGGTTCACGGGTGAGCAATACTTAGTATTGAGAAAATCTTGTACTCGTAGTCGTCCTCGTCTCAGAGTCTAAAGCTCTCTAATAATAGATTCATAGAGGGCAGGCTAAAAAAGATTTTTACTCTGCGGCAGGTTTTTAACTAATGGATAGGTCCTATGTTTTTAAGTCTGTAACGTGGACAATAATGTTGGCCCCTCTTTCGTTAAGCAGTCTATGTTAGGATTAAACTAGTGCTGAACTCAACCCTAGTGGTCAATTATTTGAACGGGGTCAACAAAACCGCGTTCTAAGCCAGTTTTAGTTTGCCCAAAGCTTATATCTAAACACCATTTACTGTGAACAATTTCAATAAAGCATATAGCGTAGACTGGAAAAGCACTTTTTTCTTTAATTAACCCACTAACAAAGAGATCTGGAGGTCCAATGATTTCTTAAACGCGGCCTTAGTTAGATGATGTTTAAGAAACTGACTCTAAATGTTTTTTTGTTACTGTGTTTCAGCTTGTCCAGCGGTATTTTTCAGCCTGGTATTCAGTGATTGTCTCTCAGAGGATTAAGGTTGGCAAGGCACGTGCCATGTCTGACTGGCGCTGCAAACTGAGGGCCTGGAACGCTTGGAGAGCTTACGTCAATCACATCAAATCTGACAGGGAAGCTCATGCTGTTACCATGGAAATGAAAGAAAAACACAGGTTGGTCTTTCTTGCCTCGTTTACAATTTGAAATTTGTATCTTTACTGGTTTTTTACCTGGCCATAGTCGTGTTTGGGAGTTTGGCTAATGTTCGCGTAACGTAAAAATCTGCCTGAAGGAGGGCCATTTTATGGAAAACTGTGGACAGGGTCACTCCGTAAAAGACATTATTTTTCTGTCACTAATTAAATGACAGTGTTTTCTGTCACTGACCGTTTTCTGGTCTTTCAAAGCCCATCTGATTCTAATAAATTCCTTTTGAAAGTGGGGAGCAGCATCGTGAGCCGCCATTTTGCAACAGACACCTGAAGACTAGTGACGTCATTCAGTCCACGGTGAAATTGGTCGGAAGCGACTACGAAAGACCGTTCTGCGAAACAATGACCTACGATCAGGCGTTCTTTTTTGGGGGGGGGGCATGGCCAAGAGGGAAAAACAACATAAATTATAGAGATATGGGGAGAGCATGATCGCAGGTTAGCGAAGCATCGGTTGGACTGGCACCACCAGCTTCACAGAGATAAAAGCAACGAATCATACGTCTCTGGAAAACTGTTCACCTTTCCCTCCCCTAAGCCAGCATTAACACTTACTTCTCACCTAGGGCAAACTGTTGGCTTAGGAGCGGGGTAGGTGGACAGTTTTCCAGAAACGGTTAAAGCAACAACCCTATACAGTCTACTCTCTCTTAACGGACATTTCACTGAAACAGACACTTGGAGTTGGTCCTTACCTTTCTGTACTCCTTTTGATTGACTCTCTATAAGAAAGACGCTTCTCTAAGACGGACACTTACATGTATTGGTGGTACCAAAGGTGTCCGTCTTCTGGAGGGTCAGCTGTATTCGTCACTCAGTTTTTCTTTGTTCTAGTTGCTTGAGTATAGCAACAAAATAGATCATTCTAGGCTTAAGTAAAAAATGTATCAGGCTGCAAGGATTCCATCCTGTCACACAAAAGTTTCTGCTTTCATTTGCAGAAAAGAACAACTCTCGTCAACATTTTACCGTCGTCGTCTTCTGTCACGCTGCCTGAGGGCGTGGCAACAGTTTGTGAAACACGAACAGGACGAGAGACAGCTTCGCGAGGAACATGATAAGAAAACGCAGAAGATGGCGGCTCTGTTACAGGCAGCGGCTACTGGAAGGCTATGGAGTGAGCAAGGCGGTAGAACGAACATGGGATTAGAATTACAGGACATTGAAGATGATTTAGCTGAGCAGAGTTCAAGTACAGCTAGAAAACTGGTATGTTTTTCTATGAAGTATAATTTAGACAAGCTTATCCTAAGTTCATGTATATATTTAGAAGTAAATGGCCTGCGAACGCAGACATATTTCCGGTCTTCGCTAATCCCCAGCCGAAAAGTAACTACTTTTCAAGTGGAGAGACTGCTCATAGCGTAGAGGAAATCGCTACTGTTATAAAGATGCATATAAAGAGCAGAATTTGGAGCTGTCTTGACGAATGACATTCAGTTCACTATTAAGGTCTTGTTTGGCTGTCTTAATTGGGGCCATAATAGTCCAATTTTGCCAGGCTCATCAGTGGACCTTGAATGAGTCCCAGATTAGACAGCAATAGATGTTTGATAGGGCTAGTCTACGCTGTTACTCTTTATGTCATTTTTCAATGCTTTCCCTATATACTCCCTCCTACTTACTTTAATTTCTTTAATATGAATTTGTCTTTTGCTTTTCCTGAGGATAACTATGCCTTTTTCACTTTTTTTCAGGACGAACTTTTCGCCCAGCCTGTGAGGACAGTATCGCATAAACATTCAACGAGGGCAGAGAAACCTTTAGAACAAAATTTCTCAAGAAATGTTACAAACATTGACAAACCGCCATCTTGTAAACCAGCTTGGACTAATCAACAAACTAAGGAATTCACGAAGAAAAACATTAAGCCTGAAAAGGAGATGAAACTTAAGTCGCAGAGACAACGCAGTTATAGCGAAGTAGAGAATGTTGAGTTCCTTTATTCATCTGCACAAGCTAAAGACAAAAAGAAAGCAATAGACGGGAAGGATAAACCTAGCTTGACAAAGAGTCAGTCAATAGACAGACTAGATTCAGACAATATTCAGTCGAGAGAAAATATTTCGACAGAGCGTTCAGCACTCAGTACATTTTCGGACGGTAACGCAGCTAGTTCGCGCAGTAAATTTACGTCCAGAGAAGCCGTTGTCAAGTCACAAAAGTCTGCCACTAAACCACTACATCTAGGTGAGTGTCAGCTGTTTCCTTTTCGCGGCTTCCCCCCTCTGATTGGGCTAAAATTTGCAAGTGAGGCCCCCTCTATACAAGAACCTGTTTAACCTAAAATTTGAAACAGGTTCTTATTTTCTAAAATCTATAAAAAATTCTGTACACTTGGGCAACGAAGATAATTTAGGATCCTTCTTGGAAACATAGGTGCGTTATCACTCCAACCGTAGTTGTAGTGGTATACACATTTTATGTAAGGAATGAGCTGAATACCACTAAATACTCTTAGCTACAATTTATCTTTTTTTCTTTAGAAAATAAGATCCTATTTAAAAACCTAAGCCTAAATTTGTGCTAATTACCACTGACATAAGAACCTGTATAGGCTAACTTGGAAAATGCGGGTTTTCACTGTATCACAACACTTTGTTGTGTCAGTAGTAGTTTGCTGTAGTAGTAGCTGTAGTAGTTTGTTGTGTCAGTAGTAGTTTCCTCCCACTTCTCACACACTTGAATAGAAGTTAATATTATAAATTAGTATAGGGTGCGTTCATGACCAAACTCCGAAATAAGAATGTATGGAATATTCACTAAAAATGAGTTGTTTTGTCCACCATTTTTCTTAACAGCAATGGAGGAACGTGCTAGAGAGCGCATGAATCGTAAGAAGGCTTTGGAAGAAAAGAAGAGAAAAGCTGAAGAGGAAAAACTGGTAAAAGAAACATTGATTTTGTGGTTGTTTACCATTTACAAAAAGTTTCCAGAAAATCTGGTAGGAAAGTAAATGGAACTCGAGTTCTTGGTTCTTTCCTGAGGAAAATTTCTGGCAGTAACGGAACGTCTGAAAAGGTGGTCCTGTTTTTGAGGATGGAATATTCCAAACGGAAATTTGTGTTCCATTTCTTCAAAGCCATCTTTGATACCAGTTTCAGGCCTTCGCGGTTGTTATTTCGGTAACTGGAACTAATTTATACAAATGGTAAACCTCGATTCCCGAGACGAAATTTACAAGTCCTGAATTTTGCTTACCATTTACCTAAACCTTGAACCGACCGAGTTGCCCGTGGAAATGGTAGTTCTACACAACCTCTGTTTGCCATTGCAGTTTAAGAATTCTATCCTGCCCGCGCCACTTAGCGTAGCAGCGCCTCTAATCGAGCGCTTTTGCTCCGCCAAGAAGTGAAAAGTACTCTTTGACAAAAAAAAAGTAAATTATAACGAGTGTTGTTTTTGTGCAACAGGAATTTCTAAAGAAGGAACAGGAACGAAAAGAGGCAGAGCTTTTGGCGGAAAAACAAGAAGCATCTAGGAAAAGAAAAGAGGACAAACGCATCACCAGAGAGGTAACAAACAAAAGCTTTTTTCAGATTTTCTATTTTATTTCTTAGAATTCTGTAGAAACCCATCTTTTGAACAGCATGTTTCTGGCAGCACTTCGTCATTTGGGCAACATTCTTTGACTTAACAGTGAACATATTAACCAGTTTCCATGGAAATTTTATTTTCTCAGCGTGAGCTCGAAAAACAGCGTCAGATGGAGCATAATCGACTACAAATCACCATGGCAACCCAGCACTATGCGACCACACTTATCACAAAGTTCGGTCTGTTACCTTGGAAACGTCTGGTAGAAATGATGCAGGAAAATATATCACGTGCTACATTACATCACAACAGAGCGTTACTGAGTTCTTGTTTATATCCCTGGTTGGAATATACCAGACTAGTAAAAGAGGAACGGGAAAAAGCCGCTGAGCTGTTATACAACAAGATTTTATTACGAAGAACATGGAGACAGTGGAGAAAGGTGAGACCATTTTGTTACAGTCAAAGCTTTATTCACCCGTAAACCTTAAGATCAAAGTTTGAATTCTCATTTGTTGCCCCTATTCATTTCCTACAGAAGTAGTGGGGAGAAGTTGATAAAATATCAAGCAAATTCATCTTGTGTGATCATGTCTGTAATCCTCATGACCACTCTGATCTGTTGTACAAAGCATTGATTTTACAAGGATAAATTTGATGCTAATCACTCTTAGGGCTTAAAGGGTTAAGGGTGTACCTCTGAAAAGCTTATGTGGGTTTGCTGTTCGACACGTGTAATGTGAACCGATAAGTTCCGCCTCTGTATGACCATTTGGAGCAAATCACTTACTTTTGCATCTATGGAAGAGCCTACTGTACGGGCAAATCTCCAATTTGTTTCGGTTATTCTTTGCCTGTGGACACCAACAACCAACCAATAGCCCACTTTCGATATATGAAAATTCTAACATGACTCTGAGGCTTTAGGGTCAAAATTTGCAAATTTTTCACGACTCCATTGTCTCGCAATTTTCAGAAGAGAATTGAGCACAATGAAAACCAAACCTAATATAGAAAAATGACGAGAAAGCCTCGGAGTCACGTTAGAATTTTAAAATATCGAGCGTAAGCTATTAAGACAAGGGGCATCTCCACCTAAACGATCCGTGGAGTCCTTGCAACACAGGCTTTTGTTTCCATATCCTAGATCTATATTTTATAGAGTGGGGAATACAAAGCTTGCTCGTAAGCTTGCTGTTTAAGTAATTATCCTGGTAGGAAGGGAAGCAATTTCTTTTTTTATGGCGCAATACGCTTTCCTTGCATGGGAGTATTTTCATTTTCCATAAAGAATGCGTAAACCTAAAAAAAGGCAGTCTACAAAATAAAATGTATCCAGGGTTGTCAAAAATATTTTAGGTAGCAGGAGAATAACAGAAAGTAGCCAGCATGTGTTTTCGGGCAGGGCCGGTAGGAGTAGATGTATCACTATTGATATAACAGTTGAATCCAGGTTAGAAGAAGCTGTCAAACATGATAGCATCGATACTGTGGCTGAATTACGAAGTGCAACTTTCGTGGAAGCATGCAAACACGCCGGATGGAAAACAAGAGACAGCAAAATTAAATGCCAATCACAAATAAAATGGGAGAAAAAGGGAGAAAATTTCTCATAACTTTAATAATTCAGCACTGAGACAACTACTGCGAGACAAAAAGAAGGGGTTCAAACAAACTTGTAGACGAAAGAAATGGGAGTCTTTCCCAGGTAGGGGAACACATATCACTAGGGATACGTGTTTCCCAGAAGGGGGAACACATATCACTAGCGATATGTGTTTCACAGGTGGGGGAACACATATCACTAGGGATATCTGTTTCCCAGGTGGGGAAACACATATCACTAGGGATACGTGTTTCCCAGCAGGGGGGACACGTATCACTAGGGATACGTGTTTCCTAGGTGGGGGAGCACATACCACTAGGGATACGTGTTTCCCAGGTGGGGGAACACATATCACTAGGGATATGTGTTTCCCAGGTAGGGGGAACACATATCACTAGGGATATCTGTTTCCCAGGTGGGGGAACACATATCACTAGGGATACGTGTTGCCTAGGTGGAGGAACACATATCAATAGGGATGCGTGATTACCAGGAGGAAGAACACATATCACTAGGGATATGTGTTTCCGAGCAGGGGAGACACATATCACTAGGGATATGTGTTTCCCTAGGTGGGGGAACACATATCACTAGGGATACGTGTTTCCCTATGCGGAGGAACACATATCACTAGGGATACGTGATTACCAGGAGGAAGAACACATATCACTAGGGATATGTGTTTCCGAGGTGGGGGAACGCATATCACTAGGAATATCTCTTTCCCAGGTAGGGGAACACACATCACTAGGGATATCTGTTTCCCAGGTGGGGGAACACATATCACTAGGGATATCTGTTTCCCAGGTGGGGAAACACATATCACTAGGGATACGTGTTTCCGAGCAGGGGGGACACATATCACTAGGGATATGTGTTTCCCTAGGTGGGGGAACACATATCACTAGGGATACGTGTTGCCTAGGTGGAGGAACACATATCAATAGGGATGCGTGATTACCAGGAGGAAGAACACATATCACTAGGGATATGTGTTTCCGAGGTGGGGAAACGCATATCATTAGGAATATCTCTTTCCCAGGTAGGGGAACACATATCACTAGGGATACGTGTTTCCCAGGAGGGGAACACATATCACTAGGGATATCTGTTTCCCAGGTGGGGGAACACATATCGCTAGGGATATGTGTTTCCCAGGTAGGGGAACACATATCACTAGGGATATGTGTTTCCTAGGTAGGGGAACACATATCACTAGGGATATGTGTTTCCCCAGGTGGGGGAACACATATCACTAGGAATACGTGTTTCCCAGGTGGGGGAACAGACATCACTAGGGATACGTGTTTCCCAGGTGCGGGAACACATATCACTAGGGATACGTGTTTCGTAGGTGGGGGAGCACATACCACTAGGGATACGTGTTTCCCAGGTAGGGGAACACATATCACTAGGGATACGTGTTTCCCAGAAGGGGGAACACATATCACTAGGGATACGTGTTTCCGAGCAGGGGGGACACATATCACTAGGGATATGTGTTTCCCTAGGTGGGGGAACACATATCACTAGGGATACGTGTTTTTCAAAGGGGGGAATACATATCACTATCGTTACGTGTTTCCAAAAGGGTGGAACACATATCACTAGGGATATGTGTTTTTCCCAGGTAGGGGAACACATATCACTAGGGATATGTGTTTCCCCAGGTGGGGGAACGCATATTACTAGGGTTACGTGTTTCCCAGAAGGGGAACACATATCACTAGGGATATGTGTTTCCCAGGTGGGGGAACACATATCACTAGGGATACGTGTTTCCTAGGTAGGGGAACACATATCACTAGGGATATAAGTTTCCTAGGTGGGGGAACACATATCACTAGGGATACAGAAGGGGGAACACATATCAGTAGGGATATGTGTTTCCCAGGTGGGGGAACACATATCACTAGGGATACGTTTTTCCTAGGTAGGGGAACACATATCACTAGGGATATGTGTTTCCTAGGTGAGGGAACACATATCACTAGGGATACGTGTTTTTCAAAGGGGGGAATACATATCACTATCGTTACGTGTTTCCAAAAAGGTGGAACACATATCACTAGGGATATGTGTTTCCCAGGTGGGGGAACACATATCACTAGGGATATGTGTTTTTCCCAGGTAGGGGAACACATATCACTAGGGATATGTGTTTCCCCAGGTGGGGGAACGCATATTACTAGGGTTACGTGTTTCCCAGAAGGGGGAACACATATCACTAGGGATATGTGTTTCCCAGGTGGGGGAACACATATCACTAGGGATACGTGTTTCCTAGGTAGGGGAACACATATCACTAGGGATATGTGTTTCCCAGGTGGGGGAACACATATCACTAGGGATACGTGTTTCCTAGGTAGGGGAACACATATCACTAGGGATATGTGTTTCCCAGGTAGGGGAACACATATCACTAGGGATACGTGTTTCCTAGGTAGGGGAACACATATCACTAGGGATATGTGTTTCCCAGGTGGGGGAACACATATCACTAGGGATACGTGTTTCCCAGGTAGGGGAACACATATCACTAGAGATATGTGTTTTCCAGGTGGGGGAACACATATCACTAGGGATATGTGTTTCCCAGGTAGGGGAATACATATCACTAGCGTTACGTGTTTCCCAGAAGGGGGAACACATATGGCTAGGGATGTGTGTTTCCCAGGTGGGGGAACACATATCACTAGGGATAGAGCAATAGAGTGTTTTCACATGACGTTACGGCGGCCATATTGGTGTCCCAAAACAATGAAAGGGCGGCCATGTTGGTGTCCAAGACCAATGCTGTGGGAGTTAAACTCTTTTCTTATGCAAACGCTTTCTTTTGTTGCAATAAATTTGCATAGATGCTGGCCACGTGAGTGAAAACACTTCACAGGTTTAGATTTGCAAAACAACAACTGTACAGGTGCATTTCTTTCACGTCGTCGCACAACTGCGACGTGAAACTTCCTAATTTCACATTTAGTGGAGGGCGTGACCACAAGAAAACGATTTTCTTTTTCTTTTTGTCAACTCTTTTTGTGAACTTAGATACAGTTCTTTTAAATTCAGCCCTTGAAAAAGTCGCCAAAGTCTGACAAATGAAAAGAGTTGGAATTAAGAGCGAGTAAGATTGAAGCAGCGCTAATTCACTTTTTGGGTGACGTTTAGGCTGCCGTTGCCGTCTTTTTTTCTTCAGACATGGCGATTAGCACTTCAAGGGAATGACCAACATCAATTTTCTTGTGACATCATCACTGCATCAACAAGGGAGAAGGTTATGAGGATTAATGAAGTGATCACCAAACAGAAAATGCTTCGATCTTTTATCAAATACTCTCAACTGATTCTTTAAGGAAATGTATGGAGATCTGTCTAGAGAATTTGTGTGTTGATATTAGGGCTGTCGGGGTATTACGTCTTTCTTAACAAAGCTCTCTTTTATGTTTAGTATGGTCAACACGCTGTCAGACTTCAGCTTGTAGCAGAAGACTATTGCTCATCCTTACTTGTCAAAAAATACTTTAAATACTGGCAAGATTATGTGACGGAACAACAGATCATGTTATGGGACAAGGAGAGACAAGCCGAGGAACACAATGAATGGTAATGTAGGAACATGAAAATAGAGAAACCAGAAATTATAACGGAAGCATACTACATTGTTCGTGATCCCCTATATGTCCCCCCATCCCCACGAAAAAAAATTAAACTCCTTTAAGTGTTTCGCTTACCATAAAAAAAAAAATATTGCGTCCTCGCGAACAACAACCCAAAAAAGACATGTTAGGAAGACAGGTTTCGCTTTTGTTGAGAACTCCACCATATCTCTTTGACCTTTAGGGCATATTTCAAATCGGAATCCAGCCATGGAATGTTGGTGCAGCTATCACACGGCGCGCGTTGTGTCGTTCCGTGGTCCCCTGCGCTCTCTGTTCGCGCGATAATGGCGCCTGGGTGCGAGAGAGCAGATATGATACTGAAAAAATTCTGGCTCCTAAGGCATTTGTTTCGTTTGTTCGTTGTTGTTGTTGTTGTTGTTGTTTTGTTTCGTTTTTTTTCTCTCTCTCTTTCTCTCTTGTTTGAAATCACTTCCCAACATCTGTACCTTACTTAAGGTCTTGTTTACATGGAGGTGGGATACCCCAGGTAGATGAGGTAACCCGCTTAGGTGGGGTAACACACCGGTCCATACAATCTCTCAGTTTAATTTGATCACGTTTACAGGATAGGTGGGGTGACCCGCCACATTTTACCTCACCTATCTAGGGTCCTCCACCTACATGTAAACAGGCCCTTAAACGTAGACGTTGGCCGGTACCTTCTTGGTACCCTCTCTAATCTGTTTTGCTGTATTTCTAATTTTTAGTTATACTGTCTTTTCTTTTTTGTAGGCGACTGAGGAAAAAGGCTTTGATATATTGGAAGAAATACATACCAATGAAAAGATTAGAAAAAGAAAGAGAAGTCAGGAGGACCGAGATGAGGAAAAGAGTCTCTTCGTGGCTTCCTGACTTTCAGAATCTTACTGAATCATCGCCTTGATCGTCGAAGCCCTCCGACACAAAATCGCAATGAAGCAAGGACATTATCACCAGGTTCTTTCACGAAAAAGATGACTCGATTTACTTGTAAAGGTTGTTTCCTTGCACATAATTTATTTATATCCCCGTCTGATAAAAATAGTCTAAATAATAGACTCCTTCGTTTTACACAATTAAATTAACAGAATCGCTGTCTAAAATAAAACATTTTAAAGGTATGTTCATGACTAACACAGCTTGCTATATTTATTGTGGTTTTGTTCCTTTCAACCTACTTTTGATCTTTTCTTTTATTCTCACTTATTTTTCCTGGTACTGGTTTTTCTTTCGCTAAGCTTTCCTCCTTTCTTGGTGTAACATTCTTTATTTTGTCACGCTGTTCTTCTGTAAAAAGTCTTCTAGCAGGGTTTGTCTTCTCGGCGCTGAGCGGTGACCTCATTTGTTGTAGCTTACTTAACTGAAGAGGCGAGTCTTGCTTCGATGTTTTTGGTGAATCGGCGTTCTGCGTGTTTCTTTTTCTAGGAGTAGAGTTTGCTTTCCTCGGGGCCCTTTTCGTTGTTTTATTTCCCATATTATTGTTGGAGTTGTCCTTTACTTGATTTCTATTAAAACAACTCGCTAGGATAAATGGTGTAGGATTGCACTTAAATTCCTCGGTTTTCGAGAGCTCCTTGCACGGGAATTCGTCCACTAGAAGTTGGTCCACGTACAGATCGTTCAGATTTGGCAAGCTTGCTCCCTCACATCCATTGTATGAGACGCTTTTAAGAAATACTTTGAGCTTTCTAAGGCGACGTTCATCTAAATTTGCAAAGAAGCGCTGGTTAAAGGTCAGCCTAATTAGTTAGATTAAACGGACATACCATAAAGAAGTTTCTATCGCCCCTTGTACCGAGTCACCCGTAAGATTTTTTGATATCCTGGATTTCGCAGTTGGACCGGGAAAGGCCCCAATTTCGTGGTGTCCCTAAGACTAATACTGGTCTGCTCAAAAGCCTTCGGACCTCTCCTGGGGGGCTTCATAGTGAAGGAACCGGAATACTCCTCCGAAAATAAAAAATTTGTATATTTTTTTCGACAAAGAATAATTCGAAGACCAGAAAGCCGAGAAAAAATTCCGAGCTCCAGGTGAAAACTGAACTCAAGACCCTTAGTTCGGACGCTCTAACCAGTGAGTTGCTGTAGGCAACTACACCAGTCATAGAGGACTTTACTAGTTGGATTGGGGACTTGCTCGAAACACTGACAGAACCCAATCAGCCTGGGCGTGGCTCGGACTTTATTTGCCTCCTGAGGGAGACCATATGAGAATGTATGTTAACAGTCGAAATTCTAATAAGCGACCACAATCAGGAACTGAGGAAAACTTGCCGCTTAATGGCGTCAAATCAAAATCAAGTTCAGTGCAGTAAAGTCATGCCATCGATGTACTTAAAAACGCAATGAACGCAGAGAACCCACTGGAAATGGGGAACCCTTACAACTCTAATTCCTAATATCTGTTGTTGTGCAGCACTTGTTGAAAGTAGGAGTTGTATGTCAAGTGGCTTTCTGAGACCCTTGAGAAACGTCTTTTTATACTCGTTATGGTAGTCGCAATAATATAACCACGCCTTCTTCCAAGAGGTTGTTTAGGTAATTTACAGAACTTGCACAGCCCACAGCACAGTTAGTAAATATACCATTCCATTCCATACCCAAACGGTATAAAGCATCTTTGATCGAGACAGTAAACACTTCAAGAATGATCCAAGTTTCCTACCTGCTGCAGTTTGCACTGCGCTTGATTGTCCTTGTCCTGAACCTTCGGCGCTGGCTTTTTTCGAGTTTGATTGCAGTGAAGATGATCTAGCTGAACTTTTGTTGGTTTCCTTTGTGTTATTTGCCTTTTTGCAGTTTTGAACGTGTCCCTTAGCTGAAAAAAAGAGAAGAAAACAGATTTTAGTGCAACCGGATATTCTTATATCCCGTAAAAAAATTACGAAAGTCTCCTTTTTGAAGAAAAAAATATATATCTAGCCAATTTTTGAACACCAACCCAACGAAATTTGCGGTCATTTGAGTGAAAAAGCGTCAAAAGGCATGTTTCTAGCCTGCGAACGGCAGACGTTTCTGCTCGCTCATCGACGACGTCCCTCAGCGGTGATGAACGAGAAGAACGTCTTCCGTTCGCAGGCTAGCATGTTTCCTCAGCCCGAGAAGCTACAAAATCATAGTAACGAAGGAAAAGGAAAGGAGAAAAAGAAAGAGCGAGGAAAAGTGAAAGGAGGAGAAGAAAAAAAAGCAATGGTTGCACTCTTAGTTTTTATAATAGCTACTTTGGAGATAGTTTTTGGCCGAAAAAAACTGTTCGACGCAAAAGGTCAATTTGTCGATAACGTTATCAAAAATCCGGCTAGACGCAGGACCTCCTGCTAGATATATGTATGTACTTACTGGGAACTTTTTTCTTGGCAGCTTTCATCTCTGCCCTCGAAATGCAAGTTTGGAGATCAGTTCTTCTGTTTTGAACCGTTACAAGTGCTCGCGCGCGGCTTACGAGATTTCACGGGATTCGATTATATCATCTACGAAATCAGCTTTCGATCGCAATTCCTGCGCGGGAATTTTTTCCTTCAGTTAATGCTTTTATTTAGTTCAATTCTTGTTTCAACTTCTTGTTTGACATTTAAAATTTTAAGAAGTCTGCGTTTCATATTCTTTTGTTTCTCTACCCCTCCTAACAGGCGGTTTTTCTCGTATGTTTTTTGTTTGTAGTCCGTATAAAAGCCAGAGACAAAGCCCGCGCGAATAGGCTAGATGAAGGCCACGAAGAAAATGATAGGGGAAGGGCGAGAGGAAAAACGCAGAGAGAAACCTTTACTTTTTGAAATACGAACGAGGAACACACCAAAAAACCATTTGCTTCGCTGACTAGTGTTTCTCTTAAACTACTGACTGCACAATTTTGAGCAAATCTCTTCCCCTTTCCCTTTTCACGATCGTTCCATTCCAATTTTACTTTATGGAAACGAGGTTGGAATCTACCAATCATAACACTGGGTTCGTTGGCGCGAAAATTCGCTTTGTTTTCGGTCTTGGCGTTCATTCGCATATTGCTTCTCTGAGTGGAAGGATCTTTCTTCTCGTTTCCTCCAAAATTTGTGGCGTTTTGCCTCCTGATTATGTCTGCAATGAAAGATATCACAAATCTGACCTCTATTTCCTCGCTGAACGGCCACGAGAGTTCTCCAGAGAGGGACATTTTTGTTTCTTTCGAGGCTCCGAGCTTGCGGAGGAAGCGAACAGCCAAGCAAGCTTCCTTGCATAGATTCGTCCAATCTTCCACCGAAACGCTCGAAAACATGAGCTCTGAAGAGGACTCAAGCAACAAAAGTGGAAGTGAAGTGGAAGGAGAGGCTAACTCAGTGTTTATGACTCCTGAGAGCGAACCTAGACTTAAAGCAAGCGCTCAGAAACGAAGGCGATTTCGACTTGAAGGAAGCCCGCGAAACAGCGACTCTTCTTCTCCCGAGCTTTCAAGGACCCTGTACGGTCTCTCGAAAGTACAACTGGTCGATTTGTTCAACGCATTAGTCACAGAAAGACATCCAGACCTCGAGCAGGTATTTATTTCATATAAACTTTTCACAATGTGAGCTTAAAATGGCAACTCGAGCTTTAAATTCAGAAGGCGCCATAGATGCACAACAAAAGCCATATTTGCAAGTCAGACATTGTTATGGTTATTTAGCTAGCTTATTATTCTTTGAAAGTTAAAGGCGCAGTCTAGTTGCTAAGCAAACCGTTTTATTTCTCTTAAAGGAACTTCAAGGTCTAATCCCGGAGCCTGATCTTAAGGAAATGGAAAAAAAACTGAATTATTTACAGCGAAAGATATACAAATCCTTCCCGCACTCGCGTTACGGTTCCTCAAGCAATACTTTTTGCTATCGGCGCGTCAACACGCACCTAGCAGCCTTCAAGGTAATGTGTGAGCATTTTTGAGACGTAACTTGTTCTATAATTCTTGTTTTCCTGATTGCTGAGTTTGTATAGGCAAGAGTAGCAATAGCAATCTTTCCTTGAAGGACCCAAGAAAGCTGTATAAATCTTGATGAGAATTTCTTGGTTTGCAATCACGTGACAAGGTGGCCATGTTGGGGTCAATCAGAAGCATATTGCCTCGAAGCGGGGTTATATGCTTCTGGGTCAATACAGTGGAATTTTTTGTCAAAGAAGTTACATGAAAACAGAGTTGAGCTCCCAAAAGAGGGAACTGCTTTTATTCTTGACCACCAGCATGGCCACCGTGATGTCACGTGCAAACCCCCCCTCCCTCCTTTCCTCCTGCTCCCCTTATGGCAAGACCAGGCTTTTCATCAGCGAGTTGCACTTTTGGGGTGACCAAAACATGTGAGTAGGGTTAGAACTCAGTGATCAAATTTTTCTGATCTGTGAATATGCCTCTGTCTCTGGGATACAGGGAAGCAAGTTAAGTTGGCGACTTTTGACTTCTGTGTTTTAAATGGATTTGGGAGGAAACCGTCGTTAGGTGCCCCTGAAGCACTCCTACCAGTAATTATCAAACATGATAAGTAAACAGACCTGACAGATAAAATACCATAGATTACCATTGTGAAGCTGAACATCTTTTCTTCAACTAAACTTGTCTGAGTAAAATGGTGCCTTGGTTCTACATGCGCCATTTCTAAACGGTAAAACTATCACAGATAGAATAATTTGCCATAAAAACAAGAGTCTGAGAGTCTGTTAAATTACATGTATGCTGTATCATAAAACGTGGATGGTAACAAAATTAATTAAGGATAGCTTGTGGCTCCTTTATTGTATCTGAAATATTTATTTTACTGTCATTATTTCAGAAAGAGTGTGTGGGCCAAGGACAGACTCTGTTAGATTTACAGCTGTGGGAATTATCACTAAGCTATGTCCTGATGGCTTGGTCATATGTGAATGGCATGCCAAACTGGGATAATCCATCACATAACAAGAGCAAGGAACAATGCTTTAAAGCTTTGGCTGTGCAATGCAAGAAAGCCCTTACAAACCTAAAAAATAGTCTTACTCAAGAAAAATGCAAAGACCTAATAGAAAGGTAAGCTGATTAACATATCATACCTTAACATTCTTAAAATATGCCCCTCCAAGTGTAGACCTCCCACATTCAACAAAAGCCTCCTATAATACAAGAGAATTGTCCTTAACTCCACCTCAATTGCTTTGAAGTAATTTTTCAAACCCAACTGCAGTGTTTGCCCCCAGTCTTGCCACACAGGAACCGACAAATGCCATTACTGCTGCCTGTAGGATGCAGTCCTTGTCCCAAGAGAGATGTTTACCTCACTGTAAGAATAGGGATCTTAAGATCTGAGGATAGTGAAAGCAGTGAAAACGTCACTTAAAGTAAACAGTTAGTTTGCATTCTTTCAGTCTTCATCACAATATGACTATAACTCAAACTTACTCACTTCGCCAAATGTAGAGGAACTCTTCCAGAAACTGAATTTTTTAAGAATCATATCCAAGTTCAGAAAGAGAAAGAAAATCTCTTCCTGGTTGTTTTACATCCTCCATAAAATGAAATTATATAGTACCATGAGGTTTGAACAGTGGTCTGATCCTCAGCAAACCGGCATTTATCCAATTGAGTTAACCGGGCAACTGCATGCCTTCTTTAGCCTTTACGTTATCTTGCTAGATTTAATTTTATTAATTAAATTCCTACTTATTTCAGTGTGTTACAACCTATCTGATTTGCTTTGCCTACCTAGATTAGCCCTGCCATTTGCAGGTAGAGCAGTTTGTAGATTTTCCTTCTTTTATAATGTTGAAGTATAAAATAAAATTGGAGTGGCACTTCTTGTATCTTGAAGGTCAAACCCAGAAAGTTGTTTGCTTTGCACTCATGATTCTTGTTTTTTTCTATTGCAGGATGCAAAGTGCATGTGAGCAAGACAACCAACTTCAACCATGTGTGAAACTTCTCACTATCTTGGAGTCAGAATTCTAGCCATGTTTTACTCACAGATATAACATTATCAAATGGTTAACATCAAAGACTTGTTTTATTCTGCGACAATCAACAAATTATTACATACACTTGACTAATGACCCAAATAACATTTCATTTTTGGCATACATAATCTATATGTATTTTGGTTTCATTGTATTATATGTATATAGTTATTGTAATGATGAAAGGTTTTCATCATACAAGAAGTGCACTGATTAAAAATATTTATTGTGCCTTTAAAAATGATATTGTTGTTGCCTAAAAAAATTAAGAATAATTTTACCAACATTTGTTTAAGGCTTCGTTGTGTTAGTTTGCTTAAATGTTGCTGTTAAGATGTCAACCTTTCATAATCCCTAGCGTCCTACAGTAATATATAGATTTAGCCAGGGCTAAAAGCGAAGCTCTGGTTAATAATACTTATAAACAAAAAAAATTAAATCGTGTAATGTTAAACGGAGACGACAATGAAAATGGCTTCAAGACTAATAGATCTAATTAGCAAAAAACCAAATTGTATGTGCAGCACACTTTTTCTTCTAATTAGCAAAAAGCAAATTTGCACGTGCAGCACACTTTTTTGTCTTTCCCTTGCCATTGTCTTGCACCACTACAACGCTGTTTTGTACAACTAAAACATCAAACTTCCTAGTTACACCTTATTTTTATGGAGGAAGTGTGGTATGTGTTTACCCAATATTTTGTTTCCTGTGTTCATGTTTGCTTCTATTTTTCACTGCTGCTCATTTTCACCTCGCTGGCCGCTAGCATTTCTCATTTTCTCACCACCGCTTTGAATTTCCATGTTTTTCTCCCTATGAAATTCGTCTCCCTTGTTTTCAGCCTGGGGGGAGGGGGGGGGGGTACTGCCATATAATGGACTATATAGGAATGTGCTGCTGTGAAGGGTATGGTTTTCAAGCAGTTTACTTTAGGATAGGGTATATAAGCCAGAGCGTTTGGGTCTAGAATAGGGTATCATTTTTCAGGAAACTGATCAGTTGGTTGAAGATTTTATCTAAACTAGGGATTGTGGTACAAGGTTTTACTTTGGCTAGACTGTGCTAGTGACCTCAGTAGTTTCTGGAAAACAGCTACTCTAGGATAGGATTTGGGGAGTTAACTCTAGTATAGGGTAGCAAAATTCAGCTGAACTAGCTCTGGTATAGGTTAAAGGTTCCAGGTTCCCAGCGGCACATCCCCACCCAGAATTTCCTAAAGTACCCCCTCCCCCCCCCCGGTTATCAGTTTTCAATAACTCGCTCTAGCTCTTTCTCTGTTATCCACGTTAGTGTAAACATAAAAAATAATGCCGAAAAAGACAACTTTGTTGTTGTTTTTTCTTTTTAAAAGTCCGGGTGGCCATGTGATTTTGTTCCAAATAAAACCTTGAGTTGCATTTGGGTTGCCATACCTGTTGATTGAGTTATTTTACATTGGTATACCTGTGGTGCGGACGCTCGTGCGCGCTCGGTATGTCATATTGGGTAAATTTATTTTTCAAGTTGGTCGAGATAGACAATTAAGTAATGATCCGGGTAAGGTGGATAGCAGTTTCTTTTGTTATGCGGCAACGCTGCTTTCTCCACATAGGAATGTTCTCATTTTTGCACAGAGAATGCATAAACCTACATGAAGGCCGTTAACGCAATAAAATGCATTTACACTCCACTTTGAAAGGGTGTTTTTTTGTGTGTTAAAAGATTTTGACCAATCACAAGAGTTGAAAACAATAGCCAAGAAAAGTTTACAATTTTACATGTTCTCCACATAGGATTTCTTTGTTATTCAAACTGAGACCAGACTTTGTTATATGGAAGATGGTTGGAAAGTAAGGATGAATATATGTACTGCCTTAAGAAGTTTTGTTAACTTTTGCTGTTTAAGCCAATCAGAAGTAAGTACAGACAATAGAAAAGTTAGCACCTTTTTTGCATTCGAACATGTTCGTCGCCGTACAGGCAGCCCAAGCGCACTATATGTGGGTTCGGGCTTCAGAGGAGAAGTCTTCTTGTTTGTCTATCTGTACTAGTAGCCTTTAAGATAACGAAAATCAATATTTCTCGCATTATTACATGTGATTCGGGCCCCTTATTGTTCGAATTTTATCACACGTATTCGAATCTACAACGCTAAGAAACGCCGACTTTCTTTCCATCGAATACTGAGTGTTCAGTATTCGATGGAAAGAAAGTCGGCTAAACCGTGTTTAAACCGACCGTAGGACAGAGTGGCTATGAACTAAAGGTAAGGGAGCTTTTTGAATCAATATTTCGCGTGATCATGAAGACTTCATATCTTTAAGACTTTTTGCATTTATTTGGCATCAGATAATACACTAATAATTCTAGTATATTCCGACCAAATGACCTCTGAAGCCCGAACCCACAAATAGTGCGCTTGGGCTGCCTGCGGTTGCCGTTGGTGCTATCGTTCTTATCTGGACCGTTTCTTAAATGCTATTCAGTGGTGTTTTAGAGCGAAGATACAGGCACCAAGACCATAAACAAAGATCTTGATTTTTGCCGGTCACCTTGGATTTTTTCATAGCCTGCAGTGCAGGCGTATTTTGGGTGGGCGAAACCTTGTTCGTGTTCGTACTGTCGTAGCCGCCATCTTTGATTTTATGACAGTGGAAGATTGGGGAGAGTAGAATTAGTAACCCTAAGGGTAGGTGCGAGGGACTCATTTCCTCCTCTCATCGGTTTCAACATGGCGCTTTCGCGAACAAAAGCATTTGCGCTCCCGAAGAAAACGCCTGCACTGCAGGCTAATTTTTTCATTGTGGTTAAGCTATAGTTTAGGGTCAAGTTTGAAATTGCTTCACTCTCTATTTCTATTATAGGATGAAAGTGACAAAGAAATTTTGTTTGGTAATGTTTTCGAGAAGTGAGAAGCGCACTTAGACCTCTTACCAAGATTTCTATATTGGCTGGTGCTATCTGCTGTATTATGGTGGTGCTCATCGGGGTTTCGCCACCTTTTTAGGTTTTTGGGGCCATTGTCTGAAATTCCTCATACAATCTAAGAGTGCGGGTTGACACCTAGAGTTGGTTCCTGCCTTTCTTTAATCCCTTTATTTGACTCTTAAACAGACATCTGCTGCAAGTCCCACAGGTATCAGAGAGTTAAATGTATTCTTGTTTTTGGTCAAAAGCTGCCAAGAAAGGATGACAACGGATATCTTAATCCATATTTGGCTGTTAACAAAACCTTGGAAAGACCAATTGGCATTTTTGCAAAGGCGTTGACCCTTATGTTTTGTGAAAAATTTGAAATTTCTACCATAGATGTTCTTCTTTAAGAAAGGCCAAGGTATATTGTTTGATGATATTCTAGATAAAAAAGAACGCTTTTTAGACTATGAAAACAACCTTGTTCAAAAATTTGAAATTTCTTCCAAGTTTAGTTTTCCTTCTCAAACTCATTAATAATTCATAAAGAAAATACAAAGAAAATTAATGTTTAAGGTGGCTCCGTAATTAATACAAGAGCATTTAGCTGTGACAAATTTTCCGTCATAACTTTTTGGTTTTTAACGCGATGGCTGCGAAACTTTGCAAAGAACAACAGATATCATTAGGCAATGATTCGAAATATTCCGAGTTCACTGATGGTAAATATTTCTCGAGAAATTAGCGCTTAAAAGGACCCTACTGTTCAAAGAAAATCGCGTCTAGTAAAAAATTTTGCTGATATTTTTTTCTGAAATTTCTGGTATCGGCTTTAATTGATATAATAAATATGCCAGAGGAATTTCAGAAAAATCGTTGGAGCAGAAGTCCGAAACTAAAAGTCGCTCAAAATTCAGCTGTGAAATTGTTTTGGAATTTCAACAATAAATTACCATCAGCGAGAAGGAGCCACCAGTTTGAATTTTCGGGACAAGTAAATTCAGTGTTTGCTAATTCTGAAAACAGAAGCCGATTGCCTATCGTGCTATTCTTTAAAAGGTACTGTTCAGTTTTAGAAGCACTATAACTTGCTTCAAAACTTTGCTCTGACTTCGAATGACTTGTTGTCCTTATTCCTCGACATTTTTAAAATATCCCTTGGCAGTTTTGGTTCAAACTCCTGCTGCACACATTTTGATGTATTGCAATGCATCCTCAACGGCTTTTCCTGCTGTACGTTGTTTCCAATTCAGGAAAAAGGTATTGGGATTGTAAGCTACCTTGTATCAAAGCTCAGATAGAACTGTCCTTCACCTTTGTTTATGACCAGAAAATGAGCACGAGCGGCACTTGTGCGAGGAATTCGCACCTCAGCCAGGGGGGACGAATGACAATGATGCCCATGTCTGTGAACCGATCTGTATAAACATGTATTGCAGAGCAAAACATAATAATCAGGAAAAAATACCCATTCATTGAGGGAAGGAGTGACAAAAATTCCAGAGTTGTAAATTTATTCACGGGCAGTATTTTTGCGATAATTTTATTTTGGACTGTGATGTTATTCGGTTCACAGGCATGGTCATCGATGTCGTTCGTCCCCCCTGTGTGAGGTGCGAATTCCACGCAGAACTGCCGCTCGTGCTCATTTTGTAGTCATAACCAAAGGTGCTGGACAGTTCTATCTGAGCTCTGGTACGAGGTAGCGTCCAATCTCAATACTTTTTTCCTGAGTTGGAAGCAACGAACAGAAGTAAAAGTCGTTGAAAATGCATTGCAATACATCAAAATGTATGCAGCAGGAGTTTGAACCAAAACTGCCATGGGATATTTTAAACATGTCGAAGAACAAGTAATTCTACCTCAGAGCAAGGTTTGGAGCAATTTATAGTGCTTCTACAACTAAACAGTACCTTTTAAAGAATAGCACGATAGGCAATCGGCTTTTTGTTTTAAGAATTAGAAAACGTTGAATTTACTTGTCACGAAAATTCAAACTGGTGGCTCCTTCTACCCGATAGTAATTTATTTTTGAAATTCCAAAACAATTTCACAGCTGAATTTTTGAGCGACTTTTAGTTTCGGACTTCTGCTCCAACGATTTTTCTGAAATTCCTCTGGCATATTTATTATATCAATTAAAGCCGATACCAGAAATTTCAGTAAAAAATATCAGCAAAATTTTTTACTAGACGCGATTTTCTTTGAACAGTAGGGTCCTTTTAAG